ACTTGGACTTGGGCAGAGCTGTGGGAGAGCGAAGGCTGTGGCAAGGCTGGCCATCTGACTGAAGGGAAGGGCTTGTCAGGATTACTGTATTACGAGTTGAGTGTTTTTAAAAACTCCAAACATATCTTAAAGATTGAAGTTGTTTGAAGGTGCTGTATTAAAAACCATATTGGTGAAAGCTACCAACCGTATTTGATTATTTTACATTAGTATGGCCAAAGATTACAGCATGAGTAATCTTTGGTATGGCCCATTGGTCCGTGTAAAGCCATAAAAATTTAACTTAGAAAATAATTAAAAAGCCTTTTGAAAAGCAATGGTTTTTGTTGTTTAGCCAAATCTAGCCCTCTAATCTTAGTGTGTATTTTGAATTTAAAATGATCAAAGCATGAAGTTTGAATCATGCTTATGATTTTAATTTGTTTGTTTAGTGTTTAAAATTCATTGTAGTAGCCCCGGAACTGTAATAATGACTAATAATGGTTTTTTGTTACCTGTCGTCAGTTTAAAATTTTAGCTTCCGTAGATGCTACATGTTTCGGCCTGGACTGTATGCTTGACAATGGCATCACCGAAACATGTAGCATCTACGGAAGCTAAAATTTGGAACTGACGATAGGTAAAACACCATTATTAGTCGTGTTTAAGCATGAATTATTAGTGTTTATAACGCTTGTTTGCGAGGGAATGTTCCAACTCTCGGTTTGTTGCCATATAATGTCAACCTATTGTTAGATAGCACCATTAATTGATGGCAAAACCAGCAATGTTAGATTTGGAGTCGAGTGCTATCTTGCTATACCCGGCTATCGAGACAAATAAAATAGGCTATTCATAGTTTTTTTACATTTTCATCAACGACTATTACTAATGAGATCAACGTTGTTGGTGCTGCGAGATGAGAGCTTCTCGTCGGAAACAATCCAAGTGAAGTGTGACCCGTGATTTCCGTTTCCGGGTTAAACAAACGCGAGTTTTAAACGGGGTGGCGCGGGAACATTACACGGGACTGTTTGTTATGGAAAAGTAAACTCTTTGGATGGAAAATCTTTTTTATATGTTGTCAACAAGCCATTTATTATTATCATATATCATATATTATGTATATTTATTAGCCATTTTCGTTTGTATGATCGAGCCGGTGGCATTCCTGATTACTTGGCGTGCCTTTGATCTCATGCCTCGCTGTAAATTTGGGGTTGTCATGTACCAAGAAACTAATGGTTGCGACCTCGAATACGCAGATAATTGGCTGATAACTCTAGATAAGGTAGCAGACGATGCTAGGGCCTGACAACCACCGCTAACAAAACTCTGCATCGTTAAAACTGTCCCTGGCACAATACATACATCTTCACACATATTTCAAACCATATTTTTATTTTTTCCACTATCCTCTTTCGTGTGTACAAGCTTGAAATCTTTGACGCCCAGCAAGCCTTATTAGGCATATATACTACTTTTTCCACTTACATTATTTTTGCCGATTGTAACACATAAGATCACGGTTTATTTCCAAAATTTCCCTATACATAGTTCTTATCAACTTAATTCTTCATCATCTTAAGCTTTCCTACAAAAATAATGATTAGAAGAATCTGCCAAGGCACGAAGCTACTTCAAGTGCAGTATGGAATGTGACATAACGCGTCCTCCTCAGGCCACACAATAGTAACGAGCTGTCAACCTATTGTCTAGAATTCGTTCCGATGTATAGAAGACACCACGCCGGGAAGTGTTATGATTTCTAGACATTTAGAAACAAGATTGATTATTGCTTAACTAATCAATAAAAAAAATAGATTGCGTAGCTATAGCTGAGTGGAAATAATGCTCGCCTACTAATCAGAGTGTCGCCGGTTCTATCCTGAGAAAAGTCAGTAGCTTATTACTTGTTCGAAATTGGACCCAGACCTGTCATTGGTAGTTGGGCTTCAACCAACATTTGCTACACTACCGTACACATCTTCTCAAAGTGAGGAGGTGAAGAACTATAGAAAAACTAACCGTAATATGCTGCCAATCAAGCGAAGTAGAGGAGTTTTTCGTGTAAGGTCCTGTTGTATGACCCAGAGTTTTTACAAGACTCGTCCATGCATTAAGGTTACACTACTAGCCCATTCTCCATTGGGCCACCTTCATGCGACCTGGATAACATCTTTTGTGCGTTCGCGTCGTTCAACGGTTCTGGCAAAGGTCGACGGTGCGTAACCTCTGTAACACTGCACCAACACAACAGTCATGAACTCGTTTTTCTGTGCCAGTTTGGAACATATTATGTCAAAACCATTCACTGTAGATGATATGCACGGTTTCTGGTGTATAAACAAAGTATCAATCAATCAATATGGTAAAAAAAATATAGCAAAAACTCTAGCGCCTGAATTTATGTCTTCTGTCCATTATGTTAATCAAATGTAGGGGAAACAATTATATTCCTCGAATTGGATACTTCAATAAGGTAATCAAAGTCTGGCTTCTGAATAGAACCATAGATAAAACATACTCCCTTAGAACGAATCAGCTTCTCGTCTACAGTTACCTACAACTACAAAGTGGCGATATTTCTCCCGATTTAGGATGCAAGAAAATAATTTCTGCACTCCTTTGCTTAGCTGCAAATCGTATGCTTTGGTGTACTCATGGTCACAGAGAAGTAATGAAGTAATAGTATTCTGGATTTTAAATCTAAGCCCCCAAAACAGGGAGCAAAGTTTCATATATACAGCGATAAAACATCCGGCGAGCCCTGTGTGATTGGAAGCCAGTTGGCAACACTGGCTGTTAAATACTTAGTTAGTAGATCAGATCAGCTGTTAGCTGTTGCTTACAAGGTGCATTGTTATTGTTTACGTTTTGGTTTTACAAACTAAGCAAATATGAGAACCTTAAAATTAAAACGTGACGTTGTTGCAATTTGCATTATTTTACCAAGTTTAGAGCTAATTAAATACAAAAAAGGAGTACTAAAATTACTTTATTTTTACTTTTAACAAAACCATGATTAAAGGATTACAGTATTTGGAATATTTAAGTTAGGCCTAACTGTGTTTTACTAATACCATTGAGTATAAACATAACATTTATACTCAATGCTAATACTGGTTACTGAGTTCAGGGAGTTCTTAAAGAACATTCTTTTAAGAGCAAGAGCTGCTTGAATTTATTAAATTGTGTTTCTTTTCGGATGTGAGCTGGTATAGACTGGAGAAATTTTAACCCTAGGCCTATGTAAGATGTCTTTTTAGTGTAAAATTCTAGATTATGCGGAGGGAGGTTAATTTTTAATCTGCCCTTTAAGCTCTTGGAAATTAAATTCTTTGGTATTCTATAACTTATTGGAAATTTAATTAATAATAGTTTGTTTTCTACAATTCCCTTAGAAAGTAGCACTTTTATTCATTTAAAAAATTAACATGCCGCTGATTTCTGAACAGTTGGTACTTTCCTCCTACTATAGGCTACTCAGTCGGAATGATAAAAACTGAACAAAATAAAATAACCTTATTTAATTCTAGGCTAACTAAAATATTTATATTTTAATAGTGAAATGCGGTTTGGAGATAAAACAGTTTTGATGGTCGCTTGAAAACTATTGCATTAATTTAAAAAATGTTTAAATTTTGGTTAATACCGAAGAATGATTTTTCATTTGTCATGTAATAACAACTGTAGACCATTGCTATTAATTTGCAAGTGTATCAAAACTTGTTTTAGGCTAAGTACTAATAAAATAAGTGAATAAGTTAGTACAGTTATATTGCTATTGTATTTTCAAATTAAAAAGGATTTGTTTTGTTTTACGGCCTATATTTTTATATTAAAAATTAAAATTTCTTACAAACCCTTGTTATGAAACTCGAGAGGGCTGCACTTTACTTGACGTCCTACACTCATTCGATTGTTTTTTTCGATTCGATATTTCATTCGATTGTTTCATTCGTTAAGCCGCGTTTACACCGGAGTTTCAAACAAAAAGTTGCAAACTTTTATTGCAAACAGCAGTTGCAAACAGTAGTTTCAAATAAAAGTTTGCAATTTTTATTTCATGGTTTTGTTTCCATGTTTCATGAAAATGTTTGAAATAATTTTGACCTTGATTGAAAAAAAAACTTCCACTTGGTTTTCACATCGTCGACCCCCGATCCAGACTTATTGCCTTTTTAGATTCTCTGTTAAAATAAATTATGAGGTTCCTCATCTTATTTTGGACCTCTGCCTTGCTTAAGTTAATTTCCCGTGAAATGTCATTCCACGCCTAGTTTTTCTTGTTTTTGTTTTTATAGTCATGTTTCTGCTCTTCATGCTTCATGCTCTTCTGCTCTTTTTGCTCTTCATGTTCTCTGTACAATCTAATTAACTTAATATTATCATCTCTTCACTCCATCTCACTCAGTAGATCATCACTCACAACACGCACGATACGAGATAAGTCACAACAAACACGAGGTAGCAGTCCAGACAGGGTACACTGAGTAGAGACAGGGTGGTGCGAGTGATCACGTGAGTGAGAGGTGGTAGCGTAGGGGATGGGATGGCGGAGAAATGTTTCTGTTTCGTGTTTCAACGGCTCATAGTGACCGAAACTAGTGTTGCAAACAAAGAGTTTGCAACTCCCTTTGATCTTTACCGACTTCAAGTGGAAACTAAAATTTCTGTTGCAAACACTGAAAAACTGTTTGCAACAGCGAAAAGTTTCATCTGAAAATTGGGCGTTTTTAGAGATGTTTGCAATTTCTGTTTGCAACTCGTGTTTCAAACTCCGGTGTAAACGCGGCTTTATATCGTTTGGTTAGTTAGGTTAGGTTAACCTTACCTAACTAACCAAACGATATATCGAATGAAGCAATCGATTAATCGATATATCGATCGATATTTTCATTCGAATGAGTGTAGGACGTCAAGTAAAGTGCAGCCCTCGAGAGTTTAAATAGTTTTTTTATTTTGTAACAATATCCAAAATTGCCAACACAACGTTATACTTCTACTGGTGTTGGCAGATTCTACACGGTGGTGGCCCCAAGAGTTCTGCGCCCCAACACTGAGTTCCATGTAGCTGTGGGGACAGTGGGGGTTGGACAGCCCACCACAGTCAAGGTGGACGTCGGGGGCAAACAAGACAGCGGAGGCACCTTCCACATCAGTCAGTTCATCACAGTCCCTCCCTACGAGAACAGGATTGTCAAGCTGGATGTGAGTACAGTGTTCAGCGTGTATCAGAGATTAGCAAGTTGGTTATCCAAATGTTGCTTATTTGGTTTAAGAACATTTCATGTGTAGTACTCTGCTAAATCCATTCCACGATCGTCCTTAATTCATCATCCACTCACCACTCACTATCGGCAAGTGCAGAGAGTATTGTAAAGATAAGATTATGGTCAGCTGAAAGAGTGCATCTAGCAGTACAGATTAAGTTTCACTGAGACAGCAACACACTTTATGAGTAAGATATTTGAAGCTGAATAAAAATGCTGGGTAAGTGTTTAATGGGGGGGTGATCTATCTTTATTGCTTTGTTACAAACTAGGATAAACAGATTTTTGCTTTTTGGCTATGATCATTTATTAAGCTCATCAATCAAGGCTAGCTGTTCATCGACGGCTACTAATGATGATGTCCAATGAGAATGAAACCCTTGGTTTGAAGTTCATTGTTGGTGATGGTGAGTTAATGTTGTGTTAATGTTGAGAATGAAACTCCAGAAACCAGATAAGATTATAAATAAATACATTTGACTATTGCTAATCGAACATGTTTACAGACTACCGGAATCTTGGCATACTTAATTTTCTTTAATAGTACAATACTCTTTGAATCGTTAATGATCAATAACCGTATGTTGACAGATTGGTGACATAGGTGCAGGTCAGTACAACATCACTGCGCAAGGGTCAGGAGGTCTTGAGTTCTACAACTCAACCACTCTCCAGTTCATTCACAAGAGTTACTCTGTCTTCATTCAGACAGACAAAGCCATTTACAAGCCTGGCAACAAGGTGTTGTTCCGAGCCGTTGTACTTGACTCTCACCTCAAGCCTAGTGTCAGTCAGCCGTTGGATATCCACATCACTGTGAGTTAGTTGTACTGTAGTAATTGTTTACTAGTGTACCTGTTGCTCGAATGCGAGCAATTGCTAAGTATTACAGGCGTTATTTTAAAACAAATATCAGTCATATTTGCAATTAACTATGGAGTAACTCATGGAGATACTCACGATGTATGTAACAGTAATCAACATTTCCTGATTATTATTTTAGAAACTCAAAACATGTTCAAGGAAAGTGGTCCAAACCCCTCAAATGTTTGTAGATATATCGGGGATCGAACTTGCCCCTCTTGCAATGAAGTCTGAGATACTAACCACTAGGTTGGCAACATTTCTAAGATTAAATTATATTCCACACTAGGCCTATAGTTGTACGGCTTAATGCATTACGTCTGAGAACAAGTTACAGTAGGTAGCAATAGAAGCGGCAAGGGGCATGTACTTACGAGTGACGATGGTATCCACTTGGCAAACTTCTTTTCATGCCACTTCTCCCAAATAAGTACATCAGACAATTTAAACATTGTTGGCCATACATCCTTTAAATAAATAAATAGTATATCTCACTACAATCAATAGTCTGTTAGTTATACTACAATTATTTGTTCGCTGCGGGCCATCAAATGGCAGGCGTAGCCCCAGTGCGGCGCAGCCCGCAGCGTCGAACAAACCCGATTGCCGGGTGATTGGCTCTCATATTTCGGTAGGACGAATAGCAAATAACGTGCGGTGATGTCCTGCTTTATAACAAGAGTCAACATAGTTCGCTAAACACTCACAGATAGCAGCACTGATTGGAACGTAGCCGGTCCCATTGTATTGCCAATTGGAGGGAGAATGACGGGACAGCAAGTTGATTTTTAAGTTTGCCTGACGGGGATTTTATGGGGAAATTTTACTACCAACCTACAACACAATAAAAAGCAAGTCACCCACTACACGCTAACGTGGTATAGGTCCGCATTCGACCGACGCTAGAGCAAAAACAAAGATATACGAAAGGCATTGCCGAGCGTATCCGATTGGTTACGGCAGCACCTGGACAGCGCTCAGCACGTATCCGATTGGATACGCCCGCAGTGAACGTGTTAATACCTCTCTGATACATCAACTTATAATCCAAGCTGTACTGCAATGTCCAATGCACATTATACATGACAAAATCTTTGACATTTTTAACAATGCATCAATTTTAAAATCCTTAAGAATAATACAACCCATGACATTAAAACAGTGTTTACAAAAAATAATGAATAATTGAAACGTTCAGTGGCGTAGAAAAGGGAGGAGGAGTTTGGAGGCCACCAGATCCCCCCTACCACAAGAGGGTTTCCTGACCCCCTGGGTCTGCAATACCGCTTTGTGTTCATACCCTATACAAACTAAAGCAAGTACGGTACTATTGGACTCGTCATTCGGCCAATGCAGAATATATTTTGTAAGTTGAAGATCATACTGGCACGTAGAATTAAGAATTTGTTATGTACTGTGGAGTCTGGATATTTAATGCACATATTTTCCAATTAGTATATTTTACTGCTTCAACTAATCCAACATATCCTATGAACCATTTCATAAATTGACCCAGCTGAGTTTCCTCAGGATGGCGCTGGTAACAGAGTAAAGCAATGGCTGCAAGTGTACGTGACGAGGGGAGTCTACTCCGGAGAGTTGGAACTTTCCTCCTCTCCCGTCCTCGGAGATTGGAACATCTCCGTGTCCGTGGCTGGCCAGTCCTTCTCCCAGAGTTTCCAGGTGGCGGAATACATCCTACCCAAGTTTGAGGTCACCGTAGACGTGCCCAAACACGCCACATTCAAAGACTCTAGAGTGGTCGCCACTGTGCGAGCCAAGTAAGTATGGCTGGACATTGTCAGTTATGGAACATAATTTACATCTCTCAAGCATTCTCATGATAGAAACAACGAATCAATAATCAAATCATCATTTATTTTAATTCACAATTTACAATCATGTAATACCGGTAGACATGTTCAGATACTGTAATTTTTACAGTCAGCACAGACTGTACAGCATTCTTAAGCATGATATGAATTATTTAAATGTTACAGTATTAAGCATGCAAGTCTTACGAGATGATACATACATGCACAAATCTAGAAAAGATAATGAGAAATTATAAGATTGGTACACCAAACTCTAAATATCTCAGGATAACAAATAACAACCAGGCTAAATTAAACATAATCACATTCAAAACCACATCATTTTGTGTGTGGCTAGTTCTAGCTAGATTGTTTAGTGCGTTTGTCTAATAAATCAATTCAAACTAATTATACCAGATACTCATATTAACATTCTTTACTGTACAAATCTTGTAAACATGGGCGCCCATGGGGGTGCAAGGGGGTGCACTTGCACCCCCATGGTAAAAAAAAGAAATAATAATAAATTTAATACCCATAATGTTTTTTTCTAACTATTGTGCCTTCACCTAATGTCTGCCTTGTAGTACAACCTATGCAATTTTGTAATGTTTTGGTAACTTTCAAATGGTTGTTTATACTTCTTGACAGTGATAAATTCTGTGATATTAGTTTTAGACCAATTTATATAACTTAAAATGCAATTATTTTTTTCCTTCCTAGACTTCGTAAAGTACACTTTGTAACACACATCTGCTCTGCATGAACAATTTTTGACTCTTCCAATAAATTTGTAATACAGCATTGTATTTGTAATACAATTTGTAATTTGTAATAAATTTGTATACAGTGCATATTTTTTGACTACTACCCTCGGTAGTGTATTCCAACTTAGGTTGGGTTTGTGTATTGTTAGTTGTAATGTGTTAGTTAAGTTTTTTTCACCTGAAGACGGGATCAGATTCCAGATCCCAAAACGTTGTGTATTGTTTTTTACATTCGTGATGGAAAATGTCCGTAATAAACCTTTGAACAAAATTTGTAATGTGTCTACAGGAAATAAACATGTCTTATGTTATTAATTTGTTATGTTGATATAAAAAACGATGACATACCCTCCTTGATGCACGATATACTATTTTGTTTTGGTTCTATGTGTTAACAAATAGCGTAAAATACGTTTTAAAACACTATATTTTCAGAAATTTTCTCCTGATGTTTGTTAGACCTATTTATTGAACCCCCTGCTACAAATCCTGCGGGCGCCCATGCTTGTAAAGAGTAAATGCTATCAACCCCTTAGGTTGTTGCAACATCCAAAAGGCTAGCAGTTATGTAGTTTATCAAAGTAATTATAGTGAACCAGACCAAATAATTCTTGTAATTGTTTCCTCAACAAAAGTAAATATCAGTTGTGCAAATGTACAAAAAATGGAGTAAGACAAAACCATTTTTGTTTGTCGATCTTTAAAATTTTGATTTCAGGTATACTTACGGCAAACAAGTGAAAGGAGAAGCCACGATCAGTGCTTACCCAGCCTACTTCTCCTCTGTTCTGCAGCCCATCTTCACGGCTCCTGTGCGCAAGGTGGTGAATATTGACGGAAAAGCAGTGGTTGAGTTTGACATTGTAAAGGAGTTGAGGTAATCTCCCAGAAAATCTTATAATCATTTATGAATGTTACAATGTTTTGGTTTGTTTTCCGCCATGGTTATAACAGTATTTTCATTGATGGAACATACTCCCTCATAAATTCAATCAACCTCATGAGCTACTGACAATTTTAAGTTGTCTTTACGTCTAGTAATGCTAGATTGTGCTACTGCCTTAATTTGGTATTATTTTATTAGCTTCAATATGGCCTCTAATTGTGGATATATTTGTGAACTTCTTGTCAAATATTATTACAACCTTAGAGCAAAGTGGACACTGTAACATTTACTCTACAATATAACACAAAGATAAATAGTCAAACTTAAATACAACTAAAATTAATTTTCAGATTTTATCACAAGATAAGAAGTCTACTTACAGTATTTAGTAAATGTTATTTTACTTACACTCAGTATTTAAAGGGAAATAGCATTTGTCTGCTAAAAATTAGAATTTTGCCAAGAGTTTGAATGACACTAACACTGCCAGTCGTAATCCCTTGATTTAGGGGTCACCTTCTGGCTTGTAGAAGTCAAAAAACTTACTTTGCAGTAATCTTCTGAATTAAAATTGAGTGTTGATCAAGTAAGCCACTCGAATAATTTGGTCATGACATTAAAAAATCCAGGTTAAAAACTTCTCGTACTCTGTACAATAGTTGCATTTAAAGATACGATTGTATATACATTTATAGTCACCTTGTTAGTCACTACCTTTTTGAAAAATTATACCCATTTGAGATTGATTTGACAAACTTATTTCTCTAAATCCGTAAGCATGTATTCCACAGATTGACTGATGAGTATGAGAGAGCCGTACAGTTTGACGTGGCTGTAGAGGAAGCTCTGACAGGCCGCAGACAGAACGCTAGTGCTCAAGTGATGCTGCATAAACACAAATACAAACTGGAACTCATCAAGACTTCAGCCTACTTCAAGCCTGGACTCAAGTACACTGCTTTTGTAAGTATATCAAGGATATTCTACTCTTAAAATGTTGTAAAATATGTAGCTAATATTGCAATCCCTAACCCTACCTGAGTAACGTTTTTACGCTTATACTGTTACTCACAAGACGGTAAACAAAAAAGATGGTAATTAGTGGTGATCGATTTCGATTGAACACTACAATCATCATCAGACCTAATAGGCGAATTAGATTATTTTTACTTGTAGGGACAGTTTCAAACAGTTTTCTTGATTCTTTTTACATCTGCATATCCGAAACCCCTTTAATCACCGTAAACCTTTATCAACACACAGTGTCCTGTGGTTTGACCTCACAATTAAGATAACATTTTTTACAACGTGGACGTTTGTTATAATCTAACTGGCAATAATGGTACAGATTAAACTGACTCATCATGATGGATCACCAGTCCAGGATAGAACCAACCCAGTCAAGGTGAGGTGGGGTTTCTCCTACGACCAGGACAGCTACAACGAGACAGAGTACATGCTGAACAACAGCGGCCTGATAGAGCTCATCTTCTACCCCCCTGTCAACAACGTCACCAACCTCGGCATCGAGGTAAGTCTACGTTGGATTACACACTTGGCATAGAGGTTGGTCTATGTTGGGTCATGTAAGGGCCGGGAGAGAGTCAATGCAAATTTTGTTCATTCATGTGGACTGAGAACATAAACATAAACATAACACCAATAGTAGTGGCCACTAGAGAACTATGCTCTATCATTAGCCTACTCCAGATTGTTAAGGCGTAGTCTTATAGAGAATGTAATTCTTAGGTTTTAGTTTTCTACAAAAACCTTTTCTTCGTTTTAATTCTTGACCAACGCCCGAGTATATGCTTTGTAGTGTAGTCAGAGCCTTGAATAGTCGGGATACATTTTTGTGGTTGTGCTCATACACATGATAGTTTGCATTGCCAAAATACAGTCTGGGTATGCTGGATTTGAACCGGGGAACATATTGCAAAGGTGGTGTTTAGAAAAGACATATTTTGCACTCCAATGGTGCAAGTTTTTTTTCAAATGATTTTGGTTACCCTCAATCTTCTTTTCAAATTTAATATGACTAAACATTTATAAAAATAGTCCCTGGGATACCATACCGCATATTTTCTTTAAAAAACCTTATCAATCAAAGATATCCTCTGTGCTTGAACTAGATCAAATTATTTTTATAGCCAGCAAGTTATTATAAATTAAGTTTATCATTGTTTGATCTGAAAATATATCTGATTATTTAACTCAGAAATTTACACAATACTGAATTAGTAAGGTAAATCTATAAAATCCTTTACCTTGTGTAGCATGTAGTTCTTTGTTACAGGCCCAGTACCTGGACGTCAAAGAATGGTTTTCAACTGTATCAGCTGCTATGTCACCGAGCAACACGTTTATTCAAGCCATCGTCAAAACTGAGAAACCAATGGTACTTTAATTCTCAAATGAAACTCAATTTGATCAAATTAAATCCAAACGGTGATTTATATTTCATAAACAGTGAAATATACGCATTGTTATCATTCTGTCGTTGTTGTAAAAACCATTATGTAAGAAAGCCCATGTGATGTATGGATATCTGTGTCATAAGAAAATAGGTAAAACCGTTGTGTCATATATACCTTCTGTAAGAATCTGAATATAACAGGCATTTCTTATAAATAAAAGCAAGCAAATAAGCTGATAAGAAATGTGTGAAAACTTTTAACTTTAAACAGTAAACAATAATAATTCAATTTTAACTAATGAAAAAGTACATTAAATTTATATACTTTTCATGAATATCCTGACCCTGACTCCTAGCCTATAGGTTGTGCAACAATCCCATTACAAAGCGATATGTTTGATTTGATTTATCGTTGACAGGTGAATGAAGATGTGGAGATTGAAGTTAACTCAACAGTGCCGCTGAAGTATGTCAGTTACCAAGTTTTGGGCCGAGGAGACGTCATCACAGCTGCAACTGTCCCTATCTCACGAGAGGAGACCACCACGACCTGGAGGTTAGACTAGCCGTGTTACTTGTCAATGATACCTCAGGATGTACCGGTAGTCATGGCTTTTGGTTTAGGAAATTTTCCAATATTCCCCTCACTTGAGAGGAGTCTTTTCTGTACTCTTGACAGGACAATCCAGAGACCAAACCAAGTCCAAACCCACCATTTTGAGGTCACAGCATTTTCAGATGGATGAAACCCATTTGTAAATGCAACGGCGATTAAACCCTTTGGCCTTCATAAGTGTCCAGTGTTCCTAGTGTGAAATTTGACTATTTGTGTCTGAACCAACAGATACCCTTAACTGGTTATTGTGTTGGAGTTTTTATTTAGCTACACAAGCCATTAATTGTTTGTCTGCAGCAATTAATTATTATAATGAGGGTTATTTCACAGTGCTCTTTTCGTCAATCAATATTTTAATTTATTTGTGTTTCTGTAAATAAACTATGTTACAGTTAAATGTTGACCATAAAAAAAATCAAGCATTGATTCAATGACTAACCCTGACACACATTTGCTGGAGGAGGGATATGAGTGTAATATCAGTGTTTAAAGAATGTAGGTTTGAAAAAAAAAGAAGGATGTTATTGGTAAAGCAATTAAAAACCAAGTGATGTTATGTTTCTCCATCAATTTACCAACTGGGAAACTAGTTGAAGTTACTTAAAAAAAAAATGTTCTGTTGTGCAATACCTGCAGTAAAATGAAAAAAATGTGTACATTGATGAGTAGTGGTTCTACTTTATTGAGGTATGCAACAATTACAAGAGAACATATAAAAAATAAAACTTCTCTCTATCTCTACATTAACATTGTCTTCCCAATTTTGTATTTCTTGAAGTGACATCTCCGAGTTGAAACTTTACACAACGATTAGCTTAGATGTTCACTAATTTTGTCTGAATACTAATTTGCAAAGTATTCACATGGATAGGATTATACCTTAGTTTTATTGTTTGCCAGGTTCCTAGCCACGTATGCGATGGCTCCAGTAGCGCATGTGATTGTACAGTATCTGAGAGATGATGGCGAAGTTGTAGCTGACGCTTTGGACATTGAGTTAGAGGGAGTGCTGCAAAACTTTGTAAGTTTTATGTTTCTTCAGTTTAATATACGTATACCTACCGATATTACAAGAAATATTGATCTGTACGAAAACACTATATTTTAATGTTGAAAGTATAGTTCTAATAGACCATCTAATATCCTTCATTGGGAGAAAATTATCCTAATTGCCTATACAATAATGTTTATCTTGTTTCATAATATCTATGTCTATTTGCATACATGAAGCTTTTGACTTACATGGGAAAGACAATAATGAAATTTAAAAAATGCTATTAACAATCCTGATTATCTGGACAGCTGAGTGTTTAGAATTGTATAGCTTGTACCATTGACTATAATAGTCAAAGGCCTGTACTAAGTGAATACATAGAAAATAAATCTCAATGAATTGGTGTGTTAGATGTCAATGAAAAATTAAATTAAATTAAATTTGACAGTTCACAATACTTTTAGTTCAAAGATTTACTAATGGACTCTGTAAGGTATTAATGTCATGGTAGTCAAACACTTCTAGTCACCACATTAGAATTTAACAGTTTTTCAAAATGCAAAAAACATTTAGGAAGAATGAGATTTCTCTATAACTAAAAAATGTTAAAGATACCCATACTGTTCTCAGGTTGATGTTAGAATAAATCCCTCGGAAACGGAACCTGGTGCGTCAGTAGAGCTGAATCTTGAGGCCAAACCCAACTCTTACATCGGACTGTTGGGAGTGGACCAGAGTGTGACCTTGCTCAAAACTGGCAATGACATTGAATATGTGAGTTCAGTCTGTAAATTGACAGTAAATACAGGTTGCACATTGGTTTACATTGGTTATACAATTTATACCTATGAATAATTTTAGTTATAAAGACTATTCAGGATTTATGAAGGGTTAAATTAAGTAATTACTAAGCTTAATTCAGTGGATAGAAATAATTATCTTTATTTAGATTTGTTGTTGAGTATTCAATTTATTATTTTTATCATACTTACGATGAAGAGGGATGATTAATTTCAATAGGACATATAAAGATTAAATTTTCATCCACAACACATTTTAAACGTATTGACTTTACGTAGTAAATTAATAGTTTAACATGTTGATGTTCTCTAGGAACATGTTCTGCAAGAGATGAGGTCGTACGATGCCAGTGACTCGTCCCAGTTTCTGCCGCAGTTTGACAACTTGAGGCAGCGAAGGTCTCTGTTTTGGTGGCCTGGATCACTCACTGCTCAAGAGTCATTTGAGGTAAATCTGCAGAGATGCGTGTATAAAAAAAAAACAAAAAAAGTAAAATATATTTCTTCTTTGCAGAGCCAAATCAAAGGCGCTAAGCCATTTTCTAGCTTTCCTCATACTATGAAGATTGGGTACGGTATCAATAAGTCCTCAAAGGGCAATTATTATTGATTGTGTGATCCATAGTATAACACTCCACACGAAAGCTTCATGACATATCATCTGTTATTCCCATTTTTATCTCTGATATTTACATCTACCTACCTCGTTATAAAAGCAATTGAGCATTATCCAATTAACTCAACAAAATATAAAATTGCTGCAAACAGTACATAAGAGGATGGATGGGTGGATTAATAATGACTTGGTAACTTTAAATAAATGATAACAGCTGATTTTTATTTTTGAAGTTTAAAAATGTTAGAGAATTGATTGAAAATCAATAGGAAAACGATCTAATTACTCAGATAACAACAAGTTATAGTTGATGGTTATTTAGATCAATTTTCTGTAGTTGGTTCAAAATTTAACTTTTGTTTGGTTTTACAGAAATCTGGAGCTGTTATATTGACAAACGGCTACGTCTTTGAACACTTCCCATGGCGTAAGTGTATTTTAAGTATACTCATTTTGTAGATATTTATTTAAGTTGTGGAGGTCTCTTACTGATATAAAATATATTTCTGCAGGCTTAAACTGAAAATCAAACCTTGATAAAATCATGTTGCCTTAAGTTGTAAGATGTTGTTGTGACCCAATAAGTCCTGTATGTTTGCATTTGTTTTCATCAACAAGTGATCTTAATAAACCTGTCGCTGCACTGACATAGTTCTTAAATAACAATGCTGAGACATGTTTTGTATCTTCAACTTTTATGGCAATAATGTAGCGTTAATAGTTCTCAAAAAGTGTATACCACCCATATGTTTGATTGTTTACCATTATTTACCAATATGGGAATCAAACATTTTTTCTAATAACACAAAAACTCGAATAAACAAAAACTATGGTTCCTCCAACGAAATAATATTTATACCATAAAAACTTATTGCTAATATGTCAAACCAAAATAAAACTGCTGCCAAGTTCATGGGTTTACAAAATAAAGTGCAGTAATATGATCAAACTTCTCATAAATATTTTTTCTAGTTAATCATATTCATCATATTTTAAGTATTTAATACTACATAAAGTTAATGTTGTTAAAGCAGCAACTTAAGTAGTTACTAACTATAAATAACTAAACACCATTAGACAAGTCTTAAACCTTATTTAGAGTTGCTTTGGCTTGTGTAAGTGCACTCCTAACAGCTTAACTTGAAACCATAAAGGCAGCTAACAAAGTTTACTTAGCAGGTACTATGTTGATTTGTTTGTCCTTAATTAACCATAACCAATAAAACTATTTTAAACATGTATTACTCTTTGTCTATGTCAACTGCATTTGTTTTGATCGTTCAATAGCTTTGCTTGAAACTGAAGCACAAACACATTAATGTGTCTATTATGTGAAAGTAAATACCGGGAAAACAATAAGTGCCAACTACATTTCGTTTGCTTTATGTGTTACAGATGTGTTCAAAGTTTTTTTTTTTTTAGAATCCATCCAAATCTATCTTGATCTTTGAAAAATAAAGATTAGTATGGTATTTAACACATTCGCTGCTACAGACGTTCCGGAACGTCAGCCGGGCCATGGTTCCAGGAGCTAGGAAAGTTCCGGAACGTCACCGTTCATTGTTGTTAAACGTTTCCATGGATCAGTCAGCTCGTCATGAGCGTCCTATATTTCTTTGCAGCTCGTGGGGACGTACTTTTCTGACAATAAAAAATATAGTTTCCCAAAATCACCACCAGGGTCGTTTAGAACAGGGCTTTGTCCCACCTCTTTCCTGCTAGATAGCGACACTACTTTACCGACTGCAACCTGAGTAGTGCTGCTATCTATCAGAATCATTTAGTACTATGTCCAAAGCCAGTTTTATTGCAGAACATTGCCACCCAGTATAACTAACTACTGTTGTTTTTACTGTAATTCAGTGTATCGGCGGCAATGTTTCGCAGCGGCGAGCATTAGTTCAGCTCCTGGCGCCACCCCGGCTTCTAACGGTCGGCAGCGAACGTGTTAAAGTAGTAGTGTACTTTTGGAAGGATGTGTTAATAAATGATTTTTAAACATTTTTTCTGACACTTAAGGTAGAGGAGAAAAATTATATCTAATTCAGTAGGCCCCCTACAGTTACTACTAGTGAGTGATGTGTCGGCATCTCTTTTTCATAAACAGTACCAATATTTCTTATAGGTATACCTGACAAAAATCGTTTCTCAGTTCTCGGTACTACCACGAGATGATTATACGATGTTAATGCGATAGATTTTTTAATTTGTCTGTGGTTTCAAAATTTCAAAATTGCATAACTAATGTAAGTAAATGAACAAAAGAGTAACTTGGCACCAAGAGACAAAATTACTGTCGCTATGACACAATTTGCCCGATACCACAGTGTGTAGTCATCATTGCCAAACATGCTTCGCTGCCAATAGCCCTAAGCCCTGTTGGTACTGGATTACCTGATTCCTGATTATTAAGTCATTTGATTGTTACATTTATAATTGATGTACTTGTAAAGTGCAGTTTAAAACCCCCTGTGACTCTACTACTATATTCTTGATACAGTTTTGTGACAGATACCGTTTGTGCACAGTTTATTACAGAACGATGGCAGGCCCGGAAATGTCAGGGATAATGGATGATGGTTTGGATCTATTATCAGCAGAGAACCTTACTCCGTTGTCCATTATAACTAACGAAGTGGGAACTCAAACTCCAAGGGTTCGGGCCAACTTTCCCGAAACTTGGCTTTGGCAAATGATAGAAGCAGGGTAAATTATACTTAAATATTCTGATGTGATTATTTGGTTATAAAAGTATTTTATGTTGATCCTTGTGTATTATGTTGCTTTTATTAACATGGTGTCAGGTGTTTTTGTTATTTATATAGTTTGGTTTGGTTTTTATTGTGTGCACATTAAATCCTCGGGACTATAGTTTATTGGAATTACAGTCTTAATTATCTGATCTTCATTGATTCTGTGTTATCCGACCCACCCAACTAATGATCAAGTACCTTGATATTGTGTGCTTTTTTCATGTGTTATGACTGTGTAGTGTATACTATAACGGGTATGTCAAGACCCATTTTACCCCAACTGTATATTTTCAGATTATGGGCGTCAGGCTTTAGTTATCTACAGGGTATTTCAAAATGTAAGAGCAGATTTGACATGTTTTAACGTTAAAATCTGCTCTTTCATTTTGAAACACCATGTATTCTATTGTACTTTATGGTCGTTTTAACCCTTCCCACGCGGCAAACGCATATATACGCAGGCCTCAAATTTTGCCGAAACGCGTAATCCGTATATATGCGTATCTTCTTTATTTATAGTCTGTAGTTGGTGTAACGTCCGCTAGAGTTCAGGGTTGTATTGGTTTGTGTTCCGCTGATATTGCCGAGTGCACCCGAATCACTGTCAAGGTCGCTGGCTCACTAGTGGTGGGGAGGGAGGGGGTTTTGTTTGTCGCCGCATGGAATTTTCCGTGTCTGTGCGGTAGTCCCGCGCTAAGTCCGCATATATACGCACGCCACGTACTGCTGCTATTTAGCGAGTTTCTTTGTTTGCGTTGAGTCCGTACGGCGGATATTTAGTGAGTTTTATTGCTTGTGTTGTGTTCCGTGTGCTGTGTGTTATTTTCTTTATTTGTACAGTTATGTTTTTCTGGGGTTTCTAGCCAATAATTTTTTCTTATAATTGAAAATGGCAAACCCTGATGACCCGGACTTCAACGTCTTTGTAAATGATCTAATGAATGCTTCTTTTTCGTCCGCATATGTTGATATGGATATAGATGACAGTGACCGTGAGGACGCGCTAATATATAACAATCCTGGTGAAAGTGAAAGTGACGGAGAAGTCAGTCAACCCCCTCAACCTCTAGCACTGCCGCTGGATTCACAACCACCTGTCACACCCCTTCAACCTCCAGCATTGCCCGGCTCCACAACTGATACCAGTCACACCACCTATGATGACCTTATAAATGATATAGGCCTAACAAATACTTCCTTCTCGTCTATAATTGATGTTATGGAGATAGATAGTGACCGTAAGGACATTTCTGTCACATCACCGCCGGTTTCACTACCGACACCTGTGACACCGCTGCCGACTCCACTACCAACACCTGTGACACCGCTGCCGGCTCCACTACCAACATCCGTGACACCGCTGCCGACTCCACTACCAACACCTGTGACACCGCTGCCGGCTCCACTACCAACATCCGTGACACCGCTGCCGGCTCCACTACCAACACCTATCACAGACCCTCAACCTCCAGCTAGGGCCAAGCGGTCTCGTGGTGTCAAACGAGCACCTGTGACACCACCGGCTCCACAACCGACACCTGTCACAACCCCTCAACCTCCAGCTCCGGCCAAGCGGTCTCGTCGTGTCACACGAACACCTGTTACACCGCCACCGGCTCCACAGGCCCAGCCTCCACCCGACTCTGCCGACCTGCCTACCGCACAACTCAGCGACTGGGTTGACGTCACTGATAACGACCCTGGCCCTTCGCATACCATCCCGATATATTCGGTAAGTGCTGGACCTGTACTTCCTGCCGCGTTCGATAGCGAGTCAGAGCCCATTGATTATTTCAAATTGTTTTTCAACGATAACATATTTGATCTTATTTGTACTGAAACAAACTTATATGCTAACAAGCGGAAAGCTCAGTGTAATTCACCCCGTGGTAGAATAAACACGTGGAAGGACATCACCCCTGTTGAACTGAAAGCCTTTTTTGCAACTATAATAAATATGGGGTTGATTCCACTACCGTCTATTGAATCCTACTACTCGACTACCTGGATAGGGCGAATACCTTTTTTCAGAGACGTGTTCAATAGAGATGAGTTCTTGAATATTTTCTGGAATCTCCACTTCAATCACAAGGATACCAACAATGCAGTGCCCAGGGGATTTCTTGTTTCACCCATAGTCGACCATATGAAAGAAATGTGTAGGCTTTTTTATAACCCCTCAGAACACATTTCAGTCGACGAGAGCACCATTTCCTTCAAAGGAAAAGTTAGTTTTAGGATCTATAACCCAAACAAACCAACCAAATTCGGTTTGAAGATCTTTGTTGTGTCCGATAGCAAGAGTGGCTATCTATATGATTTTATCCCATATTACGGAAAGGAGACACTAATACCAGACACAACATTGCTAAAAACAACACAGATTGTAAAAGTATTAGCCCAGTCTGTTGCTATGAAAGACCCTGTTTCACCTGCTACTGGTCTCCACGTTTACACAGACAGATATTACACGAGTCCTGAAATAGCAGAAGAGCTATTAGGTATGGGATGTTTCCTTACAGGCACTGTAATGCCAAACAGAGTTGGTTTACCACCAAGATTGAAAGCTATTGGTAAAGGCCTAAAAAAGGGGGAAATTGTTTCCAAGCGAAAGGAAAATACACTGGTACTTTCTTGGAAAGATAAGCGCACTGTACACATGCTAAGCACTTTTTCCAAGGGTAGCAAACATAATACGACGGATGTCCCAAGCAAGTGGCCGAACAAGCCACCAACAGCAAAACCGCATGTTATCCTTGATTACATAAAACATATGGGAGGCGTTGATCACACCGATCACTTTATTTCATCTTACCAGTTTATGCGCCGAACTAGAAAATGGTATAGAAAAATGTTTTTCTGGCTTTTTGAGGTGGCTATTGTGAACTCGTACATTATGTACAAAGACATACAACAAAAGCACAACAAAAATCCCATGTCACATAGGCAGTTCCGCACATGCTTGGTGAAGTCCTTGGTAGAGGAAAAACTCGCTAATCGTCCAATAGCACGTAAAAGAGGCCGTCCAGTCTACGGGCCACCGAATCAACGGTTAGATGGAAACCCACATTTTATGGACAGAAAAGAAAAGGGAGCTAATCGGTGTGTGGTGTGTTTCAAAAATGGACGCCGCCGCGAGACAATCTACTTCTGCAAGACTTGCGACTCCCGTCCGGCGCTTCACCCAGACACCTGTTTCGAGCAGTTCCACACGATGGCTGAGTACTAGAACTTTATAATGTTTTTGTTGGACCCTAACATTGTTTTTAGTGATTTTTTATGAACTTGGCATTGTATTCCTTTTTATAATATTCTGTTTCAAAACTGTTTAGAAATACTTTTTTTCAATTTTCAATTTTTGTACGTTTATTTATTTTTTTTTTTATTTTATTTTTTTTTTTTTTTCGTTTTTGTATGCTAATATTGTCTTTTGTATCAATTTTACAACAATACTGCATTTTTAATTTTTCTCTAAACAATTACAAGTAAACAAAATAGAAAAATAAAATAATTTCTCATTTTGTATGTAAAACTTTAAAATTCGTGTAAAATATATTATATTGATTTTTTTTCTTTATGCTTAGTATTTTTTTTATCCTTGGATATGTCCAAATGTAGAAGTAAAATTCGCCAGTAAAAAAAAAAAAAAAATAAAATAAAATAAATTCCGCTGTTGGGGTTTAGGTGAGGTAAATGATATTCCGCGTGGGAAGGGTTAACACTGTATGCTCACAGTTCAAAAATTCCTCTTATACTTGCATACCTCTCTGCTACCACCACATCTTAGCCAATATGAAGCTATGGGGACCTATAGCTCAGTAGACATGGTTGAGGTTGAGATTCAAGCCTTGAATATCATTGGGAGAAACTACCTATTGATTCAATGATTTTTACTATTGTGTTACAATGGTTTTTCAACCTTTCCCCTTATCCAAAATTGCCGCGGCTGATTTAGGTCCGATAATCAAGACTCTAATTTACTGTCAATGAATATATCTTGTGGAGACAGCTTATTCTCAAATATGGTAAATATGTACATAAAAACTGCTCTCTTTCAAAAGCCCTTACCAACTATTGGATACTAACTCTTTTCCCTTTTACAATGCACATATTGCTTGTTGCGTATTGGCTTGCATATTGAAGGGTGGTGGCGGCCTCAAGTTTACAGGTTGTTGGATTCTGCCAGGTGTACGAGGTGCTTGCTGACACAATCTTGATGAAACATGTGTTTGGTAGGGAGCTATAGCGGGCGGGAAGACGGTCTGAGGGCATACAACCGACCGGCAAACCGTCCTATACCACTGCCCGGTTCCCCCACATTCAAGTCTGACCTGGGCCCCGCTGTGGTGTACCGACCGGTCACCAGGCCTCCGTTGGCGGGGCCTTACGCATTCTCCCGCATCCCCCCACCGCATTGGACCGGCCCCCACATACATCTACCGCATGACATTGCCAACACTTGGTTGTTTGCCAATATCTCTTCTGGGTATGCACTACTCTCCTTCCTGCTCTGTCCTGTACCTATACTAATGAATGTGAAAAAATCAGGTTCAAACACGTGCATCAGCCTTTGGGCTGTAAGCAGTGGTTGAATAAAAAATTCAACTTGTTTATCTTAGACATAAAATTGCTAAAGGTTTTGATGTACATACCGGTACATGTGAGAGACAAGGCATTAGAAGGTTAAAAATCTAGCATTGCTCAAACTAAACATACAAAGTGGCAGATTCTGAGCTGATGTAGATAACATGCAGCAAAACCTTTTTGACTTATTTTGAAATGTAGAGTCTAGTTATGTACCACATCATGCTTAACTTTTTTTAGGAGTATTTTTTATCAAGCAATATATTATGTTTATTAATAAATGTTCCTCAAATTAAAACACCCATTTTGCTATGTGTGTTTGTGAAAAGATGCTACACTTTATTTCTTCAGAAGATTATATATGCTGATTAAAAAAAACAATTATACCTTGTAATTTAATACATCTTAGTATAATACTGGTACGTTTTATCATAGACAAAAAGAACGAATATAGACTGTCAAAGGAAGGTTCCGCGATGTGCCGCTAGGAGTGCCGTGTAGTTACGGTGCACACCGCTGAATTGAGGAGCCGTATGCTACCAGCAGACGCGGTAGCAGTGTGCACCGTAACTACACGGCACTCCTAGCGATGGATGCCGGAACATATGCTAACCGCAGCACTGCTGTCGGTCTATATTTATTCTATTTGTCTATGGTTTTATGTAGGTTTAGTAAGATAATTAGTTTTAGAATGCACAGCTATAGGTCTACACCACCTAATTGATTAGTGCTATCATGAAAGGACTGTTCTTAAATCATAAAACAACTTTACAACTGCAGGTCAAATATAGATATTAGTATTTAGTTTTTGTAGAGAAATCTATAATTTTGGAATTTATCTAGCCTATATGGTTGTTTTACATTTAAGGACATGTCCAATGATTTGCACCCAGCATGGATTTTTGGGATGCTTTCAGTATTGCATGAAACTGTTATTTTTTAAATTATTGCATAAAGAATAATATGAAGGATGTTTAAATAGTGTAAACAGTTAGTTCAAAATAATTGCTTGGTATATTAGTTTAGCTTATTTCATAAACATTTGATTCCATAGATATGGTTTTGTTTTAAACAATACAAGTAGATCACAAAAACATATATTTTATATTTCATAATATCAAATATGTAAGAAATATGGAAAGTCTTTTATGCATTGTATTTAAACAATTTTTTTGTATGATTGAGATGCAGATTGAAAAAAATCTTACCAGACACCTTTTTTGCAAATCCTACTTAATAACTTTTTTTACTGTTCACAAAAGTATTTGTAAAAGAAAAGGTATTGCGCTCAATCTATCGTTATTTACAGACCATTAAACAATAGTATCTTCCTCTTGTATAAAAAAAAACACACATCTTTTCAATTTGTAAAGCTATTTGATTACTAAGTTCATTGACCTTCGGTCAGCTGATTGTGTAATGTTTCACCAGGACCAATGGACGAGTAGCTCTGCGAAAAACAGTTCCTGACACTATCACATCCTGGATGATTACAGCGTTCTCTGTGGATGGACTCTATGGTCTGGGACTGTTAGATCGACCAAGAAAGGTATAGAGCACGGACGGATTTTTACAAACGATGTGTCAAAATTAAGTATTTTTTGTGTAGACGCTCCCTTTCACCAATTCCTGTAATAAAAGTCCTTGGACTTTGCCCCACAGGCCATTAAAATCCCAACGTACTTCTTATGAAGAAGAGATTTTGTTTACTTAAACAGACGAATAATTTGTATTAATTACAGCTGTTCATAGAAAACACATGATACACACAAGAGCGTTCGTTTTCAGAGTGAGTTCGTTTTTTAGTTTCGATAACTGGAGTGGAGTGATTGATACATTATCTTTGAGTTGACGCTTTTAAGTCATCGGAAATTATGACTGTTATTTGTTTTGAAATACGCCTTTAATACTTTACAATTGCTCGGATTCGAGCAATAGGTGCACTAGCTATAGCTAGTTTATAATATATGATGCTAAAAGCTATCAAATACTGACAATTCTACTTTTCATTTGCTCTCAGGGTTTTCATATGTTAAAAGGTGTTAAAGAGGAAAGCCATGTAGTTTATTAATAATTTTATTTGAAAGGAGTATAACTCAGCAAGCTAGAGGCCTGTAGACACACAAAAAATAACAATAGGGACACATAAACTGATTAGTGGTATATTTTAAATGGTAGAAAAAGGAGGATAGCAGCTAGCTTACCTTGAAAGAAGTGTGGGTAGGCCATAGAACAAGTAGAAAAATATTTTGCACACAATATTTCGTCCCCTAAGGGACTTTGTCAAGTGTAGAGAGAGTTTATAAATTACAAGATCACTGGTAATTTATAAGAGAGTTTATCTTGTAATTTATAAACTCTCTCTACACTTGACAAAGTCCCTTAGGGGACGAAATATTGTGTGCAAAATATTTTTCTACTTGTTCTATGGCCTACCCACACTTCTTTCAAGGTAAGCTAGCTGCTATCCTCCTTTTTCTACCATTTATAATCCTGGCCTAGAGCCTTTCCTTAAACAAAACTGATTAGTGGTATAGTATGTTACTTTTGGTGAATAACCCCTGGACTCAAATTGTCTCATGTGATCTAATTCAACTCCACCCTTAAAAAATAACACAAAAAAATAAAAGTTAGAGCAGTCATCTTAAACATCCTTGGCATTTATGTTGATATTTAAAAATTAAGAACCAATAGCTAATATTTATTTTATTTATGTATAGCTGCGAGTGTTCAGACCCTTCTTCCTCTCCCTGGATTTGCCGTACTCTGTGATCCGAGGTGAGATTGTTGCGATCCCCGTGGTCGTGTTCAATTACATGGACAGAGACGTGGATGCGGAGGTCACTATGGAAAGCTCAGATCAGTTCGCATTTGCTGATGACTCCAACGATGTCAATGACGTCCCATGTAAGATATTATACACTAAAAGAAATGTTTTGTAAAATATCATTGTGTATTCACAGAAAGACAAATTCGGTGTAGTTCTCAATAGAGTGAAGTTTTACATCTAAAACCTTGTGTGCAATTCATGCTCATATTTAAAAAAAACACACAAAATGTGTAATTGCAACAGAAGGCAGATTAAAATAGTCTAATGAAATTAAATGTTATACAGCTATAAATAATTTGATGATGTGATGATAATAATTTAATGATCAACAGCCAAACACTGTATGTAACATCAGTATTTTTAGATTATGAACATATTTTTCTTTTACATATAAAAGGATACACATTGCAGAATGGCAAAATCCTTATTATTAACTGTGGGTCAATCTCATCACAAGTTATTACTTCAAAGTTACCCAAAGATTCTAATGACTTTCAGCCAAGGTGCGAGACAGGTATCGTAAGAAGCGCTTCCGGGTGAGAGCCAATGACGGAGCTAACACAGCTTTTATGATCACTCCAAAGGAGATTGGCTACATCAGCATCAAGGTGACAGCGACCAGCGCAGTAGCTGGTGACACTGTGGAGAGGAAACTGCTGGTCAAGGTAAAAACACAGAAACAGCGTAGGTAAACATTGTTTAAAATTAGGGACGTAAAAGAATGATGTAGCAATGTCATGGGTTTGAGTTCTCATTATACTGTGTATTCAGTGTATTGTAATTCTTTATTAGTGCTTGAATTGTCTAATCACCTACTTCCACACATCAGAGATAAAGGCGCAACAAAGAAAACCCAACTTATAAGTGGTTTTAACTAAAACTCAAAACCAACATCATTATTTTAAAATTTCATATGAATCACAGATACTATACACAATTGGTGTAATGTAAGCTATAAACCTTGTACTCTGCTAAAAATCTGATTTATTCCAATAATAAAAAAAAACTCCTGGACAAAACAAAACACTAAACATGAAATTAATCCCAACAACATGTTTATTCTAGCTGTTTGACTCCAAATCACTTTCCACCATCAAACTTCCATTTAACATCCATACATGCACCTTACATTATTCTCTTTTTATTTTAAACTCAATACCTTAAAGCCATAGAAAAAGGTGAAGATAACTATGAGGGATCTACCTCTTACTTTTAGGTCTACCGTCTACCAAATATTTTTAAGGTAGCACTAGAGGACCCATGCTGCTACACAACGTTGAGATAAATATCATATCCGAGAATTAATCAAAATTATGATTTTTGTTTGAGTAATACAGTAGCTTGAACTTAACTGATTCAAACCTCAATAGTTTAAATTAAAGCCTATAATTTACTGATTATTTTGAGTCTAAAACGTAAAAAACCCCTAAACAATACTGGAACTATTGATTTTGAATCAAAGAAAACCCTTATAAAAAATAATTTTTATGTTGGGTGAACAACCAACATAAAAGTTATTTTTTATAAGGTTTTGCGTTTGCTTCAAACTTGTCTGATTTGAATAACTAAAATCTTAAATGAAAGCCGATATTTCATTGAAGTTTCTTAGACCAAAATATATAGGATTATATAATTATAACTGGTGAAATACATCTTAAATTTAAGTATGAATTAAAATATAAATCAAACTTATGTTTTTTGGTTGAGTAATATATAAGATAAATATATGTCGTTGCTTTATGTGAAATCTGTGCGTGCATACCTTCAATTTGAGATCTCAATCATGAAAATCAGTTGGGTGGAAGAGCCAAACGAACTCCGAAAAGAAAAACCAATTTTTTTAAATATATAAGAATTTTTTTTTAAGAGGTTGGCGGCCTCTTTTAATCTTGCATTTGCCCGTCCACATAGACTAAGCGCCCGTGCGTGGATCGTTTACAGCAAAGCAAGGAGTGAGCCGGTACAGTACAAAGGTGAACTGTACTGATAAAATGTTATTGGCAGTGACCAGGATCCGAACCCACGACATCGCTGCCTTGGGCCCGAAGTCCGCGACGCTACCGACTGAGCCACCGACTCACTAAATATATCAGTAGGAGATATCAGTAGCCTATTATGTTAAATCTGCAGGTCCCATGTTTTGAATGATAAAATGTATATTTTCATTATTGGATTTTTTTAGTCAAAGGTTTAAGTTATATTCTGTGTACAGCCTGAAGGAGAGACACAATACAAGAACAAGGCTGTATTCATTGACTTGAGGAACAGCAATACATTCAACCAGAACATCACCCTGGATATGCCAGCTTACATCGTGCCTGGCAGCGAACGGATAGAGGTGAACAAAAAGATTAGGAATAATGTTACCGGTACTACAATGCAGTTGAGTTGCATTGAACTAACCAGTAGGAAACCTAATCTTAATAATAGTTTGCATGAGCAGGATGTATTTGATTGGTCTAATTGAGTTTCTTAGCAAAATAGTTCAAGAATAAACAGTGTACCCTAAACAGAATAAACAGGTATCCTGAACGTTGTTTCATCATACTAATAACTTATTTTGTAAGATAGTTTATATGAATATTTTTAACTAGTGGCCTGTAGGGGCCATAGCCCCTAATTTAGACTACAATAAAAAACCATATATAAAAAGACAAATATCCTAAATATGTTTCTAAAATTATCAATTTTATGTTACTTAGAATTAACAGTGTTTCTTGTTTTATATCTTGGTTTTCCTTCCGTTGGAGTCGTATATTAGTTGCTTCTAATGTGTCAATGAAATAGCCTACAATTGTTAAATAATGATTAAATCAATAACACAACATATTACAAATGGAAATGTGCACACGGTTGGCCTGAGCCCGGAGAGCGACGAATCAGAGCTGAAATCATACAGCGAAACATTGCACTTCTTTTCTAATTTAAAATTGAAGATTTGTTTTGTAATCTTACGAATTCTGTTATAGTTTCCATTTTGAAAACCAAATGTAAAGGTTAAAACTATCTATCTATATATTAATAGGCAAGCATGTTTCTTTAAAACCTTTTTTCTCAGCTCGTGTGCATCGTAGGGAAAATCTACGCATACCGTTGGAAAGCTATTTTCCTGTAGGTGTGCAGAATCCCTTTATAAATTTAAATAGGCTCAAAGATAAGCACAAAAAATAAGTTTAAAAGTTGTAAAAAATTAACATGGATCTTATGCGTTGCTATGCTGGTTACGAAATAACAACGAAATATAAACAGAAAATCAAAACAAATGGAGGAAACTCCAATCACATGTTTTATTTACAGTGTGGGGTGAAAATAGTTAAGTGAGTACATTACATATTTTTGGTCGAGTTTCGACCACTGGACGACCTCTCGTTATTAATTATTATGAAGGCAACTCCTAATTTGGCGGTGGTAAGTCAGAAATAAATCTAAGAATTTGTCCCTGAATTTTAAGACAGTAAGGCCCATTTCCCGGAATCTCTTTTTGTGTAGCGGAAAGCAACGCAATAGCCATTGCACTGTTGTACTGACTTATGGTTTTTATGAAGTTCGAATCATGTAAAAACAATTAGTTCGTCATTTAATTGTGCTTGTGGCATGTCCATTGTGGCAACATGCGTTGTAATGTCCATCTGGGGCCTCCTCTGCAAAGTGAAATGCGCCACAATGCATAGATTGTGAGAAACAACTCAACTCATTTTCCAGCGTTCTTCTAAAGACAGGTTGTAAAACAGCTTTCAGATTTCTTTCACAGTTAGGCCCTACATGACGTTCTCTCTTGCATTTCTTAAGTCTGTTGAATTCCTGGACACTCTTCCACGGCTTGCAGGTCTTCCCCTACCCTGTCTAGTTACTTCACTCATTATGGAAACGGAAAACAAAAAAATTAAACACAATTCATTTTAAAACATTATTTACCAACATTGACTTTCGGAATAAATGTAAACATTGCAAATAAATAAGTAACAGCTGATAGAATGCAGACGTTTTTCATTCCCCATGCATTTCTTATGGTGGATATTTTACGTTATATCTCGTTTTCTGGTAACTTTATGGGAATTCTGCTATTTTTCCCGAGTCCCTGGGGTTAAGACCTTTAATTTAAGACCTCTACCACTTTTCTGCGACTTACCAGGCGTCCACAATTTTCTGGTAAAAATTTGGTCTTACAGAATTATATATATAGATTCTTGAAAGTAATAAAATAGTCCTTAACAAGGAACAAAAGTTTCCAAATTGATATTAGGAAGGTTTGAATAACTTGTGTGTTAAAAATCTATGCAAAATAAGTAAACAGAAATAACAATTTTTCTTACAAATATATAACAAAGTGCGATTTTTTGAATTTCTTTCTAGGGAATTGGCTGTTACTGTTGTGAGAAAAAATATTAATCTTACACTACGCAAATAGTATTTGTCAATCATTTTCAAGGCATGTTGAATAAATTCCTCCGTTGTAGTAGCAAACTTTCACTTAGTATGCAGGTTTGATGTGATTTATTGCAAATAGAAATAATAGAACTGAAGATTTGGCTAAACAAAAAGTACCTGAACATAATAGTTTGTGATATAAAGGTTTGCTATTGATCAATGCAAACTGTAAAAACATGTAATAGGTAGAATTGAACCCAGTTGGTGTAGGTATAGCCTTTGGAAAAATCAATCCCAATAGACTTTTTGGTTTACAAGTAACACTTGTCCTTCAAAGATGTTGACACACCCGATTGATTTCAAGGAGAAATTTTAATTTTGTTTGTAATGTTCAGGTTTCAGCAGTGGGAGACATTCTTGGACCTTCCATCCCTAACTTGGCTAACCTGATCAAGATGCCGTTTGGGTGCGGAGAACAGAACATGCTAAACTTCGTCCCCAACATTGTCATCATTGAATACCTCAAGGTTAGCTATCTAAATGCCAGAGACGGTGAGAGCCCACACCATAAATGAGGCTTAGGTCACATGTTGGCCTGACTTGAAGTAATGTGACAAAAAATTCCAGGTCTGGGTCCAACAGAGTAGAGGGGGTTTTTTAGTGAGTAGACTGTGACCAATTCAGGAGTCTCACACTACAGGCTGGCTACCTGTGTGCGTAAAAGCATTTTCCCTCCTCTCCCAAAAAAAAGGTTAGCTATGCAGTGAAACAAAAATGCTTCGTTCTAGACGTTACATCTTCGAGAAATCAAATTGTACAATGTTGGTTGTAAATGTTGCAAGGACAGTTATAAATTGTCAATCCTCGTGTGCGGTGATTGTAATAAAAAGACATTTAAAAAATAATCCTGTTTGCATTTTCAAGTAGGTAGCTAAAGGAAATGGTTTAGTTTTGATGTGGGAACTAACTTAGCAATGGAAAAGCTATATTTTAATGCCTTATTTAAAATTTAAAAAAAATCATGCCCACAAACTTTACCAACAATTTTTAACTGTCCTGTAAGTTTTCTGATGAGGATGATTGATTCCCACCAAATGCATATGTAAAATTTAAACGTATCGCAATAATTCAATCATAACCATACAACTGAGATTCATTCACAAAATTGTCTAGATGGCTGAGTAGTTATTGTGCTTCCCTTCATATCTCAAGGGCACTGGTTCGGTTCTAAGCAAGGTCGATTCTAAACGCCAATGCCATGTTAGCCAAATTAATTAACAATGCTATCTAAAAAAAGGATAAACGTAGTAACAACTAGCAAGACCAGGGTTGTTTGGATCATTCCCCTACAAAAAAACACACACACACACAGACATCACTTCGAAAACCACTTTTTTGGGTCCAGGGGGACCCAAAACGAATATATCCACTCAAAACTCAAACTCGAAAATTTTGACGAAAACAATACTTTCTCCATATACTATGGTATAGGGGGAGAAAGTAAAAAACATAAAACATTCCAATGGGCTGGATAAGCACAAAAAACTTATGTGCATTTTACAATGTGTTTCAGTAATCTCTCTTATCTCTGAAACTTGTTTTTGTTAGTTTTTCAACACAACTCAAACTTATGTGTTACAGTAAATTAGCATTTCACAACTTATAACTAACGATAGTGTTATGTGCTACAGAATACACAACAGTTGACCCAGGCTGTAGAGAACCTTGCATTGAGATATTTGGAGAAAGGATACCAGCAGGAGTTGACCTACAGACATGAGGACGGATCTTTCAGTGCCTTTGGAAAAAGTGATCCTAGCGGCAGTACTTGGTAAAAACCCGTTAAATTATGTTATAATTGTACAACACTTAAACACCATGGTGTGTATTGAACTGTGAAGATGGTGGAAGGATGAGTGGATGGAATTATAGCTTTGTTGCTGACTAAGATCAGTTATTTCTTCAGATCAGGGCCATTCATTTTTAAATGATCAAGGAGAACTAAGTCCAGCTTTTAACCATAAGAATGTATCTGCTACATTGCATCTTACTGCATATACTTGTTTTGCAAACACCAAACTTATTAAGTATCACAATGCCAATAAATTATGTTAAACCACCATCGAACATAGACATATTTTACATGTCAAATACATTCATATATATTTACATTAACAATAATAATAATAATGTTAATAATAATAATATGCTAATTCCTATTCAAAAATGTATTTGATTATCATTATTATAATGGGATCATTAAAATCATCAAGTTAGAACCTTAATAAAACGACACATCTCATATGACACCTTTTAAATGTCAGATTTATAAACCCATAGCAGCCAACTTGTTACCTAGTGTCTTCTTACTTACGTTTTCACTTTTTAAACAATAATATTCTATAACCACTTCTGAATCACAGGTTGACAGCGTTTGTGGCCAAGTCGTTCCGCCAGGCACAGCCTTACATCTCCGTGGAGGAGCAGGTGATCATGGATGCTCTGCAGTGGTTGTCTGACCATCAGGCAGCCAACGGGAGCTTCCCTGAGGTGGGCACTGTGAGCCACAGAGCCATGCAGGGCGGCGCAGCCAACGGTCTGGCACTCACAGCCTACACACTCACTGCCTTCCTGGAGAACACAAGGTGAGCCTAGAAAACTAAAATACAAATAAAAGATGGCATCCTCAATTAACCTTAAATTTTCCTGTTTATACTTTACTTTTTATACTTTTCTTTGAAATGGCGACCATACAAAGTAGGTATTTTAAGCCAAGTATGAATGGAGATGAGTGTATGATGAGTGGCGTGATCTTGTAGTCTTGTTAGTGACTAAGGCCGACATATTCCTTAGACACAGCTGTTAATTAATAGCCCATCATACAGCTAATGGCGACTAAGGGACCTACAGTTTGTAGTGGAATCCGAACCACATTTTTTCCTTGATATATACAAATTGGTCTAATTATCAGGATAGTACTGCGGATAGTTATAGTACTCACCCGTGCGGACGTTTACATACACCTCTGACCTGTGCGTAGAATGTATCAAGCAAAGGTAGGGGTGAGCCAATACAGTAGAGTGAAAGGTACTGATACAGTGGCACCAAACAGTAGATTGAATCCAACCCAGATTCACTTTATGTGATGTTTTCTAAAATATATTTATCTGATGCAGGTAAAGACACAAAACTTTGAAACATTTGAACTCTTTGAGATACAGTACTATACAATAATACAATCCAATATTCTTTATTGTTAGTTAAGAATTACAATAGTGTCAATACAATAGTGAATTGTACATGTTAATTTCCATAATTTTCATAAAATTCTTTTATTTGGTAGAAGGGTCTTGCGATTAGCCACTTCTTCAACTCCTGGTGTAGCTTGTTGCCAGTCAGGTCTCTCAGGTAGTCAGGTAGATGGTTCCTCAGTTTGCAGCCGGTGTAGGAAGGTTTTTTCTCCCAAAGAGTTGTTCGGTGAACTGGTAGGGCAAATTTGGAGCCATGACGGGTGTTCTAGTGGTGCAGGTCTTGGTTTCTTGGGGGGTTTATTTCATTCACATACTTTATGGTTTCAAGTATGTAGAGAGACACCATTGTGAAGATTCCTAGGTTTGCGAATGCTATAATACTATCTGTGGGAGTGTTTTGTTTAACATCACAAGATAATTTAATCTTACTTTTTTCAGATCCACATCCCAGTTCCGTAATACCATCAACAAAGCCATTGACTACATTGTACGCAACCTGGACGGTCTAGAGGACACTTACTCACTGGCTATATGCTCATACGCTCTGCATCTGGCTCAGCATCCTACTGGACGTACTGCCTTCAACCTGCTGGAGACCAAGGCTGAATCAAAAGGTGGGTCCAGGGGTGGTTGGTATGTTATAGTAAGGAATGATATTTACTATAGATTGATTTTGTGTATTAATTGTGTGTATAAATTGGAAGGTGTATTGTATTGGTTGGTTGTGTAAGTAGTTATAGTTAGTTGGGTGCTTGATTTTACCATAAAATTACAGCCTCAATTCCCTACAGTTTACCAAGGGTAATTTGCTTTGCAATATTAACGTGACATGGTGATTCACAGCTAATTTCAAACTGAGAATACCTATTTAGTAAAAGATAGGTCTCTTAGATAAGGAGTAAATCTATTTTCTTTGCACTACACAGTATACTTCCTAAAACTCAGGTTTGACCTGTTAATTGAGGTAAAAGGAATAGGAGAACACAAGTTTTCCGTTATTGCCGTTCACGGGTTCGCAGTTAAGTTGGACGGCAGTAGTAGGTAGTACCCATGTCTCCCATGAAAATACCTATCCCTTTCACACACAACGATCGATAGTAAAAAATGGACTCTTAGCAATATTTGACTAAAAGTAGCAAACAGTTAGAAAACAAATGTACAGTTAAAATTAATTCTTTTCTGTTTAAATATTTTTTATAATATGTAAAAAAATGTGATTTGTTCATGTAATTTTCTCACCTAATCCAACCAAAACCTATGCATTCATCAGACGACATGAAGTGGTTCAAACATGCAGCCAGCAGCGAGATGGACAAGAAGAACCCTTACATAGATGAGCCGAACTCTCCTGATGTGGAGATGACTGCTTACACACTCCTAACATACCTACAGAAGGGACTGGTACAAGATGGGCTGCCTATCATGCGATGGCTAGTGAGTCAACAGAACAACGGAGGTGGCTTTGCCTCCACACAGGTGAGTTGGAAGAAGAAGCCTAAACGCTTCAATATAAATATTTAATTATGTATTGAATTTATTGTTGCATTGGATAAACTTAATAATTGACATTGTAGATTTGTGGTCTTTGGCCGATGACTGTATCAAAATTGAGAATATTTCCTTATCAAATATGTGTGGATTAAGTTGACGTATCACTTAATTAAAATCCATGTTTTAAGCTGAGCTGCTTTTAGATCTGAAAAAGACGCAAACTCCTAAAGTGCGTCCTGCTCGGATCGAGACAAGACCTACTGTTACTATTAATATTTGTGCAACATGCCTGTTTGTTCTTTTAATGTTTAATCGTTTTGTAAATATTTGTGTGTGTTATGTGTTTTAACTATGACGACGCTTCAACTGAGATCTACATGTCTGATGATGACATTATGATGCTGAATTTTTAAGCTAATTGATTAAGGGAAAGCCCTATTTTTGGGATCACTTCATATGTAATCTTAAATATGGTACTTAACATCAAGGCCAAAACGTTGGTAAATGAAAATATTTTTTGACTATGACATGGTCACCATCCAAAGACGACGATTCTGCACTATGTGACCATCAAAGCCTATCCATACTAATACTTGCAATTTTTCACCCATCTAAAGACTCTATGAAGCTTACCTAGTCAGTTTAAGTTTTGTCTTCAACAATTTAGGTATGTGCTGTACCGCCTACTATATTTTTATTTAGGTAATTTTCTGGATGGATATGTGGCAGGACTTCTTTAGCCAGCAGACAAAGATAATGTTAAAGTTGGCTACTTTTGCATAGATTGATCTTGAAAGAAAATCTAACATAAATAAAAAGAAGCTCTGCACTTTAAGAAACTAAATCCACATATCAATCGTGCAAAGAAACTGTGAGGGGATTTATTATTGTGAACTAGTCATTGGATTGTGTTTGTCAAGATCAGATCTTGAACAGAATTTAATTGTCTATATAATGTTTACAATTATTTTAAGATGTCTTGAAATTTACAGGACACTGTGGTGGCACTTGCGGCATTAGCAAAACTGGCAGAACAAATTATCTCTCGCAACAATGATGTCTCGGTTCAGTTCTTCTACCGCCAAGGAGTGGCTGCAACTATAAATGTAAACAGGGCAAATTCCATGATTCTACAAAAGCAAGAGGTTAGTAAGTGAAAATTGAAACTCAGATTTATAAGTTCACTCAGGTTTGAGTACAAATCAAAACAATAACTTATATTTTGGAGTTTCAACCTAATCTGAATTTCTTCTGTGGACATATTATAACGTTACAAATCACATTATCCATTATTGTACTCACATAGTTGCTCTTCAGAAGACGAGATATTTTCAAGAATGTTCCCTTGGCACCGCTTTTAACTGCTAATTAAGATTTCTCACATAAAAAAAATTAATTAAGCATTACAGTACTTACTTTTAAACTTATGGATAAACATGCATTTATTTTTTACCGTGCATTATGAAGTCCACTAGCCTTTATTTCAAACTTCAGTTTTAGCAACACTAGCCATCATTGAAACATCAGGACACGCAAAACCCTCCTTCACTTTTTACTTTGTGCTCAGCTTACGCTTTTTTACTAAACTATACTAATTTAAACCGTACCTAAGTCAACATTCAAAATCAATAAGAAAATACCAATCTATAACTGACAGAAATAAGTAAAACATACTTTAGCGCCTTAACGAGGTTTGTGAGGACAATTTACACAACCCACATTACCATAAACATGATGTTACCTGTAATGTCTATCTCCAGAACATGTGTGAATGTGAAGTGTAAAGTTTCAGCTCCACTTGAAGCTAGAGGTCAATAATTTGTATGTCCAACAATTATTTTATAAATTTTTATTTTGTTTTTTATTACATATATCCTTTACTTAATGAGTATTTATTAGGTAATGTGGTAAAATCATCTAATGTAATATGTACATTCCAGCTGCCTAGCAAGGTGCGGGAGGTGCAGATCAATGCTCAGGGCTCTGGCTTTGTGATTGCACAAATCTCGTACCAGTACAACGTGAACGTGACGGCTCCGTGGCCTCGGTTCACTCTAGACCCTCAAGTGGACAAGAACTCTGACAAGAACCACCTTCAGCTCTCCATCTGCTCTGGGTGAGTGTGTAGAGCACACCGAAAAAAGTCAAAAGTCCTTGATCATTAGGTTTTTAATAAATCCTCTTGACTAAAGAGCTGGCTGATCTTGGGAACAGAACTGCTCATTCATTCAATACTCATATACGACTTTAAATTTACACCTTGGTGTGTTGGTGTTGTAAAGATACAATTTAATCTTAAATCCATCCATTATTAACGGAGGAGTAGTGATTTGTAGACATTGCCTTTACGTATGTATGTATGTATAAGGATATAGGTACCCTATACATAAATAAAAATTTGAACGAATAGTGTTTTTGGCCACTGGGGACTTAAAAATGAAAAATTAAATCGGTCCCGGGCTCAAGTCTTACCATGAGACCTACGGTAATAGCTACTTCCCTATAGGGAAATTCCCTAAAACTTGTTACTGTACTACTAATCATTGTCCTGGTATTTTCTGTAGGTTTGTACCAGGACGAGATGGCAACGAGAGCAACATGGCTGTGATGGAGGTTAGTCTTCCGTCTGGTTTCACAGTGGACCCGGACGCTCTACCAAGTCTGCAAAACTCCAACAGTGTCAAGCGAGTGGAGACTAAGGACGGTGACTCGGTCGTCATGTTGTACTTTGACAAGGTAAGTAACAAAACACTCTTGAGCCCATCTTACATGAACATTAAGTTTTTAATTAATTTTTGTTATTGTGTTGGCCATAATCATTGAGATGCAAGGCCCAATTCGCCAATGTCTCTGAACAAGCGGCAAGTATTAATGTATAATCACGAGTGCCGCCTCTTTCATTCATAGGATGTATTTTGACACTTCTCTTTAAGTATTGATCAAATTTCAATGTTTAATTTAAAGTGGCAAAAATATTGTCCTGTTTTAAAATTTGTAAAAGGTGTTTTTGGACATTTAAAATTTAGTTATTATCTATCTGGTCCTCATCAACACACCATACATTTTTCTGTTCTGTATTGTCCTTTTATAGCAAGTGTATAGTCGATGCCATCTACAATTGTCAGTTCTGTTCTGAGTACGAGTGTAAATGTCAGAATCCTATTTTATGAAGAGGATTTATTTAACCATTAAAGACATGTCTTGAATCTACAGGAAAAGTTCTTGAAAAATATCACTGAAATATGCCTTTGAAAATTCCACTGTTCATGTTATAGTATGTTAAGCTTTTCTTGGATAGTATCTTTTAAGGAAATTTGGTCTGAATCTCTTCAAATGTTGAGTTAATGCTGGGGATCAAATTCTTATATTTTCCTTAATGCACACAATTCCAAGACGCTAACCTCAAGACTAGTAGCATAGTCACCTCTGATACAAGGCCGCAGCAAGACAAAATTGGCAAAGTCACAGTCCGACATTCTGAAACAGCTGTTGCACTAATTTATAATGGTGTGCATGAGTAATGTTTATGTTTACAAGTTTTTTATTCCAGTTATTACCATGGCAATAGCCATACCGCTGCGACGTTGCCACACACCAACTTGTATTAGAGTTAGCTATGTAGTAACTCACCCAACTTATTGTTATAAGGTTGACAAATATCCACTCTTTATTAACACATTAGTTGTGTTAATTTCTCTTCTTAAACTTACACAATTTTTATCTCTTTTTTACTTCATTTTTTTAATTACTATTTTTTGTACTTGTTACAGTATAGGTACATAACAACAAACTGTTATAATTATACATATACATTTTATTTGTGTATGCAGCCTGACTGTGACAGTGTTAAAATTTCCAGATGACTGTCAAAGAACTATGTCCTACTGTGCGAGCCTACAGGACCCACAAAGTGGCCAATCAGAAGCCAGTGCCTGTCACAGTCTACGACTACTATGACCAAAGTATGTGATACCGGTATTTAGTTTGTACATGGAATAATTACATTTTTGTACAGAACACACCGTACATTTGTCAATTAATATTTCAGAGAATACAAAGGGAAAGCAAATCGACAGTTGATTTATGGAGGTGAAAACCAATTTTACATTAAAGAAATAATAGCTGTAAATTTACCTTACAAACTAAAGCTTCTGCTTGAATAGTTAATTACTAGATAAAGGGCAGTAATTTGTACATTACCCAGTCAGTTGTTTTAATACAGCATTCAAATGGTCGGATGGAATTATGACAAGTTCATATAGAATGCAATAGCTATTACAATTTGTGCTTGGCCATTCTTGTGTAACCCACTTTAGTATTAGATTACCCTGTTTTAATTTAAGCAATATCCTGCATAACAAATCTACTTTCAATTTTTTTTTATATTAGTTACTCTTTACTTAAATCTGACTTTTCAATTGGAAAGAAGTTATAACACAGAATTATTCGTGCTAAGGGTGTAGTAATATTTTCGAACATGGTTTTCGCAGCACGACGAGCCCGTCAGTTTTATGCGCCGAGGGTGGCAACACTGTGCGACATTTGTGAAGGCGAGGACTGTGAGAAGGTGTGCACGAGTCGGCCGGACCTGCGTGAGGGGAAGGAGGAGAAGGGAGCTGCGGCACACACAGCTGCAGCTGTTGTAACTCTCTTCATCTGCACATTGCTGCACAGGTGGCTCTAGTCACACCAAAGACTTACATTGACTGAACATCCATTGTACTCAATACAGCCCTAACATACATCATGTAGTAACAGTTACAGTAGACTCCCTCTAGTTGAGAAACCTCAGGACCTGACCCTTTCCGAACCATCAGAGGTCGAAGCAGAAATTAATGGATGTGTTTAAACGCACCACGTGTAACCGTACAACATTACAATAATAATAAGGGAAAATAAAATAAGTCAGACAGATTTTGGAACCATCCAAAGTGGATACCAAATGTATCAGCACTAGAGTTAGTCTACTGTTCTGTCAAAAAGCCTTAGAATGATTTTAACTTGAATATCATTATGTTGTGCATATCTTTGTTGTAGATTTAGAATATTTAACTATTTTTAAAAGTAATTGCAGTATAATAAAAGTAAGCAAGGAATGCCTGAGTAAAATGGTAGTTAAAACTAGTAGTTTATCATGGAAAATTTCTCAATACCTGAAGCGTCTTATCAGATTAATGAAACAAAATATTTATCCATTTGATTGATTCAAATCTAGCCAAAAATTGAAACACGTGTAATGTGTTCATTGGAATCCATACGTATAGGCAGGTCGAGATCACCATGATTAGTTTTATAGCAAGAATAATAAAAACTAATTTTGAAAAATCAATTGTCTAACAACAAGTAGACACTGTTTTAGCACATGAACAAACTGTTGAATTAAAAGGTTTTGTTTTACACTGTTAACGTTTATTGTTAAGTTTTAGTAATAGCATGTACATAGTTAATTTTATTAGTTGTAGAACAACAATAACTGTTAAAACATTAACTTGTTAGATGTATCTGTATTGTGATTCGTTTGTGTTTTTTATTACTTTAAATATTTTTACTTTAATATCCGCATTCCTAATTGATGTTCTTAAGTATTAAACTTTAGTTTGTATCCTTGATGATTTGTTTTTAAAGTATACAAGTTATGTACCAAAGTATATAGTTATTGGACTTTATGAAATAGATGAATCTAGTTAATTCCCTTTTTTTATTTTGAAGATGCAATTTTTTTCAAAAGCTTCTTATGGATCAAATATGAAATGTTAACCGATTAGTTTTGAACTATCTAGTAATCTGGTCTTTAAAAATCTTGCCTTAACTTACTAATAATGCAATTTTTTTTAATAATAATTACTTAATTGTTTTGTACTTGTAAGCTGTAACCCTCAATTTGTTGAGGGAAGTGAGCTGATCTAGAGGCAGAGCGTGGGACTTTGGTCCCAGTTTCAAATCCCACCAAATCACCAATGGATTTTATCTAAGTTATAATGCCGCAAGCCCTAGGTCTAGCCTGAAGTAATCTGAAAGACTATCCTAGGACAAAAAAACCTTTATTTGCTTGCTATCCTAACTCAAACAAAAAACATTAGTAAAATAATGCAACACATTACCTGGATTGACTTAACTGAAAAGACTGTAACATACAAATGCTAATAATAGTTTTAAGGATTTATCCATGTAAAGTTAAGATAGTAAAGAAATAAATCAACTATAATCACATAATAGTGTTTTTAATAACCAGTCAATTTCTATTGTTTAATCTATTTCTGAAAAAATGAGTTTCTGCTCTCAATATAGTTGCCACATCACCAAATGAAATAAGTACAAGGGCTGGTGTGTTTAAGATTTTTTAAGGTGCTGAAACCTATTATTATGAAATACTTAGCAACACCTACCTGCTACAAATGGAAAGTATATAATTGCTCAGGGATAAATGATACCTTGAAGTCTGAAATCACAATAGTTATTTGTGTAACTAGTGAGCAAAGTGGCACTTTGCTGCACACAAGAGAAATGTTTACTGGAATGTATCTCGAGTGCACCAAAGGCCATTTGCGCTCGTGTTACACATTGTATTTTTCCTACAGTCACTATAAAGCATAAAAATAATTAGTCTTTCAAACATTATTCAACACGTTTTTAGGTTAGGTTAAACCCAAGCGTTGAATGGAATGGGAAATACTGCACCAGCTGATTGTAGTCATAGTATCTTTAAGTATTACTTATTTTCAAGAGTACATGTATAAACAGTAATAATAACTAGGAAACAGAATAAACAAGTATAATGTTCTGAAAAATATGCCAATAAAACATTTCATGACAATTTTGTATCTTTCTTTCTTACGCTAGAGAGGAAAAAGTTTGTTTGCTCGTTCATGCTTCTTTTATGATTTATCAGGTAACAGGTTTAATTAAACATGTTTTGCAGTTTCTGCTATTTCTTCTGGTCTACACATATATTCACAATCACTTTCACTGATTAATTATTTTTAAACATGTTAGGCCCACTTATACCTATCAATAATTAATCTTTCAAAAACTACACATTATATATGTTCAAACCAAGCGTTGAACAAAAATAAAAAATAAACACAAAACCGCAGGTTAAATCGTAGTATAAATAGTCTTACCAGCTGATCATCATAGTAGTATCTTTAAGGGTTGCCAACCTACTTCCAAGCGTACATGGATTACAAGCATAATAAAACCACACTGTTTTGTGTTGTTTGGTTGGAATCCTGGTGTGTGCCAAAGTATAAACCGTGTGACAAAGTATAAACAGTGCGACAAAGTAAGTAAATGCAGCAATTATCAGCTTTCTGTACTAATATCAGTGCAAGGAAGCCAACGTTGTCGTGTGACTGTAGGAAAAGAAATTTCTGCTTTCTGGGTGGATAACCAAGCAAGCATTATAACCCCTCTGCACGCGCCTAGTTGAAGGAATGTTGTATAAATATCAATCAGCATACTATTTACATGACCCAAGTTGTAGACTGTAGTACAGTTCGAAGAAATAACACCAAGAAATTCTGAAAATGTCTTCTTTATTTCTTACAAAGTTACTGATAAAATAAATAGAAAAATTATAATTGTTTTATACATAAAGAGTTTATTCAAGCAATAGTCAAGCAAATAATTATTACAAAAGTCATTAATAAATATGAAAATTCACTACAAAGTCTTTCATAACTGCATTCACCCATGATCATTTTGTTCATGGAGACTAGAGGTCTGAAACTACACACACACACACAAAAACACCAGCGGGCCTTGACCTTGTTGGCATCTGTACATCACTGAATGTATAATACAAACATATACAAATTTACATGTAGTGGGATTTACAAATACCTTAATTATTGGTCTAAAAATCAATTATATTGAAATGTCTTAGGCCAAAAACTGCAGCTGCTGCCACAAGCCCCAAGCCGACTAAAAACTTGGTCGACCTATTAGACAACAAAGCAAACACTCCCTTAGGCTCCCCAGCTTTGGTCAGTTGTAATCTGAAAAAAAAACAACAGAGTTACTTAAATATTACAAATGAAACAATGGATCGGATAGATGCAATGGGATTTGAATTTTAACTTCTATAAAATATTATGATCATTTCATACTACCACAAACATGACCTGTATCAACACTCAAAATCACCAAAAATTATTTAAACTAAAATAAAAATCAAAGTTAAAGTTTTTTAATAGCGTATTTGAAAATGGTAGAACAAATTGGGACTTATCTAGGCTGAATTTTAATGCAAGTCCTCTCTTAAGAGAGAGTGGCCTGATCTTACAAAATAAAAACATACGTCAATCTGTCCACCACTAGTAACATGAACAAATACTATGTCTAAAAACTAACTTCTTAGTAGTGATGTTGTGCAGAGGTCCGAATGCCAGAGCAACGACTGTGCAGGCCAAACAGATGACGTTGTAAGGCATGCTGAAGTCCGGAGTAGGTAGAGTGATGATTAGTGACTCTGTTCGCAGTCGCACCATATAGCCGTCCCGTGACGCATTGATACTGTAAAACAGGTGTTTTGGTACAAGGATTACGATTTAAAAATCAGACTACTCTTAACATAAAACATCTAAGATGCCTAGTAACAATCAGGAGCTAAAGTTTTTGCTTTTTTCACCAAACAGGGGATAAGGTTAACTTAGATGCAACAACTAGATATTTTTCCATTATACTAACAATTTAGGTGTTCACACAATATCTATTTCTTATCCAATACTACCAGTGGTGTAATCGTAAATTTTCCATAGCAGGAACAATCACTATTGTTATAGGAAAATATGGGCTACTTATCAATTCTTTGAAAACTGCAGAGTAGGAACACCGTTCCCCCTCCACTACACCACTGAAGAATCTAAAGTAGTTGTGATTTCTATTGACAGTTAATATAAAATAGTTAGCCTAACTATATTATATATTTTATAAGGTCACAAAATGAAAAAGTGATATGTTTGGAAGGCTTCTTCAATTTAACAGACTTATCAAATAATGTAATAGACGGCAGCCTAATAACAAATTATGTTAAAGGGTAAATCCTTCACAGTAATTCAGTGTAGTAAACTCCTTCATAATTATTGTAAGATTCCGGCCTAGACTTGATGTTACTGCACATATCAATTAGCGGGTCAGACTTTTTTGGTTCGGATCGGGTCGGGTCGGGCCGATAATTTTGGCACTCGGGTCTCGGGCCAAAAAGCATTAATTACCGATTTTTTTTGTTTTTATTTCTATCTGTGTATATAATATTACTTGTAATAAAATATAAAATACACGCGCCACAGCAAACCTGCCGACTAAGCGAATTTCCATTTGTCTGAATTGATTTTCAATTAAAACTACAGTATTTAAATTTTAAATAACATTAGGTTATCAAGTACTTAGGTTTGCTGCTACAAGGAAACTAATAAAGTGTACTCTTCAGTAAAATATTAATAGCTTAGTAGAAAATAAATTTTTCAAATTTGATCAAAATCCATGAACAAGCAAACTACGACATTTTATTTTAATATTCTCCAAAAGAAAAACATGGAAATTTTAAATTTACAGCTTTTTGAATTTTTTTTTCTGTTATCAATAACGGTACAAAAACACTTTTATATACTAAATTATTTTTTTTATCTATAAAAAGTTTTAGAGAGAAATTGGGAAATTTTTTGTTTTGAAAGTCAGTAATGAGAAAACCCATTTTTTACTTGCATCATACGGGGTTAAAAATTACACCACAATCCATTATTCATTTTCATATTTGGTTTTTGAAATATTGCCATTTTAAATAAAATAATTGTAATTTTTCATCAAGAAAGCTTGATAACAAAAAACGGATTGCGGCATTGAGTTCAGCATTAAAAAGGTAGTTCAAAATGATGGGTCACAACACCACCTTCATATTTAAAATAATTTATCACATTTCAAAATGGCGGATCCAAGATGGTGGCAGAAAAAAATCATCTGCCATAGCCAAGTGAAAATAGGTCGACAATGACTGGTGGTGTTACTTATCTCTATCTAGCCACTATTTTAAGATTATGGTCTTAGTTTGTAAATGTACAATGTTAAAAATAAAATAAAGTTATAAAAAGTGCTTATAACTTAAGAATGATCCATTTTAAAAACGAATTGTGGCATTGTAATCAGCGTAAAATTCTAGCTTTGAAATTATGAGTTACAACCCTCCATTATCATTTAAAAAAAACTTTCTATTCAAAATGGCAGATCCAAGATGGCGGCCAAAAATGTATACCCAGTCAAAATGAAGTACTTACTACTCTACAATGATCTGACGTGGTCCGGCGGAGTTGATTCTTAAGAGATTTAGGAAAAAGTAGGGGGGGGAACTTATTTAAAACTCATCCTGAGTATATATATATTAAAGTATATGAATGTAAGTAAGCCTATATGTAATGTATATGAATTTGAATGGATGGTGTTTTAGCCTCAAGGGCCATCAAAGTGATAAAGGAAATCGGTCATAGTGCAGGTCTTACCATGAGACCTACGGTAATAGATTATTCCCTATATGGGAAATTTTCTAAAAGTAAAATAGTATATTACGTTACTAGTCCTGAAAATAAGTGTTTATCGGACGAGTGTGGTCGTTGGGATTACCATATGAGTCCGGTACACACATTTTGGACGAGTTACGTACGATAGTTTACGCCTTACTACTAAATAATCCGAACAAATCCTTATATATTTTCACCAACTAAAGGACTAAAAATCCCTAGTCATAACCTCTAAGACAGGTTATGTTTTTGTTTAAAACCATTCATTGCCACCTAAATACAGTATAATCAGCTGATTGGTGTCTGGTAAAACTCATTACAGTACAGTAGTTCGCAATGAAACCCCATTTGAATAAGCTGTCGGCAAACAGCTGTTTTCTGGGCTAAATCCTTGCATGGGAAGTTCGTCAAAATAATGTAGTGTGGCGTAAAATGTTTAATTAGTTCTCACAAAAAAAACTTTTTACCTAGACGAGAGCAGTGTCCCATCCTGAGGCAGTCCTGTGTAGTTCCGAGCGACTGGCAGTAATGCTGTGATCACCGCAGAGCTGATGTAGAAACCGTGATTAGCGTCTGGTGGATACTCCTGCCACTTGAGGAACACGTAGTCAAACTGTACAGACACCTCTGTGACTGACCTGGCTGGCAGCTCCACCATCACCTCTAGGTAGTAGGGTCTCTGGCGCTCTCTGCCTGGTGTGTAGCGCTTCACCACTGTACAAAGTATAACATTTTTCCACTCATTTTTTAACATAAAAATGTAGCCCCTCAAAACCAAATATTAAAAATTGATGTACACATGTCAGGTCACCCAAAACCTCCATTGAATGTTTAGTTTTACAGTAGGCTACAACAATTACCCTTAATGGCTTTTAGGTATTTTTTCTAGCGTACTGGGCTTAATATTTGAGGTTGCTTTCAATCATAAATTGGTAGGCTGAATTCATTTGATTAGTTTGACAAATAATCGAGGCCTAGCCAATCTAGTTCAAGTGCATTCTAGCATGCTTGTTTCTAATTACCATCCACAGACTGTTTTTACATGGATGGTAGCTAGTAAAATGATGAAGAAGTAACTTATAAATAATAAAATTCTAATTGTAGAGTAAGCTACCATATGTCTCTCTGAGCTGTAAGAGCGACTGTGTGAAACGCCAGGGTAATGATTATTGCATGCACATTAGGTGACAGAATGAGCTATTCCTACACTGGTTAGACCTGACTCCAAACAAATCATACTCACAAGGCTTGATGGTTCGTCCCTGACTCACAATTCGGAGAGTGTGAAGATATATAGGCACAAACCAGGGAATGTTCTCCAAGAAAATCACTGTAATCGGTTGCCAATGGCGATTGTGGATTTTGGTCACAATGCCGCCATATTCCTGGCCATATCCTGCAAAAACAGATATTTTTTTGTATTGCTAATCATAGATAGATGTTTAGTTTGCAATTATTTATTAATTGCCACAAGTTTACAAATGGTTGATTAAACTGTACACTGATAAATTATGAGTCCATTGATAACCTGTTTTACAACAGAAAGCAATTTATTAAAAGTTAAGACCAATAATTGTGGCGTTTAAGCTACGGTAAGGCCCAAAGAGCCAGCTTTGATGATTATTAATATCAATTGAACTAGTTTAATTACATAAATAGTATTGTCTTTGGATATATGCAATAATTACTAAGAATTGAGCAAAATATTAATATTAAAAAGTGACACTGGAAATTAAGATAAGCATTTTTAACTACAGAATCTGAAAAGAACAATCATGGAAAATTAGAGTAATAATTATATATCTACCACAATAGGGCAATACCCCATATCCCATTTCCTAGCACACATTGGTTCGACGGCAGCATCAAGACCGCTTGATTGTTGACTACTCACCTGACGTGTTCGCCGCACATGCGCGAGCACTACCGTGAGTTGAAGAGTGCCTTCTAGGCGGGACATTTGAGTTAGGTAGATCAGGCTGTGGAGGTTATACCCCACATATTCAGCAATGAAATGAGTATAAGATTAGTTGGGAGTTCCTATTTTTTTATTTTACAAAACTTTTCTCTTAGAGGAAAAAATACTTTGAAATAATAATACCTAAAATTAAATCCCTGTAACTGAATTGATAACATAGATGAAATCTCCTCAATGATAGAGGGGATTGTTTGACAACAATTTTATTTGTTATAACAGTTAGGTCAGGTTTATCGGTCTGTGTTCAAAAAGGTTTAACAATTTTGTAAACTATCAACCTTAGATCACACTAAACATCATCTTACCGACAATATATCTGTTGGCGTAGATGGCGGGTGGAATGTTTTGAGCAAACACACGAGGTTTGTCATGTACTAGAGCAATGTTGAACATGCCTTCAGGGTCCAGCCGAGCCACATTGTAGACAGCCAGCTCAGTCTGGTGGCCACCTCGCAGACTGGTCACTGTTCTGTCTGGCAGCGGGTTCAATCGGAACATTTGTCCTGTCTACAAACACAGATTTTAATTTGTAGATCTTGAGAAAATAAATAGGTTATTAATTAATATACAGGGTGTTCAAAAAAGGTGGGGACATAATTTACGTAGTGATTCCTTGGTTCAAAATAAAGAGAAAATCAAGAATAACATTTTTTCCAAAATCACCTTGCCATTTTGAAATTTTTAGTTGAATCGTATAATTCATTTCTAACACGATTCTCTTCTATCTTAACATACCTACCAAGTTTCATAAAGATTAGTAAAAAAAAATCAAAGATACAATTTTTTATGTATAATAAACAAAATGGTGGATATCTGGTTAACTTAGTTTGACCCAAGGAATCACTACGTAAATTATGTCCCCACCTTTTTTTAACACCCTGTATATTAGTAAAGGAAAGGTAACACTGTTTCCTGATATTAGTGCAGTATACTCCTGATTAACTGAGGCTGTTGGGACCGAGACTACCTAGGTTACCAAGAATCTCAGATAACACGGAGGTAGCATATATTTTGAGGTTAGGGTTACGGTACCTTATATGAAGTCAAATACTTGTAAAATATATCTTAAAACAACACATAGTGAATGAAAAATTATAATAATGTTATTTTGATAATAGGCTTAATTTTTTTTTTAATAACTTGGTATTAAAAAAAATGACACAACAAACATGTTAAACACTTTTAATCGTCTTGAAAACTTTAAACACAGTAGGCCTAGCCTATTCTTAGAACTATGATAAACCAATACAAACTACATTACTTAAAACAAAACACTAAGGTGGATCATTCTAGATTTAAAAGCATAAAATTACATTTTGATAACTTGATACAATCATGTCTACATAAACATCGTAAGTTAGAAGACTGGACTGGCTTATTGCGGTTCATTATAAAGTTAAAATAATACGTTAGTTATTCCAAGTACTGTATTTGTTTCAATAAATCTCAAATTAATTGCTATTATTGTGATTTTTTAATAGAAACATTGTATAATAAAGTATTATTATAGAATACTAAAGTCTATTACCTTACTGAAAATAAAAATATATATTTAGGCCAAAAAAACAACCTTGGATAACCCAATGTCTCGTATAATCGGGAGTGTACTGTGTAGTAAAGCAGAAACAAGATTCATCTAAAAAAAACTTTAATTTTGTTTAAATTGAATTTAACTGGAAAAAACTACAAAATAATATGTAAAAAATATGATACAAAATAGTATGGTAACTTGGGCATTGTTGTTTGGGGGTGGAATGCAAAAAGAAAGAAGAGGGGGATTTTTATGTCACTTTGACACATGATCGAGAAACAAGGAGGACTTAAGTATAGATAGATGAACTCGAGGAGGAATCTGCTAGTATTATGAGTAGGAAGAGAGATTGTAAGCAATCCATGATCAGTTTCACTCACCTGATTGGCAGTGATGTCTATGTAGATGGTGCTGGAGGCAGCCAGAGGGCAAGGACCGGCCAATCCGATGCCAAACAGCTTCCTGACCGACCAATCAGGAGAGGATCCACCAAGTATGACCAGGTCGTACACTAGAGACACTGTCTGCCGCAGCTCTAGACCAGTCACCGAGCAATCCTTATTCTGTGGCAGAGAGAGAGAGAGAGAGATAATTATGTTACTAAATAGTGCATTTTTAGAAGTATTAAAATAAGGTATCAAAAGGCTAGTAATGGCCTACATTTTTAGCCACAATCCTACCAAAACCATTGTTATCCTTATTTAAGAAATTTTATCTTTGGTTGACATCGTTTTTGTTCATCTCATTCTTTGTATTGAGGTCCTGCCAATTATGCTGGCCAACAATTTCTATTCCAAAAATCAAGAATATAGGCTAATTTGTAATTATATTGTCGTTAAGCACATGACAATTAATAGACAAAGTAAAATACAGTATTAAAAGACAATTAATAGACAAAGTAAAATACAGTACTGTATTAAAAGACACTTCATGTGCAATATGGACAAATATAAATAAATAAATAATCAGACATATAGATATAGACACTGGAAAACAGCTAAAAGTACAAAATAACTATCTAAATAAGTTAAAATCTTAATATACTAATATCACAGGTTAAAAATCATTAACAGAATAAAAAAAAATTTCTTTTAGCCACTTTGACAGAGAAGGTTCATTGTTGTTTCATTGTGTCATTGTTCATTGTTTCAAAGTTCATTGTTTGAGAATGAGGAACTATGTTCCATAGTTTCATCCTCAGCTCTACCAAAAAAGCTAAACAACTGTCAAACCTAATTTAAAATTGCAAAAAATACATTTACATATATAATTTTTTCATTCAGAATGGAAACTATCTAGGAAAATGTGTTTTCAACTAATTTAAAGCTGACAACTGGAATAACATTAAGAGATAAATACCTGACAGACTGGTCTAAAGTGGACTCCCAGAGAGTGGTAGTTGGTATTGTGAATGTAACCTGCATTCAAAAGTGTTGCCAACCCTTTCTGAAATTAATAATATTTAATAGTATATTTCGTACCTAGGGCCGAAAATGAGGTTTTGAAGGATCGAGATCAGTAGAAATTATACCTTTATTCAACCACAACGTAGAGGAAATAGAAAATAAGTTCTTACTTACTTCAGGAACATAACAAACATCTTCCAAATGGTTTCTCTGGCATTTTCCTCCCACAACCATCTCTACAATTATGTTACCCTTGCTGAGTGCTTCCATGGTTTGACCATTTCCAACAACATGCTTAATTGTTGAAAATGCCACATACGTCACAAACCATGATCTGTTCATTATCATGTGCTGCGTAGCTCCAGAATCTGCAATCCAACTACATTCTTCCATGCGTACTTGTGAACGACCACAATGTCCAACAAAAGCACTTACAGGTTTTAGTGACTGTTTAGCACTAGGACAATCCATCTTCATGTGACCAAGCTGGTTACATGAAAAGCATTTAGGTCTCCATTTCTTTTTCTTATTTTCAGCTCCAACATCACTGGGAGTTATGCTTGATGTTGATTTCACACAGTTAGAGTTAGGTTGTGAGAAAGGTTTATGTTTTGAACCAGTGTAAAATGCAGCATTAGACTCCTTTACACTTCCACCTTCTCGCTCCTTCATTCTCATTTCAACCGTACACAGTCTCTCTCTTAGTAATGACAGTGTCCACTGATCTTTCGGTACAGACTCCCAAGCGTTAATGAATTCACTATATTCACAGGGCAACGTATTTAAGACCCTATTTAAGAATAATGACTCAGGAAGCTTAACTTTATCTTCTTTCCAAGTTTTGTCCTGTAGCTCAACCCAAAGATTTCTCCAGCTTTGCTATGTGTTTCGCTACACTGTCATGTGAGTCCTTTTTCTTAATACCAAAGAACTCATTAAACAGACGGTCTGGTCTCTGTTCAGTTCTCTGTTAAAAAATACTCAAAAGCTTCCCCCACATTTCCTGTGCAGTTGAACCCATATCTATAAGCTGTCTTACTTGAATGCTAACAGATGGAACAATAATATTTTGTGCCAAAAATTCTTTCTTTTCAAGTATATCAACCTGTTTCTGATATTTGAACATCTTTGAAGCAAATTCATCTTCACCTGGTTTCTCAGGGTACGGTATACAAGATTTCCTTCAACAGCTTCCATTACACCATGAACTCGAAACTGTGTGACCACTTGAAATTTTCCTATCCATCCAATTGGATTGACCCTCCAGTTTATCAACTACATAAACTTTAGAAATTTCTATGACAGTCAAAACACTTTAAGACAACTGAACAAGATTTTCAAAAAGACAAATAACAATCAAGCACAGGTTCTTTCACTCATTTCCTACTAAAAAATCCATAGACTCAGTTATTTGCGAGCCTGGGCCCATAACCTGTTGTAATAAACATATACAGCTGTTACAGAACTGAGTAAATCATTTTTTATCTCAACAAGATTGATCAGTTTTTTGGATATGACGATTTTCAGCAGAAGATGATGATATAGGATACATGGGGTAAACAATATGCAGCTGTGCAATACACAATGTTAAAAAACAGCATTTTCAAACAAAGTGGCAATCACTTTTTCCTCCCTTTAAAAATTGTCTAGTTGGAAAAAAAATTGCTAGATAGTTCAATATTTATTTTATAAATGGGAATTGTTACAAATTTACTTTAAGAACCAGTAATTTTACACTACTGTGTGTTAATCTTACTAAAATACCTTAGAATCACAAGGGAGAAGTTTTTTCCAAGGAGTCAAGTTTTCGGTGCAGACGATTTCCCTGGGAAGTGTACCATATCTCAGCAGCGTGGAGTTGCTTGGTTGAGTTGGGTCATCAATTCCTAGCGGCCTGAAGCTCATCTCCGGACTCATGCTGTTGGACGCATCGATAAAGTTGAGCGATGCACACAACAACCCTGACAATGCTCCATTTAATTCCTTCCAGTTCTTGTTCACGCTGAAACCAAAATTAATTCATAAGTAGGGTTATTCACTTGTGTTTGTGAAAATGTATATTTTTTCCTGTAGCTACACCAGAGATATTCTTAAATAGCTTATTCATCATAGGACAAGAGACAAAATTGGATGAAACCAGTGTCACACAGGCTTAAACTATTTCACAAATCCCACAATGCATGGGACCCAAATTAAATTTAAACCATCTCCCTAATTATAAAACATTGAATTTATTACAAAAGTTTAAAAAGGTCAAAAGAGAAGGCTTCTAGAATAATAGTAACTTAGCCTAGCTTAAGAATCATAGTATACTTAAACTATATACTTGGCCATTGAATGATTCCTATTTCAGGTTCCAAATTCCAAAAATAAGAGGATAAAAATTAATTAAGAATGAAAAAATAGTTGTTAAGAAAAAACTCAGTGCTCGATTTGCGGGCAAATGCGGCAGAAGGAAGTTCCGGTACCTCTCTTTCATGAAGATAAAGATAGCCATAAATAAGTACAAATCACATTAAATAAGTTACAGTTACGGCACATCATTTTTTACAAATCAAGCACTGAAAAACGTATACGTTACTATGTAAGACTAACATATGCCTAGGCCATATTGTTTAGATAAGCCATTTTTCAAATCCTCACCAGATTTACAATAAGAATACGACATAGACAAATAGTAAGCCTATAACCTAGTATAAACACATGAGTTAGTAACCAGGTTGATGTAAGTAACCTAGTGTTACTGAAATAGAAGTTTTATTGAGTAAATTTGTTTTTTTCCTTAAAGGTAACTGGGTACTTGAGTATTATACGGAGGCCACCCTTATACAGCGCACTGCGGTGGTTATGCTAGGTTGGGTTATCTTATATATGTTTGTAGGACTTTCCTCGTTTCGTTATGAATCGAACGATACCAGATGAGTCATGCTTTATATTTAAGATAACCCAGCCTAACATAACCACCGCAGTGCGCTGTGTAAGGGTGGCCTCCGTATGGTACTTAAGTACCGGTAACTTTTATTACTTATTAGGCTATAGGCCTACGTATGTCATTTAAGTATTCCTCCTCCATGTAAAGTTAGTCAATAAATTCACTGTGTATTCTGAAAAGACTCACTCTTGTGTGCCAGGTTTAAACCACACCCAGAGTTCCGCGCCAGGAGGGGCATCATTAACCGGATAGCCCCAAGACTCATGACGCCAGAGGCCACCAGTCAGACTGATATGCAGTTCTCTTATGTTGAATCTGTCGATCAACTCACCCAGCGGCCTTGGGAACAGGTGGCAATGGTCAACTACAAACAAATTATAATTGTTAGGATTATATTTACTGGCATGCTCCAAGATGATAATTTTACAACTTATGACCTTCTTAAGAGAAAATTTGGATTCATTTCTCTTCAATTAACCCTAGCAGGCCAATGTTAAAAGTGGAGAATGGCCAACCCATTTTGGCGATTTTGCAGACCTTTTTTTTAAAAATTAGTAAAAATTCAACCTTACAACCCTATTCATTTTGTCCGGTAAGAACAGGACAATCTAGAAATAGCAATATAATAATGATTTAGACAGTGTATTTTTTCAGTTAAGTGAAAAAATAAGAATTTTTTTTGAACTCTCAAAAGCAGCTTTGGTAAAAATTTTTCTAATAATTTTTTTATGGGAAATTCATTATAGACATTATGTAGACAATCTAACTCCCTACATAGAAATATATAACATGATAGGAAAATATTTTTTTAAATAAGTTTTTGGGGCAAAATATAATGACAAACTGAGAACCGAAAAAATTGAAAACCTTACAGTGTTAGTTTGTGTTGTAAAAAGTTACCTATATAAGAATAAGAAAGTTTATTGCCGTTGACTAAGTTGTACATAGGAATAGGCATTGTCAAATTACATTAGGTAAATAAAATATTACTATATAATATATAATAGGTACCTATATACATAACTTATAATTAATATATATAATTAATTCAAGGTATTTATTCCGTATTTATTCAAGTGGTACCGTACTTGGCCTCACCAACACACTGCCTCCCCGTCGTCCTGTCTTTATTAGTACCGGTACCTATTATAATATTAGTAGACATAATTAAGAAAATTATTTACAATAGCCTGGGCTATTACCACAGAAAACATACTAGGCCTACTATAACCCAGAATGCCAACCGCATGGTAAAAACCATTAAGTCTTTAGAGAGAGCTTTGCCTGTCAATCCGTAGGCAGCGCCACCAGTGTTGCTATGCTGAGTGCATAGCAACGCTGGTGGCGTTGCCTACGGATTTACAGGCAAATACCTTAATACCATCCCTTCGTTTTTGACCAGGTTTACTGGGTTAACTGTGTCAGTTTTCTTAATTTTAGATCAAATAGGAAAATCAAATGTTCTTGTCATATTTCAAAAGAAAAAAATAATATTATATATTTACAAAGCTCTCTCAAAACACTTAATGGTTTTTACCTTGCGGTTGGCATTCTGGGTTATACCGGTAGTAGTATGTTTTCTGTGCTATTACCTAGGACAATCCCATTTAAATATCAAACCTAAAACTTGTTAATCTTAGGCCTATTTAAGTATATGAAATATGTGTAAGTACTGAAATCAAAATTGCAGCCTAGCCTATGGTAAGTTTGTAACTTAGCAATTTTTTAAAGAGTTTGAATTAGTTCCTGGTAGGTTTAAGGCTCTGGGGATCGGGAATTTCCTCCCTACTGGAGTTATTGCCAGGTTCACGCCAATCCTAATCCTTGTAGCCTAAGTAAGTTATTTCACCAAATTTTGGGGCAAGACATTCTAAACCTCGTACACCCCTAACTTAGAAAACATTACAAATATAAGCATACCTAGCTAATATGGATGAGCTTGCAGTATAGAGGGGCTCCTAGCGGGTACAGTTTCTTAACTGGGCTACGCTAATGTCGATTGAAACTATCGATTCGATTAGTACACCTTCATGCGATTTTTTCACCATCAGCAAGTTTGGTTGGCTAGGTTAGGTTATTATAGCGTTATTTTATAATAGATAGCCTATATAAAAATATTGATTATTAATCAGCATTTTCAATTCGATAGTTTTAATCAATATTTGCATAGGCCTATCCCAGTTAAGAAACTGTACCCCTCCTAGCCTAGATGTTGATAAACAAAATTAGCCTAGGCTAGCCTAACTTATATTGCAAGCTAAATGAATACTTACATGCATTTTGATGGTGTTGCTTCTGCCATAAAGTTGTAAATTGGAAGTATGTATATACATGTCCGCTTGCAAGAGGTTTGATCAGAAGTTCTTCATGAAATTTGTCAGTAGCTTCGTGACTTAAAACCACAACAAAATAGTGAGCTAGAAATAATATTAGTTTCATACCCATTGTGATATCAAAAAATCGTTGCTTTGATTAAATTTAACATCAGAAATATTATTACTCCATACGAAAATTTACTAAGCATGTGAGGCAACATACTTAACTAAACAACTACAAACAAATCGAAATCACTTACAACTAGCCTAGCACTTCACAACACAACATTAACATAGGAGTGCCGGAGAAACATAACCTAACTTGTGTTTTTTGTTTTTGGGGACTCCCGGACCCGGACCGGAATGGGCACACGGGAGGAACTAAGGCTAAAGGTGTAGTGACGTCATATCTTTAGTGGCTAATGTCTTCTCTTGAGGCGACACGATTACCGTAACGAAACGGTGTGATTGCAGCGGCGTTCGTGGCATAGTTGGTAGCGTTTCAGATTGGTGTTCAGGAGGTTCCAGGTTCGAATCCCGCTGGCAGCACTAACTTTTTGTCAACAAATTTTTCATATCAGCAAGTTTGGTTGGTTAGGTTAGGTTATGACAGTTTTTATAATACTAAGTTTTAAAATTAATTTTATAATTAATTAAAAATTATAAGTAATCATTAATTAGATTTTTATCTTATATAGTTTTTATATTATCAGCAAGTCTGGTTAGTTAGGTTACACTATGACAGTTTAATTTTAAAAATTAAAAATTTATTTTATAATTTTAAAACAATATTTTATAATTAAAAAGTTAATTTTATAACTAAAAAAAAATGTATTTAAATTTTTTCAACTTAGCAGTTCTAGCGGCGAACGCTGACACTACAAGATATGTTAGCCTTAGTCCCTCCCGTGTGCCCCACCGGACCCGGACCCGGACTCCCTCAGTAGTCTAGCCGGTCGAGTTCCTGCAAGGCTCACGGGACGCTCCATGACGTAGGCTCCAGTTCCATTCCTTGTATGTCCCTTGTCCATTGGTAGGGCGGGAATTCGACCCGTAGTCTAGCTATCTCATTGGTTTGGATTCTTGGATTGGCCTGTCTGCCGTGCCGTCGCTGTCTGGCTCTGGCTGTCATGTCAAATTGGGTAACCAGATCATTGACCAGAGGACCAGACGAGACTGGAGACAGTTTAATTTTATTTCACATGTTAAGCCCTCCACACACTACCAGACCAGACCGTCTTTGACGGCTCTACACACTTCCAGACCAAACATTCGTAATTGAGACACCGTGGTGAGAACTCCAACAAATGGATAAAGATTAAAGACTGTCACGACGGTCTGCCGTCTGACAGACAGCGCTACACACTCACACTCAACAGACCAGACAAAAATGACAAAAATAAAGGTGGGGGAACCTCAGACCGTCTGCGGTCTTGAGGGTTCAACCATCAGACACACAGACAGTCTGGTCCGAGAAAATCGGTCTGCAGACAGCCCCACACACGATAAGACAACTGCCAGTCTGGAGGGAACTGGAGGTCTGGTCTAGTAGTGTGTGGGGGACTATATGTTCTCCAGTTACCTCTCCTAAACAAGCAAGATTCTCTAGGCTCTCTTCTTAGCAAGTTTATAAAGCATGTAGGTTCACCAACGGAATGGATTCTTAAAAATGGATCAAACATATAATTCCTATTACACATTACATATTGATCCATCTATGTACTAATAGATTTATATATTGTGTATTATTCCAGCTTCAAGAACGAATTATTAATAAACTAGTTTACCTTGTGGTTGCCAGATTCTTGAAATGTGTAGATATCTTGCTCGATGTACATTTCGCTACATGTGTAGCATCGTCAGGAGCACAGTTTGTCACATTAGTCTATTTAACACAAACACTATTTACAAATATTTACATTTTCGGTCGGATGACGATTTACGGTAAAGTCATAGGAATCCAGCGCGCGAACGCGTGCGCGGACCACGGCGCGGACCGGAGCCACTACATGTGTCACTATTTGACTGACCTATTGGTTTTATATACTAAGACCAAGGCCCCCTTTAACCACAGGGCGCGGCCTGGTAGAATTGGCAACGTCACAAGTAGGGTTCAAGATTCAAGATTTATTATTAAGCCGTTCAGAATTATTTACAGTAGACCAAGTCACTAATACTAGCAAAAAAAGAGTTGCCATTCCTCTTTAATCACAAGCCAGTCCAGAAAGTCCAAAAGCACACCATGCAAAATAAATAGGTAAATGAGACTGTAAAACATGCGGAGGAAAAAAATTAAAAATTAACAAAACAGGAAAAAAGCACAAAGCTCAAAAACCGCACTCATGCCTGCAGGCAGAGTTACATTTAATTAATCTCTCCTATTTTTTTTCTTTTTTACTTCATTGAGTTATGATTTGTGATGAAAAACTCCTGCAAGGTTTAAAATGGGTTTGCAACCAACAAATCCTTTACACTTTTCGCAAACGCTTTAGCAGGTTTTCTTTTGACTTGCAGAGGTAATACATTCATTGATTATACTCTATTATTTTACACTTAATCAACGATTCGTCTCTTAATCTTGATTTCCCGTCTGGCTTTGGCTCATATTAAGTTCCGTCCGTTTTAGACCAGACTGGACTGGACTGCTTCCAACATTCAACCCAACCCAACCAATCCAAATCCAAAACAAAAACTGGGACGTCTGACGTTTGACTCTGAATCTGACAGCAGTGAAGTGACAACCAACACGAACCAACAACCAACCACGACCATTTCTTTTCTTTCATTTCGCGACGGATGTATGTACAATGAAGTGGGAGGTGCCTTAAGTTCTGTTGTCCTATTTTAAAAACAACTAGTGCCTTATTAAGAAAGACGATTCTCTAGAAACAGTATTCTTTGCATGCTTGGTATGTACCCTTTTATAGCATACACTACTTTATAATAGGTCTAGCCTACTTGGATATCTTAATTTCTCCTCTATAGCCTAACTTTTTTGCCTAAGTGCCTTAGTGTCTGGGCACAATTAATTATAAGACATACGTTTTACAAATATTATTTATTTGATAATTTGACGAATACTGTATTTCGTTCAACCGAAAAATCATTAGTTTTAACTGACCTTTATTTGCATCAATTTAAACTTGGCCTTGACTAAAGTCTAGGACCAGTCTAGGCCTTAGCCTATACTACTTGTTCAGGTTTTACATTCCTTTGGCAGTTTGGTTAATTTGTTATTATGATTAATTTTATTGGATCTTTTGCTATTGACTACCCAAGGTTAAAGATGCTTGTTCAAAAGAGCTTAATTTACAGCGTTAGGTCTGTCAAGAGTCTGTGCTTGGTCCCCTTCTCTTTGTCAACGATTTAGATCTTCAGGCGACTCACTTTTATATGAGGATTGGGTACCCTGCTGGCAAGAGGAAAGGAGATACAACAAATTCGACTGAATTTGGACAAATTATTGGGCGATGCCAAGAATTGGTTTGTGAGCAGCACAATGAGGATATGACTCAGAGCATCACTTGCACCTTGAAGACCACTGATGCTGGGAGCCCCTTGAAGCTCCTTGGTTCTGGGTAGACCCGAATGTCATGGCATGAGCACAAGTCTGCCATAAGCTCTCTAGAGTCCTCTTTTAGAAAAAAAATCAGTGCCAGTAGATTTTTTTGTGTCAGCCTATTACGCCTGGTACCACAGTCACATCTCATATGGGCTGATATTATGGGGACATTAATCCAAAAAGTCAGGATATTCTTCGGCTTCAGAAGAAAGGGAGGATACTTAAGTTAACTTATAACTTTGACAGCCCGGAGAGACCACAGCAAGCCTCTGATTTCACTTAGCATAAGATTCTCACCATTTTTAGTCACTAATGTACTAGACTCTGTTTGCTAGGCTACATGAAGGAGAGTATTGGGTATTGGTGATTTTAGTGTGGTGCAATACATCAGCACGGCACTAACTTAGAGGAGCTACAAATTTGTATGTACCAAGATGCAGACTCGCTTGTGGGTGTTAATTCCGAGGGAGGTAAAATCTACATCTTATAAGCCTTGGATCTGATACAAATTGGTCCAGGGTTCAATTTAATTTGCTAATTGGCTGGGCTCAGACCATACGATTTTATCATTCACTCACTCAATCATTGGTCAACATCATTGCCCAAATTAAAGCCAATTAATCCCCGATCGTGTTTCATTACAATATAAGTTGGTTTGAGGAGCTAATCAAACGTCACCTAAAATAACCGTAGGTTAGCCGTGAACTAGGTGCAATATACAAATAGGTGTGTGAACTACTGCTAGTGTGTTACCTACGCTCACAAAATAAAATTACTCCGTACAGAAAAGGTTACTTCACCTTTTAATAAATCGTAAATAAAGAATAAGAAAATTAATTTCACGAGTAATCCTACTGGTACCCTGAGTTATTTACCCCGGGTGTGACAAGGAGAAGATATTCCGGTTACCTAATTAAATTTAAAGTAAACTATAGCCTACTCGTTTCATTGCACTTATTATTGGACCACAAGAAGGGACGGATAACGACAAGGCGGTTCCGCCCGTCTTCAATTTACATAAAAATAATATGTAAATTATATAACCTATATATTTAAATACTGGGGTGATTAATGTTGAAGCCCGAAATGGGGACGACGACTAAGTTTAACTATACCAATAGGTTGGCTAGACCAGAGCGGGTTTATTAGTTTAGAAGGGAGTAGAGGAGAGAGAGAGAAGTGACCAGCTACACGCCGGCCGACGAATGAATCTTGATCCTAGGTCTTGGAGAAATCTCGCTCTACCCCTACCCTTCGCCCTTAAGACGCTGCCAGTGTGGTGGGTGGACACTGCCAAATTTAATTCTTTAGGTCCCATTTGGGACCTTACACGCTTAATCATTGAACAGCTTCCCAGTTCTGGGAGTGAGACTGTTCAATAAACTCCCAGTTAAGTCAAGCAGGGGAATAATGTCCAGTTTAAAAGATTAGTTTGAGGGAGACTGCTGGCAAACCCCCTATTTGGCGTGGATGAGTTTATGAGGGAACCTTGGAGAGGAGTCATCCGCAATCCAAGATAGCCCATTATGAGTTTGACATGATAATCTAGTCATCGGTGAGGCAGCGGTAATAAAGCTAATTAAAGACTTATTTAAATTACTTTTGAGTAACATTATACTACACTTTTTTAGGTTAATAGTTAATAGGCTTTATCTTGTTTTCAGTATAATTATCACTGGTATGAGTTCCCCAACTGCAGATGATAAAAGTGGTGATTTGGGCATAGGGAAGTCACCTGTTAAGAAATGGGTTCAGTTTGAGGAAGATGAGAAACAGAAGAATGACTCAGAAAACTCTGTGTCACCCACTAAATCTATTGGTAAGTGCAGTGAGCCCTTAAAATTTATTTTATATTGCCATCCTTATTTATTTTCGCTATTTAAGCAAATTTCTAGTTTAAGCCTATTGATGACATATCAATGTAAATATGAGTCAGAAGTTAAGGAAAGGCCAATTGGCTGATTAGGATTATGTACAAGGATAGGGATCAGCTAGCTTACCTGGTAGAGTCCAGATTAGCCTTGGTAAGACACAGAAAACTTTCTTTCTTCTCACAACACAGTCTTCTTTCTTTTCGAAATCCCTAACTGGGAAGAAATATTAAGTTTTTCTCTTATTGTGTTATGTGTTTTATGTGTGTTACCGAGGCTAATTTGGACTCAGTCTACCAGGTAAGCTAGCTGATCCCTATCCCTGTACATAATAATCCCAATGTAAATATATGAGCAATCCACAGAAATCTTTTCTTCTCTATAAGGATAACATGGGAGACAACAAACTGTGTTTAGCAAACTTTTGAACTTTCTATTACGGTACCAATTAAGCAGAAACTAGAGCTGTCAAAAATTATAGCGTCTCGATTTCCCCACCCGCAAACTGATGAGAACCTCTTTAGAGAAGGAGTGGGGGCGTGACGTCACTCTGCTCTTTAGGGAACACCATTACCGTAACGAGACGAATTGATTCCATCGAATCATCGAATTTTCTATTTTACTTTATAAAGCATTTTTTAACTTTTCCCGTAGCAATTACGATCCATTTTAGCCTTGTTTTAGCTATTGTTATGTAAAGACAACAATATGTTCTGTAATTCGAACTATTCAATAGTCCGAACTACCCCCGGTCCCAATTAGTTCGGATTAAAGAGGTTCTACTGTATGCAGGTTTGCTGTAGCTCAAGGTTATACATCTAACATATATTCATTACTAACATTTTAAATACATTTTTTTCCCTGGCATCTAGGGACTTCAAATAAAAAAGTACATCAATCCTGGATATTTTTAGTCCTTTACTTTACAGTCACAAATTCTTTCCTAAAGGAAATTTTTCTTAAAAAAGGAAAAATGTCTTGCAAACAACATTGATTTAGTTCCTGGTTCAGTCATGTGACCAGGGTGTGGTCACTTAGCAACCCAAATGTGTGTTGCATCTACATACTGTCCCCATTTGAAATGTATGCATTCAAACTGGTTTTAATCATTTCAATAATTATTTTGTATTTATTTATTCCTCCCTGCTGTAGGAAATAATTTCTCCACTGGTTTTAGGAAATCAATGAAATTTCAGTTTTTTATTATTTTCAGCAATCGACCGAAAACATTCTTATAATCATGAAACTTGAAATAATAGCTTGCATGTTAAACTTAAACTAGAATTTTCTTTAAAGTCAACAAGTTTTGTGGCCAAAAGGTTTTATAAATATAGTTTAGCAAGGGTTTCAACCTAATAAACACTTTAAGAAGTTAATGGTTCGAGTTAAAGTGAAAAGCATTCAGACTTGAGTTTTGTTTGGTCCGGCTTGTTATAAATGAAGGACCTGTTGACAAAACACAGCATTGTGTGTTGCTAATGCACCTGGTGCTGTGAATCATATGTAAATCAAGCGGCCTTGAAGTGGTTGTTTGGTAACTAATTCACTTTTTGTCTAGTGAACAGAAGATTGTGAATGTCAAATGACTTGTTTCAAACCAAAAGAACTTAAAGCAAATTTTAATTTTATCTGTTTTTAAAAGTTTCTTAACATTGTACAAAATCTAAGACAAAACAATGTTTACAAACTGCAGTAAACAAATATTTGAACTAAACAACATTTTAAAATCCATGAAATACTTTAGACACTTGTACTTAGTGTAAACTGCAAATGATATTAAGATGCAGAATTTGATTAAAACCTGCCAATCATTTACTGTGCATCCACTTTTAACTTTGGTTTTGGTAAAGCACAGTTTGATTAATGTTATTCAGAGTTCAGTTTGTATAAAAATAAAGCATAGTAAAACAAAGAATATAAAGTAAAACTATTGAAAAAGTGTTATTTACCTAATAGGCTACACATGATGAACAAAAATATAAAATTTCACCATACAATTGTAAAAACAAAACTTAAAAGCCTGAACAAATATATTGTAATAAACTATTGTTGATAAAAATATAACCAATGTTTTAAACCTTATTTTATAAAAAATCTGGTAACACCTTGTTTTCTAAGATTGGATATGTAAATGGGGCTATGTAATAACAGTGTAAACATATAGGCCTACCTAGATATTGAGGTATGTTACATTACATAGCAGTATAAGCCTGGTAGTTGAAGTAAAAATTTAAAAAATCCAAGCTTAAATGTGAGTTCTGGCCTCATACTCTGACATATCATTAGTGGCATGAGTTATTTATAGAAAAAAATTAATGGGCGTTAAATTTATTAAACTGAAAGTTGTAAGATAAAGTTTAAAGCCTCATGAGCTATTCCTAGAGAGACGAGTCAAGACAGTTGCCATCTACCAACACATGTAAATGGTTGTCTTAACAGCTGTGATATTAGTTACAGCTACAGCTGATAACTTATTGGCTGTCATCTTCAATCAGCAAAATGTTATCCTACTAATCCTACTAATATTATAAATGAGAAAGTTTGGATGTATGGATGTATGGATGTATGTTTGTGACAAGTGAACGCGAAAAATACTGGTCGGATTGGGCTGAAATTTGGCATGATGATAGCTCACATTCCCAATTAACATATAGGCATGTTCTTATTTCAAAAATCCTTTCGGGCTCTGCCCCAGTGGCTCTGGAGTTTCCCATGTTAACCTTATGAGAAATGGAATTATTGAATCTTAACAGCTGTTTCAATTAAACAAGTTGGTTCTGTTCTATGATGTTCAATAGCATTAAAGTTACAAGGATTACCAACAGGGTGCAGCACTATTATTTCTTTTACATTTATGACAACAGCTAATTTGCAACCAAAAGGTGAGTGAGCGCAGCGAACGAACTTCAACCTGGAGGCGAGTTAGCGTAGCGAACGAGCTAACCTGAAGGCAAGTGAGCGCAGCGAACGAGCTCCAACCTAAAGGTGAGTGAGCGTAGTGAACGAGCTCCAACCTAAAGGTGAGTGAGCGTAGCGAACAAACTTCAACCAGGACATGATTGAGCCATGCGAACGAGATAATCTTAAAAAATTAAGAAGTTAAACGGGGCAAAGCCCGCGGGTTACAGCTAGTATCAGGATAAACCTCTCTTGATGTATATTTAGGGTAACATGTTACATAATATAATTTATTTCCTGTATTTTCCTTGTTAATATTTCTCTTTCAATCTAGTCTAGTTTAAAGAAATTTTGTTAAGAGTTTTGTCTAAATGAGTTTGGGTTGATTACTATGTTGAAACAAATGTTTGCCTCTAAAATGACAGTCCCTGATAACATAACTACTGGAATGGCATCACATTACTTGATGTAAACTTGCTAATGAGTGACATTAGTAGTTGTCAAGCCGAGATAACGGATGATGGCAGCTCCTCAGAGTCATAGTTGTGTGAGTCATCTTTCATCAATGACTCGAGCCATTTTATTGAGTCTAAATCTGATGAGCTAATGATGTGAAATGGAACTGTGCATGCTGATAACAAAAGTTCTTTGATCATAATAACTATCTGTTACTCAATTAATGTCTCCAATGTAGTTTAATGTCTCCTCTAAAATTTTGGGTTGTTCAAGCATCAACTGAATTTGTAATTTTTCTTGATATTGAAGTATTATTTAAAAGCAATAAAAATAAATTGACAAAGCCCGTAATCAAGGTTTTATTTTAACCAATTATAAATTGTATATTTGTGAAGTTGAATTACAACTGATAATGATCACTATTACCTATTCAAAATTTCTAAACTATTACCTTTATAGCTGAAATTAAAACAAGCATATTGCTGTCATAGTTTCATTTTTTTATTTGTATGCCAATGGCCTTTGTATGGAAGTTCCACAAACATGTTTAAGGGAATGTGAACCAACACTTCAATTTTTTGTTGATACTTATAACCACTACCTGCTAACGACACACCTCATTGAACAGGAAGTCCGTTGTACTATTGACTATTGATAAATATTAAGTTCATAATTGCAGTAGCTAATTAATTGAGCAAAATATTAATCATGTTTTTTATTAAGTTTTCAGTTTTCACAGTTGGATAAATTAGAAAAGAATACTTACCAATTTACCATATAAATATAATAGAAATATTTTTATTTGTTCAAAGGGACAGAGAGAAATGGCAGTGGAGGGGGTGTGAAGCCAGTCAGTGTGGAGACGCCGGTGGTGGTGCCCCCGGTAGCTGGGCCAGGACAGTACAGCGGGGCCGTTATAGCCACAGAGTCTGTACATGTCAGTCTCAACCGCAGCGTGACGTCTCCGGGCAATGACACAACTGACACAGCCATTAACATGCGGACAGTGGACTTGCAGAACGGGAAAGCGGCTTCTACCGGAGTGATACGGCAAGGCTTTGGTGAGTTGGGACAAAGGGTTCGGATAAAATAATTGTATTCAATATTACAGGTACAGTAAAACCTTTTTCAACCCTGCCCCATTAAACTGGACCCAGGTTTATTCATGTAGTTTGGGTTTACAGATATTCATTTTTCAGATGACTGTAATTAAAATATAATGTTAAAACAACAGTTGTAGATCTTAATGGACCTACAAATAGCCTTTATCCCAAACATTGATTGCCGTAAAGAATTTGTTATCCGAAACGGGCATGTTTCCGTTATTTTGTTTGGTTGCGGTTTAATTGTATCTTGAAGTGAGAAAAAGTATTTCACACTCTGGTTAAGTAAAAGGCTTGTGGTATCGTTTTAACAGGAATACATCAAGTAAGCTTACAATGAAAAATTGTGAAATATGTTTATAAATAGTTTGAAGCTTGTTTGAAAATTTTGTTGTGCAAGGCAGGCTATTATATAACTTTATCACAGAACACAATTTCAATTTCTAAGTTATTCGAACTTGCATTCAATTGGCAACCCCCTTAGTCACCACTAGCTTGCCTGTGAGACTTAACTATAATAGTCGTTGGATCACATCACAAACAATTTAAGGTTTCTAAAAATAAGATTTGAGTATTTTATCACAACTAGAAAGTAACTGAGAAAGCTGTTAATTTTTTAAATGACTTTTTCCAGCCAACGGTGACATCATTGTGACTCTTTTACCAGTCAATGCCAGCATGCCATGGATCACCCCAGCCAAGTTCAGACCCGAGCTGGTGCCGGAGGAATTGATGGCGCAAGGCCTCACAGTAAGAGGATCTTTTACTTTCAACTTATTCTGTAACACTGCTGGTTGAAAATCATTAGGTTATAATGATTACATGAGTAAAACTTCATCTTAAAATTAATTTTACACCTGACTGGGATAAGATTGTTGAAAAACGTGGGTTTTAATTTTAGGTAGGGCCTACAGTATATCATCGCACACTGCCTTTAAAGTACCCTCCCGATTAACTGAGGTTGTTTGGACCGAGACAACCTCGGTTACCAAGAATCTCGGATAACACGGAGATCGCATAGGTTATGGTTACGGTACCTTATTATGAATTCAAATACTTGTAAATTATATCTTAAAACAACACATAGTAAATTAAAAATTATAATATGTAATTTTTTTGTAATCTTTTTCCCAAATAATGTCGTATAGATAAAGAAAAACACAACAAACATGTTCAACATTTCCTTAATCGTCTTTAAACATAGTAAGACGATATATAAAGCCTAGTATTATAAGAATTATGATAAACAGATACTCTACATTATTTAAAACAAAAGAATAAGGTGGATGTATCTAGTTCAAAAAGAATAAAATTACATTTTGTTTAAGTTTGACCCGATCCATAACTTGACACAACCATGTCTAGTTGTGTAATGTTTATATTAATGGATAAAATCACTGCACAATTAAACTGTGTGTCACTTTTAGCTGACAGTTGAAGACTATGTCAACATCATGGATCTGCTGGTCAACGATGTTCGGTTCAGTGTTTACAACATCTGCTACAAGCGAGTGTTGGTCGTGTGGATATTCACAGCGTTTGTTATTCTCCTCGCCCTCCTTTTCTCTGGCCTGACGGGACTGACATTGTTCGGTCTCGGAGTCATGTGGCTAGTGTTCAATGCAGCCGCTATTTTCTTCTGCATGTGGATCAAAATCAAGGTAAGACTTTCCTTTTGAGTTTTTGGTGAGTAGGCTATGTTGTATTGCAAGGGATCAATGTACGGAGTATAATGAGCAGCTGGATAAAACAAGGATTTATCAAATTTATTCAGTTTAGTGATACACCTGGTTTTTTATTCATCATTACTCTTATCAGTTCCGTAAAATGAAAATAAAATGGCGAATGAATTTAACTGAATTAATTGTTATAGATGAAATCTCTTTTAGACGGAGAAAGATAATATATCGATTGAATTTGAATTGAATGCAAAGATTTCAAAATGTTCATAAAAAGTTAACTTACATACTTCCAAGCCTTAAGTTGCTTATTTACAAAAAATCAATCAGAACATTTTCAACTAAATTAAAACACATCAGTTCATCATAACAGAATTGTTTATTTTGGGCTCTAATCTTTACACTTATTAACTTCTTTCAACTCACATTGAACACTTTTGGTGGTTTTACTATAAATGACTTCATATCAACCTATCTGACATTTCATTTCCAGTTGAACCATAACTTGGAAAGATGCATGGCAAATGTGAACAAACATCTTTTGAAACACAAGATAATTCTAGGATTGGACGATAGAGGGAAGATATCCTGCCACAAAGTCAACCTCTGCTTCATATACTTTGATACAGCAGATTGTGTGGTAAGAACTTCACTTATTATTTTCAAACTTAAGTGTACCGTAAATGTAGTAACTTCAACCCATATTGATATCATTACTGCTACAAACTTTATATTCAGTAGACTCTCAGAAATCTTTCACATTCGAGCTTTTAGTAGTGCTGAGTGTCATCTACAAATTACTATGTTGGAAGAATAGTGGAAACACTACTAAAATAGAGTCGTAAAGGTGACATATATGAGGCTATTTTATTAGTATACCCGTAGTCATTCAGTACCTAAACCTGAAGTCGTTCAGCTGTCTTCATTTTCTGTAAAACCCTCCCAGAAAGCTTACTAAGCCTAAAAAACGTCCAAGATCAATCAATGCCATATTAGTGGAATATTTCATACTAGGCCTATATTAATGTGTGCTTGTTTTCGACCTTTTTAGGATCCCACATGCATGTGGTATCTCGCATAGTATTCCTGATTGGGTAGCAAAGGATATGCCTTTAAATGCGGGTGGAGTAGAGTGTTTCCATTTAAATTGACCAAGAAAATGTTGCTCTGTCATTGAGACAAGTTTTTTCCACAGAAAAAGCTCCAAGAAGTGATAGAGAGGGAGGAGGCAGAAGGTCGGCCTGTCAGTCAAGATGAAGCTCCAGACAAGAAGAGAAGACAAGAGCTGGTGCAGAGGATGGACATTGACGATCAGGACATCATTATACAAGGGAGCAATCCCACCAGGCTCTCAAGAAAACAGGTAAGTGATATTGTAAAATAAGATTTTTTAGTTGCGTTGTTTGTTTATCATTGAGTACATTTGAGTCCATTGATGTACACTAAGCGTATCCCTCTAATTTTTTGGGTAGAATTTTACAATTTGTGTTCTACTTTTTGCTACTTTAAGGACAAACAATAGGCTACTTAACATTGTTAAATGTTTAAAAATAGTTTTTATCTGGTTAAATTGCATCAATTTATGAATCAAGCAGAAACATAAAAAAAAGTTGTTTTGTTGAGTTCTGTGACAATTGTTTCGCTACTTCATTAACATTTAAATTCACTATACAAACTTAAACCAGATGGTACAATTAATTATACTATCGCTTCAGTTTACAATGAATATAATCCAAAAATAAAATACAGATGGGACGCTACAGAGAAGTCCCCGGTTCAAATCCCGCCAATCATAAAGTGATTTTATCTAAGTGATAACGCCGAAACCCTCTAGGCCTAGTCTTAAGTACTGTGAAAACGGTTCTGGGCTAAAACTTAGCGCCCTGGGATGTGAAAGTGGGACAGTGGCCACTTAAGAATTAAAAGATAACAATTACATTAGAAGTATAACAGTTTGCAGTAGGTAGGTTACGAAGATTTCTGCCATTTGTAAAGTATTGGTAGGCTAATTGAAATATGACTGGTTGAAGGGTCGAGGTGAGCAAGTGCTGGCTCGCTATTTGCAGCGTTGGTGCAAGGACTACCTGCGTCGTAGACTAGACTGGACAGTTGACGAGGAGGGGGGCAACCCTCCCGACCCGCGTCATCTCCCCTCCGCGCTGTGTCCTTGTCAGTACATTGAGGGGCATCTGCGGAACAAGCCTAGGAAAGATCCGCGCGCTTGCTGTCCCGCGTTTACTGCTTTCATGCGGGAAAGGGGAATAGATTGAGAATTGTTTGAATGCCATTATTGTAAAATTGTACTTAGAATCGTTCAGTTGTTAAAATGAAGTTTTAGGGAAACAAAATCATTACAATAGAACACCTCTTGTCCTAACCCCCGCAGCTCTGGTTAATCATACTGGACTAAAGCTGACGTACTAGTCCTGGACTAATGGGCTACTTGCTTCCTTTCACACTATTGTTTACTTGCCATTTTCGTATGTCCCATTACCACATTCTGCCATCTCGTTTCTGTCATCGTGTGACTATTTAGCTTTATACTACTGTGCCGTTTTAACTTCTTAAAGTTTGTTGGTTTTTACTTTCCATTTTTGTTTTTATTATTTTTGTTGTTTATTACTGTTGTGAGTGTTTTAATATTTTTTTTGTATGCTATATTTAAAAAAAAATAACAGCTTTTTTGTGACTTCTTGCTATTTTAATACGAGTAGGAAAATTACTGCCAATAATTTTGAATATGAATTACTTCACTGTTAATAATTTTGTTTTACATAGACTAAAACATTGCATTTTTACCAATATTCCAACCGTTTTTCATTTCTTACATAAGCACAGGGCGCCCCAAAGCAGAACTATGGGCAACAGTGTGACATTGTCACAGAAAGACGGTGAGGGCTGCAGAAAGTCCAGCCTGCCCAAATGGTTGTTTAAATTTCTTTTGTTCTCTTTTTTATGATTTATTTTCATAGACAAAGTTAACCTGTAGGCCTATAAGTTTCTGCAGAAAATGCTACATAACAAGTTCATACAATTGCTGTTTTGCAGAAAATATTTCTGTAGAAAGTCGACAACTTTTATTTCTGCAGAAAAATTCTCCTTTCTGCAAATAGTAACGCTACAAAACGCCGTGCTTACTTAAACGAAAGCTGCAAAGTCAATATTCGGTGCATTGATCGTGTGGAAGAACGCTTAGAATAACCAATTTATCAAAGCGATCCAATGTAATAACAGTAGGCGTATTCAAACTGATATGAGCGTTTGAAAACTTATTTTCATTTCCAAATATTCATTAAAACTCATCACACACGCGGTTCAATATCACGTAACTTGAACAGTGTAAACCCGCAGAAAATTTTTGGATTTTTCCAAGTCAGTTGCAGAAAGTTTAAAAACCTGCTTTGGGGAGGTGACGGAACAGAGGGGTTCTACTGTAATTATCACAAGATATTGGATCGTTATAATTTTATTTGCTTACCAACCACAAATAAGACTAAACTTAATTATCATAATCCATTTTAATTGTTTATTATTCACAAAAAATGGTTTTTCCATAAGCACACTCAGCACATTATTAATCGTATTGTATTTTATCATTTAAGTTATATAACCTATTTTATTTAAAATGATCAAACCCTTTCTCTAATTTTAGTTTTTCTACCTTTTATAGGTAAAACATTTTCACATTTTTATTCAAATTTAGGTTGCTGTACACGTTCCATGTTATGAGTTAGGGTTTTAGATATATACTTAGCCCTTTGATACTGTTTGATGGTTATGCATTTCCATTGAACCGTGCAATTGTTGGATACCAGTTTGAATTATTACATTAGGTCGTATTCAGGCCATACAATGAAAATGCAAGTTGATGTACAAGCTTAGTAAGAAACCTGGTTTGTCTCTCTGAAGGAATGCATGATTATTATCCTTAACAGTGATAAACCCATCCTTACTACAGGCATGGCTCACGAAAGCGTGTTGACAATCGTGCCATGCGTAGGGTTTAATGAGCAAAACTAGCAATGTTATTTAGCTTCAGTTAGATTCTAAAATTGGCCAAGTATTGTTGCACTGTTATTAAATCTTATTTCCCAGTTCCCTAAGTATTATTTACACTTTTTTTACTGGTTTAAAATTTGCATTTAAACCTTACACTGCTTGTAAGTAATGTAAAAAGTGAAATTTAGAGAAATAATTAAAGAATCCTTTAGTCTGAATATTTTTTCTTAATTAACAAGAAAAATATAGCTCATATCTGCTTGTTTGACACCCTGATACAACTTTCATACATACACTGGTGAACCACTGTTAGCTGTCTCCTTTCAAGCTTTGAATATTTGCTTAGAAACGCATGCTTGCTTGTTTTCTACATTGCATGGAATACTATTTTTCTCGTTCTGCGTATGTTTTCAGTTTTACTTTCTTTCCAGATTACAGGTGTGAACCGACACTTTAGCAAGATTGATGAACCTTTAGTTGCGAATTATAGAGCATAGGTTTGTTTGTAAATATTGCTTTTCAATATTTAGTGCATTGCATAACAGGCCACCAGTAGATTCCTGGGCTTTCGGGGATCGTAGTAATTAGTTATTGGTGTTTTCAGGATAAGTGAAACTGGTTTTCAGAAAACCCAAAAATATACATTAGGCAATTTCTGATAAGTGTAACTGTTTTGTTTGTCCTAGTACGCCTAGAAATGGAGTTTAAACTTGAACCTTTTGAGGTGCTTGCTACAACACATTACTACTTATCTTTAATAAATAATACAACAATAAGAAAGAAGCGATGATGACTAACTAAATCATTTACAGAAAAAGTTCTAGGCGATTAATAAGTTCACAGAAATGGACATCAACTACTTGCTTTGGCAATAAGAGGTGTTAGGATAGCAGAACCTTTACACTAATTTTGGAATATTTCACTGAAAGCTTTTTAACGAAGGGAAGATTTTAGTCGGGAAAAAGCTTTGTTAATCGGTTAGTCTTAGGTGAGTTAGTTCTGTCTCCAATAATTTTATATTGGGCTCTTCCCACTTTTTTTTTTAAATTTCCGGTACTATTTGTCAAACATTGTATTCAGCATTCTCTGTATGGACTAGAAAGCTTTTAGTATTTGTTTATGAACCCACTGGATAAGTTAGTGATTATATTATTGCTTAACACAGGTTGCTAGGGGTGTAGGTACATGACCCAGGCTGTAATCCTCTTAATCACGGTCGGTTGACCTGTCAGTTTTAGTTTGGTGTCGAACGCTTTCGCATTCCATACCATACATTGCCGAACTGTTAGCGGCAAATCGTTAGCTCTATCACCGCCGCTGTCAAAACGTATCGTTTGTAGGTTAAATTTAAATTTAATTTAACTGCTATAACCTAACCAAACTTGCTGATAATTAAAAAATCGAATAAAGGTTTAATAATTGAAAAATAGTTCTGATCATAAAATTATAAATGCCTTAAATTCCAACAAAAGATGTACAGTTAAGAAGTAATCTCATTCTAAGCGAAATCTTTGACAAGTTAACGCCTCCGGTGGGATTCAAAATTCTCGATTCCCCACCCCTCCTCCGGTGACCACTACCCTCAGGCCATAACAAAGATCTGGGCCGTTGTCCGTCTCCCGGTTGCTAGTTCCTTACTGATTACCAAAGTAGTTGTGCGATTTTTAAAAGCTAGTAGAAAACATAAAAGCTACGTTAGGTTGTGGACTTGCCGGAAGACAAATTTTATAAAGTTAGTGTTAAATATTATTTGTTAAGAATATGGACTTTGTAGGAAGATTCAAAATTTACATACTAATTAAGTCAATTCTGTGGTTTGTAACATAACTTCGGAACAACATTGTGTATGTTGTTACGGGATTGTAGAGGTGAGCTAACAGCTGTGGTGGTGGTGGGTTGTAGGAGAGGGCGCAGATGCTGCTACTCCGCTACTCATCACGTTGGGTCAAGCTGTACGTGCGACAGCGGCTAGACCTGTGTGTGGACCAATCGCATGGCACACCACCACCACGCCACTGTGTCTCGTCTCGGTGTCCGTGTCAGTTCATCGAGGAGCATCTCAAGTACAAGCCCAGAGGCAAGTTAACTCTACGTCAGATCTGTTGTCTTCCCGATTTTCCATTCCAGTAAACCGCTTAGAGAGAGCCAGGTTATCTTTTCATTACTGCATGTCGTTAGAGATTGTGGAAGCAAGGTTTACCAGCTTAGGTTTTGCCTTGGCAAAATTTATATAACTTTAATCCTTCCCAAAGGTTTAAAAGGCTATTTCTTACAGATATTTGTCAAGTTGGTAATAAGAAATTTGGTTCTCAGTTTCTATCGGTATATGCACTATGTTTTACTTTGTCAGTGACAATGCGTCAAATCTGTGGTTAAATAAATACTAGGACTATATTATTTGAAACTGGTTGTCACGCAGATAAAAACTTGAACTGACTAATACTTACAAGGCACAAACATAATACATTAAAAAAAACTTTATTATCTTTATCTACTAAAACTAACTGGCTCTCTCAATCTGTTACCAAACCATATGTGCTTTAAACGGGTGTCTAAATAAATTGTTTCCCCCTTAGTAGGTTATATTGAGTGTGCTTGGAAAGAGATAAACAATATGTATTAGCCCCTGGGGTGGCGAGGGGGGGTTGGAGGGTACAACTACGTGATGGTTAGGGTTACAAATTAATAAAGAAAACAAGCAAAAAAACTGTACTCAGTAGAATCTTGATTATCCAACCTATCCCACAGACAGTCGAGTACCGGTACTGTGAAATTATGTGTGATTACCGTATGGTATGATTTTATTTTATTCTATTCATTACTTTTGACAATTATTACATTGTGTAGCTTATACATCACAGCTCGTAGCGGGTATGTTATAACAACCCCTTTTGCCACGCCCTGTTACTCTTTCAGAAGATAAAAGTCAGGCTTAATGCCCTTGTAATTGCCTCTATACATGACTTATTTTTCTGCATACCACACAGTTTATCAACCCCTCATACCTGCATACATGTGTGCAAGTCTTGGGGCAAACGGTAATCTTTCGCTGATTGGACGAGTGTATCTTACATTGTACAAATTCAGTTGTGGTGTTTTACTTTCTGGTATGCAATGGTAGATTTGAAACAGAAGAAGCAGTTCAATGATAGATAAAGAAAAACGATGGAACATGTTCTTAAAACTTTGAATTGTTTTGAATGCGGAGAAAGTTTATTTATTTAATAAATAATGAGTTTTGGTTCTTTATTTAATGTTAACAATGATGTTCCATGTTATCCAACCTTTTTGCTTATCTGACCTTGCTGTAGGTGACTTAGGTCAGATAATCAAGACTTTGTCCTATAAAGTATGACATCTCCTACACTCAAATAGAAGACAATTCTCAGATAGGACAACATGGGTTTTCAAACTCAATACCTTTTACTACAATCAAAAGTCATTTTCTCTGCCCTTTTATCCACACTCAATATAACCTAGTGTCTAGCTTACTATGTTGTTGACTTGGCAATCGGTGTAATCAAAATGTATTGAAAATCTGATTCAAGACTGATCTCATGATTGTCCTACATCTTACGGCCATTGTTTTACGCAGAGCAGTTAATTATAAAAATGTCACCCGAAGATAATGTTGAGAAGTTCTATTCACTCTAATTTTCTTTAAATCAAGTAAATTAGATGTTACTAGTTTACATAAAATATCTTTACCAAACAGTTGTTCTATTGCCGATGTAATTAATTATAAGCTTCCCAACTCGATAAGTTACCTGACTCCAAATACTTGTAACCCTTTTAAAGGTCCAGGTGACAGAATTACAGCTTTGCACTGAGTGATGGGTGGGTGACGGTTGATGTAAACTAACATGGTGTTGGTTGGGTCCTTCTTTGTGCCTTATTTGTAACTTAAGTGCCTCACAGCTAACCCACAGGGAGAAGACTAACTTAGTTACACCAAAAAATTGTGTATAACACAAGCTACATTGTTGAATAAGTAAAAATTATAATGTTAAGACTGTTTATAAGTAAAGTGTTATTTTTACTGTACTTAAGTTTTGAAATGTTTTAAGCGTGTTAAAGACATATCAGTTTAAGAAATAACCAAAATGATTGTTTTGTTTTCAATCAGGGAACTGGGAAATTTGATCATTAGGCCTGATGTTTGTTAAAGCATACTCAATTGAAATTCCGTTGTACCTGATTGCTTACACACTGTATGATAGGCCTATAACATTGAAAAATCGATAACCAACATTTTATGAAATGAATGTTTATCTCGGCAACTTTATTATATGTGTTGATATCTTGTACATTATCAAATCATGGGAAGAAAGACATTTTTTATCTTTTGATTATGCCATGTAGTTTTAATTTTTATGGAATATTTGTAATAAGTCTACTTTTAAACCATATTATTACCATTTATAGATGTGCGGTTTTGTTGTTAATGTTATCTAGCTTTGTAAATTGCTGGTTCTAGTTTTGGGTTTCAACTGAGTGCAGTATTCTTATGTGCAGTATTTTTTTATTTATAAAATTATATAAAAATTTTATTTTTTCTAACCATTAACAATGGTTTTAAGCATTACAAATGCTTTTGAACTGTTGTTTGAACAATTTTAACTAGTGTACTTAAGAAGCATTACTATTTTTTATATTTATGTATTTTATTATTGTTATGCATTTTAATCAAAATGTTCAATGCTAGCTCAACTGTAATCTCCGTCCAGTATTTGTGATAGGATTGTATTTATTTAGTATTGTGCAGTACTTAAAAAGTGTACTTAAAGTATTTGTTATTTAATAGTATTATTTTATTATGTAGAGTTATTTTTTATTTAAGTTTGCCCAAATGTATAACTGGTTGACAGATGTTAACATTTTTTTTTAACTATTTTTATTTTTCTATATGCTTTTAAGTTTTGTATTACTGTTAGCTATGGTATTTTATATGAGCTTAATTTATGTTTACCAAACTATTACAATATCTGAACAATTTTTATAAAAGAAATCTTTTAGCTTTTTTGACTACTGGAAGGTTTCACTAGCAGAATTGAAATCTAGTTTGTTTTTAAGCTAAAAAGTTGGAATTGAGGTAATTTTAAATTGTAAAATACCTTGTTGAAGTTGGGGAACGTGAATGTGCAAATAAGCTCTGCATAAACTTGCCTAAAATATTTTGTTTTATTTCTGAATACAAAATTGTAGGATAGTAAAAAACCTCCAGTTATAAAAAGAAGCGTAACTATTTTTTGGACAGTAAACAGTCCTTCTATATTCTAAATGTTGGAACTTTGCCTATCTGTAATTCTATTCAGTTTTTTAAGTAACTTAAAAACTAGTTGTAATTTTCCTTTGTAACTTCCCTGGTACGTTTTTACAATAATTCTATAACACTATGGGAAAGCAATAAAAAAATAGAAAATGAAGCTAAAGCTTTTAAATGGGCCTATCTCAAAAACTGATATTTTGAGATTATCTCTGATTAAGTTTTTACGTTATGTACTGTCAGCGTCGGCAGTTGTCTATGCTTATAGGGCTTAGTGACACTAGCTGGCCAAACAAACTGAAATACACCATTCCAAGTTATCAAAGATTATTTAGAAGTAGAAGACATGAGGATACAAAATAGCGATTCTCCTCTAAAGGCCCTTTTAGCAGAACAGTCTCAATTATAGAACTAAAAAATTGTTTTCCATAACTGTCGCGTAATTTAACACTTTAATTGAACTGAATCTTAAAGAGAGTAGTAATTAAAAGGTCCGAAAAGGTTAGTTTGGTGGTTTGTACAGCCTCTTTGCCACTGTCACCTCAAAGCTAAATTTTTATTTATAACCAATAAGAAGTCTATTGAAACATTTTGGGCAAACTCAAATAGATCAAAGAAAAAAATAATAAATGTTCAGTTTCCTTTTAACCAACTTTCAAGTGCAACTCTAATTTCCATATTTTTTGTTAAGTGTCCAATTTTATTATGAAATGTAAATTTTAAATAGTTATTGTTACTATTGAATATATTTCTGCAATTTTATCTGATTGTGTTTTAATGTAGTCAAACCTGAAATCAAGAATATGCCCTTTAAATTCCAGCAAACATTCTTATCCACAATCTATTTAAGGTTAAATGATATGTATTTGATTTTATAGATGCGTCTTTACGATCCTTTCATACAATGCAGTTTTCATCATCAGGTTTAAAACGGGATGATTCCATGTTGTATGTTTCCTTTACATAACTTGATTTCTGACTGTACAGCAAGTTGAATATGTGTTAACAATGTCACAATAAAAATAAACAATGTCCAACTGCTGATCTATTTGCACTGGCTGGTGAGCTCCTGTTTGATTATAACCCTTGCAGCGTGAAAGGTTGTATTTAACTACATCGCCTCTGACTGACGCGCGGCCACGGCACGACAACCGTACGGTTCAGTGGCAGTGCACGGCTGTAAGATTACACGGTTTTCTGCTGTCGCAGTAACCTTGTAGTGTGAAAGCTCTTGTGCTCTTTATACTACTTAACGTACGGTTTTTAAACGTAGGGCAAAGACCGTACAGTGTAAAAGTAGCATTAGAGTGCAAATAAGTCATACACACATAAATAATAAATAATGAAACTGTTTTTCCAGACATTACAAACAGTAACTATAATTAAAAGTTAAAATGTACATGCCATTAAACCAACAGATTGAAGAATAGCACTGCACGTGGGCAGTTTGTATGTGTAGATGAATGTAAAATGTTGATAGGAAAAACTTTCAAATGTTACCCTCACCAAGTTACCATACTACATGTAAAAAACAACAATAAAATAAATAAACATGAAAAAACTTCAAAAAATTCAACTCAAATAGGGTGCTATCTTAGTTATTAATAATTTTTTGGTTCTATTTCCTGATTTCTCTCTTTAAATGTTTACCGTTTTGTACTTATTGAAAACTACTAAAGTAGGCATTACTCTCAAGTAAAACATGTTTTTGATCATAAAATATCAGTTCTAAACTTATATTTAAAAAAAATTGTTTAATATGATTAGTTTTATGCCGTCATTTAAGGGGAATTTTCCCATAGGGAAGTAGCTTTTACCATAGTCTTAGTCCTATGTCTATTGGTTATAGTAATATTTAAATTGCCAAATACAGTAAGATGCCCCCTCCATGTTATTCTGAAATAAATTAAATCCTTTCCGTGTTGCCCATTTTTAGACATGTATTCATAAAATTAGAAAATTTATATATTTTGTTGTACACTTTCAAAACTTTTATAAAAAAAACTTCTACGTTTCTGGTAGTAATTGACCTTAAGATATTACTACATTTTATTTCATTATGAATATGTTTGAATAATAATTACTAAGGCAGCTGGGAATTTGCTTAGCTTGAAGGTTTGCCATGCCGTGCTTATTCTCAAGGCTTAAGTGGTGCTAATTTATTGGGTATCAAATCAAGTTTAATCTCTGAATAGTTAATTGACTATCAATAACCATCTTTCATGTTTCATGCAGCATTGAGAAAAAAGCCAGAAGTTTCTCTGGTCTCAGCATGAGTGAGTAGGGTTTCAACAATGGTTTATCCTGACACCAAATCACTTTTTGTTTTGATTGCACCTTTGCCATCACCGTGTTCAGCTTTTATAGCACTAAACACAATCTGGTGAAGTTTGACATACATTCTATGTTGGTTTGGTATTTTTGGAGAGAAAATTCCACCATTCTACTGGACCACAGTGTATGTTTGTATATAACTTATTTCCTTTGGACCAGAAAAAGGTTTTAGAACTTAAAAACAGATTCAACAGTGAATGAAACATCATGGACATCAGGATCGTCAACATCAGGTAAATAATTGTTTTATTATTATTTTGTGTGCGCTTCTGCACGGATTTCACTTCCATATTTTCTTAACTATGCTCTGCTGATTAACTGCACTTGACTGAAATAAACATCAACCGTAGGTGGCAGCCACTTGACATTTAATTGTTGTCATGCTATTTATTTATTATATTGAAATTGAAATTACAAAATATAAAACAGTGTGATCGTTTCTTGACGAGTGCACAGTAATGTTTTAACATTGGTAACAATATGAGTTAGTCTCTCAGTGCTGCAACTAAACATTATCACTACCATTCATTTAAGTGTTTAATGGCATACCCCTTGTTTTTGTATTTTGCTTGATAGGTGATCCAAAATCAGATTAAGACAGGCAAATTCAATATAAAAAAACTGCCAGTCCAATATTTTTTTTAACTTTTTACATAATTTGTATTTAATAAATGCTTGAAAATATTTAGGATCATTCAATAATTTGACAACTTAATGAAACTAGAAAAAGGATTTTACATTGTTCATAGTATGCTCAGTTTACTATGAATATTTTAAACTAGAAAAAGAGACATGAACAAATTATGGATAACCCTGCTGTTAAAACATGGCCAGTCCAATTTTTTAACATTGTATAGACTGTTTGGTCTATGTATGTTTGTTATTTTCTATGTTTAACATGTTAAGCCTCTGGATCACATATTTTACAGATAAAAGGTTAAATACCTTTAGTACTGTCGGTGATCCACGTTTAGGTCAGCAACCCAGGTTTTGAACCTAAAGGTTCATTTTCGAGCTGTCACCAGTTAAAACATACTCCAAATCCTCTTCATAACTGGGAAGAGTATTCAGAGTATGTTTTAACAGGTGACAGCTTGAAAATGAACCTTAAGGTTTGAAACCAGTGTCGCTTACCTAAACGTGGATCACCGACAATTCTACAGGTATTTAACCTTTTATTTATTTTCTATAACTCGTTCCATGGCAATATGTAAAGTTTAAATCTCACTAACTTTTTAAAAAATACATCAAGTTCAATATTAATTTATCACAGCACTCTCATTGAAAATTTAAAATGTACCACGTTGATTTCTGTCAGTAATTATTAGTGTTCATTTGTACATTTTTATTTTTTTTACTGTACTTTAACCTTGGTTTTAAAGATGTTGATTGAGTACATGGCACTTACTATCTGTTATATACCTATCATAAAGAAATACAACTCAAATAATAATATCTTTTATATAATCTAACAACCGTACAATCTTCATTGGATTGGTATTCAGATTTCGTAGGCAGAGGGGGTTCCAAGGGGAGGGGGCTATAATGACTAAAGCCCCCCCCCCTTGGACCCTGAAATATAAATTTAAACATATATTTTAAAATAGAAATGCAACGGCAGGTTTTTAGACACAGTTAAAGACGTTGAAGTCACCAAACGGCTTTAAAAATAGCAAATTTTCAGGGGGAGGGCCCCCCTGGCTTGGGTTAGCCCCCCTTGACATGGCCCTAGAACCGCCATTGTTCATAGGTCTAGGTAGTTTTTCATTAGGAAGTAAAATAGCAAATCTAAAGAATCATTAAGAAAGCCCTGAGTTGAAGTAGTTTAAAAAATTACATAAGCCTTAGCTATTTTAATATTGAAATATACCTAATTGTATTGTTGTTTAACTTGTACTGTAGCATCTCATCACATTAGTGCAATTTGCCATCAGCATGTGAATGTTTTATCTAAGTCAAATTCATTTAAGCAACCATTTTCAACTATGTACTACCATTACTACTAAGTTGTGTGTCATAAAAAAAACCTAAACACTTTGACATCAATATTATACAAGAGTGAAGTGTCTTAAATTTCTGAACTGCCAAAAGTATATACATTAAAGTTTTATGCAGTTCATTATAAGCTATGCCACCAAAATGTTCAAGTATTTTAGAAGGAATTACAGTTGCAAACATCTAAAACTGATGTTATTTGATTACTGTATGGATTGTATTAATACATTTTAAGATTTCCATGTTCACTTCAGGTACCTTCACACAATATGATCCTGCCATGTTACACCTTGCTTGCTAAGGATGGAAAGGTCAGTGTTAGGCTAGTTAACTTGTAGGCTGCCATAGGCCTAGTGCTCCTTAATGCTACTATCAATTAAGAACAACAGGATCCAGATAACACGATTCCACTGAATTATTAACCAATTTTACTCTTAGAACATTCAGTTTATATAGCTTTGTCATTAACTATATCTTTGTCATTAACATTTACTGAGAGTATTTTCTATCTACCTTGGCAACCTGTTTGTACAGTTTTTGAAACAAAAATGTCTGGTGGTTTTGGAGTTTCTTATTGATCTAGGCTTTATTAACACTTCCTTGTATTTCTTTCTGATCATTTGTGACCTATCTTGCTATCTTGTACAGTTCTTTGGTACTTTCCAAGATGTAATTTGTAGGTCAGTTAGACTATATTGGGTGACCTCAACATAAAAAGCAAAATGAATCAGTGCTCTTATTAAAAAGTCAGATATGTTTGACTCATACATCATTCTAAAAATGCCATTAAAATAAGTCCATAATTTGAATGGCTATTGACGTTAACACTGTTCTTGATCATGTCTAAAGTTATTCTTGAAATGGTATTTTTTCAAATTAATCATGTCACAATTTCATTGGAAATGTCTAGTAGCCCCAAGAATAAAGACCTAACCCATAAATCTCAATGAGCAAAAAAAATTTTCCATTTGAATCTGCTATTGTCTACACCGTAATCTACGAGTGCCCGTGCCACAGTGATTTTTAAAAAAGTATACCTACTGTACATTTTTCTTGTATATATGACCAGTTGGTAGCAACAATGTAGTAATATGAGTTCTCTTTGCTACTGTCACTACCGTCTGGCCTATGGAATTCATAAATTAGGCTGATCATTTTTTTACAGAATCAATCACAATATTGTATTGTTTAAAGATGGAATAAATTAATCAACTCATTTATGACTATTCCTTGGCTAGCCCACCAGGCAGCTACAGCAGCGCTCTTAGATTTTCGTGTAGAAAATCAAATAACAGATTCAAACGCAGCGTTATACTAGCTAAGTGAATTTTCACGATTAGGTTTTTATTCTGCGATAGTAACCAAACAAAAATATCACAAACATTTTTTTATTTTGTAATTTGTGTGCGTGATTGATTTTAATTATTGAATTTAATTAATTGAAGACCTTGTTAGCAAATTAAAGGTTACTCATAATTTTTACAATTTCAGGCTTCAAGTAATGTTTTTAACCCGGAGAATTTAAGATCTTTCAACGTATTTTACAGATGTTTACTGTGGAATTGGACCTCCTACTGATGATCCACACTTCAACATGGGCCTTATGTACTGATACGCCTCAGTGCCTCATAAGACTAGTGCCTAACACCTGAATGTGCATTGATTTCTCACACTTCTGTTACCATAGCCATACGACCGTTTTAGTGAAGCCTTAAAACATTTGGAATTTTGCCGTCCATTTTATTAAACTTATTGATAAGTAATTATTTCAGTATTTTAGTGTTGTATGTGGCTTAAATACTGTCACACTTTTATTCTAAGTTGTTTAGATGTTTTTTAACTTTAGTAATTGGTAAGGAATCTATACATGTGATGAAAGTTTAGATGTGTTAAATTTTTCTGGAATGCACACGGTTTTTCGTAGAATATTAATAGTTGAATAATAAAATTAATTTTATTTACTTTGTATCACCTTTTAGTTTTACATTTTTGCAATCAACCTTTTATTATTGTAAAGTGGTGTGAGCCTTCCATGTTTTCACTAACTAAGAGAAAATATATGCAACTTTTTATAATGGAGTAATAAAAAGAAAGTATTAAAGTATAACCAGTAGGATTTATGTCAACATACATCAGGTACTTTTGTGTTTAAGACTTGGGATTTCACTAAAGCAATTTCACTAAAATGTTTGTCAAAACTATTTTTGATTGATATTGAATACCGTATATGATATATTGCATTTCTTAAGACATAAATTTGTATTTTCTATATTAAAATAATGTACGTCCTGTATATCACTAGGTTTATTTATAGTTTATTTTATTGGACATTATATAATACTTGTCTGTGTTTAATTGTTTAATATTTTACAATTTTTATTGTTTTTAATTATACAAGTATTTTAAAAAGGAGGCTAATGTAATCATGAAACTTTGTATAATATTTGAATATTTGAATCTCTCCTTATAACATTTTAACCTGATATGTATTAGAAGCACAAATCAATTGTGTATATATTTTCAAAGTCTTTGCGAAGCAGTATTCTATCAAGTTATCCCAACCTATTGGATTTATCCAAGCTATTTGTGTATAAATGTATTGTTATTTTTGTAGACTTTTTAAGTTAAGTGTTATAATGAGTATTAAAGCTTTAAAAAATTTATATGGGGAAAATCTATATAAAGCTTAACACAGTTAGGAACTCTGCTTATTGGGAACTGTTTGTAAAGAAATAATTTTACTTTATCAAGAAATTGTTTTTAAGGATGTTTTACTTAACTTTAAATCATGCAATAAGCAGGCTTTTACTAAATGTATTCATTAATTGCATGGTAATGTAATGTTTGTAATGTTATGGATGTAAACTTATTATTTCTTCCTCCTGGTTAATTATTAGGCTATAGTTGTATCTTAACTAGTTACAACCATGAGAAATGTTTATTGTACAAACAATGAATACAAGAGCATTTAAAACACACAGAATTAGCGATTTATTATAAATGTGTGTTTATCATGTTTTAAAAAAAGGTTTTATTGTTGTTTGTTGTTAAGAATAAATATATTGATGTGTGTTGAGAACATGAGATATTACTTACCTTTTTCATGATTCTAATTGTTAAGGTAGATCTTATCAAGAAGATCATGTGTTGGTAAAATATAAAATAAAGCTTATAAGCCAATTTAATTTTACTTGGGATTGTGTAGTCATGCATACTTGACCAAACAAACATTATGATGCAGGAATTGAGTAAATCTGCTATAGAAGTCACCCTTGATGGCATAAGATTGTCTGTTTGCGACACTGTCAACACACTTGGTGTTGTACTTGACAAAGACCTCTCTTTTTCTGATCATGTCACATCTGCAGTTCAACGTGCAGTGGGTAGACTGAGAGGTCTTAGCAGATTTAAAACTCTACTGCCGGAATATGCCAAAATGCAACTCATGCGGTCCTTGGTCCTCCCAGCCTTTACATATTGCTTTCCTGCATATGGTAACAGCATCTCTAAGGAGGTTATGGCAAGAGTTCAAAGAATTCAAAATTCTGCTATAAGGTTCATTTTTGGCCTTAACCGCTTTGATCACGTGTCCTCCTTCCGAGATGCTGCAAAGTTCATCCCAATGGATGACATGTGCAGGAGGCTGACCTGCTGCCTGGTCCACAAAGTGCTCACGCTGGGAGAGCCTCGGTACCTCAGCGAGAGGCTTAAGTACAGAGGGGAGATCTGTCTGCGTGGTAATCGTTCCGACCGCAGGCTTCACTTTCCTAAAGTGAGGCTTGAGGTTGAAAGAAAGTCATTTTCTTATTTTGGCCTGCAGGGGGTGCAGGCCAAAAAAGTGCATTTGAGGTGTTGTTACCCTTAGGACAATAATAAAAAAAAATTATATAAATAATTTCTTCATTATTGTGGATTTTTATCTTTTAGGTAGGGTTCCCCCTTAAGCAGTAAACTTTTATTTTAGTTTTATTTCTTATTTCATTAGCTTTGAATAAGATATAAAAATATTATACTTATTTGATATATTTTTAGTTTCAATGTGTTTAGCCCTTACCATAATTGACAAAAACAAAATACTTGATACAAGCTGGTGTAGCTGGGTTGGCAGAATGGTGACCAACCTGACAGAAACTACAATGGCCAGTAGTGCTGGCCGTACGACCTGAGAGGCACGGCGCTCCGTAAACAATGACAAGCTGACTCAGAAACAGCTGAGGCCAGCACTGCTGGCCATTCGAGGGCAAAGGGTTAAGTTTCATTTCAGAATACACCTGTTTTATTTTACACATCTTTTATTTATTATGTAGGCGTAATATGAGAGAAAATGTATCAATAGAGTGTGTACATAAGTAGTGTTATAGGTAGTGAGAGTTTGGAGGACTTCCACATTTATCCGCCATTGTTAACAGAGTGTTGCATTGATGTCAACTGGCTAGAATCGTGATGGAAATATTAAGAACACAACAGTTAGCTGGAACTAGCTTGCGCTCTCAGTTGTGATTGATCTCATTGGAGATTTTAATTGATGGAAAACTCTTGTAGATTCCTCACCAGAGGAAAGTAGCCTACTGGAAATATTAGATTTGTTTTGGGGATGAAACTGGAAGTTGTGGAATGTTTACATATGGAATCATCGTTGAATGCATAATATTGACCAAGTGCTAGTGATACTTTAATACTTTTCAATGAAATGGCGACCATACAAAGTAGGTATTTTAAGCCAAGTATGAATGGAGATGAGTGTAGGATGAGTGGCGCGATAACTTTTGGTACACTCAAGTGGTGGTGGTGGTAAAATTGCACCAAGAGATAGTGGGTTAGGTGTACTTAAAGGCAGTTGTTATATGTGTAGACTCTGGAGTAGTAACGTAATAGAGCCATACAATGCTAGAGGTATCAAATAAGAATAAGCTTGCTAAAACAAGATCAAAATAAATATTTTAATTAACAACATAAAATCAAATAATTCATTTACCATCATGATTCCAAAGCTTTAGCAGCTTTCAACTTGATGGATTCGGCCATTTCTCTGAGCTCGTCACGATTCTTCTGAACTTCCTGTAACTTCTGTTCAGTTTCCTTTAATAGGTTCTTGAGCGTATGATTAGCTTCAATAAATTCCTTGACTGATTCAAATTTTAAATCCAGTTCTGAACATTCCTCAAACATTTTCTTACTAGAACCTTCTGAAAAATAAACATTAAATACTATGAATAACTAACTGTGTTTGGAATCAGTTGGCCTGATTAATTTTAGGCTAGTTATGGTAATATGCTGTATCATGAACTGATTGTCTTCGGAACTAAAATGAAAAGCGTAATAGAAACAGACATCAGGAGAAAGCTCTGAATCTGCTGAAAAAAAACTATAGGCCTACCTAACTCGATCCAGTTCAATCCAATTCAGTCAGTCCCAGAGCCGTCGCCGTAAACAGTTTTTGTGAGTCGCAAAAGCGACACATAACACTACAGCGGATGTGTTATGAGTCGCTTTTATGACACATAACACTCGGAGGGTTAATTTCTCGGTTGCTGAGTTATCGCTACCGTAAATGTAGTGGGCCTAAGCCATACAATTTGCCCCCTCTAATACAAGGCTGCAACGTTGGGTTGAGGCAGCGTCACACCGCCTGGCCTATTGCCGTGGTAATAACTAACGTGTAAACATAAACATTGTGCAGATGCTCCATTATGAATTAGTGCAACAGCTTTTTCGGTAGGCTAGGACGGAACATTCCCTTTTTCTCTATTAGAGGAAGCTATGAGTAAACTTATAGGCCTAGGCCTAGCCTAAGTGAAAGTACTATAAGTAAAATTTTGTAGACCACACAACTCACACCAAAATTTAAAAAATAAGGTTAGCTATCCCCAATTAGTATCTGAGACAATAGCCTATCTCAGTGGGAGTAACAAGTGAGTTACAAATCTGAATAGGTACAATAATTCGATATGAAATTGCACACACTTACCAACGAATACAGGATCATTAGTGGCAGCCCCTTTGATATCCTCTATTATTTGATCGTTTGTTGGAGGCACAGGCAAAGGAGGGAAAGAAAGCTCACTTTTCTTCTTGAACATTTTTAAGTTAGCCGGAACTGCAAACTAATCAAATCCTAGTTTAGAAACAACGGTTTGTAATCATCACTTACATACTAAGATTTTTAATAGACATAAATTTGTCTAAAAAAAATATCAAAAATGATGTTTTTTAAAAGAGGTTATGTTTATGTTATTTTGTTATTGTACTGTTCGCACAATTTGTTTTTCAGGATTAATTTTGCCAACAGTGTCATTTAGAGGCTTCTGATTGACTATAACGAAGGTTTAGTAATTGAAAAATTTTTTTGTTCATAGAATAAAATTATAAATGCCTCAAATTCAATTTTATATTTTTTTATTATGAAATTAAACTGTCATAACCTAACCTAACCAACCAAACGTGCTGACAATGAAAAAATCTAATGAAGGTTTATTAATCGAAAAAATAGTTCTGTTCATAAAATAAAACTAAAAATGCCTGAAATCCTATTTAATAACTTTTTTATTCTAAAATTAAACTATCATAACCTAACCAAACTAACCAGACTTGCTTATAATAAAAAATCAAATGAAGGTTTAACCGAAAAAAATCTGTTCATAAAATAAAACTATAAATGGGTCAAATTCAATTTCATAATGTTTTAATTATAAAATTAAACCGTCATAACCTAACCAAACCAACCAAACTTGTTGATAATGAAAAAAATCCAATACAAAAAAATAGTGCTACGGGTGGGATTCGAACCCGGGTCCTTCGGATCATCAGCCCAGCACTCTATCCACTACACCACCGAGGCCGATGGCATCAACCGTATCGTCGCGGTAATGATGTTCCCTCAGCCAATCAGAAGCCTCAAAATAATACTGTAGGCAACACTAATCCTGAAATAAAAATTCAGCGTACTTCCATGCCGTCGTGTACTTTTTCTAGTTTGTTCTTTCGGCAGACATAGATAGTTGTCGTGTAGCTTTATACGCAAGTTCGTCTATACTTTAGTACTTTATTGAGTATAATCATAGACTAACCAACACAAGGGACTTATGTTTAACTTAACTAAGGGAGTATGTTTTATCTATGGTATAATATTATTATTAATTGTTTCCTACAGTGGTTAATGATAATAATTTTTGTAGGCCTACATGTGAAACAAGCCGACTTATTATTTAAACGTAGATATTTTAGTTTGGTTGTCCATTAGCTGTTTTTGTTACAGTGTTTTATTTTTGTTCAGTTCGCAGTAGTTATAGGGCCGGCACTTTAAACCTAACATGGGCTCTTATGGGGAATAGATTTAAAGCCTTAATAACCTAACTTAAATAACTGCTATTTTTATCCCTGAGCAAATTGTCTTTTAATAACTCTCTGTAGACCATAATCAAACTTTTAATGTTTATGCGCAATGAATCGGCTTACGCAATCTTACTAATCTATATATTAACTAGCTGTAACCCGCGGGCTTTGCCCCGTTTAACTTCTTAATTTTCAAGATTATCTCGTTCGCATGGCTCAATCACGTCCTGGTTAGTTTGGAAATCCTGGAAGTTTGTTCGCTACGCTCACTCACCTTTAGGTTGGAGCTCGTTCGCTCCGCTCACTCACCTTTAGGTTGGAGCTCGTTCGATGCGCTCACTTGCCTTCCGCTAACTCGCCTCCAGGTTGAAGTTCGTTCGCTACGCTCACTCACCTTTTGGTTGCAAATTAGCTGTTGTCATAAATCTAAAAGTAATAATAGTGCTGCACCCTGTTGGTAATCCTTTTAACTTTAATGCTATTGAACATCATAGAACAGAACCAACTTGTTTAATTGAAACAGCTGTTAAGATTCAATAATTCCATTTCTCATAAGGTTAACATGGGAAACTCCAGAGCCACTGGGGCGGAGCCCGAAAGGATTTTTGAAATAAGAATATGCCTATATGTTAATCGGGAATGTAAGCTATCATCATGCCAAATTTCAGCCCAATCCGACCAGTATTTTTCGCGTTCACTTGTCACAAACATACATCCATACATCCATACATCCATACATCCATACATCCAAACTTTCTCATTTATAATATTAAGTAGGAAGTAGGATTTGAAACTGTTTTTCTTTGTGACAGCTAATTTGAGAGATCGGCTGGGCGTAGAAACTCGGTAGAGGTGTCTAAAGAAAGGGCTTGGTCTGTAGATGAGCCATCAAAAGAGAAACGCGGTAAATTCCCTTGGGGCTCTGCCCCAGTGGCCTTTAAATTCCCATCCCATGTTATTCTTATGGGGGAAAACGGGTTTTTGTCACAGCTAATTTCAAAGAACGGCTGGGCGTAGAAACTTGGTAGGGGTCTCTATAATTTCGATTATATCTAACTGTTGTGTAAATCGTTCTAACTGTTGTGTACATCGTGAATATTTCCATAATCCTTGAGTCGACTTTTATAAAGTCATCGGAAATTATGACCGTTATTCGTTTTAAAATAACGCCTGTAATATTTAGCAATTGCTCGAATTCGAGCAACAGGTACACTAGTATTATAAATGTAAAAGTTTGTGTGTTTGTTTGAAGTTCAAACACGCATCAATTACTATTCGGATTAGGCTAAAATTTGGCAAAATGATAGCTCAAATTCCAGATTAACATATACGCATATTTTTATCTCAAAAATCCTTTCGGGCTCCGCCCCAGTGGTTCTGCTGTTCACGTCCATGTCACTGGCCCGGCCATAACGGAATTAATACATAAGAATTATGCTAATATTTAGTACCTATTTAGTACCAACAAACACAAAATTAGTACCCCATGCGGATGCGGTACCGCGCATTACTAATTAATTTAGGATTCCAGGCCAGTGACACGCTGGCCCGGCCATTTTCGAATTTGATCCTAATATGTATACCATCATTTAGTACCTATTTCGTACTATTTTGTACCTCCATTAATATAATTTGTACCTCAAAGAAAACCAAGCTACGGGCCCTTAAACTGTACAGGTCAATGGCCCCTCAGCCCGGCCATATCGTAATTAACCTGTAGCTTGTTGTGCTATCTGGGAACTAACATATTTTGTAGAGAAGGCCATGTGTGTGTAAAATATTTAATGTTTAGTGCTTGTCTTACTGTCGGTATTGGACTGGGACGGTGGCGTCGTCCTGTTCCAGGTACACTAGGAGGTCACGAATTGTGGATAATATTATAGGCATGCACTGTTGATGTGATATATTCCCTGGTGTGGATTAACGACCGCGCTAGTGAGTACTACGACTATCCGCAGTAATATCTTGATAATTAGACAGATTCGTTAATACCAAGGCAAAAATGTGGTTTGGATTCCACTATAAACTGTTGGTCCCTTTGTTGCCATTACTGTAGCTGTATGGGCTATTAATTATAACAGCTGTGTCTAAGGGATATTTCGGCCTTATTCACTGAAAGACTTCAAGATCACGCCACTCATCACCATTCATACTTGGATTAAAATACCTACTTTGTATGGTCGCCATTTCAATGAAGAGTATTATTATAGCATAGCTTACCTAGTAGCTTACCGTAGTAAGAGCGTTTTTAGATCACGCAGGTGAATGTTGTGCAACAAGCAAACACGCTCTTGCGTAACGTGTAACGTACAAGATTTTACCTGACTCGAAAATATACAGGGGGTTACGTAGACTATTTTTCACTATCCATTTCACTCATCTTCTAACAGTAACGTGTTATTTTAAGAACAAAAGCTAGATTAATTATTTAAAGCATTACAATAAAATTCAAGCGCACAACTGATTTCTAGCGTTAAACGTAGTTGGCTCCATATAGAGGTATATTTTTTAAGTTGAGCACTCAGTGTCATTTAAATGGGTTACATTACCTCACAGAGTGAGTTTTTGAAACTTTACTTCACGAGTGAAGTAAAGAAGTTGTGTACATCACGCTTGGGATAGGGAAGTTTAACATGGCGGGTTAGGTAAAAGTATATTTATAGTCATAGATTAACCAGTAGGCCTATGTTTTATGGTTTTAACTATGGCTTGACAGTATGTCTATGTTTATCTTAAACCCTCCTGCTTGTTGTCATGTTTGACATGTTTTAAATGGTTTTAGAATTAATTGATAAACGAAAAGAAAACAAGAGGAAAATGTCTTGTATCTTGTAAAATTTATTGTAAAATACCTCTAGCGTATACGCTTTGGTATGTGTGACGAACTAGGTATGTTTTTGGAATAGAAAATATGAAGTCAGAATATAGATGAATTATGTCAGGTATATCCCTGTATTATATCTTTCTTTAATCCATCCGGTTTACAGAAATGTGTGCATTTGTACATGATTCTGGTCGCTATTTCATTAAAAAGTATTAAAGTATAAGCTGTTAAAGTATTCTGAATTTGACATGTTTAGCGTCACAGAGATCTTTGCTTCTCCCTGACACTACTTGAAAAAACTACAGCAGACCAATATACAATATCATGGATATAATAGTGTGGTAGCAAAAAATTAGGATTTTTGTTTAATGAATTTTTTAAATGAGATTTTATTAATCAAAGACAGATGTTACATATCTTCTTTTGAAACAAGCTAGTCATTAATTAGATAAATGTTAACGTAGACTAAACATAATCCAAATGCTACACATTTACAACAAATCATGAAAATGATTTGAACAATGATTGAAAGTAATGTCGTCCCATAACGCTGCCCGATGTGGCAGGAGGTCTTCAGATATCATTGTTAGGTTGACATCAATCTGGAGATGATTGGTTCCTCCCTTCTTGGCAGGCAGCCAATGGACATTCTGTAGAAGAGGGTCAGGACCTATGGTGGGTGTCCTGCACAAATAAACAACCTTTATGTACCATTCTTGAGTGGTTGTGGCGACCCTAGCATTTTATAATGAATATGTAATAATTGCATTTGGTAACCTTAAAATGTGAGCCATGACTGTGGTCTCATAATTAAGACTCATACTGCTTCACAAGTAAATCATCCCATTCTGATGACAGCGGACTGGTTTCACATGGCACAAGCGGCTATAGTGGTGAGGTGACTCAAGCTGTAGTACATCAGAATAATAAAATTGTCATCAACTGTTCCATAAGGATGAGTAATCTACAAAGGGAGTATGTTTTATCTATGGTAATAGCTACTTTCCTACAGGGGAATTTGCTAGAAAGCAAAGTAACCTGCAACATTTCATATTTATAGTTCAATGTTATTTTATATTAATTTTGTTTGTATTAGAGAGAACAATCTCTATATGTTATCGATTGTTTTGAGGAGCCAATATTTTTGCATAAGTTGACTATTAATTTTAGATATATGTAAGTTCTATATTTACCCATGTTTTGCAAAGTTTGTCCACATTTTTACCATTCTCCGTCTAGTGATATATTCATTGGAGTTTTCTTCCAAAGTTTTTCTGTTATCTTCATTAATAAACAAATAATTCAGCTCTTCTGTATGACTCACTCCTAGGAATAATATTAAATTAACAATTGTATGACTAGTTAATAAATGATTACTGTTTATTGGGTCACTAATGAACACATTTAGCTATGATAAATACCATTTAATTAATTGAATTTTATTACTCACCTGAAATGTCATACTTTCTCTGAATCTGTTCAATAAATTCATTTTTGAAACGTCCACTAAATGTAAAATAATACACGAACACCGATGATCTAGTTTGGTATTCTCTGGCATTGACCACACTCCCATAAGCATAAAGAACGTCAGTGTATATCTGTAAAGTAAATTGAGCTATGAACAGAGAATAGGACAATGATCAGGTTATGGTAGGCTACAAACAGGTGTTTTAATAAACTTTAAACTGCAAAGAACACTATATCAATTTGAAAATGTTCACCTTAACTCTTATATTATCTATTCTAATAGTTATTACTTGTATAGATTTACTAGCTGTACCCGCGGGCTTTGCCCCGTTTAACTTCATATGTGAGCTCGTTCGCATGGCTCAATCACGTCCTGGTTGAAGTTCGTTCGCTACGCTCACTCACCTTTAGGTTGGAGCTCGTTCGCTGCGCTCACACGTCCTGGTTGAAAGGGATCTACAATTTTTTCTAACACTAGCCAATCACCAATTATTTGATGAAATGTTGTATAACGGGTAAATATAAATTAAATACTTCCCTTTAATAATCTAAAACAATTAGGAACAGCTTGTAGAAAAAGATTACTCAAGTTGTCTTGATCGTTGGGCTTCGATCGCCGCTAAAGAACCAGCTATTCTTATATTTAGTAACAAAGAAGCTGTCATCTCATCTTTGAATCCTGGCTTCGTAAAAATCTAATAAATCTATTTGTATTCTCAGATAAAAAGTTCAAGGATGGTTTCAAAAATGTTATCAATAGTTCACTTTTATTCATTTAATAATTCAGTCAATCAAAACTATTCATGACTTACATCAACATATCCTCGAGCATGTACCTCTGAAGGTGAAGCATCTTTAAAATAAAACTGCCTTAGTTTTTCCGCTTTTAGTTCTGATGGGCAGAGTTTTGCTTCTGGAACTTGCAAGGCATATAAGTATTCCAAATCATTGATAATATTCTTGATGGTTTCTTCATTTTCTAAAAAAATATGCAGTGAATGAAAATATGATTCACATTTTTTTTCTTTAAATAAACCAACTAGGTTAATGTGAGTAAATAACAAGTTAATACATGACGCCCAGTTAAACCATAGGTGGCACAGCAAAAACCTTGACCCGGAAACAATTTACTTTTTTATTTTGATGCCCCCAGAGGTTAACGCTATTTTGTTAACACTATATATTTGTTCAAACTTATGTATATATTTTGTTAGTATTTACACCAATTATAACTTGATGAGGGCTACTTTAAATGTTAATAAGTAAATTAATATACCAAAGTACCATTTTTAGCAAATTTCCCATACAGTATTGGGAATAAGCTATTACCGTAGGTCTCATTGTAAGACCTGGACCCGGGACCGATTTACTTTTTCGTTTTGAGGTCCCCAGAGGCCAAAAACACCATCCGTTCAAATTCATATATGTATAGATTTTAATTTAGGTGTTCACTTAATAGGGCTGCTGATATATTAAATATTTAAGTAAATAAGTACAACTGAGCACCCTTTATAAAATATAATATTCAGGGTGCTCAGTTGTACTTATTTACTTAAATATTTAATGTATAGATTTATATATAATATATATATATGTCCGTTAGCACGATAACTCGAACAAAAATTATCCGATTTTGATTAAATTTGGTATAAACGTGTAAACCTACTTTAAGAAATCTAAGTAGTAAATCTGCCTAGTAAACAACTTACGATTGGAGAACCTATCTATTCCTTCGCCATCATTTATTCCCATGAGGACTGGTACAAAAAAGTCTTTTTTCTGTTTCAACAACTTATAAGGAAATTCGGGCAGGAGAGGCGATGGACTTGTCTTATCAATGGTAGGAGTCCAAACATTTAGTCCTGTCTTAGAATCCTGTCAAAAAAAAAATTAACAACAATTACAGACGAGTGATTAGTAGTTTATTACACTATACTAGTCCCGAAAGTGACTTTTGGTTCAAGATAGTGAGTTACAGGTGAGGCAAAGCAGAGTGCAGAAACAACCATCAAGCCCAAAACAGGACTTTAGTGACAAGTACAAATAAATAGTGAACGACTGAGATACTTATTCTCACCAAAATGCAATTAATCAAACAAAGCTTTTAGTTGTGAATAAAAAAATATTATTTCAAAGTCTTAATTTCAACGTTTTCATAGCATGGTTTTACAAACAATTGAGAAAAATAAAATATTGTCCTGAATTAATTGATACAGTACAACAAAGAATATCTCTTTGATTTGGGAAACCTTTATTGAGGTTTGAAATCCCCATCTCATACTAAAGGTGTCCTTTATACTCAACTTTTGTTTTCTTATTGAGGGTTACACATTAATTTTAGAAGATTGCCTGGGTCTGGAACGATGTCTTCTTTCCTTTTTGTTTCAGAATGTTTACAAAACGCTACCGACCTGAGGAGCCTTAACGAGACCCTGTGCTCTGACTATGTCCTCATACGGAGCAGTTCTCAGGCAGGAGAGAACCTTTGACGTGTTCTCGTGAGGACAGTTCAGCAGCTTTGCCAGCTCCTCTGCGTAATGTCTGTTATCTTCTCTTACTCTGTAAGCTAAAGGCGACCCACTGTCTCCTATGATTCTGTGGAACAACCCTGAAAAGAATAAATATGCCTAAATAAATATGGGGGTAAACATGCTGTATGTCTGTAGTATAATATATCATATGAAAACATTGATGTGTGAGTTTTCGCATAACATGTCATTTATCCTTCTACAAGTGCCTATGACTGTATGTGGATTGATGTATCAAACAAAAATACCCCCGCCGCAGCAAACCTGCAGACTTAGCGAATTTCCATTTGCCTGATTGGATCTAAACTAAAATGTCTCCTTAAAAATATCACATTTATTCCCTATTTAAACAGAATTAGTTTAATGAGTACTTAGGTTTGCTGCAACAGGGAGGGTAAAAAAGTTTTTTTGTATGAAAAATGTTAAAATGTACTGTGGTTTAGTAAGAAATTAATGTATTTTCCAAATTTGATCAAAATATGTTCATAAACAAGCAAACTACAACAGTTGACTTATTCTCCATAAGAATAACATGGCAATTTTAAAATTACAATTTTTTTGAATTTTCTCCGTAACAATTAGGCGCATAACAACGCTTCAATATACTAAATTATTTGTTTTTTTAAGCTCTACAAAATGGTTTAAAAAGAAATTGTGAAATTTTGTGTTTTTAGGGTCAAAAATGGGAAAAACCTATTTTCACCCCATAAAACCCCCCATAAACCCCCGTTCCCATAGTCCGATCATGCTGGTTCGCGAACTCATTCAAGTTTATCCCGCCTTACACCTTCAAACCAAATTTTATCAAAATCGGACAAAAATTACTCAAGTTATCGTGCGGATGGACACACATATATATATATATATATATATATATATATATATATATATCTATATATAGATATATAAAAATTTGAACGAATGGTGTTTTTGGCCTCTGGGGACATCAAAATGAAAAAGTAAATCGGTCCCGGGCTTAGGTCTTACCATGAGACCTACGGTAATAGCTACTTCCCTATAGGGAAATTCGCTAAAAGTAGTACTGCCAAACCAACAGATTACAAGGATGAATAACATGGTAAATTAGTGGTGCACCAGGAAATGAAAAATCAATTTACTACTGTACTGCTTTGGTTATCGTTATGGTTAAAGTATTGCCCACAACAAGGTACTTAAATACCGGTACAAGGTACCGTACTAAGGTATTAATTATTACAATTCACCGGTATTAAATACTCAGAGTGCAACTTATGAGTACTCCTGTTTGCAGCAGAGCTTTTTGTTAGGAAAGGACCATAATAAAGGATTTACGTAGTGTAAGTTTGTGAGTTTATTTGTGAGTTGCTCATTTTGCTTCTTGTTGCTTATCTTTACTGCATTTGTGTCTATTAGTTTACTGAAACTTGTTAAGTAAACAAAATTTTAATCTTCATAAGGCAGAGTAAATGTGATAAAAATAATCATGGTTTAAGGAATGACCCCTGGGACTCGCAGGGTCTGGAGCTTACCAGAAGAGATTGGGGAGATGTAGTGTAAATGAGCAGAGATGGCGCCAGCACTCTCCCCAAAGATGGTGACTTGATGTGGATCACCACCAAAGTTGTGTATCTCTGACTGGATCCACAACAATGCAAGTCTCTGGTCCTTCAAACCTGCGTTGCCTGGAGCATCTTGTACATCCATGTTGAGAAACCCTATAAATGTAACCATTAATTGTGTTAACAGACATGGTTTTGAAATTTTAACTGTAAAGATTAAAGTAAAATAGACTTCAGTCTCCTGTTCTTTTTATATGTTACATTCAGCCTTAAGAGAGATTCAAGAGAATCTTTAGTACAGAGTCTAGAGCCTTTGGTGATTAGATACCGGTACGAGAGTTCTATCCATAATCTAAAGTTATACGACGACGTCTGTCGGGCCAGCTAGTTAGGTATAAAAATAGTAGGAGTATAAATACATCTGGTATTTTATAGTGTAAAATTCCAACTAATTAATTGTATTAATATGATTGCATAACAAGTCATTGGTTGTGTTGCTACTCTAGTGGACTTTGCTGAGGGAGGGATGGGTTCAGTTCATGGTACATCCACAAAGCTTTATGGGTTTGGAGGTTGGACCACTTTCCCTTAAAAGCTTTTAAACTAACGTTGACCTTACCAGAGACAGTACAGTAGAATTTATTCAGATATTATACAGGTTGCAGCAAAAAAACTATCTATTTTCTGCAGCGCACTGTTCAGCGACAGCTTGTCTGAGTGTGGTGGGGGTAGGCTTGTTGGAACTACACACTGCCTTTATCTCTGTAGTCATAGAACAGTGGTCGTCTGAGCTACGTGAGTTTGTTATCGAGTCGTATTTAAAAAGTAATGATTCAGTCATTATTGCAACGCAGTGGCAGTTCCGAGCATTCTTTCAATTAGGGTGACATACAGAGGTTCCATCTCAATTATCTGTATAGATAATCAACAAAATTAAAAAGATTAATTAAAATTAATCTGTTGTGATGAAAATTAAGATCGAACCTCAAAATTCATGTAACCGAGCAGTCAGACATGTTCAAAGCAACTGCTTGTTTTTGGGAGGGCCTACAAGGACTGTTTTCCACAGCAGCATGAACTCTATCGGATGTTTCTTGTCTGGCGTCCGATCTGACTTTGGACGGCCTGTCAGTTTCTTTTTGAACGCAGAAGCCATATTGTTCTAGAGTTAGTAACCCAATGCATGATTGTGATATGCGACGGAACTTGTCAATGCCGCTGAAGTTGCAATGACTGAATCATTTCTTTTTAAATACAACTCGATAACAAACGTACGTAGCTCTGCGACCACTGCTCTATGACTGCGGATAGTGGTAGTGAATAGACTTTCCAACGAGCATACCCCCAGACACCCTTAGACTAACTGTTACTGAACAGTGTGCTGCAGAAAGTAGTTTGGTTTTTTTGCCGCACCCTGTATATATTAGAAATTGTTACTGTTTTCAGGTACACAGCCTGAATTCTATTCCTTAAAAAATAAACCTTCTAAACCAACTATATGACTGTTTTTGCAAGATAAATCAGTATGTTTATACACCACACATGAAATATATTGTTCATGTACATACCTAAAGCTCCTAACCTGTAGTTGAGGGTAACCATGACTACCTTTTCAGCAATCAGCAAATCCGGGCCGTAAGCATCATAGTTGCCGGACCATTTATAAAATCCTCCTCCGTGGATCCATAGAATCACTGGCAAAGCAGGTTTACGTTCTTGCGAAGGCAACTACGTTTTACATAGGAGAGTTAATAGTGAAGAGTATGGTTGAAGTATATAAGGGATTAAGAGGCAGAGGGTTTGGTTAAGCAAGCAAGAACCTACAAAAATCCTAATACGATGAACTATGGATCCATAGTACCATGCTCAGGCAAGGTGGTGTAGGCCTACTCACCCCCACGCAGTTCCCCGGTGGCAGTCCCTCTTCCCAGGATCGCTACAAATGCAGAAAATGGGCCAAACTGAGGTGGAGAGGGAAGCTAAGCTGCAGAAAACTAAGACTGGGAATGTGCAAGACTGTCATCATCATAAAGGGTTTTACTCCTCAATTAGGGCTAGGACCACTCCAAGATTGCAACTGTACATGTTCAATTCGGTGTTTATTTCTTATAATAAGTTTAATATGATTGGTATATAGATAACTCAAATTGAAACGCTGAAATTAATTTATAAACTTCTCGTATAACTGGTCTGAGTTTTAAATATGCTTGTTTGCATATAATTAATATAATAATAATATTAATAATTAATAATAATTAATAATAATAATAATTAATAAATTAATATTTATTAACACACACATTAATTATTCCATTAGATTTTCACTGACCTGTGGGGAGTATACATTTAAGTATAAACAGTCTTCATCCATCAAATTTGTCTCACTGTTAGACATCGCTAAGATCTGGGGGCAAATCGGTCCATGAATTGTGCAGTCCCTGACTTGAGTCCATTTTTTAGGTGGGACTGGGTCCTAGAAAATTACTATTGAAAACTAAAAATGTTTGTGAAACCATTTTATTGTAAAAAATGTTGAATATTTGAAAGATTTTGGGACAGCAGATGTATTTTTAATGTAATCCATCCCTTTAATGGCTTTTTTAAACTGTGTTTGATGCATGTAATTCAGTTTCAGTTACTTCCAATACAGTAGTAAATGTGATACACAGCGAGGGTAGTGTAACTTTACTGTGCACTATCAAAGACAAACAACAAAATTGTGAGATAGAGTGACAATCTTGACAATTTTGTGTTGATACATTTTCAGTTTAAACTAGGATACAATTTTGATGACTTCAGTGTTATATAAAACTCCTCCCTTCTAGCATATATTCACACTACCTATAATTGATACATAACCTTAATACATTATCAAAAAGATAAAAATGAAATTTTTACCTTGAATCGTAGGTCTCCCACTGGTGCGCTTGCATACGGAATTCCTTTAAAGGAATAAACTATCTGTTTTGACCATTCAGACAGGAACTGTTGTCCCTCAATGGGACCAAAACTTGTGTTTATTACAGTTGTCTTCTCCTCAGTTGAACTAAAGCAACATTATTTTTAAAATGCATCAAAATTGTGTGATTGTTATTTATTTTCAAATCTAAATTATATAAAAGGCAAAGCCCTCACTGACTCACTGACTGACTGACTCACTAATTCTCCCACTTCCCATTTACCTAGGAGGCTGAAATTCGGTACACCGATTCTTTGGGCATTAAATAGGAAAACTAAGTAGTTTTTACTCTGATCGGGCTTTCGGGCTCCGCCCAGTGGCTCTGGAGTTTCCCATGTTAACCTTATGATTTTTCATATTTAAAAGGAATTAATGAATCTTAACAGCTGTTTCAATTAAACAGGTTGGTTCTGTTCTATGATGTTCAATAGCATAAAAGTTACAAGGATTACCAACAGGGTGCAGCATTTTTTTTTTTTTTTTTTATGACAACAGCTAATTTGCAACCAAAAGGTGAGTGAGCGTAGCGAACAAACTTCAACCTGGAGGCGAGTTAGTGTAGCGAACGAACTTCAACCAGAACGTGATTGAGCCATGCGAATACTTATGAAGTTAAACGGGACAAAGCCCGCGGGTACAGCTAGTATAATATAATTTTGTTTTGTTATTTTATGCTATAGTCAGATTGCAGTTTATTTTTATTGTAAAAAATGTATACATTCGAACTAACATTATTGTTTCTCATAGTAAACTATGTTTTTAATATTCAAATATAGGGTTTTTTGTTTAGGTTTTATGTTTTACTTAAGTTTGGATTACGTTTTGATTTTTGTGAGTCTTACTCTTAGTAGTTGACCTCGTTAACTTGAATAATTTCTCAAATTCCAACAAAATATCTGTGACAGTTGTTTTATTCTATTCATATAAAAGCCTTGAAACTGATCATCAGCTTAGACTGCGTATATGTTTGGTGATCCAATGAGTGTAGTACTGTCAGATATAATTATATATTCATCTACATCATAATTATGTAATGATAACAAGTTATATAATGTAAATTCACATGGGTAAGCTGGTGAGCCAGAAGTGACTACTGCAGTGATAAGATAGTCTCAAACCAGAAAAGTCTCTCTCTTAGACTAAGATATCCTGAGCTGTAATATTTAATGGATTATTTAAGCCAATTACAATTTGAGATCCTCCCTTTATGGCTTAAAATATTGGCCAAATAAACTTAAGGATAGTGAACAAATGTTATTAGAGGAATAGGAAAATTGGGACCTTTTCTAAGTTCACATAACACATAAAAACTTCAAGCAAGGCGCGTGAGAAAAATTAGGAAAATATTTAAATTTCTCCTGACAAAATGTTGTTGCAACTTAGTTCATCACTTTTCCATGATTTTTATTTCAGATCTTCCAATAGACACCCTTTCTGATTCCCGTAACTACTGCTTCGGGCTTTGGCCAGACAGACGAATGACCTCATTCAGCCAGTAATTTGTGCAGAATTGTTTATTTGTATGCTCCTACCCTCCATTGTACCAATTATTGATTTTCAGGATTTATTCATTTTACTTGTTTTCTTATGAAAACTTCACAGTTCTCTGTGGGATTTTCCCTTTGTGATTTTACAACTTTTGCTGGGTTTGTGTACTAATCTTGCAATGTTTTAGGTACTTTCTCTCTTGAGGACAGGAACAGACTCCAGATTTCAGAACGTCAGTAAACCGGTTTTTTACTAGTAGTTGAGATCGGTGGAGGTTCCAAGGGGGGGGGGCTTCATGGGCTAAAGCCCTCCCCCATTGGATCCTAGAAAAATTAATTTAAGCATACATTTTGTCTTAAAACCGTATGAGAGGTTTTTGGACACAGTTCTAGACATTAAAATGGCTTTAGAAACGGCTTAAAAGATACCAAATTTTCCAGGGGGAGGACCTCTTCATACCTCCTTTTTTTGGGAAAAGCATGATAGCCCCCCCCCCCCCAACCCCTTTAAAAAGTCCTAGAACTGCCACTTAGATTAAACATGTCTGCTCTAACCCCTCAAATAAGATAACCTCGCCATTGTTAAATAATGACTTCAAACAAAGAATTGAGCTATGTTTGGCCAAGCTGATACAACATCTCTTCGTGTAACAAAATGTTCTCAATGCGCTTTCCCTGTCTTATATGTGTTTTTTTTTACATTTGAAAATATCAACAAAGATATTTTTGTGTCTTGTACCCAAATACATTTAGGTACTGTATATAAATTTGTAATTGTCTTTAATATTGTGTAAAAGTATCTCTTTAGTTTTTGTTTGGTTGCAAATACCCCCGCTGCAGCAAACCTGCCGACTAAGCGAATTTCCATTTGCCTGTATTTATTTTCAACTAGTTGTTTGCCCGTTCTACGTACGGGAATCTTGTAGTAAGTTAAAACCTTATATTCAGAACAGGAGTTGGTTTGCATATTTAGTGTGCATTTTTCCAGATATGATGGCAAAACTATAATTGTTTAGGAATAGCTTACATATAAACCTTCTCAAATACAATATCTGACAGTTTCAAAGCCAAAACGAATGCTTCGCAATTAAATGTCACCCGATTGTGTTAGTCCATATTTTATATCTAACGATAAAAGGAATTGCTTTACAGTATAGATCTATGAGGCATAGCCCTAAGGTAGGCCTGTAATTGAAAGTTACTTTTCACACTGGTTAAAAGTAGTTATAACACCAACTACCTCAACCTCACTACTGCACACTTTATTCGGGTTGAAATTTTGATTAACAATGGTGCTCTTGTCTTTTCCACGAAAAATAAGAACATTAATGCGTTACCAATAGACATACACACACAAATACAGAAAAAGTGACAAAAAACGCACAAATCTGGGGTTTTGTACGTTTGTAGTTTTATTTCCTAAGTAGGAAAAGTACCGATATCGTTGTCGAAATGTAAGTAAGTATAGAAACCAAAAGTGACACATTGGATAAGAGAGTTTAGCTACATCTGTTAAGTTAAACCTCTGTTACGGTACGATCACAGCGAAATCAGAAAGATCTTCCAAGATCGCAGCAACATCCACGATCACCCACTGCAGTTGTGATTTTTTACTTTGCACTTAACACAACTGTAACACAACTGTCCTTGAAGCGCCGTCAATGAGTGGAAACCTTTGTAAGCTACGGTATTGGTGACGATGATTAAAAAATGTAAGTTTCCTTGCACTAATACAACACTGATTGACGGTATTTTCCCCGGTTATCAAAACTCAAGAACAATCGTTGCACTTGCGATTAATTAAACCGGTTAAGTAAGGCACAACGTTTTTAATCTCACTTGGTTTGGATGTGCTGACAAAACTTGATCGGAAATGGTTGCGGTATTTGTAAACAACTTTGAATGTAAACATATCAGTGACAGCTAGAAGTGACAACTAATCCAAACAGCTGATCGTTATTTCATAAAATGTAATAGGGAGAAAATTTGACAAAAATCGAACAAAATTGGGTTTTTGGTGGTTTGTTATTTTGTTTTCAAAGAAGCGAGGCCATGTTTTTATAGCCAAAGACTCTCTCACCAATTCAGTAAATACAGAAAAATGATTAGAACCTTGATCGGTACTCTAGTTTTCTAGGAGTAGGCCGCGTAAAATGACATTTTGGCGTTACAGACGGAGTCACAAAATGGACAGACAGACATACAGACAGAAATTGAGATAAGACTCGTTTTGGCTTTCTAAGGCTATGAAACGTAAAAATAACCAAAAACTGCATGATTCTAAGCAAATGTACAGACAAAACTGTAATTTTATTTATATAGATTAATCTATTAAATTGACATTTACTAGTGTACCTGTTGCTCAAATTTGAGCAATTGCGAAGTACAGGCGTTATTTTAAAACAAATAACAGTAATAATTTCTGATGACTTTTAAAGAGATGTAACTCTCGATGTACATAAAGGTTCAATATAATCAACAATTCTTGTAAATATGTTATCATTTTTTAAAAGCTGATTTTGTTTTTTAGTGTTTTCTACAAATGTTTACCACTCATAGATGCATTAGTTTGTCCATAAAAACATTATAAATATAATAATAAAAAAAACATTAATTCTATTTCTTCTACTTAGTGCTGTTCTACGACTTCCCTATGGTTCCACATAGTTTGCAGTATATGGAATACAAACCAATACTCTTAAAGGTTAACATTGGAAACTCTGGAGCCACTGGGACAGAGCCCGAAAGGATTTTTGAGGAAGAATTTGTCTATATATGTTAATCAGGAATGTGAGCTATTATCATACCAAATTTCAACCCTGTCGGTTCAGTATTTTTCACGTTTACTTGTCACAAACATCTATACATCCAAACTTTCTTACTCATAATATTAGTAGGATAAAAATCCTGTGTAAAATTATATTTAGTCTCAAGTCATTATATTTAGTACTGTATTTATTGATGATTCATGGATTGGTGTGGTACTGCTGCTGATGATGGTATTTTAGAGAGTATGGTACATTACACTTGTGATGCCTACTAGGTAACTAATATATAATTTACTCAAGTGGCAAGGCTGTGCAAACATAATTTTTATTTTTTTTTAAAGTGATCTTATCTTGTGTGTTAAAAACTACCTATTTCTAAAATTCAAAGTACAATAATTTTTAACATGTACCAAACATAGGTACACATTATAAGTTATTCATTTGTTTTATTGGTTTATACTTCTCTTAATTGAAATTGGAGCGTTTAACAACTAACAACTAATTTTCAAATCGGTAAGTAAGTTACAAATTACACTTACCAAACAATCAGTTTTATCAATGAACCTAAACACAAGACTAGAGGTAAACACTGTACTGGTACCATGTTTGCATGGAGGCAGCAGTGACAGTAATGATAGAACAGTGATTCTCGCATAGCCTTGACAAACAACTCTTCCAAAAAGAACCTAATTTTAACCTCTAAAAATCATTAACTATCATAGGATCATAGCAAATAAGTGGTGTATAACAAATCATACTAAATCAACATTTCAATTAGCCTAAGTAATCATGTTTTAAAAAAAAATCTTTACTTTTTCAACAATAACCATATCCCAAACCATGAGCTGGAAGGCTTGTTGTAGTACTCACCTCAAACTCTAAAGGTTGCTGGTTAGATCCCAGATGGAGACGGTATCTCATCTCGAACCCCATTGCCATATTTTTTTCATTGGACCCTTGATTGTTGATGTCATCTAAAAAGGGACGATATTAGATGGTAACAATGCCATGGTATGGACCGTTCCCCAAAAGTAAACAAAATTCCAATGGCATAAAATAATATACAAAAAAGGCTCAAGGGTCATTATTACAAATTATATGAATAAGTATTATCAAACAATACAACGCTCATAATTGTGCATGATTTCAGTTTGTGATCGTAGTAAGATCACTTCTAAATATACCGTGGTCAATTATGCACATGTCAAATAAAGCTAATCAACTATTTTACAACTGTGTTAGTAATATTTTTACCTTAATACACCAAATCCTTTAATCCTAGGATAAAAAAAAATCATAAACTAACAAGTGCCTGTAATGTAAACAAATGTTTTTCGAAAGTAAATTCCTTCTTTTTAGCCACATCTTACAGCCTGATGAGGAGAATCTTGATTTATTCTGCTACATATTTGATTCCCTTAAAAAAACCTTTAAAAAATGCCACAGGCATAGCTTATTTACTCCCAAAATACCCCCGCCGCAGAAAACTTGCAGACTAAGCGGATTTCAATTCTTCTTGATTGGATATTTACTTATATACCGTACTCGTGCACCTGTTGCTCGAATTCGAGCAATTGCAAAGTATTACAGGCGTTCAAAAATAATAACAGACGCAATTTCCAATTACTTAAAAGAGCCAACTCAAATATGATTTAATCAATCACTCCACTCCAGTTATCGAAACTGAAAACGAACTCACTCTGAATACGAAAGCTCTTGTTTGTATCATTTGTTTACTATGAACAGCTGTAATTAACACAAATAATTCGTCTGTTTAAGTAAACAAAATGTTTTCTTCATAAGAAATACATTAGGATTTTGATGGCCTGTGGGGCAAAGCCCGAGGACTTTTATACAGGAATCGGTGAAAGGGGGCGTCTACACAAAAAATACTTAATTTTGACACATCGTTTGTAAAAATCCGTCCATTATTAAAACGGAGGAGTAGTGTTTTGTAGAAATTGCCTTCACATATTATATATAAGGATTCAAATACCCAAAAAATATTTTGCCCGCATTCATAACATTAGATTCAACGAGTACTTAGGTTTTCTGCTACAGGGGAAGGTAAACCCATGTAGCACAGATGGTTGGGCCAACGTTGGTAAATTGTGGAGCCACACAGTTGGCCAACGGTAGAAATGTCACCTCTTTAAACTGTTTTCCAGCCAACCATTGTCCAACCGTTTTATTTCACACAAAATAATAAAGATTTAGTACGAAAAGCATAATTATTAGTTGAGTAAATTGATTAAATAGTTCAGAAAAACAAATTTTGAAAAAAAACTAGAACAAAATTTTTTTGGCCCAGACGGGTCTCGAACCCGGGTCCTTTGACTTATGAGCCTCTTACTTTACCACTGAGCTATCTGTGATTGCTGATATAGAGAGTTTTCAAGTGGTGAAAGAGTAGCCGACAGTTGCAATGGTCGCAATACTTCAAACATTTTTGATACTACACAGTATAATATGATTCTGTTAATCTGTTAAGGCATCATAAGTAGTTTTTTTTTGTTGGAGTTAGAGAGGATACTGGTATTTGAATGATTAATTAATTACCGTTAGATTGTTAATGCTATTATAATTGCCTGTTATATGATTAATTACTCTTTCCCCTTAAATTGTTGCAAATAAGTTAAAGAATATTAATTTAAAAAATATTTGCATTATTAAAATTATTAAAATTTATTGTTGTAGCGCCGGAACTGTAATATATAAAATATCTGGTTTTACAATACCTTTATCAGTTCCAAAAAACTTTTGGAAACTTTTGGAACTGATAAAGGTATTGTAAAACCAGATATTTTATTATAATTATGTTGTGAAAGCTAGACCCAGAGAATGAAAGTCGTGTAAACTCAACTATGGACCATTGTTGGTCCAACAAAAGTATCTTTTGTTGGTCCAACGGAGTGAAAAACGGTTGGACAACGGTTGGCTTGATGTATGATACCCAGCAATGCATATTAATGTATTTCATTAACAATGAACCAATGTTGGTCCACAGTTGTAAATATTGGTTGGCCCAACTACGAGATATACAGTTGGACAACGGTTGGTTGGTTGTGGAAGCTCCAACCAACCATCGACCAACTGTCCCACAGTTGGCCAACGTTGGCCCAACCATCTGTGCTACATGGGAAAAGTGTTTTTGATCAAATTTTAATATACAGTGAGAGAAATAAATTTGTTTAGAAATTCCATGCTGTTTTCAACCAGTGGTAAACTAAACTAGGGCTTTATCAAAAAGGCTTTCCATTAAATTTGCTGCTCTGTTCTACAAAATTATGAAACACAAGGTCATAGCATAGATAAAACATACTCCCTTACTAGACACAAAAAACGTGCTTCAAAATTTACAATGGGATGAGAAGTCTACTTGTGTTGGTTAGTCTATGGTCATAGTCAAAGTCAGCTAGGTGATCTTAAAACATATGACCACGAGGTATTTGTTTGCATTTGAAATGTCAGAGATAATAAATTAAGATAACTTTTACAACACTGTTTTCACTTGCTTCTTTGCAGGAATGATAAAGTACTGTTGTAGTTGTGTAAACCAACAGGTTTATCTGAGTTTAATTCAATTTAAAACTTTTCATGCCTGGGAGGAGTTAAAAAAATCTATATTTGAAGACCTTATCTAAACACATGTGAAGCAGTTATTGTTAACAAGAACCTTCAAATTTGAATTAAAAACGTGTTATGATTTTTCTACCTTTTCCACAAAACCATAATAATCAAACAAATCTTATATGCTTAACTTCAAAAATTGGGGCCAGAGCCAAGGATGATATAGTTACAGTTACAGAATATTAATTAAATAAATAAATAAATATCTCTTTATTGTCACTTTAACATTAGTCATAACAGCGTAGTTACTAAACAGGTAACATCTTTGACTATTGATACAACTTCAGTATCCATCAATGATAACAACATTGACAGTCAAAAATCAAAATTGCACTGTTACAAGAATCAGTACACAGAGGAAACAAAAGTCTTATAAATAAATAGGCATTATTAGTTTAACATATAATACCCCTGCCCATGGTGGAAGGAAAATACATAGGTGTGCTATTCCCATCATCAGTGCAGTGGACTTTCTGGATCATTGTTACATATATTGTAATTCTGTAAATTTTTTACACTAGGCTTAGTGGCTTTTAAACTAACTAAATTAATAAACCAAACTAATTTTTTTTCAAACAGAGAATAATTTTAATATAAAAATTAAACTAATTAAAAATCATGATACCCAGTAGACATGTTAGAAGTCACGAGCATGTTAAACATTTCATATTGTGAATTTTTTTTAATATGCGTTTTTAAAAGGATTTTCATTTAAGCTCTATTTGTTTTGGGAAAAATTATAAGCGTCCATCTCTTTTGAACGACTTCTGTAAGCTGTTCCCAAAAAATTTTTTTTTAATGAGTGGTTTTTCTTAAAATTGGGTACGTGTGAATATAATTAACACCTGTATTTTCGGATACTAACAACCCGCAACGTACGGTAGTACGTTCACGTTCACGTTCTCGCCCAGCCCCCACCACCACACAGCTAGAGGGTGCGGGGGTAACGGGTGGCGAACTCAACCAAGGTCGTTCACTCATCCAGTCAATTGTTTCCATTCTACGCGGATTTCCAGGATCTCAGTGACTGTCACCTGTCACACACACGTAGCACGTGCCGTACACACCATAGCCTTGTTTCTCCGTGTTTGTGTTTGTAGTTTTATACAGCTTTAACACTGTGTCATTCTTTTTCTTCAATCAGTTAGTTTTTTATTCATTCATCCGTATATGATATACCCATAACAATGCCTCGAAAGCCGAGGCCACATAAACGAAACAAACATTCAATAGCTGCAAGGAGGTATATAGTCAATAAGAAAAGTGCCGTCGCTACTGCAGCTTCCGTAGCACTAGCAGAGGACGAAGCTACAAATACAGCCCTAGGAGAGTCCAATGATGACATTTTCGACAGATTGCGTGATGAGACCAGGTAAGAATAAAATCCAATCCAATTTATGTATATTTCGTCTATAAGGATACATATTTAGCCTTGGTGTTGTTTAAGAAAACATTTTTATGCATATTGTTAATTTTAAAAAACGCTCACAAATGTAATGGCAATTTTTACAGTTTTTTATTACATACCGTAGTAGCATTCTAGACAATAGTAGTATATTACGTTACTAGTCCTAAAAATATGTGTTTACCGGACGAGTGCGGTCGTTCCCGTGCTAGACCAAGTCGAGCGCGGGATTAACGAGTTCGGTAAACACATTTGAACGATAGTGACGTACGATTTTTACGCCATACTACTATAAGCTAACTTAACAATTAAAAAAACCTGTACAAATCCTTGTATTTTCCCACCGACTTAAGGACAAACAATCACCACTCAAGAAGAGGTTATGATTTTCTTTATATAACCACTCATTGCCAAATATAATCAGCTGGTGTCCGGCAAAAACTCATTATAATACAGTAGTACGTAATGAACCCCTATTTGATTAAGCTAGCGGCAAACAGCTGTTTTCTGGACTAAATAAAATCCTTGCGTGGGGAGTTCGTTAAAACAGTGTAGTGTGGCGTAATAGTAAATTTGACCTAGCTAATGCATTTTGTATTGTTGATGCCATAGTCGCATTTTTTACGTAGGTAGCAATCATAAACGCTTTTGAGGGAAATCGGTCCAATTAACATTACAATGGTTCATTGGGACGGTGGCGTCGTGCTGTAATCTATAACTACTCGAAGGTCACGAATTGTGGATATTTATAGTCATGCAATGTGGATGCGATACTCCCTGGTGTGGATTAACGTCCGCACTAGTGAGTACTACTACGTTTATCCGCAGTACTATCCTGATAGTTAAACCGATTCGTTAATTACAAGGAAAAAATGAGGTTTGAATTCCACTATAACTGTAGTGTGTAGGTACCTTAGTTGCCATTGTGGCTGATGTATGGGCTATTAATTAACAGCTGTGTCTACGGAACATGTCAACAAGTCTTGACTGCCTTAGTCACCAACAAGACTACAAGATCTCGCCACACATCCTACACTCATCTCCATTATTGCTTGGCTTAAAAGACCTACATTCTTATGATCGCCATTTCAGAATAAAGTAGACTATTAAAAGTAAATGTATTGAAATAGCTATTTCACTTAAGGTTTCTCTTAGACTCTTAAGCCACCAAAGTATAAATACTAAATATGACAATTTTTAATACACTTTACATAGCCGTAATAAATGTCTAATAATAATCCACGCTAGTCCACCCTCTTTTTTGATCATAATTTTATGGACTGTTCCTGGTAGTCTTTTTTAGGTTGGCGCCTGGCGGGAACTTTACCGCCAACGATTTGCTCTTCTTTTCTTACTGAATACTGACTTCGTCTTGCTTTTGCTTTGCTTTGCTGTTTTGTCTTGCTGTAATCACTGAACTGATCTTCTTGGACGTAATACAGTAATACGTGATCTCGTGTGAATGTTAATTGTGAATCGTGATCGAAATTCAAGAATAATGAATCTAATCTAACCAAACCCATCCATCGGCTTTGTCTCCCTGTGATACATTTCCTCAAGAGGTTTTGTCTTTAGTTGTTCCCAATTAACTTTAATTTAACATCATAAATAGCCTAGTCAGTGTGCATTTTACTTTAAAGTTGAGACTTTCTTCGTTTTGCAACTTAGGCCTACAACAACATTATGCCAGGCATCGTGATCCAGAGTGAGTCAGTCATCAAACTTTCTTCAGCAACTCCAGATACCATAAAAAGGTAATTAATACAGCCACTAACAGGCTACTTATCCTAAATCTCAATGAAGATCTTACTTTTCAATTGTTTCGTCACTTGCCTAGGCTATACCGCAGGCTACTGCTGGTATGGTTTGGACTGTCTTATAAGAAAACAAAAAAAATAGGGGAAATACAAGGATTAGGAGAAAATCCCTGTCAAAAATTCCCACTCCCCAGAGCCATACACCAACCTTACTGCCCAGCCCATTAAGAACATATTTAATTAGTAGGTTAAGTTCGTCCACGTGCACTTTACTTTAGGTCCTACACTCATTCGAATGAAAATATCGATTATTCGATATATCGTTTGGTTAGTTAAGTTAACTTAGGTAGTTTAACTAACCAAACGATATATCAAATGAAACAATTGATATATCGATCGATATTTTCATTTGACTGAGTGTAGGACCCAAAGTAATGTGCAGCCTAGTCCACAAGTAAGTTATCTTAATATAGCCTATTTGGGTTCAAATCTTTTTTTGATTTAGTAGTGAAACTAAACAAGAGAAGATGGTTGAAGCCAACTGTTACCATGGCTGAGTAACCTACTACCAGAACGTCAACCAGCGACCCTTAGCAGAATCTGAGTCTATTTTAATTTCGTGGTATCTTAGGCCTTAGAGGCACAATAAGTTAATGGACCGTGAAGAGCACATGATTTAGATACCGGTATGCCCTTGTGCCGTTTAACCACACTTGAAGGGATGATATGCTCAGCAATAAAATTCTTAAATACTCTATTAGACCAAAGGGAGAGCCTTGATTGTAGAGCATTCAGGATCGTGTTTAGGAACTCGCTCTCAAATAGGCCACTGTACAATCTGGAAGAGATAACGAGGCCGAAGAGAACTTATCAGTCTCGCACACCACAGCCTAGCCTTAAGTCTTAAGTTTTAAATCTAAAAATAACAATAGTTTAGGCCTAGTGTAATTCAGTTTAAATTGCAAATAGGCCTAAACTGATAGACAATTAAAGGCTAGGCCTATGGTTAATTTTATTAGATAATCTTCCAAACAGTTTGGTCAGAAACAGTAAAATCTTGATTGTCGTTTTGTACTGGTGATAAGCTAATAATTATGTAGCTGCTATTTAAATGTATATTTTATCTTCTGTACATTTCATTGTAAACTTGACTATTCCAATACAATTTAATTTTGTAATTATGGAATAGTGCTCTGTCAGTTTGCAAATCTACACACCTAGACGAACATTTTGCCTTAATATTGTTATCATAACAAATAATAATTATGCTACCTATTTTATTGTTATTAGTAGGCATTTCCACTCTCAGACTCCACAAATATTATTGGAAGCTAAATAAAAATATATGTTTTGCTTTTTTAGTGAGTCGGTGGCTCAGTCGTTAGCGTCGCGGACTTCGGGCCCAAGGCAGCGATGTCGTGGGTTCGGATCCTGGTCACTGCCGATAACATTTTATCAGTACAGTTCATCTTTGTACTGTACCGGCTCACTCCTTGCTTTGCTGTAAACGATCCACGCACGGGCGCTTAGTCTATGTGGACGGGCAAATGCAAGGTTAAAAGAGGCCGCCAACCTCTTTTTTTTAAAAAAAAGACTCTTAATGTTTGCTTTTCATACTTGGTTCCACTGCTTTTAACCTGACATAATGTAATGTTTTTTGTTTTAGGTTGGAAATGTTGGAAAATGAAATAAAAACTAAGGAGATATCAGAAAAAGAATATTGTAACAGAAAGTGGTCATTGCTGAAACCTCATGCAGACTTGGAAATAGTCTCTCAGATTGAGAAGTTGCAAGCTGATTTTGAAACCACAAACATATTGGAGGTAACTAACAGTGTCAAAATAAATTTTAGACTAGTTCTAGCCTAAAAGTGCTACACAAAGTGTGACAAAGGAACTTTTAAGCTTTTCCACCACTATGATCAGTGAAAGCGCCTTAATATATTTGGAAAATATGTAGAAAATAAGTGGTTTATGCTTTTTTATAAGTTAGCATGGTGCACGGAATTGTGTGCACTAATAATCTAGACGTAGGAGATGAAGGACTTTTTATTTGGTGTTTTTTTCCAGGGCTTGTACCCCAACAGGTTTTTTTTTGGGGGGGGGGGGATTTTGGTAATTTTTTAAATTTGTTCAGGACAATTGGGTTTTTGTTGATCTATTTTGATGAAGCTCATAAAACTTTAAAAACTCATCAAATGTCTCCAATGAAGACGGGTAGGATTAGTAACATGAAACAAAATTTTTCAAATTTTTTTTATCATTAGGCTATTGCTTTAGTAGATGATCACTTACCTTGTTCAAAACCATCCTGCGTCATTTTTATTGCCTTCATATTTTTAATATCCCAATAAATCGCCCGTTTTTGGCATTTTAGCGACATTTTGGGCTTATTCAAGGTTATTTTTTTACTTTTTTTTAATAAAAAAAAAATAATACTTATGAAGTCAAACGGGGTGAAGCCCGTGGGTAACAGCTAGTTGTTTTAAATCCATTTTTCCAACTCACCGTGGTAATACATAGGCTATTTTTAGCATATGAAGGGTTAACCGAAAAATTGGTTATCCGAAACAGCTCTCCCCCCTTTATTTCTGTTAACCACGGTTCTACTGATATGGTATATTAATTTTATTTTTTTATTATTTAATTTATAGACTGACTACTGTTCTGAAATGATGAAAATTCTTCAAGTCAACCTTCACATCCATTCGCCTATCAAAGGGAGTGGGAATTCCTTCTCAGGTGATGTTACATCTCCAAAGTTCGGCGGCTCCCCTAAAACATATGGTAAGTTCATACTTTATAAAAAAATGTTTATGCTTTATAACACTCAGTTTGTTGTTGAGCTTTTCATAAAATTTCTTTCAATTCAAGTTATCAAGAACTTTGATTTTTAACCATACATCACATTCCTGTAACAGCCAATATTCGCAGAATGTTGGAATAACTGCCTCGTCTTACTCAATGGCCAACTCTAGAAGTTTTATTTTGTATCATTATTCCCCATAATTCTTATCAATTGTTTCATTCTCCATTGACTACTAATTTTAAGAAATGCATTTCTGCTGGCTGGTTGTTAGAGTGGGCTGGAGAAGAATTAGAGCACTACAGAGCACATGCAGACTTGACCCTACTTTGTTTCTCTACAAACACTAAAAATTAGCCAATCTAAAAAAAAAAAAATAAATTAGCCAATTGGTCTATGCCCTCCGTATTGCTTCATTCCCTTAAAATTGCCTAAATTCACTCATTAAGCAAGTCAGAATGATTATTATTGGCCTACTCAAATTACTTTTGGATTTTTTAAAGTTTCGCTATACAAAGTGCTGTTCTACGTTATTTTAACACATGCCTTAAGTTCATATAAACATATTTCCCAAATTAATTTATAAATGTATATTTTTAATTTTGTGAAGTAGGAAGTAAGATTGTTTGTTTCATTGATAGTATATTTTCCTTTGTTAATTGTTTTTGGAATATAAGTTTAATTTGATTTGATATGCTATGTGACAATGCCTTGTGATTCAAAGCCCACCTTTAACTGTATAAAATCCATCTAGAATAAAACGGATTAGTTTAGAGTAAATTTGTTATTTATAGAATACCTTCCCATATAATAAAGGTCGCTTAATAATTTCATTTCAATTTGATTACCAAAACCACAAATTAATTTGGACTTTGAGCCTGTATTTTTAAACATTAACCCCAGTGCAGCATTGTTCAGTTACAAGTCTCAATCTACACCAATCCTACAGCTTAAAATATACACTCGTGTGTAAACTAGTTTGACACAGTGATAAAGTAATGTAGCCTAGTGTTATAACCAAACCAAAATGACAATGACATCAATCTCAGGTAGACCGACTCGCACTCCTAGAAGTAAACCTACTTTGGAAGCCGACAGTCCGGTTGCTGGTCCCTCCCGCACTCCTGCATCTGCAGCTAAGAAACTGGCTGCGTTTAAAGCTTCCCCACGGAACGGAGACTCTCCAGCAGGTGAGTTGAGATTGGACAACAAAAATATCAATCCCCCTTGAAGTCAGTAAGTTTAACTGCCAGAATAAAATGATATATTTGCATATTCTTAGGAAATATATGAATTTGCTAAATAAACTACCTAACATCAGATTTAACTTTTTAATCTAAAAGGGTTTTTAATGATTTTTATAAAATCATTACCACTTACAGTAGAGCCCCTTTTATCAGACCATGAATGATGGGCGGGGTATGGGCAGAACCCCGGCCAAAATGTTAGATATCGGGTGAAGCAAAAACAAACTCTTTTTATACGTAAGAAAGTTCATACATTTAACAAAAAAACAATACATGTAACGATGAATACTGTTGGGTCAAGCTCGGGTCGAGTGCAGCAGAGCCGAGCGCATATTTCAGTGACTGCAAAAATCATTTGCAAAAATGGGCGATTGAAAATGGACGATTTTAACACAATTGTGAGAGACGATGATGTTGCAATGAATGCCGAAGACGTTAACAAATTTTCCGTAACCTTGGGAGATGATCAGAATTTCACTGTGACCATGGAAGATGTTCACGATCCGCTATGAGCTAAAATCAGGTTTTTGCAGTGAAATTTTAAAATTCCCGCATAATTTACGGGGTTCTCAGAATTCTCAGTCTTTGGTCACCATGTAGGTGGGATATTCCAAGAAGTTGGTTATGCTGGGGTCGGATAAATATTAGGAGTTCTTCTGTATTGAAATCTAATAGTTTGGGCTACTCTGGCAAGCTACAATTTTCTCTTGCATTCTTGTATCTTACAACTTGACAACACTCCCACTGGACCCAACACATCACACTGTTGAGCTTGAAACCCTGTGTTAGTGATCTTCAAATTTACATTCACTATGGTCAACTTCCAGTTCCTTCTATTTCCCATCGAGAACTTATTTACCGTTTACTTGCTATGAGAGCTCTAAAAACTAAACAGAAAACCACCATCTTCCAAAATTTCTGCCATTTAAATTTTATGAAGCTGTTGTTTGTCCAGCCCTATCCATTCATCTGACTGTCCATCGTAGAACAAAGAGGTCGGAAGATCTCTTGCTCATAACCAAAAATCCTCAGCTATGCAACCAAACAGAAACTTTATGATTCCAGACTTTGTTATATGCACAGTTAATTTTACAATAAAAACAACGCAACATACAGTAATGTTCTTTGGCATAATATCATCCGTTTTTTTGTGTAGAAAAAGTTTGTCATTGACAAGCAAAAATGCTCAGTTCTAATATTTATCTTCTAATATTGATATTTCTCTATTTCTACTTCTTTCAATAGTTTAGTCTTTTAAAACCAAATGTTTAATTATTCCAGGCAGCAAGAGAAAGTCTAGTGAAGAGGTTGAAGAAAGTAAGCCGGGTCCATCCACACGCAGAAAGTCTGGAAAAAGGCTTGCTTTGGAAGATGAAGAATCAACTGAAAATGCTAGCTCACCAAAAGGTATCATCTTTACGGTTTGTAAATTGGGGTCCTAAGTATTGTCGATAGTTCATTCCTCTGGTTCTGGTTCAAGATTTCTTATTTTAACCACAATTATACTCAATGGAGTTTTAGACCTTAATGAAGACACCATATCCCTCGACACTATAGTCGTACCACTTAAAAAAAAAACCACCCACTTGTTTGAGTTGCGCAGGTAGGAGAGTCAGAGTGGTGGGGAAAGACCCCTCGCCCCTTGCCAATGACTTATCCCCACCACCGCTCCAGACCCTTCCCCACCATCACCCCTACGTCCGCGAGACAGCCGTGGTTCTGCGCAGGTTCTTTTTAAATTGGTAGGCCTATACCTGTTGCTTTTTCACATGGAGTAACTTACTTATCATTTCAACATTCTTATTCTTTTTTCAAATTTCAGTAAATTTATCCATAGGGTTTTGTTATTTTAGGACACAAGCTACAGCTATCACAATGAACCTAGGTTGGACTAGACAGCTAAACAAAACCTATTCTTAAAACTCAAATCCATACAAAGTTGAAAAGTATATAAAGTAGAATGTAAAGTATAAGTATACCTGTTACGAAGTAAAGTTGAATAGTATACACAACAGAATGAGAATGTAAAGTATAAGTATAAGTGTTTGATTCCTCCACAAAAGCCAGACCTATTCTATTCCTGAAGGAGATTTACGCCAAAAAATGTTATTTGCCAAATATTAGATTTAGTAAACTGACGTTTTTCCCGTATGAAGGAATGTCTAAATATGAGCAATTTCATGGTGTATCTTACATAGAGTTTTATATAGAGTACATAGAGTTTTGTTTTGAAGGGTCGGTTACAGTTAGTTTTTTATTCAAAGTTTTCATACAAAAAAATATAGGCCAACATATTTTGTATAAGCACTTATAAACACTTATTTAAATATCAACTACAAACACTAACTTTGTGTAGGCGCTGGAAGAAAATCTGCTGGTAAGCAAAACGACCACAAAAATACCCAAAAAAACACTTTGAATTCGTGGTTCAAGAAAAATGAGTCAACAGTAAATGGCAAGGCAAGTGAATCTAAGGCTTCAGATCTCAATGGATCTTCAGAAAAGACTGATACTACGTCAAATTCCTCTGACACCAAATTGGAAAATGAGACTGAAGCAATCACTGCTGTTGTGAAAATGGATACACAGGATGTGCCAGAAGAGCCTGAGAGTTCTGTGACTAATGGTGTGAAAATAGAGATTGAAGAAACACCAGTTATTGATGAAGATGAAATTGCCCGGCCAGCTAAGAAAATCAAAACAGAAGAAAGTAAAACAGAGCATATTTCAGAAAAGTAAGAAAATTTGTAATCTAATTTAGTAAAAATATAATATTTAACCAAATTAGTAGTAAAAACCTCTGTAAAACTTAACAAAAATACAATTTATCAATCTAAAACACAACAATATTGTAGGGAAGCAGTCTATTATCAGTTAAGACTGGTGCATACACAATTAATGTAATTATTAGGATTTATGTATTTACATTTTAGGCTCACATAAATGGTCATCAAAAATAATATTTTAGTCATAGGTACATTCAAGACTTGTATAACATATTTTTTCTGATAATGTTATTGGGATTATTGTTTATAATACAACCCATTCAGAAGTTGATTTGATGGGACAATGAAAATAGAAAAATTATCTTGGTAAATTTATAAATAATAATATGACTGGTATTAAAATACCTATGATGGTCAAAACCCAATCTCGAAACCTTATTTACTTAGGTACCATAAATGAATAAACATGAGAATAATGATTGATATACTGTTTGACAGATCTGATATTAAGGAGGCTGACAAGAATTCAGGTAGCATTGGCCGAACAGTGCCCCTGAAATGTGACATATGTCGTCAACTCTTGGGTGACCCAGACACCCGACTCTACCCGGGGCACCCGCACGGAGCTGTGGAAGAGTACATTGCCCTCACCGACCCCAAACTGTCTCTGTTCACTGGGGAGGAAGGAGATATTCACGAGCACGACGCTCGGCCACACAACAAGATCACTCAGTACAGGTAGGTCTCAAGTTCAACTCATGATATTCTTATTAATCAATGAAAAATGTTCATGTAACATTAATTTTGATTATTTAAGTTTGCTATCTGGTTATTTTAGCACTAGCCCAGTAGTAAATTGTAATACAAGACCAGGGTTTGGATCATTCACTTATAAAAACTTAAAAGAAATGCTAATGATGTAGAAACACAAATAAATATTTTGCCGGCTGAGTGCAGAGATAAATCTGTGTACATTATTTTTTATATACAGTCAAAATAGACTTTCTCAGTATTGATTGATTATCCAACAACAACAAAAATAAAAATAAAAAATAAATCTCTTTCTAGAACTTAGAATTAACGATAATCCTATTGTAAGACTGATGCTGACTGTCTGTTCCCTACTAGTACTTAAAGTAAGGTATATCTATTTTTTTACAATTTTGTTTTAGTGTGTATGACAAGGCTGGCCACTTGTGTCCGATAGACGGCGGTCTCATTGAGCGCAACGTGCTGCTTTACTTCTCTGGTTATATGAAACCTGTGTATGAAGAAAACCCTGAGGCAGAAGGTAAAGTTACATTTAACAAATAATTTACCTCATTAAAATATAAAACTGTATGAATTAAATAAAACAATCTTGTAACTTTTAACCTCAGATGTTCATGGTTTTATGAAAGGTCTTATGAAAGTATGGTTTTATTTAAGGTAGCTTGATAATTTTGTTGATCCCAAATAAACCATTTATTTGATCCAGTCTTTAAAGCTTGCCTTCTGTCTTCAGCTTAAAGATGGTGGAATTCCAACCACTCTATCAGCTGACGATAGTTACGAAAACTTAACCAACTGGCAACTAACTCTGAAATAAACATCCTATAGCCTTAGCCTACTATTGATAATATTTCATGATAAATATGCCCTTTCATATAGCCATAAGTAAAAAAATAATCATCATGGTTGACAATTTAAATTTTATAAATGAGTAAATAAAAATATAACCAATTAACTTGGTCCGAATTTATTGGTACTGACATTTCTCTATCAATTCTCGGTCCCGGCACTTTTCAGAAGAACCGGTGGAACCGACATTTGATGTTAAGTACCAACCCATCACTAATTTATAATACGCTATTATTTAGAATAAAACATACTTGTGTACCTGTTGCTCGAATTTGAGCAATTGTAAAGTATTACAGGCAATATTTTAAAACAAATAACAGTTATAATTTCCGATGACTTTAAAAGAGTCGACTCAAAGATAATGGAAATACTCACGATGTATATAACAGTTTGATATGATCAACATTTCTTGTAAATATCTTATCATTTTTCAAAAGTTGATCTTGTTTTTATTTTAGTGTTTTCTACAAAATGTTTTCCACTCATAGCCAATTTAGGTTGTCCATAACTACGATTATAAATTCCAAAAAAACACATTATTTCTATTTTTTTCTACTTGGTGGTGTTCTATGCTTTCCTATGTTTCCATTGTTTGCAAATCGGCTCTTTCAATGATTTATCAAGAAATGCAGCACAGTGTTAATTCGGTTTTCTTTTAAGTAAATATCAAATTGTCCAGGCTTTCTCGCTTTTTTCCATTGTAATATTTACCCCAGCCCAAATGCAAATAGTAAATAGTTCATTTCAACCAAGTCGTAAATGTTTGTAGCACACATTTCCTTAAATTGCAACTAAAATATTAACAGCAATTAAATTATCCAGCTGATCATAACATAATGTAAACAAATATGTTCTTCATAAGGATAACATAGGAACTTTATAAGCCACTGGGGCAGAGCCCAAGGGACTTAAAAAAATGTAAGGTCCAGTTTGCAAATCTACACACCTAGACAAACATTTTGGTATGCAATATGTCGGTTTAACAAAAAAGCCTTATTGTTTACAAAGTTTCATGTAGCGTATTAAATAGATTTCCACTGTACAATTCCACAGCTCATGCAGAATATGAATGGATAAGTATCATCCCAATAGTATTTTTACCAAGTGGCAGAAATAGGTTTTAGTCACTGTGCAAGCAGCATTTAAAGTGGGTGACAAGTCTGTAGCCTATGTTTAAAGCCATCAGAGCCGTACTTGGTTTATATTGAATAGCAGTTTAACATGTGTTTGCCCTCATTGATGGCTCACAAACATCAATCTAAGTTATATTCACACAAACAAAGCTGCTCGGCCGTCATCGATATTAGTGCTGTGGTCCTGCATATTTCTGTTTACATCAGTGGCAGACGCACCATCTTAAATAAGTTGATGCAACAGGTTCAAACAAACAGTGTTTTTGGATGCTGTTGTTTGGATCTGATTGTTAATTTTATTACAAATTTTATCTGTATAAATATACCGTCTGGAAGTAAAGTTTAATTGGTGGGTATTAAAAATATAAGTCAAAACAGTTAGAGATCCTTCATAAAAAGTTAGATAATGAGACAATCTGCTAAGAATTATAGTTTAAGAGCCATGATTGATAAACTCAATTCTACCAGTTTTCAAAACCTGTATAGAAATGCCAATCATGTTCACTTTGTTTTGTTCATCTTTATTAGGTTAAATTGAACCTGCCTACATACACCAATTTTAATTACATATGCAACCCAGGTGGTATTGCCAGCATGGACATGGGTCCAATCAACGAGTGGTGGGTCTCTGGCTACGACGGAGGTGAGAGAGCGCTGATTGGCTTCTCCACAGACTACGGAGAGTATTATCTCATGGAGCCGAGCGAAGTTTACGCCCCTCTGATGGAGACTGTCAAGCAGAAGATCTACATGGGCAAATTGGTTATCGAGTTCCTCTTGGAGGATCCTACTGCGTCTTACGAGGACCTGCTCAACAAACTTCAGGTGTATATTCTTGTGTATATCCACGCCTGTGGTATATATTTTTAGTTTTTTGTAAGGGAATGGTCCATACCCTGGTCTTGTAGACCTTTTTGTTAGATAGTATCACTTATTGACAGCCCAATGACAAATCTGGGTCTGAAAAAAATCTTGCCTGGAATCGAACCAATTTTTTTGTCATTTACTCAATAATCAGAAACTTTGCTGGTATTCTGCTAACTGAGGAAGTTGCGAGACATTATGTCCTTTGAAGTTGATAGGTAAAACCCTAATATAAATTATGAGTAACCCTGTTTGTGGTTACATGAAATGAAATAATATTTTATTCCCCATTAAAAATTTACATACAGTACATAGTATTTTTTTAAATAAATAATACAGAAAACATTACTAAAGTAACTGAGACTTGGTACTGAACACAGAACAGTGGACTGAAAGACAGAGAAGTATTATTACGTCTAAACTCACCGGTAGACTTTTGTCTTGCTTGGAACTAAATTTTCACTGTTCTGGACTAAAATTTAAGATAAAACCAAGTTGTACAAACCGAATTAATGTTTTTTCACACTAAACGTTTTCTTGAGAATGTACTAAAATAAATTAAATAAACGTCATTGACTTCATAGCTATAAAGTGTAATGCACAACACTGTAACTAACATGAAGTGATTTGTACAGACGACAGTTCCTCCCTTTGGCACCACAACACTGTCCGAGGACAGTTTGTTGCGCCACGCTCAGTTCATCTGTGACCAAGTGCTCAGTTTTGACGAAGGAGCTGATAACAGTGATGACCTTCTTATCACCTCACCCTGCATGAGAGCGTTGGTTAACCTGGCCGGAGTCACTTTTGGAAAAAGGTATGATCTCTTGAATAATGATTTTGATAGTTTTTGTGAACACTCTTTTCAATTGACAAGAGTTGTGGTAGTTTAGTTTAACCCATTGGGGAAGGAATTAATCCGCTACCTGCAGCACCCTCTGGTGGCAATTAATTTTACCGAATTTGTACACTTTTACTCTAACTGCTATAGAAAGAAAACCTTAGGTAATAAATTAATAATTCTTTCACCATTTTGTTCACAGTAAAATTGTCTACAGAAAAGTGTTAATTGGATAGTCAAAGTTGTAAACTAAAAAAATAAATATGTATAAAGATTATAAAAATAAAAATTTTAAAAACAATATTTTGAAAGTAAACTTGATATACAAATTCCAAGATTAATGCAGACACTAAATAACACTCTTATTATAAAGGTCGATCGATTCCCTACGTAGAAAAATCAAAAGTTGTGTACTTTTATAAGTAATAACATTTTAAAAAAATTTTTTGTTTACCTTACCGCAGCTGATTTTTGGTGATATGTGGTTTCCATGGCAACACAAAATTGTTTGTTATTCGCTAAAATAAATGAGTAAATACGCAAATCAAGAAGCAAGATATTTATAAACATTATAATAGTAAGAAGAAACAAAAAGGGCGAAAAATAATAATAACTAAATAAAAAATGGCGCTGCCTAGCGGTGACACGAGCGGCTCTCGTAAGTCGGCCTGCAGCGGCCGTACGAGTAACGCTCGTAAGTCGGCGCCAATGGGTTAAAGTCTTCATTTACAGGAGTCTTATTTAAACGAGGTTCTATAACCTGCTTCTTTCTCAATTTTTTTTTTTTCATACCAGTAATGTAATATATACAGGTATATACATAGCAAAATACTAATTATAAGAAATATGATGGAGTTTCATACTAAACATTTAAATGCAAAGTTAACAAATTACTAAATATACGAAAATTGTTGTTGTCAATGACAACAGAAGAGAAATGCGACGTGGCGACAGGAAGGAGATAAGACAGAAGAAGACAAAGCAGGTTTGGAGTAAAGCCACGAGTACTCCTTGTGTCAGTGAAGTGTTCGAGTCTTTGTTTACCGACCAACTGGACACCGATGCAACCTCAAAGGTATTTGATTACAAAATATTGAGCATTATACAATTTTCATTCTTGTATGACTAGGAAAAAATTCTACAATATGTTCAAGTTTCCCATTTATATATTTTCACATCCGAACTATGTAAGGACCGAAAGTAGAAGTGATTTTGGACAAAGTCTTAAGCGGTTGTAAACACAAGTCTCAATAACTTAATAATCATAATTGTTTAGATCATCCTTCTCACTATTGTTACAAAACTTAAAGTTATTATGATTTCATTCATGCAAATCATTGATGCAAAAACTACTCTAGCGAAAGAGCTAAATTATTCTGGGGAGAAAATAGCAATTAAACTAGCTTTCTTTAATTCATTTAATTTGATAGCTGGCCCATGCACAATGCTCTAGATATACTTAGCTTATAACTGATCTCAAAATTCTATAATATTGAAATCTCTGATTAAATCAAAATGTTTACATTTAACCGTTCATGGACATATGACATTCAGTAACATTTAATCCAATTATAATTCATAACCTTACTTTGGATTTCATAACATTACCTTTTAATTAAAAGTCTTTAAATGTCAAAGGTGTTTGATTCGCCATGTTTACTGTCCAGGGTCCCAAGCGCCGCAGGTGTAATGTGTGCGAGGCTTGTCAGTCTTCTGACTGCGGCTCATGCTCCGCTTGCAAGGATATGATCAAGTTTGGCGGCTCAGGAAAGAGCAAACAAGCCTGTATCAAGCGCAGGTAAATTATTATTATATCAATTGTAATAATTATTACAATCAATAAATTATGTTATATACAATATACATGCTCAAAATTGACTATTTTAAAGCTATACGTATATTTTTATCGTTTTTGACATTAATAATACAGGGTGTTTTAAATGGTTATATATTTTTTTAAGTTTATTTCCTTAAACTTTAGGTTTCCAAGAACACACTGGACAAAAATTAGAGTGGAAAAACCTGGTTAGGTCAACTTGAATATGTGGACTGTGCGTGTATTCTGTATAGACTTAGTTACATAGTCAGCAGACATATCATAAAATTTATATTTTCCAACTGTCTGGTGCAAGTCCTTGAATAGTTACACCAGTATTGATACCAAAATACATCAGCGTTGAAACACAGGATATGAAAGATTAATATTTTCTAATATTAAAATACTAATTTTTACACCTCTAAGAAGCTGTGTGAACCCAATACTGTCAACAATCTGTTGTATTATGTTGCAGGTGTCCGAACATGGCCATCCAAGAGGCTGATGATGACGAGCCAGAAGATGAACAGGACATTGTGGCGGAGGATGACTCAAGTAACATGAGCTGGACAGCGACCCGCACTGTTAAAACTAAAAGCTCCAAGAAGAAGGTTGAGTGGGTCGGAGAACCCTTGAAGGACGACGGTCGCAAGGTCTACTATAGGTTAGGTTCAACTACACTTGGTTTTTAAAAGCTGGCAAAGCTTTGTTTATATGAGAAAAATAATCTGATAGAACTAGAAGATTTTGAAATCCAAGACAGAAAAGAACTGGAGTGGTTGAACAGCCCCCAATAGCCTCCCTAAATACTAAAAGATGAAAATATTATTACTGGAACAACCTTTATAGTTTCTTAAGAATTCCTTTTGTGTGTGTTTAGAATTGCAATGACTTTGGTAAAGATGGCTTTATGCAAGGTTTCAAGATTTTTGTTACACAGTAGGTTTACTTTTCTGGCAAAAATATTTGAAAGTACAAATAAACACATGGGAATTTTCAGAATTACAAGTTCTTTCAGCTATAAAGTCTTTTGAAAAGTTTATAAGTAGTTCAAAAATTCTATGATTCATGTGTTTATTTGTACTTCCAACTATATTTGTTGGTAAGGTAAGTCTGTTGTTTAACCTATCTAACACAAAATCGTTAAAGTAACAGCTGCTTCAATATTTCAGCAATTTAAACGTTTGTGTTGAATGTTGCAGCAAAGTGAAGATTGGAGATGAACAGATCACTGTTGGAGATTGTGTGACTGTAGAGCCCAATGATCCTGGCACTCCTGTGTTTATCGGCCGTGTTATATACATGTGGCAGGACAAGAGCCAAGAGAAATTCTTCCACGCCCAATGGTTTTGGTAAGTCAATTAGCTCAATATATTGTTGTTATCAAACCATTTTTGTATTTTATTGTAAAATTGGTTTTCTTTAACTTAATGGTAGCTGTTATTTGGGGGATTCTTGCGGATGGTGTGTAGAAAACCAGTTTTCAGAACGTTTTGGGATCTTGAATCTGATCCTGTCCTAATCTAACAAAGTACTGAAACATAACCAAAATGTAGCCTACATTAACCCACCCTACTGATGAACTGTGATTTACCGTACTAGCTTTGGCTGAAAAATATGACAGCTATTTTCCAATATGGCCGACAACTTTATTTCTTACAAAACACCCTATATTTTATGATTGTTTTAGAATGTAAATGTGGTTTTAACAATTTATTTTATCCTTGCAATTAAACAATGGAATCAATATTTGTAATGTACTTTATGATATTTTAGAATTTAAATATAATTTTAAGACTTTATTTATTTTTTATTTTTTGCATTTGCTCTCTAAACTTACTCGTTTAAGAACTACAGGATGCAGAGTGTACACCGCAAGTCATTTTTTCTTAGGTGTAACACACTGTAACTTCTAAACAAGTTGTAGCCTTAGAAAAAAAAAAAATAGAATAAAACTTTTGTTTTAAATCACATTAAAATTATTCTTAAACAAGCATAAAATATGGGGTGTTCCATAAGAAATATTAAAGTTGTCTGCCATATTGGAAAATGGCGGTCACATTTTCAAAATTCAAAACCATCCCAAAAAACATTATTAAAATTAAAGGGGAGCGCCCCAGAAGAAGATAACTGTCATTCTCATCATAAAAAAGTTGGCTGTTGGCTTACTTTAGGTGAGACAACTTGTATATAACATCATAATTGTTATCATTTTGTTATAGCTCTTTTATTGTTGTTTTTTATTATACATATGATAATTGTTTGCCACAGTCGTGGGTCAGACACTGTGCTGGGCGAGACGTCAGATCCACAAGAACTCTTTGTACTGGATGAGTGCGAGGACTCTGTGTTGTCTGCGGTGGGAGGGTTGGCAGCACTGACTAGAGTGTGTCTGTCCAGCGACTGGGCCACCCAGGGCGGCCAACCGTTGACCATAAACGTGGGGAAGGATGATGGCAAGACGTTCTACTATCAGAAGAAGTGAGTGTCGAATATCTTGTTATGTTAAAAATTCCATCTTGTTCGGATCCGTTTGGTTCACACATCAGATGGTTCAGACACCTTTTGCGTATGACTGCTTTGTTAATAGCTATGTAAAACAAGCCACAATTTGTAAAGGTGCCGGCTGGCAATATCACATATTTTATTATAAAAACAAATGCGCCCAGAGGAAAACTCCGTGGTGTCACCGACAGAGGATGAACAGTTGAAAAGATTCTGGGATTTGGCAAGATTGTGTATTTGCTGATAAAGTGACTCTTTGGATATTTTTTCTAAAACTTGGGATTGGTAAAACTAACTTTTTTGAATATCTTTTGTTTGATAATTAATTATGAACTAGTGTACCTGTTGCTCGAATTCGAGCAATTGCGAAGTATTACAGGCTTTATTTTAAAACGAATAAAAGTCATAATCTCCGATGACTTTAAAAGAGAAGACTCAAAGATTATGGAAATACTCACGATGTACATAACAGTTCGATATAATCATAATTTCTTGTAAATATCTTATCATTTTTTCAAAAGCTGATCGTGTTTTTTAGTGTTTTTCTACAAATGTTTCACACTCATAGCCGCATTAGGTCGTCCATAATAACGATTATAACTTATTATTAACTGACTTTCCCATGTTTCCATAGTTTGCAAATCGGCCCTTTCAATGATTGCTCAAGAAATGCAGCACAGTGTTAATTCAGTTTTCTTTTTAGCATATCAAACTATCCATGCTTTCTTGCTTTTTTCCATTGTAATATTTACGCCAACCCAAATTCAAAAAGTAAATATTTCATTTCAACCAAATGAGTAAATTTTTGTAGCACATGTTTCCTTAAATTGATACTAATATATTAAAACAGCAATTAAATTATCCAGCTGATCATAATGTAAACATGTTCTTCATAAGGATAACATGGGAACTTTAAAAGTCACTGGGACAGAGCCCAATGCATCTTTTCAAAAATTTAAGGCCAGTTTGCAAATCTACACACCTAGACAAACATGTTGGTATATAATATAAGGGGTTAAATCTTAAAATAAAAAAGCCTTATTAGTAACAAATTTTCATGTAGCGTATTAATAATATGGATAGATGTCACCAAAACAACAAAGTTTGTAATTCTTTCCTTAACATAAATTAAATTTTGTAAAATAAAAATGCACAAAAAAAATATTATATGTAGAGAAATGACTCTTACCAATGTTCCTAAACTGTAAACAATATTCTTATTACTCTCTAAAAAAAAAAACATATTTGTGTATAACAAATATGAGGAAGAAACTGAAATTAGAGGTTTTATTAGCTCCTGACTTACACAAGTGTTTAGTTTTCTCAATAAAAGACAAACCCTAGCCAATCGTTTGCTTGAATCTATTAGGTGAAATTTTCACCATTACATGTAATTAAACATAACTAACTTTACAGGTACGACCCATTGCATGCCCGTTTTGAAGATATTCCTGCAGACCCACCATGTTTGAAGGAAGCTACTCATAGGTAAGTAAAGTGTAAAATATAACAATTTTAAAAGTAATTGTGACTTTTTAAAACTTAATTTGTATGTTACATTTGTTTGCCTAAAGCCTAGGAACTAAATAAATTCAATTCTGAGATGAAAAGGTAGAACCCAAGAATAACAACTCTTGGAATTGAAATAGATTTCTTAAGGTTTGGTGGATTTGAGATTCAAAATTTGGCTTGGACTTATCACTACTTAATCCTCCAACCTTATCATATTGTTGTCATAAATTCTATAAATAAATGTTAGACTTACATGTTTTTGTTTTTTTTTAACTAGGTCTATATTCTTTCTTACAATTTCACTACCTATTCTAACATAAATGTCCGTCTAAAATTTTGTATATTACAGGTTCTGTCCATGTTGTGAAAGATTATATCTACAACAAAAGAAAGAAACACCTTGTGTAGACGAGAGACTCGAGGAAGAAACAAATAATAAAGAGGTATACAATTTTGGTTTGGACACATGTTTAAAGTGTTTTTTTCCATTTATTTTAGTTGTATAGAAATAAATAAACATGTAGACTTTTTAAAAATTTTACCATTATAAAACCATTTATAAAAAATATAGATAAGAAAGATGGATTTATACAAATTCAAATTAACAATATTTGAATGCTAACTGTTTTTCAGGTTATGTACGGTGTATTGAGGTGGAAGGGAGAAGAATTTAGACCTGGCAGCTTTGTTTTTCTAACACCAGGAGTGTTCAAGTTCAAGAATGGGTTCTCAGCCATTCTCAAGACTGAGTTTCGCAAACCTGAAAAGGTAAGTAATGTGCCTAGCTCCAACTGCTCTTGATCAATAATGTTTATTAAGGGGGAACCCTACCTAAAAGATCAAAATCTACAATAATGAAGAAATTATTAATATAAATATTTTTTATTATTGTCCTAAGGGTAACAACACCTTGTATGCACTTTTTTGGCTTACACCCCTTTCAACCCCTATATGGGGGTAGTTTTTAAAAAATAGCATGTTTTTTAGGAACAGTTATTTCTCAAGTTCTAAGATAGATATCGATACACTTTTTATCTATTTAAATCCTTTCAGTAGTACCTACAACTTGTAGTATGGGTTTTAACATAAGCCATCTAGGTATAGCTTATAAAATAAAAATAAAATAAATTCATATTATTTTTTATTTGGTTTTTTATTAAGTTTATTTTTATATTTTTAATTAATCCATACTACAGTTTGTAGATACATATATTACCTATAAAATAAAACAAAAATTAAGCTTCTAAGTGAGTTAGAACTGTAGTTACAGCTGTTCGCGTATTTGCAAACGTAGAAAATTCATAATTGCGGTAATCAACAAAAAACCAAACAGCTGACAGAAATACTGTAGACAAAACCATATGGTTTATTTTTATTACAAGATAGAACAACAATTTACACAATTAAGTACAGTATTACTATGGAGATTAGTGCTATATGATATAAAAAGCATTATATTTAAAAATAATTTATTTGAATTTATTTAAAAAAAAAAACATTTAATCGGTATTCCACAGAGGCTTTGCAATCATTTGCATGAAAAACTGAATGCAAAGTTTCCTTTTAAAGTCAAATTTAAATGGTTTCCAAATATACTTTAGTCTTGTATTATGTATCATTTTAACCAGAAACTTGTAAAGAACAACAATATGTAATAAAACAAAAAATAATAATTTTTTTTTTAATTCCATTTTTTTAGGTAGGGTCCCCTCTTAACACTTTCACACTCTAATATGGTTTTAATTTTTAATATAAACAAAAATTATTATTTTTAATCTGCTATAATTGGCTAATGAGTAAACAATCTTATAAAATTATGTAAAATCCTATGAGAGATGATATATTGTACGGTATTGCAACAATTTTTCAAAATTAAAATATCACTTTGAAAAATGGTTAAATATTAACGCTCATGGAATGATTTCCAATAGTATGTAAATTGTGAGTTTTAAATACAAATCAAACAAAAATAAACTTTAAACATTTATTATAAATATTAATTATTATAAAATTAATTTTGTGGAATACAAAATTTAAACCATAAATTTAACCACATTTTCATTCTGTAATAAACTAAATAAAACATAATTTATGTCATACAAAACATTATTATCGACATAAATACATCATTGATGGTAATAGATTTCGGGAGTTTATGTTGCCATCTTCAGACTGATTGGAACATCTGATGTTTCTAATCCAAATGTTCCCGTCAATCTGCTGAATATGGAATCATAGATTGTCCAAAAATATTACCATAAATTATGCATTATGTAAGCGTTGTATCTGTATGACAGAAATTATGTTTTTATTTAGTGCATACTAATACAACATTTTTTTAAATGATTGTAAAAAAGTTTTTTGAGATTGGGGATCTCCTTATACAATAAACAAAATGCAAATTAATTACCTAATTTATTTTATTTATATCTATTATGATGTATCCATTCTGAGTTTTACCACTGGTTCTTGGACATTGGTATCGGTATCAGTATCAAGAATTGATCATCAAATATGTTGATGCCAATTTGATAGCTTAACAAATTTGTAAAGTTCGAAGAAGGGAAGATAGGTACCATTCTTACCATGCTACGAATGGTAAGTTATCGGTACCTATTACCTATTATGAATAAATTTTCGGGCATCTGTATCAAGTCAAGAAATAATAAATTTTTGTATTGACACATATCTAATTATTAGAAATGTGTCGATCTCTAATCTTATTTATTAAGATATGTGCGGATACATCCCATCATCTAAGACTAACTGTTTCCAATAACTTGCAGGTGGACGAAGACCTATATCCAGAATACTACCGTAAGTCGTCAGATCATGTGAAGGGATCGAACGATTCAACACCGGAACCGTTTTGTATAGGATACATCTCATCGATTGTGACCAAATCTCGTGACAAGCTAGTGGCCCCTGGTGACATCTGTCTGAGAGTCAAGAAGATGTATCGACCAGAGAACACTCACAGAGACATCGGTCTGAGTCACCAGCTGGATTTGAACCAGCTCTACTGGACAGACGAAGGTGACTGTAGCTACAGGGTGTTCACTTCTCATGATCACCAAAAGTTACTGAGTTTATTCTAAATAAACTCTAAGGTCATGTCGCAGATTTTTTTCCGGAATCTCGAATTTCAATTTAAAACTGTTCTAGATTTTGATACAGTTAGAAAAATAAAGTACTTACAAAGTTCATTTGGTACTTCAGTATTAAACGGAGGCCACATTTTGTCAGCGCGCTGCGGCGGTTATGTTAGGTTGGGTTATCGTTAGGGGTCTGCGGGTCCCCGATTTTTTCGGGTCGGGTCGGGCCAGCGGAAGGCCCGAGAGACCGGGTCGGGTCAGAGATTTGTTCGGGCCAAGATCGGGTCGGGCCAAAAAAAATAATTATTAGGCTATTTTTAAAGTTATAATAAGTAATTTTCAAAGAAACACTCTTATATACATTATTACAGAGGAATTAAAATGTTAAAATTAGAATTAAATATTAAGTTTGCTCACGTTTAAGAACAAAGACACAACAGAGCAATTATTGCCTTACTGTCACTAGCCAGAGCCAGACGTCTACTGACAAAACAAAAGCCGTGACAATAGTGCAAAGAAAACGAAGTCAAAAGAAAGACTATTTATCCAGAGGTACCAGTTTAATTATTTATTATTTATTCCATACCTAGTTTAAATTATATTTTAGTATTTTATTTACATAATAAATTATAAACAAAAGGATATAGTGTACAGATCTGTATCTTGTTCTTTTATTTTCCTATTGTCCTTTTTGTCATTCAGTAACAAAACAAAACAACACTTCTGATCGTCTGGTTCGGCATTTTATGGTCACCATTTAATTTTTTTTTTAAGTACCAAGTATCAACAAGTCTACAAAGAGGTTAGGCCTAAATATTTTATAATTTTATGAAAGTTTTCATCAGTAAAATTATTTTTTTCTTAAGTTAGATTGAGTTTAAAAAAAAATATTTCTAAGATCCAATACAATATTTACAAGACACAAACTACCATGAATTAATTTCTTTGGAAATTATCTGTAACAGTTTTATATTTTTGAATAAAGAAAATATATCTTTTTGTCTCTACTTCCTTGTTTTGTAACTTGTATTTTGTCAGCAATTGGAACAACCGGGTGGTGTAATAGTGGCGGGGGAGGGGGAGGGTCTATGACCTTGAGTGTCCCCGGGCCTGGCTCGGGTTGTGTAAGATGGGAGGGGTGGGGAGGGGGAGGGTCTGTAACCTTGAGTGTCCCCGGGCCCGGCTGTGAGAGTGATTCATGGTTTTTTGTTTACATTCTACTACCCTTCCTTCCGAGAAAAAGACCCTACAGTTTCAAAAACATTGACTTACAGTATAAAAACATTGAGTTGTGTTGCTAATTAGGGCACTATAATGTCTCTGCTGTCTGCTTATGTTGCCAAATTAGCATTTAACTTTCTTTTCTCTTGATTTAATATAATTTTCTATATATTAAGAGTTCCTTTTCGGGTACCTAATAATTGTGATATTGTTTGACTTGAGTTTATGGATTTTTAATTCTTTTCATTTATTAGCTAAAATCAGTTGTTTTAGGATTTTAATCTCTTGCAATACCTATAACTGTGCCTATAACTGTGTATCTATAACTGTGTATGACATGATATGCAATTTTTACAGTCTTTACTATAACTATACCATAAACAATGTATGTGTGTTATTTATTGTTTTAGAGTTGTATAGAAAATTAGTTTACACAATATCTTTTCTTCAATGAGTTCTCCACTTGTCATGTTGCTTAGTCTATTACTATTTTAGGCCCTATAAAAAATAATTCCTATGTAAAGCTGTGGCATACTAATGCCAATAATAGATAATTCTTTATTTATGATGATGTAACTAATAATGCTATTGTAAGTGTGAGAGGAGGTTAGGAGGCAGGGAATGAATGATTCATATTGCATGGTGGAAACATAGAATTTTTATTTTCTTCTTGCTTGCAGTCTTGAAGCCACAGGCCCTAAACTTGTGATAAGGTTAATTGATTTGTTTATGATCCATTTATGTTAAGTTCCATTACAAACTAATATAGCTGTTTAGATATTTCAATAGTTATGAAAATGGGAAAGAATGGCTTGATAAAAAAAAATATTTTCTTCTTTCTTGCAGTTGAGGCAACTCCTAAGCTGTAAATAAGTTATGAACATGAAATAATATATATAAATACAATCTTTTCCATATGTTATTTTCAAGTAATATTATAAACACAGATAGGAGTTAAAAAAAGAAAAAAAATCCGGTAATTAATAATTTTTGGCCCGACCCGATTTTGGCCCGAAACCCGAGGACCAAAATTATTGGCCCGACCCGACCCGACCCGAACCAAAAAAGTCTGACCCGCAGACCCCTAGTTATCGTAAATATTATGTGTGTAGGACTTTCCTCGCTTCGTTATGAATCGAACGATACTTTCTATTATGATAACCCAACCTAACATAACCGCCGCAGCGCGCTGACAAAATGTGGCCTCCGTTTAATACTGAAGTACCGTTCATTTTTTCACTCAATGAAAGTGTTAGTATATAGCGATATCATGTTTTATGTTAATTTGCACAGAGTATTTTAATACAATCATATAATTCACATTTTCACTACACCATTTAGACAATTCAAATTTGAGATCATGTAACAATTTAAATTTAGGCTTCAATCTTTCCTTATATTTTAAATCACTGCATGACCAAATATAGGCTTACAAAGTAATATGAAGCTTATATTTTTCTACAATTGGACACATAATTTTTCCTAACTGGAATGTTTTATTGTGCTGAATTGGCATTGGAAGAAAATACATTTTTGTTACAATTTAGCTATTATGACTTTTTGGTTAGTAGGCCCATTCTAAAATTTTAATTTTGTATTCCACTCTTGGTTTAGGCCCAAATTATTGTTTAATATATAAATTCCTATGTGTGCTTCTTATATCTGGGAGAAAATTGACATGTAATATAATTTTCAACAGCTTTTTTGTTTTCTTTAAACTGAATTAGGTAGTATAGCCTTATGAATTTTTACACCTCACACATCTCAACATACCTTTTTTACTGTTCAGAACGGTTGGTAAACTTTTCCGAAGTGATGGGAAGGTGTCATGTGATATTCGGAGAGAACCTAGAAGACTCCATGACTCTGTCTGAGTGGACCGCCGCAGGACCTAACAGATTTTACTTCCTTCAAGCGTATGACAGTGTGGGGCAAACCTTTGTTGAGCCCCCATCCCACGCCATGCTCATCGGCTCTCTCGGCAAGGTAGGTGTGCCAATTTATTGTTTCAAAATTAAATTAGTTTCTCACATAAGGCTCTCATAAAGTTTATCATCCTAGAATATGATTTGCTAGTTTACGTTGCTTGTAAACCCTTCTCAGCTTTAATAATACATATTCACCATTAAATGCATAGTTATAGGTAGACAATACTATACATAAGAGTGGCTAAGACCTTGAAACAAAATATTATGCAAAATATACTTAGAAATTGTCTGGGCTGAGTGGTTATAGTGCACACCCATAAATCTGGACTTGACAAGCCATTTCAGATCTGAGAGACAAACATTAACATCAATTTAAAGAACTTTATCTGCAGATACTTGGGACTATTTAAAAGTTTGCTTAAAAGAATATTTAGGCCATTGTAACTATAGTTTAATGATTATGTATATTTTCTCAAGGACAAGAAGTGTCAAAACTTTGTTTGATATGACACAATAAATATGGCTTGTAATGTCGAAATTGATTCTCAAAGCTCTGTACCCCAAAACTCACTTGGTTCCATCGGTCTTATAATCAAATAACAAATCATGACACGGATATAAAACATTAGCATTAACCATGTGTTTAGTAAAACCACCAAAGCTCTAGTGCTCCCACAATAGTGATTGTATCCAATGTTTCAGGGGAAAGGTAAAGGTAAAGGAAAGGGTAAGAGCAGTGTGAAGCCTGTGAATGAAGAGCGCAGGGAAGGATCCCCTGAACAATATCCTCAAGTTACCCCACTCAAGTGTCTGGATGTTTTTGCAGGCTGTGGAGGTCTGTCAGAAGGGTTGCACCAGGTAAACATAACACTTTCACTATTATAGGATGACACAGTAAGTTAGGGACAATGTTTGAAAACAAATAAAAATGTAGGGGTGTAGGAATATTGATTTTGGGTTTATACTTAATTAAATACTTCATAACATTTTGAATATGGAATGTTTATGAGGGAATATTTACATTATTATATCCACCAAAAAGTTTCCAAATTGCAGGGTTGTAATACTTTTTAGGAAAGGCTGTAAGCCAGGATTGTGGTTTGTAGATTACAGGGGTAGCAGCCAGCTTACCTTAGAAAAAGTCACGAACCATAGTACCCATAGAAAACACATAATATATCGGCTCATGGGGGTTTTGATTGAAGAAATATTCTGTGTGTACTATGGACTTGTGCTACAGTAAGCTAGCTGCTATTCCTTACTTATTAGTAGGGATCGGTTGGTTGTTAAAGTCTTTGGTTTTACCGGTTTTTAGCTTAAAACCGATCCCAGTTTATCGGTTATTGTGTAGTTTACCGTGATCATCAATTAATTGCCGCGATCATCATCGTAGTTGGTTTGGAGGACAAAAAGGTTTATCTAATGTTTGTTTACGGGTAATGATGCAATAAAAAAACCATTAGCAGTCCCAAACCTTTTAATATTTTATCATAACAAAAATAATTTTATGAAGTCAAGTACTTCAAAGAACTCGTAGAGTCAATATTTAAGCTCATATCAGTTTTACCACTTGAATTGTTATTCACTTTTTTATACCTTTACGGCTTCCATTATTTATTATTAGTATTAGTGTAATTATGAATTCCAAACTCATTTTATAATGGGAATAACAGTTTTATGATGGTTATTGAATATCTTCTGATTGACTCATACAGTATTTACTATTTTGTCATGAATATTTTAATTTACCGCAGGCCGAAACCGAACGATAAAATCAGCAACCGACCCATAACTACTTATTAGTCTAGGGATGTAGGGGTTCAATACTAAAATATTTGTTCAACTATTTGAACTTTTGAATATTACAAAACTCCTACAGTATGTACAAAAAACACAATACTTCTGACAGCATTTTCAACTGAGGAAGAATAAAGTAACCTTTCATGGTTGAAAATGCTGACACATGAAATTTACGATTTATGTGTATCGTGTAACGGTTTTGTGTTTTTTATCCCAATCCTAAACCTGTTATGTCAACAAAAATCTCTTGATAGCCCTTGTTCCTGTATTTTACACCGTTTGTGTGGCTGTTGTAGGCGGGAGTAGCTGAGACCAAGTGGGCGATAGAGAAGGAAGAATCTGCTGCTCATGCATTCCGTCTCAACAACCCCAACACTACAGTGTTCTCTGAGGACTGCAACTTGCTGCTAAAGATGGTCATGAGTGTATGTACGCTACCTATCTATAGTGTAGTAGTCCAGAGTAGGATCCTGGTGTCCGACACCTTTGAACTGTGCCAGCTCACCCTTAACATTGCTGGATAAAGGCTTGTCAGGAAGAAACCTTACTTTGTTTATACTGCATCATTACCTTTATTGTTTTGTGTGACCTTAATCAGGCAAGTAAAGAAGTTTTGCATTTAGGTTTTGTAATTATTCATGATTAGACAGGATTATGTTTCCATTTCGGTTTTGAGATTTGAAATGTCTGGTTTCTACTATTATTATTGTTTATTGTTATATTTTAGGGAGAAAAGGTGAACAAGAAAGGCCAAGCTTTGCCACAGAAAGGTGAGGTAGAAATGCTTGTTGGAGGACCTCCGTGTCAAGGCTTCAGTGGTATGAACCGCTTCAACTCTCGCCAGTACTCCCTGTTCAAGGTAAAGATTGTTATAATTAATAATAACATTAATAACCCAAGGTGTATGTGGGGAAATAGGCCCGTAATACCACAATATTTCTCAATACAGTAAAACTCTGCTAATCCAGCATCCAAAAATCTGGCATTGTCCTAGATATAAAAAAAAGGATTATAAACCTTCCAGGCACTTTATTTGGAGTTTGCAAGCAAATGGTTGAGACCACGCAAACATTGCAAATTATTATTTTTTATTCCTAATAGAGCTTTTGACTATTTTAGCATTATTCTGGTGTCCTCCCAATTATTTCCCCTTCAATTTGACACTTACAGAGTTTTGGCACATATCCCTACTTAAGTCCTAATCTACCGTGATGCACCGGATTAGTGAATCAACTCAAACACAAACCAAATTTTCTGTCAAAAAAGAAATTTATATATTAGAATATTATTTGGTTGCAGTTTTTACCATAGCAAAATTGATCTTGGGACACGTTTTCTCTGAACATATTACATAATTTTAAATTTTGTATCAGAACTCGCTGATCGTGTCCTACCTGTCGTACTGTGACTACTACAGACCGCGGTTCTTTATCCTGGAGAACGTTCGCAACTTTGTGTCGTTCAAACGCAGCATGGTGCTCAAGCTGACCCTGAGATGTCTGGTGAGAATGGGCTACCAATGCACCTTCGGAGTCCTGCAGGCCGGGAACTACGGCGTGCCTCAAACTAGAAGGAGGTTAGTTTTTTTGTAGTAAAAAAAATTACTTATGTGGGAAAAAATAGGGAAAATCACAAAAGTTTGAATAAAATACACCAAATTTTGAAAGTAGGGCGTTTTTTGAAGGTGAAGGGATGCGATTTTCAGAAAACGCCTAGGAGGGTTTTGTAAAAAATGTAATTCCTGACAAACGATTTTCTTTCAAATCTCGTCTAGCTCTTACTGTTATTTAGGTATAGCCATATCAAAAAATTGTGTTTTGTTATTTTTAGATGTCCGCCATTTCAGATTTTTTTTGGGGGGGGGAATTTGAAAACGGGGCTTTTGCAAATTTTACTGACACTTTAAGAAAGTCGGTATTTTTCAATGTTATTCCCCATAAGAATAACATGGGGGCAAAGCCTAAATTTTGGAGGCTTAAAATTAAAAAATATGATATTTTGGAATTTTCCCGGTAGTTTAGGCACAAGACCAAGAAGTGTGCCAAATTTCAACTCCCTATCACTTCTGGAAGTGCTCAAACATTTGTATACCTGAGTGAGTTACATAAGCGGCTTTGTAGTATTTAGATACCATATGCATATAAATTTGAATGATTTGTGAATGTAATCAATATAATAGAACATTTTTATCTCAGAGCAATAATCATCGCTGCTGCCCCTGGGGAGGTGTTGCCCAACTATCCTGATCCAACTCACACATTCAACCTTCGAGCCACATCACTGAATGTTATGGTTGATGATAAGAAGGTAAAACAAGCATGTTTGAAGCTATATTTTACTTCTAATTCGACCCTTTTTTTAGAAATAGTAATATTCATTCATACCTTTTAAATAGACTTTTCTAAAATTCTTCAATGTTAGTTTTTAGGAATGTTTATCTTTGCTGGAATTAGGATTATTAAGTTTTTCACACTTGAGATGAATTAAGTCTGAGTTTTGATTGCAGTTCTCGTCCATGTGTCGTTGGGTGGACTCTGCGCCTCTGAGGACAATAACTGTGAGAGACGCCATGTCTGACCTGCCAGAAATCAGGAACGGAGCCAAGAATGAGGAGATGGGCTACGGTGGGGAGCCTGAGTCACACTTCCAGAGACTGGTGAGAATACCATCATGGATAACTATAACATTAATAATAACTCCAATGACGTACTGGAAATATTTTATTCATTAAATAACCTACCATATTTTGTACACAATAGTCGTTATTTTTTACTCTTATTTAATACTCATGAAACAAAGCTATATGTTCAACATTTTGATAATTTCACTCCATTTATCGCAATCATGGTTAGATGAATTGGCGCAGGCCTTGAAAGTAACCGTCGATTTTGACGGGTTTCACCTAGTATTTAGGTGATTGTAGGGGAAGATATCCCCTCCACTTAGGGGTCTGCGGGTCTCCAAATTTTTTGGGTCGTGTCAGGCCAGCAGAAGGCACGAGAGACCGGGTCGGGTCAGATATTTGTGACGCAACAGTGCAAAGAAAACAAAGTCAAAAGAAAGACTTTATTCATCCAGAGGTGTTTAATTACATATTGTTTATTCCATACCTAATTACAAATATATTTGAGCATTTTACATAATAAATTATAAACAAAAGAAATATGATACCGGTATGTTTAAATTTTGGGACTTAACTTCGGCGAATCGGCGAGGCGATTCTGCTAGTAAGGGTTTAGTTTGATTATAAATATTAACAAATTTTATGAACACTCACAAGTCTGACCCGCAGACCCCTAGTGTACGCCTTATGTTGTGATATAAATAACTTAAACGGCTCGGCAATGTCTCAATGCCATGAAATTGATAATAGTTATGAAGATTTTTTCTTTCAAAATACACAGTCTATCTGAAAAATCTGACATTTAATGGACAGTGTTGGATATCAAATATGAGCTCGATTCAGATACGGATATCTGAACTGAACCGAATCCTACCCGATTTTTTTATATACCCACACCTCTAACTACTTCCTCATTTCTCTAAAAAAAGAGTTTTTCATTTATCATCTTCAATCACTTTTAGGAATCTATAGTTTATGAAAACTAAAAAGACTATTTTTTTGTTCCATACAGTTTACCATCAACATCAACCATACACTCCCCTAGAGTGGGTGTTTGTTTTAACCATTAGTTCATATCATTTCAGGCTGGATACTCTCACTTTTTCCCTCACAGCAAAAACTCATAGCTCTTTTGCTCTGTGTCTGTTGTTTACGAGTTTGCTGAGATGTCAGAACTGCCGATGTTTAGTCTGTCATGTGTTATTTGCGACAGATAAGAGGGAACCAATACCAACCAGTGTTGAGAGACCACATATGCAAGGAGATGGCGCCCCTGGTAGAGGCCAGGATAGCCAACATTCCCACCAAACCTGGCTCCGACTGGCGAGACCTGCCTAACCTGTCTTTGCGACTGAGTGACGGCACAGTCAGTAAGAAACTGTAAGTGCAACTGGGTTGGCTATTGTAAGAAATTAACCTAATAACAATTAATGTCCCATTTCAAATCACCATTAATCAATATGATATCCAAAATAATATTTTGTACAAGCAATTGACAAGTAATATGTCGTAGTAAAATTAACTTAATTCAAAAAGTGAATGAATTTATAACAACATTCAGTTCCAAGGCAATAAATTTTAATGTTAAATAGCCTATTAATAAGATTTTTGGGGCTTGTTCAGTTGATGTAAAAAATAATGATTATAAACTTGTAGTAGCTGGGATTTCTAGAGCACCATCACATAATGTTAAAATGTTAAAAAAAAACTAAATGTTTTTTTTTTTTACTAAAAATAATGTTTGTGTGGGAGGGGATTTTAACATAGACATATTAAAGCAGGATAGTAGAAAGTAGATGCAAAATAGCTAAATCCAACTATTTCTGGTATAAATATTATAACTACCTTCCTCAAATAATAAAATCTGAAAAGAGTTTTAAATGCTTAAAAAGAAATTTAAAAAGATTTCTTGCAACCAAAGCCCTATACAATTTTCATGATTTTTTTAGTGTTAATGGTCATTTAAATAAATATTATTTATCTAAATATATAAAAGGCAAAGCCCTCACTGACTGACTCACTCACTCACTCACTCATCACTAATTCTCACACTTCCCATTTACCTAGGAGGCTGAAATTCGGTACACCGATTCTTTGGGCATTAAATAGGAAAACTAAGTAGTTTTTATTCTGATCGGGCTTTCGGGCTCCGCCCCAGTGGCTCTGGAGTTTTCCATGTTAATCTAATGATTTTACATATTTAAAAGGAATTTCTTAACAGCTGTTTCAATTAAACAAGTTGGTTCTGTTCTATGATGGTCAATAGCATTAAAGTTACAAAGATTACCAACAGGGTGGAGCACTATTATTTTTTTTTTATTTATGACACAGCCAATTTGCAACCAAAAGGTGAGTGAGCGTAGCGAACGAACTTCAGCCTGGAAACGAGTTAGCGTAGCGAACGAGCTAACTTGAAGGCAAGTGAGCGGAGCGAACGAACTTCAACCAGGACGTGATTGAGCCATGCGAACTTGTGAACACTTGTGAAGTTAAACGGGGCAAAGCCCGCGGGTACAGCTAGTCTAATATAATCTAATATAAAGCCAAAAGTACCCATGAACTTTTGAGAAAACTACAAGTCACACCCCCATAAACCATATACTTAAAATGTTCGTCATGACGAGAAACCTTGCGCAAAACTATCCATTATTTCATAAATCGCCCTTTAAGGTCGTAATTGCTTTCCAAAAGGAACTTTCCTTATACATAATGTTTAAAAACCTCAGCTGTCCTTATTTGTATGTTATTCTTACAATTTATTTCCTTATTAAAATCAGGTGTAATTATGTGTTTGTATTTCTGTATTCTGTTTTATTTATTTCAGCTTTCAGCTCAACTTAACCAATCAATAATTTTATTAATACTTATGAATTAAAACGGGGTGAAGCCCGTGGGTAACAGCTAGTATATATAGATATATATGTTTCAGTTTTCTATCTAGTTATTAGGCTATACAGGGTGAGTTTTAATTGTCCCCCCCCCCGTCCCCAACTTTTTTCTACATTTTTTCAAATATCAATCCCAGACCACTTCCAAACATTGTTGAGTAGTAAGTACTTCATTTTGACTAGGTGGTCATTTCCGGCCGCCATCTTGGATCCGCCATATTGGATGCAAAATTTTTTTTTCAAATGTAAAGGTGGGGTTTTGACCCATTATTTCGAACTAAATTTTTACCCTGATTACAATGCCGCAAACCGTTTAAAAAAATCTTGTTTCATTATAAAGTTATGAGGGCTTTTTAAAACTTTATTTTTAGCCCATTTTAACATTATGCATTTACAAACTAAGACCATAATCTCAAAATAGTGCTAGATAAAGATAAGTATACACTACCAGTAATCGTCAACCTATTTTCACTTGGTTATGACTGATGTATTTTTTCGGCCGCCATCTTGGATCCGCCATTTTGAAATGCGATAAATTATTTTAAATATGAAGGGGGTGATGTGACCCATCATTTCGAACTACTTTTTTAAGCTGAACTTAATTCCATGATCCGTTTTTCATTTTCATTTTTTGATTTTGAAATATTGACATTTTTAACAAAAGAATTGCAATATTTCATAAATAAAACTTGATAACAAAAAATGGATTGCGGCATTGAGTTTAGCTTAAAAAAGTAGTTCGAAATGATGGGTCACAACACCCCCTTCATATTTAAAATAATTTATCGCATTTCAAAATGGCGGATCCAAGATGGCGGCCGAAAAAATACATCAGTCATAACCAAGTGAAAATAGGTTGACAATTACTGGTAGTGTATACTTATCTTTATCTAGCACTATTTTGAGATTATGGTCTTAGTTTGTAAATGCATAATGTTAAAATGGGCTAAAAATAAAGTTTTAAAAAGCCCTCATAACTTTATAATGAATCAAGATTTTTAAAAACGGTTTGCGGCATTGTAATCAGGGTAAAAATTTAGTTCGAAATAATGGGTCACAACCCCACCTTTACATTTGAAAAAAAAATTTTGCATCCAATATGGCGGATCCAAGATGGCGGCCGGAAATGACCACCTAGTCAAAATGAAGTACTTACTACTTAACAATGTTTGGAAGTGGTCTGGGATTGATATTTGAAAAAATGTAGAAAAAAGTTGGGGGGGGGACAATTAAAACTCACCCTGTATAATGTATTATGTATAGTTCTGAACACCATTCATATACTTTTGCATACCTGTGAATAAAGTAAAACAAAAATTAAAATAAAAAAAAAATACTGGTACTTGCATATTGTACCAAGATCCGAGGTACCGTACCGACCACAGAAATAAAGTAAAACTTATAAAATAAAACAATTGACTGTTGGATACAACTTTAGACATCTCATCTATATGAACCAGTTGTGTTGCCTAGTTTTTTTATTAGAAGAAGGTATATTGAATGATCCACTTACAGTGGTGTGCTTCAGACTAAAATTGTATTGTTTTGTTTTCTATCAGGTTTTGTTTTGTAACTATGATAGTTGATGTGTAAGATGGTACAGCTTACAATAGTTATCTTTATAGTTGGGCCTGGTTAAAAGCACATTTCACAGAAATTATTAATTTACATCAGCTCACTCTGTTGGTGCTTAATTCAACGAGGTATTTTTTTATTCTGAAACTGCATACAACAAATATCATTCAATACTTATTTCATCAGTAAAATTATTTAGGATAAGGTTTTGTACTTTTTATTTCCTAACATCTCTCACTTGTCATTCAGACAATACACACACCATGACAAGAAGAATGGCAAGTCGTCGACAGGTGTGTTGCGCGGTGTGTGTAGTTGCGCTACGGGGGCACAATGTGATCCGATGGACCGTCAGTACAACACACTGATACCTTGGTGTCTGCCGCACACAGGCAACCGCCACAACCACTGGGCCGGGCTGTACGGCCGAGTGGAGTGGGACGGCTTCTTTAGCACCACTGTCACCAACCCGGAGCCCATGGGCAAACAGGTGAGACTGGCTATCAAAAGTGGTTACCTTATAGTTGGCTGAAATAATCAATCATAAAGGTTGATAGACATTAAAGTTATTATACAATGTGATTTTCTCAGTTTGTTATAACAACCCTTATTGTTCTGAACAGCTACAATACTCTGGTTCATGCGTAAAAACTGTGCAGAATTAAAGCAATATTGACAGATGTGCAATAAATTTAGTATTACTGCCCTTCCAGAACTTCATGATGCCAACCAACTTCATCTTGTTTTCGAGTTAATATTTTCCTTCTGATACAATTAAGAACAAAGCAGTGCCGTGTGTGTAACCCCAAGTTTGTTGGACCAGGGTCGAGTGTTGCACCCTACCCAGACCAGGGTGGTCAGTGTGCGAGAGTGTGCCAGATCTCAGGGCTTCCCCGACACTTACAGATTTTTTGGAGGAATTCTCGACAAGCACCGTCAGGTTAGTCCTCTTGGTCTGTTGTTTTTACTTTCTCCCCCTATACCATAGTATATGGAGAAAGTATTGTTTTTGTCAAAATGTTTGAGTTTTCAGTGGATATATCCATTTTGGGTCCCCAAAAGTGGTTTTTGAAGTGATGTCTGTGTGTCTGGATGTGTACAGAGCTAGGGACTACACCTGTGGTCCGATTTCGATTAAATTTGGTTCTAATCCATGGTATCTCCAGGCGTTTTTTTTTTTCATTTTTTTAAATTTGGATTTTTAATGTTGATTTTCCCATAAAATAACGGAAAAATTGGATTTTCTCAAAAGTGGCCAGAAAGATTTTGAAAAAAATTTTGTATGTTGTAGCCCTTTAAATTCTGAACAAAATGGACTCCCATTTCTGTAAAAATTACGGTTTAAAGTTGTTATTTTCCCATAAAACAACAAAAAATAGGATTTTAGAAAAAAGCCGGTTTTGATTTAACTTAACTTGTTATAGCCCTTAAAACTTAGAAAGTTTTTTTAATCTTTTTGAAATTTTGATTTTTAATGGGGGTTTTCTATAAAACACCATAAAATAACGGAAAAAATCAGATTTTCCCAAAAATGGCCCGAACGATTTTCTTAAAAAATATGTATGTTATAGTCCTTTAAATTCTGAACAAAATTATACAAATCCTATTTCTGTAAAAATTACGGCTCAAACGTTATTGTAACTTATGTTATTTTCCCATAAAATAATAAAAAAATTGAATTTTTGGGTAAAAGCTGTTTTTGATAAAAATTAATATGTTATTTATAATTCTAAAATAATAGTACAACACCCCATTGCTGTAACAATTGCGGTTCAAAAGTTATTGCAACTTTTGTAATGTTTAACTATAAAATATCATATTTACTCTCACCGCTTAATCCATGATAAAGGTTGTTGACAAGCTTATGGGAGAAAGTATGTGTCAGAATGCTGATACCGTTCTTTACCGGATATACCGGATCTTTGATAAGGCTCAGTATATTGCAACTATAATACTGTAGTTGATTATTATCAAACTGCTACAACAGTATATGTGTAAAGTAAAGTTTGCTTGTTATATTATTTTTTGAGTTAGTCAATCAAGAATGGATTAAGAACATTGATGTTACGAATACATATTAAACTTTCTCTATGTCTCAACTGTCAATAAAACATGTTTTCATCTTTTAGATCGGTAATGCAGTTCCTCCTCCAATGGGAAAAGCTATTGGTCTTGAAATCAGGAAATGTGCTGTGGTCAATGACAAGAAAAAATCTGAATAAGAGACTATATCATCTAGTACCAGCGACTGATTTAAAAGAAAACGTGTGTTACCTACAACAACAATGATAATAGTGAACATTCCTATTGAACTGGTCGCTTCAATCTCGTAAAATGGTTTAATATAATACAAGATTAAGCATAGTTAATGGTACACCCAAATTGTAAATTGTACGACTGTGGTTACAAAATACATTTATCAAATTTTGTGCCACAATAGATTTGAAGAACATTAGCTGAAATTGAATTTCTCAGATAGTCTATATTTCAAATTAAAATTCACTCCAAATTACCATTTATGATGCAGCTGGTATTTGTTGTTTACACTGCTAGCCAGTTATTCTTGAATTTGTTGTACATAATACTTATACGAAGTTTTATTCAGTTTTAGTTTTAAACGTCTTCTAATTATTTTATAAAATTGTACCTAAGATGAGATGAGCCATGTCACTACCAAAAGGATTTTATCACATTGACTGTTAGGAATGCTAACTATGTTTTATGTACTAACTCAGACTGTTTTTAGTGAAACTGTTGTTTATTTACCACACATATTTTTTATACAATTTGTAAGGATTTTTTTATTTTTTTCTAAATATGTAATGAGACGTTTGTGATCAGATGCACACTCAAATATGAAGACCAGAAGACTAAGGGAAATAAATAGCAATGTTGTCCATGTCTTTGTCACCTAAGTTTTAGATGAAAGGAGTCCAAGTTCTGTTACAAGTTACAGTTATATCCTGAGCTTGCCACTAAGTTTTCAAGTGCCTTGAAAGGTTGTGTAAATATTAGACAAACATGTACAGACTGTTTTATAAAATAAAACTAAATTTGAATACTTTTCAATTGTGCAAAATATGTTTTTTTTTATCATTTCCAATTTAGTTCTTAATATTAGAATGTAAGTATCAAAACTTAAATACAGCCGACTCACCATCAGTGGCTGTGTGCTTGTGGATAATGTAAACCGAACCTAAAATGCCCAGGAAATATCTAACATTGACTTTAAATGTTTTAGGTAATTGTTTTAAAAATAGGTCCCATTTTTGACCAAAAAAACATAAAATTTAGCAATTTCTTTCCAAACCATTTTGTAGGGCTTAAAAAACAAATAATTTAGGATATAGAAGCGTTTTTATGCGCCTAATGGTTACGGAGAAAATATAAAAAAAAATGTAAATTTAAAATTCCCATGTTATTCTTATGGAGAACAAGTAAACTGTTGTAGTTTGCTTGTTTATGGACATATTTTGATAAAATTTGGAAAATGCTTTTATTTCTTACTAACTATTAAAATTTTACGGAAAAAAAACAGTTCCCTGATGTAGCAAACCTTGTTAAACTAATTATATTTAAATAGGAAATAAATGTTATATTTTTAATTAGACATTTTAGTGTAAATCCATTTAGGCAAATGGAAATTCGCTTAGTCTGCAGGTTTGCTGCGGGGGTATTTTCTACATTTCTTAAGATATCAACTCCGGACCACGTCAGATCATTGTAGAGTAGCGAGTACTTCATTTTGACTGGGTATAAATGTTTTGCCGCCATCTTGGATCCGCCATAAATTGGATACTAAGTTTTTGATCAAATGTAAAGGTAGGGTTGCGACCCATCATTTTAGACTAGAATATTATGTTGATTACAATGCCACAGTCCATTTTTAAAAATCTTGATCCATTCAGTTGTTATGAGGACTTTTTATAACTTTATTTTTAGCCCAAATTGAATTTACATACTAAGACCATAATCTCAAAATATTGCTAGATAAAGATCACCACCACCAGTCATTGTCGACTTATTTTCACTTGGTTATTACGGATATATTTTTTGTTTCAATCAGTTTTTAATTTTTATATTTTGTTTGAGGCATTGAGTTCAGCATAAAAAAGTAATTCAAAATGATGGGTCACAAACACCACCTTCATATTTAAAATAATTTATTATATTCCAAGATGGCGGCCGAAAACAATACATCTATCATAACCAAGTGAAAATATGTCGACAATGACTGGTGGTGTATGCTTATCTTCATCTAGCAAAATGCTAGTATTAGGTCATATATAATATAAATTATGTAGGCTAAATATTAAATAGATTTTAATCATTAACTTCCTGTACGATAATAATAATAAAGCATTGTGTAAATATCATGTGGTCAGTATTATCGTATTATGTAAACATTTATTGTTTTAAATATTATGCAGGAGTGGAAATTATGATTGTTTATTTGGTGTTGGTTGTTAGGGAATCTCTCATATAGGGAATAAATAAGCTATTACCATAGGTCTCATGGTAAGACCTGGACCCAGGACTGATTTACTTTTTCGATTTGAGGTCCCTAGAGGCCAAAAAACATCATCCGTTCAAATTCATATGATGAAAGGTAAATACGACTCACTTTACTCAAAACGCTGACGCTAACGACAAAATTACAATGATCAAATTTGGTACCTATAGGGGTATTGATTGTGTAGATGTGCAATAAGACTGGGGTTTTCAAAATTGAGGGGTTTAAAGCGGTTTCCCGGGGAAGATCTACCATCTAAGCCTTTATATTTTGGTCTGCAAAAGCTAAACCACAGCTTGGATATTAAATCTGATCGTTTCAAAGTCAAAATTTAGAAAATTGGCTTTTTCCTAATGTTTGTGCCTTAAAACAAGGCAGTTCACATTACACCATGATTACCAAACTTTGTATTCATAAACACGTTGACTTCTGAAATAATGTGCAGGCGCTCCCCGGTGGCGCAATCATTTCAAAGATATGATAATCCATTGCTTGCTTTTTCAGAAATGTTCTTGTTTGACAAACCAGGGTAATTTTTAGCAATAAAAACATTAATAATATTGGAATAATACTCTTTCGTTTAATTTTATATTTGATTTCAAATTATTGTTAATTTTGTATCCTTGATTATAACCCTTTTCAGAAGGACCATATGTTTTGGTATTAAAACCAAACAAAACAAATAAGAAATAAAAATTTACAAAAACCAAATTATCACAAAAAGAGTTTGGTTGGTGTACCTTGGACAATCTTCAAACTTTGAAATCTATTAATTTACTGAGAGTTGCAAACTTACTATGGGTACATTGAGTTCCTCATCTGTCTTCAGTTCATACATTGCAAAAAACACTTTTATCATGAAAAACTTGAAAATTTTTAAGAGCATAAATGTTTAACAAATTACTGTTTACTGTAACAGCTGCATATCATTTATTGTATAATAAATAATTATTAAAAAAATTATTACATAGGCTACTGCATAATGTATAGGGTACTGATAACAATAAGATAACTTAAGAACTTGCAATATGTGGAAGTGGACTGGTGCTAAATAAAAGTAGTCACAACACAAAAAAGCAACAAATTTAATTTATTAGTATTTGTAATTTTTGACATATTTTTGTAAACCATCAATTCACCTAATTAATTATGCTAGGTACTGTTTTATGCATGCTCTAAATTCATCAATTATTATTATTGACTCTACGTCAATTTTCAAAGTATGTAAGGCATTTAATCCAACCGTGAGTTCCGGTACAGTATTAAGTAGCTTCCCCCGGGACCAACTAGCATCTAACAAATCAAACACATACTTTAACATGGACCGATTAATTAATATCTACTTACTTACACAAGAAACTTAATATTACAAATTTTCTTAATTTTTCCATTTCTTAATCTAGAGGCGACAATTCATACATGCTGCGAAAGAAGATAGCCTAACACTTATATAAGAATTTTAGATCTAGTAATAACAACACAACATGGAACTATCATACATTGAGTTTGTACAAAGAGAATTACAAAAGTTGCAACACAAATAATTTTTAAAATGCCAAAGCCAGAACAGTTATTTTTACATTCACAGTACAGCAATTCCAAAGAACGACCTGAATATATCTGGTATGAAGCTCCACATTTGTTTTATTACTGGACAGAGAAACATCGAATCCAAAAGCCATAAATTTTCATATCAATACCATAGAAGAACCTCAAACCACACAGACACACCGATATAACTACATAACTTTAGGTACACACACGATCCCAAAATAACTACTCTACACTACTTAACCTAACAAAAAATACATAAAAGAATCACTTTTAAAGCGAATTCAAATGTCCTTTCTAGATTTTCAGAAAATCTACAATTTTGATGAAAATTTAATTTTTAATTGCTTTAGATTTGATCCAGCAATTTTAACCCACTCAATATATCACATACGATTCCATTTGGATTGACTAACCGACGCAATTTGCGTGACACAACTCAAAATTAAAGCTAGGTATTATGTGATAACTCTTTTGGTCACACAATAACTATAAAGTTTACTACAGTAATATTCACAATGTAAATTATATCACAATACAGTTATTGCGAGATAACACAAAATAATTTAATATCAACAAAACAACTAAGAATAAATTTCTACATTTCTAATTGGTACGATTTACCCGATTTTAAAACTCATTGGTATGCAAGGAATATGCCGTGGAAAACAGAAAAGACTTTTTTACCAAAAGCCTCTTTGTAACTAATGAATAATATACCATAACCATAACCTTTTGACTCTTCCATCACGTCTTTTCTGCCTTACTCACGGACACTACCGACTCTCTGAGAGTTTTACAATTAATAAATCTGGAAATCATAAATAAAAAGAACTCTACACTTTAAATAAAATATGATATTATTGTAGCAGGTACACAAATAGCATGTACAGCCCTTACAATCTACGACGATCACATCCCTCAAATCACAATGGTCAAATAATAGAGATAATAGTACTATAGGTTTACATTGTTTGTGGCTTCGAGTCATATTTACACTGTTTTGTATTAAGTGAAGAGGACAACAAAAGCAAATATACCGAGTTTGTATTACTGTTATATCTGGCACCTCTCAGCTCTGAGTAGTACAAGAATGTTCCATAGTTATAGGGACAATTGATATTTTAATGAAATAAAGGTAAAAATATGAGTATTTTTGTTTGTCGTGTGCATCTAGTTTCACTTAAGTTGTTCAAAGTTAATTCACTAACCATTGTTAACATGAAGACCTGATACCAATTAGAATATGAAATCCCGGTTACTAATTAATTTGGGAGGATAAAACTAAAATGTTAAATACAAATTCACAACAATAATTACTATTATCAGACCATCGTGAAAGAGTTCTAACCTCATTCCTTGGCTGTACAGATTTACTTCAAACCTTTTTCTTAACAATTAGTTCAAGTTGAATAGGCTTTTCTAAAAGTACAAACAAAAGTAAGCTACAAAAACCTTCATCTATGAAACGATCACATTAACATTCACTTTCTATACTTGTAAAAAGGCTCAAATTTAGAAGTTTCAAAATTTATGTTTGATTAATTAGGTAAATTTTTAAACAAATTTGAAAGTGTTACAATAAAAACAGACTTGTATTACTTGCCTCCAGAGAATAACAATAACTTATTTAAAATAAAACCATTTACTTGTTCATACAATTTTCACAATACTACTTGTGAATAGACATCTTTTAACACTTACATCAGTTTACTAACTTTGAATCTTGATAAAAAACTTGAAGAAAAGTTTATGTGTTACAGAGGTAAAAAATATTTAAAATCATAAGATGGCACCCATTTGGCTCTAATAATCAGCTTATTTGACTAATGGCCTACTTTGCTTTTCTTGTAAAGACTTTCTAAATGATTAATTTTTAGTTAGTTATTATAAAAGTGCACCAAAAGAATGATAACTCGATGACTGTTTTTTATGACAAATTTTTATCCAAACCAATTGTATTTCGATTTATACAAAAAACTTTCAGGGATTAAGGATTTTACTTTTGTTTGTAATCATAATCAAGACAAATGGAAAAATTCAAACATCAAAAGGGGGTTTGAAGTAAATCAACAACAAAATATCTTAAAACTACACACTCACTCACAATTTCAAGGGACATGTACAAATTGTCGCCAAACACAATAAATTGATAAATTCATGATTACCAAATCATACATAAAATACATAACCTAATGTTAAAACTATACATCCCAAACCGGCTTCAAGAGCCTCTCTTATCCAAACTCCAAATAAACTTTTCAACAAATCAAAATGCCCTTGGATATTAAAGAAATAAATGTCTATTTTAGAACTAAGTACACGAGTGCCGAGATGAAACGTGCTCGTCACAACCCGATGTTGAGCAAGAGAGACCTTGCGGAGGTAGAGGGCAACCCAACGTGACAAAAGCTAATCTACGACTCAAACTGATTTGGTCAATTACGTCGACACACGTTTCATCGGGCCAATCATATATGTATATATAATATATAAAATCTACATAAATCTTTTATTGTTGATCATCTGATAAAAACAAAACAGTGTACTAAAATAACAAAATATTTTTCGTTAAGTTTACACCTTAAAAATTAATAATAACTGTCTAAACCTGAGGTGAGTGGACGGGCCCCAGCCCAGCTGAGTTTTGATCAAGTTTGAGCGACATACACACGGCCTAGCCGAGCATATACCGAGCACATCTGTCACTGCCGCGGCCTTCGCAAGCTAACGTAAACTAACTTTCCTCTTTTGAATTCCGACCAGCTGCAACCTGTAAATGTTGGTTAAACCCAGGTAAAATGTATAAAACTTAATAGTTTCCATTCTGTTTGTGAATACTATGCAAAGAAAAAAACTCATATTATTTTATGTTCTCTGTTGTAACATATATCTTTATCTCCAAATAAATCATTGATTGTTATTATTATACTGAAGGTGTTGATATTGTTTTGAATAGCAACACATACTTTTGAGACACAATTTTACTAGTTATTACAGTTTTGGTATTCCACTTTAGCAACTACAAAAAATTGAATGAGAATCACAACAATTATTTTAAAGTGAACTCATTCATTGCTGTTGTAAAATATAGCACATTTGATGTGCCTACAAGACAGACAGATTTTTATTAAATAGTCTCAATCAGAAAAGGGATTTTAACTGCTGGGTATTACCTGGCATCGCTCCAACAATCCACAGAGAAGCAGGGTAAAATAATAAGTATCAAAAAGACAACAGGGATCCCTTCACTTTCGGATGTGAGGGCCTCTAAACATTGAGCCAAAGTGCCGCATAACTGTCTCCCGAATTCCGAGAGTATCACAGTCAGTCAGACCACGTGCAGTGAGCAGGTGTGCTCCTTATAACTACATCATGCATTCACGCACACACACACACACACACTCACTCTCTCACAGCATTCACTACAAGTTCTTGTACTGTTTTCACATAAAACATGGAATTCTTTACAACATTTTCACTCAATAACTCTTTTTCAACAAATAAAAATTAACACGCATATACAACTTTCCGTGTGGACGAGGAAGCAAAGTAATCGCGCCGTGCATCTTTAATAGCATATACATACATACGTGTAGCAAGGTGCTATGCTTGGCTTATGCTACTGGCATACCCATACCCCTGGTTACCAGTCTAATAACAACAGCAGGCATTATCACTGCCCCCACCTGAGGCAAACCCGTATTTCAGTAAATAGTGGACAAACTAAAGATAAATTATTTTATATGTATGCGCTAGGTATATTTGATTTAAATAATGTTCATTCTTAAAAGAGTCATGAAGATTTTTTTCCATCCATTACAGCTTTTCGTTACTGGAACTTTTCTACATTTTTGAACAGACGTTAATTATTTAAGGATAGAGTTTGCATGAGATTTTCAAAATAAAAATAAGACAAAAAAAGGGTGAGTAAAAAGTAAGTAAAAATAAGGGTGCAGTATGGATTTAAAATTTAGCAATAGTCTGATTAGGAAATTACTTGTGAACAGAATAGACTAATAATCCAAATTATGAGACAGGCAGACTGACATCCAGTTTTATGTCAACCTACTAAAATATGACATGGCTAACTTTCAAGAGAACAACAATTTGAAATGAAAATGAAGGAATATATGACAGTCAATTTTAAAAGCACCATCTCTTAGAACTAACAAAAGCAAATTGTTTGATGAACCTTTGATTATACTAATTGTATCGGTGTAATTTTTTTGTACATGAGTAACTTTTATCAACATTGGAATTTTTACATTGTTCCCTTATATGATTTTTGACAGTTTTAAGATTTCATAAAAAATAAATAAGCCCAGTTTTTCCCCTTTAAAGTCTTCCACTTGTTTACCCCCCCCCCCCCCTCCTTGTATAATATTTATCTAATTCCAACAAAAAGGTTTAGGAGAATATTTTTTTTATATTCTGAAAACACTAAAGATGCCTTGACTCCTACGGCAATTGATCCAATTTCTACAAGAAACAATAAATATCAATATATATTTGATATGGAGCAACAGAACATAGTACATTAAGTCAATATAAAAAACCACAACAACAAATAAAAATAGCAACTGAAAAATAAACAATTATTATAAAATTAACCAACAAAATTAGACTGGTAACCAGTAATACCATTCGTTAATACATGTAAATGGTAAATCCCTGAGAAATATACGAATACAATTGATACTATATATATGAAAAACTATTTCAACATAACAATGTGATCTAATGAACAGCATGTAGGAAAATATATAATATATACGGTTGTGTATATTTGATTTGCAATATAAAATGTCTATATACTAAAATCTTGGAAACAAATTATAAATAAAAATGTATATAACTGTTACATTAAATAGGGTTTGTAGGATGCTGAAAAGTGAAGAGTAAAAAAATGAGTGTTGCCGATAGCGTTCGGAACCGATGTAATAATCAGTCTTCTCAATGGCACCGCCAGCTATCGACAACACCCACGCAACCGATCGTCCTACTATGACTATATTTACAGAAACAATATGCAACGGTTCCGGGTCCCTCGGTCCAACAGCGCTACGTTACAACTATCACTCTGAGAGACGGACGCTCGGTAGCGGCGACAACGGAGGTGAGGTCAGTCTTCACACTCTGACTCTTTGGTGTTTTACATCTTTGACAATACTTTAGGAAATTAACTTATAAAATTACAAACTTACAGGCACTAGTTCAGGTCTGATCGATTCTACTTCTTAATAAAATAAACATCACACACACAATGTAAAATTTTGTAACGCTTTAGATGAGAACACGAATAACGTTTTATGTAAATTTTTTAACAATGTTAACACATTAAATGAAGACACTAATTTGTACTTTTAGTATTATATGAAACCTAACCTAAATAATGTATTCATATTGTTTCAAAATTTACCTCCTGGACAACAACAAATGAGTGTCGCTGTCTTCTACTTAAAAAGCTACAGTGAAATATTTCTTTATACACTAATAGTATTCTTTACACTATGAAACAGCTAACCCTCCTTGCCCTTTACATATCACTTATTCACTAGGGCTTTAACCGCCTCACCACTACCAGCGCCCGACTCAGCCGTTGGAACGTTCAACCCTTACAAGGCTAACTGTGAGTTTTCAGCATCCTACCTACCTCGCACATATAATTATTTACAGCTCTTAAAGGAAAATGTATCGTGTATTAGCTTAGAACTATACTCAACAACTGTCCTATTTCAGATTATAAGGGGTTATGTATTTGCTCTCATGTATAAAATATGTGTAAAAAATTATGTACAATCGGATCGTATTGCATTATGCCCGATGTAATACAACACAGAAGTATTACTCGATATAAGTACACCAGTAGTCAAAGAAATAGAAACTACAACTAATGGAAGAGGTTCTCTCTGTAGCGTTGGACCCATTAGACACATTCGTACATAACAAAAATAAACACTCACAACAAACGGTAAACAGAATAAAATGAGGTAGAAAATGGTATAACGACTATATAAACTTATGAATCTGATTCCTGAGTAACGTTCCTGTAAAATATATATATTTAAATATAATAATATTAATAATTAATAATAATAATAATAGACTACGATATTGCGCATGCGGTGTCAACACCCCAGAGAAGGGTGAGCTAAATAGTGAGGTAGGTATTTGTACTATTTGTGAGTGATCACACATACTTGCCGAATACTTACTTAAATCTAAACTACATAAATTTAATACTATACAAGCAAGGATAAGGGGTTTAGGAGGAGGATATTTTGTACTCTTAAGTTACGTGCCACATCAGTGCACTTTTATTTGCATAAATGGCAGTGTCATATGCAAAATATTCCCTGAGCTTTTTCCTGAGAGGATATCATTTCCATAATGGAATGTTGGAGAGAGGAGAGAGGATAGGAAGCAGGAGTATGAGGGACACAGATAGAACATAGAGAAGTAGAGACTTAGCCGACTGAGAGTACCTCTTCCAATAAACGACCGATTACACCACAAAACATTTAGTAACATTAAAAATCAGATGAAGGAAAACAGTTTACTTTAAGTTGTACTTGACGAGCACTATATAATACCCGTTTTCACACCAAGCGGCATCGCTTGTATAGTACAGAATAAATATTATATTAAAATGCAATATGTGATGACACGAAGAATAAACGTTAGCCCGTGACGCGACCAGATGCGTTTCTCTTACGGACTAACCGTGTTAGTCGATACTAAAATCTGCATCCCCAAACCAAAAACCTAAATAAAATTTTTAAATAGACAAAGAAGAATAACACTACAAAAGCAAAATTGATATAATCTTATAGAACTGAAAACAATTGTTTAAACTCAAAATTGAATAAAAATATCGGTGAATATTATTTTATATAGGTAATCAACAAAAATGCATGAGTCAGCAAACAACCCACAGCAGAACAAATAAAGACACTTGCGGGAATTGTACTGTTGTTAACAAGGTCACTATTGAAGTCCGTCCCACCATACAGTAAAAATCCAAACCTTGTCCTGTCTGATCTAATGTGTTACACTTAAAAAAACAAATGGCATAATCTTATATATAAAAATGTTAAATAAAATTATTAGCTTAACAGTTAACCAGACTAGTAACTCCCTGGTTTGATTGATAACAGATGTAATAGAGTGAAAGACAGGAGTCAAGGTTTAGATTATACCGTTTTATTTGTACTATATCATGAAGGAGTCAGTTAATGGAATTTTAACAAAATTGTTTAACAGGCAACAACAAGTGGGAAACGGACTAACAACAGTGTCCAACATCCGATAACATTATTATCAACATTAACTTATAAAGCGGCTCTAAACTATTTATTATAACCTGATTTGTACATGGGACTTCCTGAGTCGGTTGAGAATACATAAAAACAAGTGTTATAAAATACAAGACATTTCAGTATGTTATACTCTGACATCAAACCCGAATCTGCAGTTAGTAAACAAGAGAGATAGAGATCAGATCTGGATAGAAAGAAGAAATGAAGTGCGGATACGGATCGAATACTGCAAAAATAAACTAGAACTACGCTAGGAGAGGTCTGACTAGGAGCGAAAAGTAAACGCCTAAAATAATAACCTCCCCTCGAGGCGTGACATTTACTGAGGTAAGATGGGTTTGGCACGATCTCGTGTGACTCGATAGGGAGGGCTGATTTCAGTTATAATACAAACAAAGATTGTGAAGAGTTGCACTCGAAATGACTAGTTCGCTAACAGTTTCGGTCGGTGGGATTCGGGAGCCCTCTGCCACTTTCGAATGTGTGTTAATCACCTATAAATATAATTCGATCTACACTAACACACTTCGGAGGCACATTTCGTGGCGAGGGGTTCCGCAGACCTCCGACCGGCGATAAACAACGGTAATAATAACTTGTATAATGCATCTGTATATATATATAACTATTTTAAATATGCGATAGAAAAGAAGATCGAATGAGGTATTTAGTGTCGGGTAGCTACTGGTTGTGGTTCTGAACCTGAGTAGTTTGCTGGAAGGATGCCAATTCTGTCTGCTGCAGAGGACTGAGCTCAGTTTGTTGAAAGGGACTTAGCTCCGTCTTGTGTTCCCGCGCAATGTGTCGTCTCACTGTGTTGTTGCGAGTGAAGGTCCGTGAACAGAAGGGACACGGCACGCGGATTCCTTGGTGGCGCTGTCGAATGTGCGCCCGCAGGTTTGTCTCATAGCCGTACAAGCGCTCGCAAAATGGGCATTGTAGTTTTTTACCTGTGAAAACAACAAAGCTAATTTTGTAACATGTTCATTAATTAAAGGCGTGTGCAAGGACAGTTTTATGGGTTCACTGTTAATTTAGGAACCTTTTTAAGGTTTTCAGTGAGTACACTTTTAAAACCCTAATGAAATTAACTTGATTACTTATAAATAATTAGCCTAAAAGTGAAATGACTTATTTATTTGTGAGTCTCAATTTACTACCAAAAAGTATATTAGTTGAATAAACAAATATGTGTGTCTTGAGCAAATATATTTGGTCAGGTTTATTTAAAACCCATTCTGTGGAAAGGTATATAAACTAAATATTGGTATCAGATCAAGTATCAACCTACTTTACCCTCGATTGAGGGACATCTATTCCCTGATCATTGCTAAACAAATGACTTTTAGTGAATGGACTATAACATGTCATCTTCCAGCTACTGTACTGCTTGCTAATTGTAATCAAAATATCCCTGTTTCAGAACCTCTCTGTAACGAAGGATCTATTAAGATAATAAGTAATTTTAAAGTAGAACATGTAGTACTTTCTTTATGTCAATGTAGTAACATAAAGTAAAATGTATGAAAAAAACTTGCAAATTTAATATCAGGAAAATTGATCGGACATAAGTACATTTAGGTCATTTAGGATAACAGCAAATAAATGAAAATAGCTTACAAAACTCATCACTGTAGCACCACAGTATTGTATACACACAGCGTTGAAATCTTTACTATATCAGCGTGACCCTATTGCAAAAAATGTTTAACTAGACTGCTGGAACTCATAGATAGGCCTTGTGGACAAAAAATTGTACTGCATGACGATCTAGACTATGTGGTTTCCAAGCTTGGCAATATGTCAATAGGATTTGATTTGAGGTCATGCCACCTGCGCTAGATAATTAACACTTGAGGATGTAGTTGGGGAGTAGGAGGAAACCAGTTGGATTTACTGCTTTGTTTGCTACTTTCAGAGTGGCACTACTGCATGCTGTCTAGGATTCCTGTAAATTCTATTTCCCTTTTTCATTTAATTTCATATAGCAGAGGTAAAAAGTCAATGGCGACACCCTTAATCAATAGGAAAATTTAACAACTGGAAAATGAACTGCAATTTATGGCATATAATTCAACTTAAGGATTAAACCAAAATAAGAACATTGAAATTGCTTTTAATCTTACATTATTATTTTTTTTTTACATTGCTTTTCAACATCCCAGGTTCGCTGAAGAATATATGTTGTAAAATAAGAAAATACAAGTGGAAGTGGGTACCACAAGAGTGACAGACTAAAGAGACCTGGACTCCAGGGTGGGAAATTATTAATCCACTGGGCTGTTTAGACAGAGTTAGTTACTTCCTCGGATAAAAACATAGGTTACCAACACAGCAAATCAGTAATTTCATTTTAAACATCAACTAAATAAATACTAAATAGAACTAAATAAATGGTTAACCCTTTGCGACCTCTCACCGCCACCATTAGCACGTGGAAGTCAAATTTTTTTCCACAGCAGTTGTCCTTTGCGATTGGACAGCCAGCGGTGCTGGGCAACATGAAATCCAACAAACCCTTGGGCGTCCAGCAGGCCTTGCCGACTAATATTTTGGTTTGTTAATATTCCGAACTGACTAGTATGATGCCTGTAGAGTGATGCAGCCTAGTGAGGAATTGTTAAACTAAACAATCAGCATGCTTGCAACATTATATCATAAAAATTGTGGTGGAAGCAACTAAAATATACACCAGCTGACCAGCTATCGTTCTGGCACAAGTGCTGTCATAATCATCTGTGCTTTGGTTCAGTTTTACATGATTTTAATTGAGTTTTGGTGATTTTCGAGAGAGATTTGTGTTTATTTGTAGTTTTAATTAAGTGTTAGTGTAGGCCTACATTTGAGGTGATCATGGGAACACTTGTACGTTTAAGTATATGCCTACACTTTTATCATTATTAGGCCTACAATAAAACTGATTCATTTTGTTTAAACATTTAGTAGTAAGAATGGGGTTACATTTGTTTTTACTCCCGTATATTTAATTAAGTAATTATGGACGATCGTTTGAAATCAGACAAATTGAGAGACTTATTATTTGCTGATGAAGAAGATGTTGAAAATCACGATATTTATGATCACGAAAGTGATGCTAAGTGTTTTTGTAAAACTTGTCTAAACAATCCAGGACTAAACAGGTTCGAATGTTTCAAAAAGTACCACTAGGCCTAAGTGAAAAAATCAAAGAATAAGAGAGCTTTCAACTTGTTTGTATGAGTGACCAATATACATATTTTACACGTTTAGTAAATACGTAAGTTCATTCACTTTTCACAAATGTATGTTTATATGTATGTTGTTAGTATAACAATTTAAATCCACTGTGCTAACATTGCAATGCAGGTTTTCAGTGAAAACCATTCTGAGCTGCCGGGAGCGAGCCGCCATGAAAAATGCCGAGGGGGCGAAGGCCTTGAACATGGCCAGTAGGCTACAGATGGCCGTCCGACTGTCGAAACTGAGATAGTTTCTTTGGTTTTCTAACCAAAGGAATGATTTAGTTAAGAACAAACTTGGGTAAAACAAGAAAAAAATTGCTCATCTTATTTAACATACATGTGTGTGAGGAATGATGAAAATGCCGAGTTTGAGCTGACGAGTTTGATTTACTCCAAGGAACCGGTTCCAACAAGCTGGTGTAAAGGCAATCATATTCGCCAATATTTGTAAAAATCAACAGTAACAGTATATCATTGACTTTTAAATACTGAAATAGACCTCCCATTTATATTGACTCAGCTTTAGCCCACTTTTTATTAAAATAGAACATTACATAGTTAAAAAAATGAACCCCCCCCCCCCCCCCCCCCCGTGTGCAATAGGATAAAATGTATTTTCTCCTTGTTGCATTAAGTACACAGATGTTACATTATTTAATGATGCTAAAACTGACAATAAGTCGTAATTTAAAATATATTGTTAAAAAGTCTCTGTTATATTTGACACACGTTATTTGCTCAGGTTGATTTTCTCATCAACTAGTGATGTGGGCCGGGTAAATACCCATTGGGTAGGTAAATATAAATTGGGTATTTACCTGGGTATTTACCCCAGGCCCGGGTAAATACCCAAAAACTGGGTATTTATAATTTGTATTAAAGTTAGAGAAGATTGAGATGTTTTTTTGCAATTATTACCTTGTAAGGATAGCAAAATGATAATAAAATGTGTAAAACAAAATTTCATATGGTCACTACTAGCATTTTACTTCTCCGTATGATTGCCATAAATACCCAGGTCTGAGCATAAAGCATAATCGGCATAAATACCCTGGTCGCATGGTTGCACTGGTCCTGACTACTTATGATTTTTTAATTTCTATGATAGATAGATGAATTTATTTTATTAAAAGTGAAGAAAAATAATTTGTAAAGTAATAATTATTATTTAGAAAGACAGGAAAATTTAACCTAGTAGTGGCCTATGTGTAAACAACTTAAGAAAATAATTAAAATTCAATCTGTAGGATGGCAGGATTTAATAATATTTTTGTTCTAGATCTTTTGTTGGTAAACTTATAAAAAAAAACTAATTTCATAAACTTGTTATACAAAAAATTTGAATCTATAGCACAATAAATCTTTCAAAATTATATTATAGGCCCTAAGTTATACCAAAAAAAAGGAGATACATTTGTTCCCATCTAAGCGGTAACACAGCAAAGTTTAAAGGCGGGGACACACTTGTCATGCACCCTTCCGATCCGTCTCCGATCATACTGTGGTACGACTGTCGGAGAGGGGAATGGTACTTAACTTTGAACGCGGTTGTTTACACCTCTCCGACACGCGTCACGTCATACTCCGATCCTACTCTGATTTTGATTCCGATCACGCACCGACACTGCAGTCTATTCGTTTGTCGGATGCAGGATGGGTTGTTTCTTAAAAATCACCTTTATTCTTAAGATTTAAGAATAATGGTTTAAGATAAATATATGCCAATGCTTGATGTGAAATCTGTGTGTGCATACCTTCAATTTGAGACCTCGATCATGAAAATCGGACGGGTAGAAGAGCCAAACGAACTCGAGAGAGAAAACCCAATGTGCTTAATATATAAGATGGGTACTTAAGTAAACCACCTAACTTTCTTTCCATACAGAATGAACCCAAATTCTTCGTTTTCCACTGCCCTTCAGAGATGTCTGACTTTCTTCCTCTTCATCTAGACAAACCGCCATCATGGCTGAACCCCGAAGTCCAAAGTTTTTGAACATGTTTACCACCTTCTGCTGCACGTAGTTTACAAATCAGACAGGCAAGTGTTGATCGACCGGTGGAGGAAATCGGGCATGGGTCGGAAGCGTGTATGACATGTGTGTTCACCCCCTCCGATCCCGCACCGATCCTTCTGGAATCCCGCAAATCGGATCGTAGTAGGATCGGAATAGTGTATGACAAGTGTGTCCCCGCCTTAATGTAGACTCCCTCTTATCCGGACACCTTTTAACCGGACAATTTTTATCAGCCCATTGGTTTAACCTGACTAGATTGGCAAGAAGTGAGCGGTACTGAAACGACTGTTCTCGTGGGAAAGATTTGAGACCAGTGATCACGTATATAAATACAATGCTCTCCTAAATTAAAGTCGAATATGACAGTACCAGTACACGATTTCTGTTTTAACAAGTTTTTGGGGACGACGGTTTAACCAGAAAACCCGTTATCTGGACTCCGGAGTCCGGATAAGAGGGAGTCTACTGTACATTCAGTATTCTGCCTATATCAATCAGACCTTGGGTCTGTCTAGCCTTCCAAGCCATTTACACAATACAAATTTTAACTATCATAATTTAATAACAGAAGAAGTAGATTTAGGTTCACTATTTCTCTGATGAGGTGTTGTCTCGATTTCATAAAAAAAGTGCTAAATCATTAAATAAAAGGTACTAGCAATTCTGCAAAGCTTCAAGTTACTGTAAAAGGAGAAATAGACTATCCTAATTTATCATGTAATGATAACAATAACATATTTAGGGGTAGATAAAAATGAATTTCAATCGATTTCATAAATACCCAAAATACCCGGACCGTATTTATGGATTTTGGGTATTTACCCACCCCGAGTTTTAAATACCCAGGTATTTTACATCACTATCATCAACATAAATTTTGAAGACCAACTATAAGTTATGGATTGTGTCTTTTCATTGTGTATTTATTAGCCCCTGAACACAAAACTTTCTCAGGTTAGCTAGCTGAACTCAATCTCCTTAAAAAAAATAAACAAAAAAAAAACTATCATCATTGACGGAAATAAGTAGACTATCAGCAAAATCTATTGGTGGGTCAATTTATTCGACTATGTCCATTTGAATTTTTTTAACTGGCAACAACTTTAATATAAAGAAGAAATGTCTAATCTAAGCACAGCTGAACTCCATATCATCATTGACGGAAATAAGTAGACTTTTATCAGCAAAATCTATTGGTGGGTCAATTTATTCGACTATGTCCATTTGAATTGTTTTAACTGGCAACAACTTTAATATAAAGAAGAAATGTCTAATCTAAGCACAGTACCATCCGGTGTAGTGGTCGCTGAGGTCTTGTGAGCGGTCGCCATCTTGGTGCTGGTTCCAGAGTTGACATTCAGAGGCCACATGATGGCCGGCATCCGCTCAGGAGTGGACGGTTCAGCTGCAGCTCCAGCCGCACCTTCGTTGTTGCTGTATCCACCCCACTCGGACTTTATCCTCTCTGTCACCGGTGATACTAATTTCACTCGTAAATCTGCAAAGTTGTAAACGAAGGGCATAAAAACATCTTTCTGAAGGCTACCTGTGGTTAAACTGACAGTGTTAAAGCAGTGTGAGGGAAAGGGAATATATTTTAAGAATAAGTTAACTCAATGCGACGTAATCCAGTTTAAGAAATGTTAACAAGATTTTTTAAATGCATTGTGTAGTTTTTAGCAGGAAAAAGATATTGACTATACCTTCCGCAAAGATTCGTGGCGGCTGAGGGACTAGGACGGTCGGGTGGTGTCCCAGCCCCTTAATTAGCCCTCGCTCGACTACTCTGGGTTTTGACCATGAGTCACCCAGGCTCAATGCATAGTTGGTAAAATTTTTCTATATCACCATAAAGTGTATTAAATAACGCCAGTTTTGTAACCTGCGTCAAATAACAAGAACATTGAGCCCAAACACAAAATAATTGTGACGATATTAAGTATACATTTGGTTTTAAAATAATAGAGAGTTTTCGTGTCGTGGTATGCTTAATATCATCGCAATTATTTCGTGTTTGGGCTCAATGTTCTTGTTATTTGATGCAGGTTACAAAAATGACGTTATTTAATACATATTATGGTGATGTGCACAAATTTTACCAACTGTGCATTGAGCCTAGTGGGTGATTCTTTGTCAAACCCCAGAGCAGCCGAGTGAGAGCTAATTTAGGGGCTGGGACACCACCCGACCGTCCTAATCCTTCAGCCGCCACGAATCTTTGCGGAAGGTATAGTCTAGGCCTACTTTTATGCCACAATAAGAAATTGTTAGGCTACTGTAGCATTCACACAACTTTTTTTAAATCTTTCTCAACCCTTTTAAGATTTGACCAAAATCTCATGGGTATTAAAAATCACTGATAAGGTTAAAAACTAAATTAAGTTGATAAAAAAAAAACATATAATGCTGGCTTTAAATTTTGAGAATGGCCCGAAAACTGCCCAAAAGACTAACATAGGCTACCGTATAGATAAGTAGGTAGTCCAAGATCAAATTGACAAACCTTCAGGACAACTGGATGATGAGTTCCAGGCATCGGCAGGAGTTTCTGATTCCACAGCAGCAGATCTGACAAAGGGAACAAGTGGTCCAGCAGAAGATGAAGGTGTAACATTCGTCTGGTTGTCTCCACTGACTTCGTATCTGGGCCCACTAGGAGATGAGGGGTGACGGGAAGGGTGATACTCAGAGTGAGGTGGGGTGCTAGAGCGGGAGTATGTGAGTGATAGAGGAGACTCACGCTCTGGCTTGCTGCCATCCCTCAGTACTGAGGCTCGGATGGACGAGTCACTTGGTGAGCGGTGGGGACGTTTCCTAGGAAGGGAGTCGTAGGGCGAGGAGGGTGTGGGGGCCCCGGTACGAGAGTCGTAGTGGTGCATGTAGTGATGCATGTACGGGCTCATGACGGGCGTGTACGACGACGTGGACGGTGGATGCATACTGTTCGTCGGAGATTCTTCGCTCTGTTCTTTCGATGATTCTGTTGTATTAGTTTTGCTCTGTTTACTAGCCCGCGATGGTGAATCGAGTCGCGGCTCAAACTTGACATCACTTTGAGCTTCGGCCATCTTTTCATGTTCTATTGATAGACCTTTAACCTAAAAAGAAGGAAAATATATATGTAAAACAACAATAATGATATGATTTTAACAAATAAATAAACTGGTAGACAAAACTACTTATTTTGCTTGTTAAACCTAAATTACAATAACTTGTTATCGTTGTTTCATTTTAACAAAGATTCTACTGTTAGTACTAGCCTATACTTTTACCCATGTTAATCAGATAGGCCTACAAATGTATCAGTAATTAAGATAAACCCCTAAGAGAACGTCTACAATCTGGAAAAGCAACTGAATGATTTGATCAAGAAGATCAACACCAACTTGCTTTCTTGTTTCCAAGTCATATTTAAAATTCATGGTTGTGAGGATAGTTTCCTCTATTCCGCACCTTGCTCTTCTCTACGGATTTTTATAACTTAGTATTAATCACACCCAAGATTGTAATTCAGTTGGAAGTCAGAGTGGACGAGAGTTAAAGTTAATTTTAAGTACTTATTGCTTCTAGAAGCCAATAAGAACAAAGACAATTTAAGTTTCTAGGTATTCTTTTCCTTACGGAAGCTATTTACTTAAGATGATTCCAAACAGTTAAATATTTTATTCATACTAGGCTAATCACATTTTCTAAAAGTCCTGGCTTTAGTGGAACCGTTGTGCCAAGTTTCACATTCATATGTTTAGTCTTTTAGAATAGGCCATAATAAATCAATGAGTGGTCTTAAGCCTGCATTGCTCATGTTTACCTGTAAGCACTCGGCTGCCTTGAGGAAGCTAGAGAGGCTCTCGTGCTTGACGTGAACCTCGCCTTTGTACATGAACTCCAGCAACGCGGACATGTTGGCCGAGCTAGTGCCGTCCAGTATGACCAGGACGCTGGGACAGTGCGGCGCTGCCTCAAATAGCTCCTGGAAGTGTTTGCTGCACGCCGCCAGGATGATCCTGTGAGCCTTGAATGTTACACCTGAACAGAGTTAAATCATCTGTTTAGAGAGGAACACAACCATTTGTTTACCAACCTGTATCTTTAGTCAGGACCATAAAAACCAATGATCAAAGAAAGACAAACAAAGGGTTAGTTTTAACACATAGGCATGTATAATGCATTTTTAGTAAATCCCCCCTGTGATACTGACGGGAAGAGAAGGTGTTAAGTTAGTTAATAGATTGTTACATCAATGATGAGTGATGATGGCAAATATCAATAATTTTTACTGTGTAAAAGATAAAGCGCTAAATAAATAAATTGCCACAAATCATAACGACCAAATCATAATCATAATAATCATAACTTATTCGAAAATGAATAATTTACAAGGCATATTTAAATATGAGGTGTAACTTAGCTATCAAATTTAACAGTAGGCTATATGTAACAAATAATGAGTTTAAAAATTATAAAACTAGGCCTTTGTTTCAAAAACTTTATAGCTAGGAGACTAATAATTATTAGATATCTGTCTAAAAGAAATTAATAAGAGGTGCCTACTATATTTCAGCTTAAATTGACCTACATTATTGACGATATATTACAATAGAACCAAGATAAGTCTCTAATGGAGATCGTCATTAAGACTTTTTATCAAGGTTTACAATAACATGTAAGTTATGCAAAGGTTATGCCTAATCAGGGGAACAAAATAATATTCAAAAATGACAATTGTTATCAAGGTACCACTGTATGTAACATTAAAAGCGAGATTGTAACTTAATTTAACAACTTGAATTAATATTAACCTACAGTACCGTATCTAAAGAGTACCTACAAGTGTATTAAAAGTTAAAATTATGTAGGCCTACCTTCACAAAATAGCGTGACATCTGTTAAGCTTTCTGATTTGAAGAGATTGTCAAAAGCGGAAACAAGATTACTTCCAAAACTGTTCCACTTTAGACAAAACTGCTGCTGTGGGTCCATTCCAGGGTGTTGGTGGAATGTATGAGCCTATAACATAAATTGTGTTAGGCCTATTACTGTTAACAGTTGAGATGATTTAGATCACCAGTTAAGATGATAATTTAGGCTAAATGACAATTTACCAAAATTAAGTTTATTTATTTATTTTACATACCAATGGACATCACCAATTTTATAAAAATAGACATAAATTAATTTCACTCTTAAGTAACTGTAACATAGAATTCAAAAACATTTTTGTACAATAAATATACCGAGCAATAAATAGCCTATATATATATACATGGGCCATTCTTAAATTAGTATGATTTTTTTCCCTTTAATGTTTTCTACAAAAAAACTAGGTAAATTATATAAATTTGATATTTTTTTTATCAAGATTGTAGGTATAAAAACTAGTTTTTTAAGAGAAAAAATCTGCAAAGTACCCGAAATGTAACCACTATGGAATGTCCCCGGACCCATATTTTTTACAACACTGACAAGTGATTTATGAACAAAAAATAATTGAATTATACAACAAATTCTCAATATCAGTAATAAGACAAAATATCTTTCTAACAGTATGCGTAGATTTTCCCTACGATGCACACAAGCTGAGAAAAAAGGTTTTACAGAAACATGCTTCCCTATTATATGTGGTTATTGTGGTTGTACAGTGATAAATGAGTACCATAATGAACATTTTATAAGATTTATTGCATTAATAAAAATATAACATCCATGAAAGAAAAGGTAAACAAGAAAGTAAATATTTACAAAACCTATGTTTTCAAAATAAAACTCAAAGAAATAATTAACAGGTGGTTAGGTACAGCCACATACTCCTCTCCATTTATATTGATAATATATAGATTGGCTGAAACCAGTATTTATTCTTCAAAGTATTCTACAGCCTACACACTCTCACACTCCATCCCCAACAAGACTAGAAACATCAAGACTCAACAGCCTACAAACAACCCAACCTGGACCTGTCATAAACCCTGAACGAAGAACCCGCTCTAGACGTGTTGTGAGGTTCTCTCCCAAAGACCTCATTTGAAACTTTTCGTTGCCACTGGGAAGAAGTATGTGGCTGTACATAGCCACCTGTTAATTAAATCTTTGAGTTTTATTTTAAAAACATATGTTTTGTAAATATTTACTTTCTTGTTCTATCTTTTATTTAATGGATAATATATTTTTTATTAATGCAATAATATAAATCTTATAAAATGTTCCTTTTAATGGTATTCAATTATTGCATGAATAAAAAATATAACATTCATGAAAGAAAAGGTAAACAAGAAAGTAAATATTTACAAAACATAAGTTTTTAAAATAAAACTCAGAGAAATAATTAACAGGTGGTTAGGTACAGCCACATATACATCCATGAACGTGATAACTTAATTTTTGTCCGATTTTGATGGAATTAGGTTTAAAGCTGTAAGGCGGGATAAACTTGAATGACTTCACAAACTAGCATGATTGGACCATGGGAACGGGGTTTTATGGGGTGAAAATGGGTTTTCTCATTTTTGACGGTAAAACAAAATTTCCCAATTTTTCTCTAGACCTTTTTAAAGAGCTTAAAAAACAAATAAGTTTAGTAAATCAAAGTGTTTGGTACAGTTACTGGTAATGGAGAAAATAAAAAAAATTGTAAATTTAAAATTCCCATGTTATTCTTATGCAGGGACGTATTTAAGTATCTGCCACTTCTAGGCAACAAAGTTTGCCCCCCCCCCTCCCACTTTTCAGCGCACTCTCCGACCTCACTAATATCACCCCAATGGCCAATACATGCCCTGTCAGCTGATTTTGTAGAAAAATAATCGGTTAGCATGCTGCATCAACAAATTTAATAACTTTTTTGAACCCTTTTAACGGACGTTGTTTGCGCCGTTTTTTGCAAAACATTCCGACTTGGATAGGCCTACACGGAATGTAACTTTTTTTATCTAATCAGTATTTTTACAATCCCGTTTTGCGGCGTGAAACGGCACACAAAATCGTCTGTTGGTTCTTATAACGCTTTTAATTGAACACTTTTAGTCAGATCTACTTGAGAGACGTTCTATTGGCTATGATTTGAAATGAAAGAAATATGTTTACTTATCTACACACCACAATGTTTACACACCACATTGGCATTCGGATGGACTTTCAAACTTTCAGCTAGAGCTGCCGCTGCATAGTGGCGTATGAAGTAAACAGAGGGTGTGTCAGGGGGGTTACAGAGGGGGTGAAGTAAACACCTTGGGGAGTGTTTACTTCGTTTGCCACTACGTAGCGGCCGGCTCGGCAACCCGCTCCCGCGGCGCGCTTGTCCGCCAGACCAATAGGGGAGCACGAAAACTCAGCACAGCTGTGTAATTAACTATTGACGTTTGCTTGACTTAAATGAGTTCTGAAATAATTTTATACTTAATCCAAATATTTCAAATGGCTGTTTTGCCGTTCCCAGAATTATTTGCTAACATTTTTTTTTAGATTATAACCTCGTTTTTTATTTCTTAACCTCCAAAAGCGCCTAGTCCGCCTATTCGGAAATATGTCCCTGTTCTTATGGAGAATATTGTAAGTTAAAATGTTGTAGTTGGCTTGTTTATGGATATACTAGCAGTTACCCAGCGCGCGTTGCTGCGCTTAACAACTATTATTTAAAATGGTAATTCAGTTCTTTACGATGAATAATAAAAACCAAAAATAATAGGGTATTTTACTTAATTGCTAGTCGGTAAACAATGTTTTTTTACTACAGTCGCCTGACAAAGTTGACTTCCTTGTACTGTTTATAGTACAGAAAGCTGCTAATTGCTGCATATTTATACTTTGTCGTACGGTTTATACTTTGGCGCACATCAGGATTCCAATGAAACAACACAAAACAGTGTGGTTCTATTATGCACGTAATCCGTGTACGCTTGGAAATAGGTTGGCAACACTTAAAGATAATAATACTATGAGCAGCTGATTGACTATTATAACTACGATTAAACCTGTCATTTCGTGTTTATAGTTTAGGCCTATGCTCTCTTTTCGGTATTTCTGAACTTTCTGGACTTTACTTTTAAACGTTTTTAAAACATTCCTACGATCTTAATAAACAGGAAAATACCTTTAAAGCATTTTTTAGGCTCGGAAACCACTGCAAATTACAAAAACATACAGAACTATTTTCTCAAGTCGCGGAGCACATTGCTTGCCGAGGAAAAAATAGTGGAGTGATACCGACCGGGGACTACTTTCTCTAGGGCACCTATTTGTGTTGCCAGCTGAACCTAAAAACATGTTGTATAGTGTTTGAAATAGTAATTATTTATATGCTTTATAGTGACTGTAGGAAAAATATAATGTGTAACACGAGTGCAAAAGGCCTTTGCTGCACTCGAGATCATTCCGTAAACGTTGCTCTCGTGCTCACTAGTTACACAAATAACTATTGTTTTTACATTAGGTGTATAAATATAAGTTTTCAGGCGTACCTACCACCACGTGAGCAGTATAGGCCTATATATATATACAGGGTGTTCCGGAACTCTCTACCAATATTTTAGGGCATTGCTCCTGGGTAAGAAACATACCTAAATATCATATTTAAATTGTCCGGAAGTCCTTAGTTACTCACACAGCCGCCATTTTGTTTTTTTCAGTTATTGATTTTTTTCTAAAGAATGGTTAAACATACGAAATGGAAACTTTGCACAAACATTCATGACAACTAGACAAAGCTACAAAAAAATTATGACGATTTTTCAAATTCACAAAACAAAATGCCGGCCATTTAAAATTTTTATAAAATCAACGGTTTTTGAGTTAATTAAGAAACTAAATTTTAAATGCCCGCCATTTTGTTTTATGAATTTGAAAAATCGTCATAATTTTTTTGTAGCTTTGTCTAGTTGTCTATAATGTTTGTGCAAATTTTCCATTTCGTATGTTTAACCATTCTTTAGAAAAAAATTAATAACTGAAAAAAACAAAATGGCGGCTGTGTGAGTAACTAAGGACTTCCGGACAATTTAAATATTATATTAGGTATGTTTCTTATCCAGGAGCAATGCCCTAAAATATTGGTAGAGAGTTCCGGGACACCCTAAGTATATTAGTAGGTAAATGAAATAAATAATTTAACATTTAGTACCGGTACCCTTTAAGTTATTAACTTATTGAATAACTAACATATTTTGGCTTTTAGGCCATGATCACAGTTATGAACAAATTAGTAAATAAATATAAATGTAAATAATAAATAAGTAAATTATCATGATTTTGGAATTTTGTCTTGTACATAGGTTGGCTCAGGTGTTGTTTACTTTTGATTTATTATATCAGATTTTTTCATAGCCTATATTAGGTTTTCTTTTTGGATTTGCATTGTATTGAGTATGTTTTCAGGATACTATGTTGAGTATGTTTTATGTAGGCTATATCTATACATATATTAATTACGTAAGCCGATTCTTTGCGTCAAAAAATTGTGGGCGACTGGAAGGTCGTAGAACGACGGGAGTGGGCTCAAATTAAAGGTCTCGATCCCGTGACGGCAGGAAAAATAGTGATATCCCCCAAACTTTAAAACAAAAATAGATAAAACGTAAAATTTTCTCCATAAGAATATCATTAGAAGCCATTTACTGCTGATTTTCTGTTTACTTCAATACAGCTGATCGTGATTTATCATTAAGCAATATTACATTTGGATTACTGATTTGCCAGTCAATTCTGCAACACAGAGGATACGCGTCCGGTAACCGGGCGTGGATTAGGCGTCCGGCAGTGACATCACCAGGTTGTGGGGGCCCGGAACAAAAATTACCACGATACGATTTACAGCCATCGATGTTCATGGTGTAGTGGATATAGTGCTCGGCTGTTATGCAAGAGGTCCCTGGTTCGAATCCCATTGGTAACTTAAACTAACTTAATGTATTTGTTGAACATATTTTACTTTGAATGCCATTTCTTCTTACCATAGGCCTACATATTTTGTTAGAATTTTTTGCATTTAAATAAAGGCTAATTTTATTTTATGAACAGAATTTACCTAAACTTTAACTTATTCAATTTATTCATTAAGTTATCAGCAAGTTTGGTTGGTTAGGTTAGGTTATGACAGTACCTATTTAACTGCCAGACACAGGACGCGTATCCTCTGCGATTGGCATAGCCCAGTTAAGAAACTGTACCCCTTAAGTGGATTTAACTTAAAAGTTTAAATGCATAAGTTAATGTATAGGCTAATTAAGTTACAGGTTCATTTGCTTTTTTAGATCAGACGCTTCGAAATAATATAGCCTAATAATTACAAAAGTTAAGTTATTCAACTTCAACTTTTAACGAAAATATATCCTGCCTTCAGGTAATCCAATCTGCATTTTAAGTCTTTCTTTATCAAACCCCAAGGCTAGGCCTAAATTTAATGCAGGATTAATTGTTAACCTTTTTTTAGAACAAAAGTAGTTGGTATTACATTAAACAAAAACTGTATTGCCATTGTTTAATAGAGAAAATAAGTTGATGATATTTCCTCGTAAAAGCACATTCATAAGTAGAACGCAATATCGTAAATGCATGCTGCATTGCACAGGTGTGGACTGATAGCCCAGATAAATAATACATTTGAATCCAAATTATAGTCAAAACGTATTATGGAGGCCATATTTTTATTAGAATTATCAAGAATAAATAAACGTAATTGAATTAGATATTTTATTATAGCGCGTTCAAGAGAAATCCAGCACCTAAGCTTCAAGGTTGTCTCAGGACCAGGCGAAAAATATTTGCGTGCAACCATCTTGACGCTATTCGTGCAACATCGATGTAACATTCTATTTCTGCACTTGATTCGTATTTTCTAGCAATTGGTATTAGAGGTTGGGGTTATTTTTCAATCGCAAACTTAAGGAGTAATCTTTTAACTATATTTAATAATAAGATAAGAGTTTTACTTACCTTAAAGGGCTTCTTCGCTATTTATATAAATATCCTAATTTCCGTGCCCCTTGCATAAAAAGAAATTTGTTGTACTGCCGGAAACAGGCATGCACTAGAAAAACAATGCAACCAATTCGCAAACTGAAGTTTAAAATACTAGTGAGAATGTTACACCATGAAAGGCACTGCAATTATTCAAAAGTAATATTTTATTTGAGGTCGCGATGTTTAAGAATATCCTTTCAATTTTTTTAACATCGCAAAATATAATATTGCTAATAAATTGAATAGTTGCTGTTTTGATCCCAAACTCTAGTGACTCTAGTGTCAGAAATCTGAACTAATACAAGGTTGTCGATGACGACGACAAACAACGTCACTATTTTTTTCTCTTTCCTTCTCTCTTTCTTCCTAGTCTTTCTTTCGTGTTAGTCTGAGTCAGCTGTAACGTAACGTAACTCTAAAGTGGTGTCAAAGGGTCGAGTGAGAGCAATTTTTGGTCGGTTAAAATTTTCACAATGATTAACGTAGTTTCGAAGTCGGCAAATTTGTCCCCTTATCTAAAAGTATCCAGCCAGGCTGTTGCATCCAGTGCAAAACCTCTTGTGAAACCAACTAAACTGTCTTCTGCTAAACCTGTTTATCCTACCCATCCAGTTGCTCTAACCAACTATGCCCTCACAAAATTGTTACCTTCAAATGACATTAGAGTCAAAAATGGCCCAACAGGTAAGTGAACTAGAGGGTAGCCTATAAGGGTTTAAATATTGTTAAGATAATATGTCTATGATAACGATCTTAAAATTGCACTTAGGATAACACCTAAGTTAGGTCAGGGTTGTGCCTAGTTATATTAATAGGCTAGGCCTAGGCCCAATAAATACTTTCATAGCCTACAATAAGCAACTTCCGTTTTATAGATTTCAATTTTAGCTCTTAATTTTGCCTTAAGTGGCCTATTATGATATTTCATGAAGTAAATGAAATTTAATAACTTTGTCTACCAAAGCTACGGTAGGCTAGCCTAGGCCTAGGTTTGACTTGCATTTTGGTTAGGTGTATGCAGAGGTAATGTTAGGGTTATTTTAATTGGTTAAGTTACTTGCATCCGGTTAGTCCAGCCATTTTGTTGTTGGGCTGGTAATCCGGTCCCGAGGTGGCCGAACTACTTAAAAAGAGTCTAGGGCCTAGGTTATGTTCAGATTAAATTTTAAAGTTATAGGCCTAAGTATTGATTTTTGAGGCTTACCCTGTCAGTAGTCCGGGAATTGAATGAAACTTGAATGATTGAATGATTTAACTTGTAGGGTACTTTTAAAGCTTAAATGTTTTGTTGCAATGAAATATCTTCGGAGCTTGCCACATGTCAAAAATATTAAAATTTACACAAAAAACAGTTCATTACAAACGGGACATTTACAAACACAAAAACAATTTGATAGCACTAACTAATCATGACACGTCGGTGGATGTAGATAGACTGGACACAGGCTATGTAATTCATCCCATCCTTCTCTTTCTGTTATCCACATGGTGGTCAGCTGTTCCAGATGAGATAACTGAGTTGAAGAGGTAGTGGGACTAGAACTGTTATTTATCGTTAAGGATGACATATTCTTTGCATTCTTCGTCTTTGTTCATTCTATAAATCTCATAGGCCTACTCGTCAAGTGTGTCCAGTGTGACCTTTCTTGCAATAATGTAGTATTTCGAAGGTTCTTACTACGTTAATTTGCAATCTACAAGGTGTTTTAGTGAATGCAGATTTTTGTTTGTTGTGTTTAGGATTTACCTAAACTTAGTCTGTGTTATTTATATCGTGTTTCGAAAGCACTACCTGTTTGCCCTATAAGTTAAGTTTTAAGTTATATTTAGGCCTACTGGAACAATCTGAACAAGATGTCCTATAGAGTAAACACAGGTTTTACAGTATCTATTTTGTCACCTATCTCAATTCTGGTCTGGTTTGTAGTTCTGAAGGCTAGTTTAATGTTTTGCTAGTTCTTTCTAGTCCAGCCATAAAAGGAATTTCCCAGGAAAAAATTCCCGCAGTTTATCTGTTGTTTCTTATGTATTTTTTGGCGCTGAATCCGATTTTAAACTTTGCCACCTCTCTCCAGAGGTGAGCTAACTTGAGAAATCGCATTTAGGGTACTTTAATTTAGTTATACGACAGTTATTGCAAAAAAATACTCCGTATGAGTTATACGTAATAAAGTAAAACAAGTACCGTATTTTATTTGTTTTTTTGCGATTTCTCAAGTTAACTCACCTCTGGGGAGGTGGCAAAGTTTAAAATCAGATTCAGCGCCAAAAAAATACATAAGAAACCACTGAGATAAAAACTTCACGAAATATTTTCTGAAAACATCATCTTTTTTCCTCATATGCTTGGACTACCTATTCATTATTACGTGTTGGATAGTGTGACTTAATTCTACGCAAAAAATTTTTTAACTGAAGAGCTGTAAATCCTTACACCTTGTTTGTTTTTATGTTTCGTTATGAGCCTGTCTACCTACTAAACTAGTTTTATAACCGTTGACTGATGCAATTATATATATGCGTAATAATTATGTATTTATGATCATAATTTGTTGTGGTTAATGGAATGGTTAACATCCTATGGACCATTGAATTAAGTTAATTTTTTTAGAATAAGGATGGTATGAGGTGTTGTGGATGGTTTGTGCAGGAGTCGTTGGTTTCCTGTTGATACAATAATCAAAACTGTCGACAGTCTTCTTTATGGTTAAATCTAAAAAATGTAAATTTTGGTGACTATATCATTTAAATATTTGAGGAGGAGGTTTAATTGTCTTTTGTTTCCATCAAACAATACAATGGTTTTGTTTCCTGTTTGTAAATATCCCGTGTGTAATGTACCACTGTTCTGTGAGTAAATTTTTTGATGTTTTGACGTGTTGCAATGATTTTCCTGCTATCGCGGCAGATGAGTTTTTGTTACCTTATGTGATGGTGATAATTTAAAGGATCATCGAGATAATAAGGATTCCAATTTTTGCAACACTAGCTCACCGAACTTTGGAAAAATAAGAAATACAAATTTGATGTGAGAACAATCTTGAATGTAGCCTATTCCTACCTTACATGCTAATTTTGAGGATTGATTTTTCACATTGTGTTGATTTTTCAGAGCGCTGAGGTTCCTTCCATCGTGTGCTCGATGGATCTACTTTAAAATTGTGTTTTGAGGAGAATTTATTATGACAAAAATTTGTGTTTTTTTTTAGCGTAGGTATTTATAGTGCATTTTTAACACTAGTAACTCTTGCCAAAGTCATTAAAAACAATGTTTTTTACAGTGACCACACAAGTGAGGTTTGCTCACACTGACATCCAGGTGCCCGACTTTACTTTCTACAGAAGGAGCGCCACCAAAGACCCTAAGTCCAAGAGGCTTGAAAATGATGACTCACGAAAAGCTTTTACCTACCTCATTGTCGGAGGTAACTAAACAATAGCCTAATTTTATACTTGAAGAGCAAAAATGCTGAGAGATCTAAGTGCCATTTTAAAATTTTTTCCATTGTAAAGTGAAAGTGATTTATGTTCCCACACCCAATGTTCAGCTAAAATATCTATTCACTATCCTTTATAAAAGTAGTTGCTATACACTACATACCTAATGGAAAATCTGGTCGTATGCCAGCACCGCCCTGCGCTGCTAGTGGATCTAAGTGTCATTGCTGTGAACTGTCCCACGGAGTGATGTTAATATACACAGTGATTACCTTTGGTACCTACTTAAGTTAACTTAGATCTACATGATTGGCAAGAACATTAGACATAGGCCTAGATTTTTTTGCTAAACCAACAATATAATTTTTATCAGTTGATATTCCTAAAAATGACTTGGTTTATATTTGTTCTGAGAAATTTTGTTTTTGACACTTGGAACCATTAGCAATTCCACTCTTCATTTAGGATATTTCAAACTTAGCATTCACATCTATTTGTATCATTTGCAAATGTAAATGTTGTACAGAATCAAACAATCAGCTTAGAGCGAGCTGGCGTAGTAGTTAGAGCGCGGGACTTCACTCCCTGAGGTCCCGTGTTCGATCCCCGCCAAGTCACCAATGGATTTTATCTAAGTGATGATGCCGCAACCCCTAGATCTAGCCTGAAGTAATGTGAAAAACAATCCCAGGCTCGTGCCTAGTGTCCTGGGAAAAAAAGAAAAAAAGTAGTCTAGCCCATTTTTACAGTTGACCTTTCTAATACGGACGTCACGGGACCGAGTGCAAATCCAGTTTAAAAAGTCATGACTATCTGTATGTTTAAAAAATACATTTTACCTGTTATTGTGTACCCATAGCCTAAATGAGATAAATCCTTTTTCAGCATACTTACCCAATAATTACAGTGTGTCGCTACACATTTGCTGGATAGTCATTTTTCTAATAGTTGACTAATCGGCCATGTCAACAGAAAAACCCCTATTTTATTTTAACTTTCCCAGAATTATGATTCCATTTTTTCACTTTTTCCCAACTGTAGGCTATTCTGTAAAAAAATTCCAATCATTGTAATGTTGTGTAGGTGGTGCGGTCACAACAGCCTATGCCGCCAAGTCTGTCGTCAGGCAGTTGGTGTCCACCATGAGCGCTAGTGCCGATGTTCTGGCTCTGGCCAAGATTGAAGTTAAGCTTGGCAGTATCCCTGAGGGAAAGAGTGTTACATTTAAATGGCGAGGAAAACCACTCTTTATTAGGCACAGGTGAGAAGGTAGTTTAGGCTTTAAGGATAGTTTAGGTGGTTGCGGAACTTTTGTTAACAATCAATGCCACAAACAGAATATTTCTATCTATTTCGGTTTAAAAAATACAGATTTGTTTCGATACATAATTTACACACTGTATAACAAATAAATACATAGGCCTACGTTTGTAAATCCATCTTCCAGTCATTACTGTATTTAGCTATTTTTCCATTACAGTAGCCATACAAGCGATGGTGTAGTCGTACATTTTTCAGTGTTGGATTGTCTCAAAACTTGCTAAAATATAGGATTCTTGAGAAATGTAAGAGTGCCTTACTACACCACAGCATCTAAGGAAATCATGACTAAGCCTAGCTAAGTGGGCTTGACACCGCTTGTCCATTCATCCCGTACTGTACAAGGTAAGGGTAATATTACACAATATGGTAGTAGTTAATCAAACAGAATTGTTGTACATTTTAATCTCTTTATACTAGAGTAAAGTATGTGTTTGTGCAGGACGCCTCAGGAGATATCAGTAGAGCGAGGTGTTCCGATGAATGAGCTACGTGACCCTCAGCACGACAACGAGCGAGTGCAGAAGCCTGAGTGGTTGGTTTTGATTGGAGTATGTACCCACCTCGGGTGTGTGCCTATTGCCAATGCGGGTAAGTTAGCCCTTTTTTACTTTTTAATATAAAACTAAAAGAATCAAAACGTTGAGTCAAGGTTCGATGAAATTCAGGATTTAGATTGCATAGGTACTACGGCAATTGAGGTGTTAGAAATTTTAAAAATAACTTTTGATAAGTGGATACCAGCCTATTAAATTCCAGTGTAGTTTGGTTTGATTCAACATGTAGAGTTAAAGATAGAGGTTGCTGTAATCCAGCAAAGGTATGTATATTACGTTACAGGGCCGGGAAGTAGGTGTTTATAGTACGAGCATATTTCCTTTTCAGATTTTCAGGTTAGTATTGTGAACACCTTAAGGGCGAGTTTCATACGATACTTTGCACACCACCAGGAACAAGTTTTTTTAATGATTTAGATATAAAGACTAACATAACCTCACTCACTAATGTTTAGATAATTTTGCCACTTTAAAAATATCAAATACTCAATCTCATTCCTGATATTTGGATTTATCAGGCAGCTAATTGGATTAATTTCTATCTGTATTTAAAACGTTAACAGCTAACCCTTTCTTATGCGTTGGTGCTTGTTTCTTGTTTCCTGATTATAGAATTTATTTCTTTGGTCTATCTTTAATTTTATTATCATTCATTTTACAACAATTTGGTTTTTTGCGACTGTTCCTATCACCCTGTAAGCAAGAAGGAGCGATATGCCTACTAACAAATAAAAGGAATTAGTAGCGCAGATCTCAGATTTATCAGTTAAAATTCTTATACCAATATTGCTTCTCAACTCCTTTGAAATTTCCTTTTTTACAACCAGTCGGAAAACGAGCTAGGTAACCCATTAATGGTTTTGCAGAAGAAGGTGAAATAGGATCCCTTTAAACCATGTTTGTTATGGGAGATGATAAACATGAGTTTTTCAACTTTTTTAATGGTACCAGTAGGAAAATTTATTCCTAAAACCTTCAAACTATTTGAGTGAAAAAGAAAGGTTTTTTTTTAATTAATGATATTTTGTAACTCATTTCCAACATTAATAATTTAGAAAAACATCTATAAACATAATTTAAATGACTCAAACGATGATTTTTTTATCAAATAAATTGTGGACTAAATTTAAAATATTTATCACTCTCCCAAGTTTTAGAAACAAACATGTGCTCTGACAAACACTATTCGCCACTCAGCTTGCTTTCAATGAAATAATGCTTAGTGCTAAGAATAATTGTTTCAGTATGTGGCTTTAACACTCGGGATTGTCATTTATTAAAAGTGCATACAAAAATGGCACTTTTTGAATCCAAAAGATAGAACTCATATGGCTCTGGATCTAGCAAAAAAGGAGGGCACTTTAAACATATTACTTTTAGCTTAAATATTGTGATTAGGTTATGAGATGTTCAACTAATCCCATTAACTGTTTTTACCTACGAGCGTTTTTTAAAGTAGCCGTTTCAGTTCAGTTCTTAGAATTGAAAAGTTTCTCATAACAGCATTGTTTACTTTCACAACATCATAGTTTTACTCATAACAACACGGGTAACGGACCGATGAGGTTCAAGGATTCAGATAGAAGAAGTAAAATTGTAATGATGTGAACTTCAACTAATCAGCTGTTCAGGCCAATTTCATTGTTGAGTGGTGCAAATTAGTGTTTGGTAATATGTTTTGTTGCATCACTGTCAGTGGCAATGAGAGGTTATAAACGAAAACATAACCTCTCTTAGAAGTTATGAGTAGTGAATTTTAGTAATCAAAACACTGTCGTAAAAGTAGTGTACGCATTCTATTCTAACACTAAACGATCAAAACTCTGAGTTCACCATTTAATTTGATTCACAATAATTATTGATAGCTGTAAGGTTAAATAATTGACTATTGGATGCTGAGGTAGACATCCCATGTAGCTATTTGGACCAGCTGCCGTCAATTTTTTATTGAAAAAGAACGTAGTTGTGTGAGCCAGTCATAGAATGAGTTAGTGTCTAAAATTAGCGATTTTGATTTTAAAAACTGGCAACAGCTGTAACATTGGGGTGGAATGTCTAGCTGTAACAATAGTCAAAAGTTAAATGCCATGAATTTCATAAAGTTAAAATCCCAATAGCTGAATGAGCTAGTTATCCCATATGTTTACCAAATGAAAACCCAGAACGTTTTTTTCTGGGATTGATATTTAACCAATTGTAGGTTGAATGATCTTCTAGACTGGGCTAGCCAGTTTTTGTGACTGATTGGTTGTGTGTTGCAGGTGACTTTGGAGGGTACTACTGCCCATGCCATGGCTCCCACTACGATGCATCTGGAAGGATCCGCAAGGGCCCAGCTCCCCTCAATCTAGAGATCCCTCCCTATGAGTTCCAAACTGAGGAACTGTTAGTTGTTGGCTAAACTTGTATTGTTTCAATAAGAAATAAACCATTTAGTCAGACCATTGTTACTTTACTCTAGATAAAATAAATTTCTGTTTTAATCAAACGCCTATTCAATGTGCATTTTGTCATTTTACTTTCAGTTTAACTGTATGCAAAATTTATTTATTCAGATTCAGTCATACTGTGTATGGTTTGAATTGTGTATATTTATGTGAAATACATGTGATTCGACTTGACATCTTGGAAATTATTTCAACATCGAGCTACATGAAGGAAATTATAACCCTACAGTCTATTTCCAAATATTAACCAACAATTATAATGGAATATTCACAAGACAAAGAAGACATTAAACTTCTTATTCAAAATCAAACGATAACTCTCGACTGCTCATATTAATAATGGCTGCACTACATCTAAGTTATCAATTAATTTCAATCGAGGTCACATTGTATGCAAATCAATAATCATACAAACTATATTTGTAGCCACATTCCATTATACATATTTTTAAATCGTAAATACACATGGTTTTATCATCAATTAAACATAAGGATCAATAAATTCTCAAAACAAATTGTTTTTCAAGTTTTATTTACAATCATTTCTTGTTAGGTTGGGTAGATTACAGTTTTTATATTTATGTCAGGACTCAGACTATAACTTTACAAACATTTAACATTCTAACTAAACCAGGTAATGCACATTTCTGTACTTATGGACATTTCTTCAATATTATATTATCACTGTATAATGAGTTATGATCCCAATAACTTAAAATTAACCTAATTTTCAAATTTCAAGCCGGATGTTATAAAATAAATAATGATCATTAAAGGAAGATACACATTAAGATGTCATGTTTGGTTAGCCTCTATTTTACATTGAAACTCTGCTATGAATAGTTTCTACTGGAAATTGGAATTTAAGTGTACAGTGTTTCAAAGATCAAAACAAAATATGCAGGGTTAACAGAGTGGTTATGCAGCCTGAGTTGCCACTTTAGACTTTGGGATGGATATTGATGTAGATAAGAGGTTTTTTCTGAGTGTGTGTATGTGTCACTGTTGGTTCCAGCTGAATGCAAAAACAACAGAACAGCCTGAGCTGAAAGTTTACAGAAGGGTAGACCAAGTACCCAGCAAACAAATCTATTCATGTCTTTTAAATACCCACAAGCTACAAAACCTTCCACACAGTTTTCAGTTGGTGCTTTTGGGTTGAATTAATAGAAATAGAATTAATAGAAATTAATAGAATTTTGGGTTGAATTGATAGATCTTTATGGCAACAAATAAAACCTCATAGTTTGAATTTGCTGTATAATTTGTTAACATTTAGATATTTATAATAACTATACTCCGTCACAAAATTCAGGCAATTTGAGAGGAAGCTCCCCCCCCCCCCAATTTGATGTACTTAATATATATGGCGCACAGCTGATTTATATTTTGGCAAACCTCAGCTGTTGAGCTAGTTTTATAGGTAGGTTCAAGTTGAGGGGATAGATTTCTTCCACTAAAATGTTGTGAACAAAGTATAAGGTCACGGTCACTAAAACTACAAGCCTGGTTATTTTGTAGTGTTATTTAATTTTGATAATGTTTTAAACTCTAAACAAAATGGTACAACCTCCAATGCTGTAAACATTACAAGCACCTTGGCTTATCGACTAATGGGACAAAGTATGTGTCACATAGCTGATACCGTTTGTTTGTTCATGCAATAGATTTCTAATATCACAGCTTTTGTTTTAATCGGCTCTATTTGATGGCAAAGGTGGAATAGCCAAGCAAAGTTGCATTATATGTTGAGGAGCCTTAAAAACTTATCTTTTGGGATGTCATAGGTGTGGCTAAACACGATTAACTTGTGGCAGCTGACTCATGAACAAGATAATTGGTTGAGATGCAATGTTAAAAACGGCTACATTTGAGATGACAAGAAAAATCTGTTCCTATGAATAAACATTTTGACAACATTTATAAGTAAGATATATTACAACCACCGAATTGAAATAATGGAAGTAAACAACTGATAGGAACACTTCCTGTTGAGATCATAGTATAAAATGGTAGGCTATATATCACGAGAGAAATAATCTATACAAATTTTCAATATAAAAAAATAATCAAAGAATCTTAGACATTAGTCAGTTTTAGAAAATGATTAAAAATCAAAACTTCCCAGCTGAAACTGTTGATTGAACTCTTCAGGAATTTTATGTGTATTTTAGAGAGATTATATTTCAATACTCAAATCTTCCGACTCCTCGCCAGTTTGAAGATTTCCAACACTACTGTATGTAGGACTGTGCAAACACATTTGTGCAGTTTGCCATACTGGTTAAGGTAAAGAGTTTGACCTAACTCCTGTCAGTTAAATGCTTTAATACAGTCAGACTGTAGTTGTATTTACTGAACAGCCTACAAGAGTTCATGATAATAAATAGATAACACACACATGACGGGTTACATTTAACTCCATGCAAGATGGTTCTCTGCTACCTGCGACGCTCACCCTTCTGTGTCTTGCGTTTATCTTTCTTCTCCTGCTGTTGTTGTTTTTGTTTTTCTCTGAAATGGTAACTGCATTATTACACAGAGCATGATTTTTCAATCACTGAATGTAAATTATTAAATAGGTTTAACATTTTAAAAATAAAAAATGTATAAAGTTTAGCTGTACTTAATTTCTTATTGTACCTAGAATCATAAATATTTTGAGATACCGTAACTAGATTCTCATTTAGTGCCTGATATATTTAATTAGCTAGTCAATTAAAAACAAATGAATAATACAAATGGAATAGTCAAAATAATTTGTTAAGTTGTCAGTAGTGGTTCATTTATGATAGTTGTATTCATTCATGTTAAAGCCAATCAGATGATGACAGCCTTACAATGGGTGAATTGCAGGCATGGCATCTGAGGAGGCTGTCTATCCCTGAGTACCAAGTTACCTACTTTTATTGCTTTATTTTACATTCGTGATGTGTCTTTCTCCAGACTAAAACTCAAAAAACCGCTAAAACATTGGAAAAGCTATGGCAGCAGCATTTTTGATGATTCCCTGTGATTTTTGCAACATCGTAATTCATTCCTGCAATGATGATTTTCTTGGTGGGCCCTCTTGACTAGACATGATGAAAATAGAACTAATGGAACGCCGTTGGTGAGTATTGCCCAGCCACAGGCTATTGGTGGTGGTTTAAAGAAATTGAAATTTCCCAGTCCAATTCAAATTTATGGACCTTTTCCCTGTCATAAAAATTCATATAGGCTACCATTCCCACCCAGGTTTCACAATCGGATGGGCACCCTTGATAGTAAGTAATACAGTAAAATTAAAATTATCCGCATCAATTTTGAATGGTAAAAAGAAATTTAAAAATAAAGAAAATAACAAAGGCTTTTCACTATAAAACACTTGTGACATATTTTTGCAGGGAACATTGAGTCATTCCTTCTTTTCCCTGATCATGGTCAATTGCTACGTCCTGTCACCGAGATTAGCTGTGTGATATAGTGACGTATTTTCTATAACTTATTCTAAATGCAATTCACTTAGGCCTGCTTTCTTTTTATATAACATTTCAGTTATAGTAGGCCTAACTTGTCAGTAAAACTCTTAATTGTTAAATGTTAGGTGATGTTTTGTTGCTTAATTCCCAAGATATACACGACCATCAAAATTTCTGCATTTCTGAATCTGCCCAATTTCTAATGAATATGGATAAGTTAGTTGATGTTATCCTGTTTATAATTTAATTTACAATTAAAAATCAATTAAGTTACTTGCTAACAATATGATATTTAAGTCATAAATGTCTCCCTAGATTTTGGATTTGCCTATGGAATTGGAATAGCCAAAATGTTATGACTGGAAGACTTATGACAGTTATAACAATAATGCTGCGATGTACCACTAATGTACCTTTCAGTGAGTGGGTGGTGAAGGAAGAATGATATATAAATGGGTAGGTACAAAAGCTCTAGGTAAATATACACAAAATAAAAAATTATTCAAACGTGTTTTATAACTCTTTGGAACCCTTAAACTTAGTAATAGCTACGGCTTAAATGTTGTTAAATAATTTGCAAGATGAAGAGAAAAATTTATGGAACAGAAGTTAAGTATATTTTGTACCTATCTTCTTTATCCTTTTCTTTCTTTTTCTGGCTGTCTAATTTAGCTCTTTCCCTTTTCTCTCGCTCTGCCTGATGTACAGACTGAGCATTTGTGTTTTTGAATAAACCATTTTCCTTCCCTTCGTTACCTCCACCATCGTCCTCCTCCCCGCTTTCTTGATCAGAGGTCTGGAAAATAATATGAAAGACTGCATTAACCCTCCAAGTGTCCATAGTATTGGTATTAATGTCCGCCCATTTATTGCGCAATCGCAGGGTTTTATTAAAATATATCTTAGAAACTTAAAAACAATGTAAAGTATAGGCCTACTGTTTTATATATCATTTTGTTCGGGAAATGATGGGCTTCATTGTAATATAGGCTATAAAACATTACAAAAAAATTTTCAACAATTTTTGTGGGGTTAACATTTCTCAAAAATTATAAAATAAATGAAAAAAAATGTATATGTTTGCGCTCAATAAATTTTTTTAATTTATAAGTCTACAAAAATTTTAAAATAGCCACTTTGTTCTAAATTTTATAAGGATTACAAAAATATAATAATATAAGGAAGCAAATTTGCAAATAAATAAGTTATGGGTGAAAAACAGATTTCGTACATTTAGCGTTAGCTAAGAATGCATAGCCTAACCATAGCTAGGAATCTGGCCGATAATTTACATCAATATCACTACCTACTTCTTCATGATCATCAACCAGCCCTTCAAAATCACTTATATCTTCTTATAATGCACCACGTATATCACTACTTTTTATTTTTAACACTAAAACAATTATAAACGTAATAAAACACATCAGTCATCGGTACGAGGTTAACCAAGTTGTTTACAAATACGGACGTCAGCTGTCTGCTACAATATTTTCGGAACTAAAATGAAAAGGGTCTAGAAACAGACATCAGGAGAAAGCTTAGAATCTGCCGAAAATAACGATACCAATCTCCATCCAGTTCAATCTGATTCAGTCAGTCCCAGAGCCTTCACCGTAAACGATGTTTGTGTGTCGCAAAAGCGACACATAACACCACGGTGGGTGTGTTATGCGTCGATTACGAGACGCTTAACACTCGGAGGGTTAAGGTTGCCCAACATGCAAAATCATTCATATAGGAAAAACATGGTTCAATACCTAACAGAGTTCAGGCCTCTAAAATTCCAGAGTTTCAGAAGAAAACTGTTCAAAAATAAGAAACCAATTTATGTCATCTCAAGTCAATCTGAATATATCTGTACTTAGTAAAAGAATTAAGTGTCTCAAAATAATCAATAGGCCTAGTTTACCAAAACACAATGCAAACATACCTGACTATATTGTGCTAAAATAGCTTCCCTGATCTTTCGTTCCTCCTCTGTGTAGCTACGCTGTACAGTAGTTGGACGCACGTTAGACTCCATCAACTTTGCCAATTTTTCTTCCACATTTTCCATAGGGGTAGGGGTGCTGACCTTATTGGAAGCAATGTTTAACTGGCAAGCCTTCCAGCGATCAAGGATCTCTTGGCAATGAAAAGGAATATCTGTTTCCTACAAAATCAGAAGGCCTATATTAAAGTATAATATCTGTAGCTTAATGTGTCACAGGTCAGTCAAGTCACAGTCAACAAAAGTATTCTTTAACACGTTCGCTGCGGCCCATCAAATGGCAGACTTAGCCCCAGTGCGGCACAGCCCGCAGCGTCAAAAAAACCCTATTGCCGGGTGATTGCTTTCAAATTTCGGTATGACGAATAGTAAATAAAGTTCGGTGATGTCCTGCTTCATGATAAGAGTCAACATAGTTTGCTTAACACCCATAGTTTGCTTAACAAGCAGCACTGCTTGGAACGTAGCCAGTCCCATTGTATTGCCAATTGGAGGGAGAAAGAAGGGACAACAAGTAGATTTTTAAGTTTGCCAGATGGGGATTTTAGGGGAAAATTTTACTACCAAACTATACCACAACCAAATGCAAGTCACCCACTGCACACTAACGTGGTATAGGTCCGCCTTCGACTGACACTAGAGCAAAAACGGAGATGTAAGTACAAAAGGCATTGCCGAGCATATCCGATCGGTTACGGCAGCATCTGAACACCGCTCGGCCCGTATTCGATCAGATACGCCTGCAGTGAACTTATTAATGGATTTTCTATTGCGCTATCTACACTCTTCCGGCATATCAATTTCCGGTCAGTCAATTTCAGATTTATTCCCACTTGTTCGGACGCCTGACTGACGTATATTTAAGGCTAGAAAATATTGTTTTTGTAAATTAAAATATTGTGTTAATATTTTAGATAGCCTACTGTTTGAAACAATCAACAAGATAAGTTATATGATGAACATTTGATAGAGTATTACGTTTTGGTTACCGGTAAACATTTTTCACTATAACATCATTGTAACTAAAGTGACGGAAGACTGACTGAAACCAAATGACTGACAGTTTGACTGAGAAATTGCGGATGTGACTGAGACTGGGCTGTGACGGGGCTGATATGTGTGAATCAACCTTTATTACAATTAATGTTAATCAACTTAAATAAGAAATAAATCTTTGACAATTTTAAGGGGTTATTTTAGTGAAAATCCGGCCAGGTAAATGGAAATTAGCTTAGTAGGAAAATTGCTTGCTACCGCAGGGGTATTTTAAAGAACTTAACAGCCAAATTGACGAAATAGACAAAAACCTGGCAAGATAAGACTGTATCAAGTTACAATGGGCCTAGATGGATATGGTTGGAATAAAATCAACATAACCTAACTATTCATCTTCTTACCGTAATTTCAGATAAAATGCCCTCAAGAGCTTCAGTTTTTTCTTCAATGGTTTCATCACCTTCTAAGATTCCTTTAATGTAGCTACCAAACACACCTTCGTCAGTATTTAATTCTTTTAATTTAAAACCTAACCAGGATTCAAAATCGTCTTCTAGGGCAGCCATCTTTTTCTTGGATATGTCCAGTCCCAGTCCATCAGTATCAGTCCATCTATTGCCAACATGCCAACATAAGAGGTTGTTTTTAAATTGAACTACATACACTGTTTATATAATTTGGTTTATACTTTTTTATCTCATAAATTTCATAAACTTGGCAAATGTATTTATTTTATACTAAGCTTATATTTTACTAAGGCCCGGTTCACACAAACGACAAACCTAGCAGACTAGGCTTGGACTGGGTAGCGGACCACAGGATCAAAAATGGAGCCGTTCACACGAGCCTAGGACGCCGACTAGCTAGCTAGTCGTGTCGTGTTCGAGCTTGATGTCCCAAAACCTAGTCGGGCCCCGCTTCCCAGTCCGTCGTGGCCCAGTCGAACTGCATAGTACATGTAGCATGTAGCCTTATGGGAGCGTTCACACGAGCGATCGGGTGGTCGAGTTGCAGCTTGAGCTCGCATTCTTACCTTTGTTCTCATTGTGCACCAGTGATGGAACCGAGTGGTTTTGATATTTAAATTTTCACCTAATCTGTAGACATGTCGCTCGTGTGAACCGGTGTGATCCTGTGGTCCGCTACCCAGTCGTGTGTGTGTGTGTAACTGTTGTTATAGTTTTTTGTTTTTTTTTTTAGTTTGGTTAGAGAATAGAGATCCGCTGTTAGCGCATGACTGAGTGCCTGACGCTGTCGTGATCCAGCGTCTTTTCAAACGGTTTCCACTTAAACTGTTTACAGACAACAGGCAGTTTCAGAAAAAGGAAAACAGCTTTCTGACTAACTGACTGACTAGCCGCAACCGCAAGTGTCAAACGTCAAACGTCGAAACGTCAAACCAAACCACTGATGGTGTTGTACAAGCTTGTTGTTTGTTGACGTTGTTTTTTCGGCAAGCTCAGTGGGATACACTGATACACACAAAACATCCAGATTGATTCAGTATTTCATGCGTAGTAAATTAGTCAATTACGAGGTTAGTCTTATTAGTTAATGGCCTTAACTTAGTTAATTTTTGATAGTCAAGTGTAACTTTGATATGCTTGACAAGCTTGAAAAAGTGTTTAGGCATAACTTATTTAAAACAATATTTTGAGGTTACTAAAGGCAAACTAGGCCTTCACGTCCTTACTTGTAACATAATCAATCTTTAAATTATTTGTTTATTGTTAAGGCCTTGAGAAGGGGTGACTTACTCTCTTTAATATTGTTCTGTGCACTCGTATGGTTCCTAGTTACAGTGCATTCATATCTGAACTAGGGATGAGCATTGATAGTCAATGTTTTTGAAACATAAAAGTTTTTCTATCGATGTTTGATGTTTTTACACCGATGGTAGATTACTGAGTTTTTGTTACGGTTACACTTCCATATCTGTTGGCACAAACAACCGAATGAGTAATATTGATTATTCGATTGTTTAATTCGATATATAGGCCTAGTTGGGTTAGTTAGGTTAGGTTAACCTTACCTAACTAACCAAAAGATATATCGAACAATCGATCAATGTTTTCATTCGGTTATTTGTGCCAACAGATATGGAAGTGTACCCTTTGTTACATCAATGTTTTGATGTTTGATATAAATTATATCAATTTAGATTGATATAAATTATTAGGGTAGGTAATTATTGCGGCTAACGTGACCATGGGAACCTATATAAGTTAGATTATTTATCATCAGAAACTAGATTTGTTGCTGAAAATAAAACGGTGCAAAACTTTTTCCGTGCTCCCAAATATTAACGGAGTTACAGCTGTTTTTTAGTTTTATTTGGCCTACCTTTGTAAATCAACTGACTAAGTTAGTCTTTTTTAATTGACCATATTTCCTCACCAGAAACATGATATAGGCCTAAGTTTAACTATTAAATTTATGTTAATTGTAAGTGATTTTAAGTAGATATTTAGACTCACACTTAACAATTAACTTAATAGAAAACTTATATTAAAGCAAATTAATTTCAACATAATGATCGTTCAGAAAACAAGGTAGCTAACTTAAGCTGTACGCAGCAACAGTGAGTGAACGAAAGTGGTTAGTGGCGGCGGCATGATGGATTTTGACATAGGCCTAATCCAGTTCCAGTAATCCAAAACCCAATCCACTCCACAACATAGACTCATATGGTTACTTTGACCATGTAGCTTTTATGCACTTTTATATCCTTTTAAAATAAGAATTATTGGTAATTATTTAATGTATCTACAATGGGATATGATGTAATTTTTAGATGTCTACTTACAGTTTTTTTTCACGCTGAATCCCAAAATTCAATCTGTTCTTATCAGAGAGGGTCCTAAGTGGCTGTACAATTAAATAATTAATATCAAGCATCAGTTTAGTTGCGTTATTCATATATTTGTGGTTTGGACGAGTCCAAGTTCTGAACTGAGCCTGAACTGTGTTGTGTCCAGATCTAAAACCACATAATAACTTATATACAAACTCCATAGCAAAGTTAAAAAAACAAACAGATGAGGCCATTATGTTGGTGGATAACTGAAGGATAGCCTGTAAAATTAATAAACAGTTTTTATTGTTCAACAGCTAAGTTTAACTTAATACGCTCTTTTAGAATATATTATCAACTCTAATTAACAATTTGTTGTCAAAACCTATTTGCCCTCTCAAACACTTTCTTTTAAGAAGTTTAGGTTTTACCAAGCTGTATATTGCCAATTTGAAAGATAAAACGTTTTCTTTTAGGTTGTACCGGTACTATGGGTGGTGCAACGGATGTGTGGGATGAAATACAGAAAGATGGTAAGTTCATACTGGAAACAAATTTTGAGAACGAGTTGTAGTCAATCATTCCTAGTTTATAAACAACTGTTAAATTATAGTCCTAGTGTAAATCAACCAGAAGAAATAGTTTAAAAACACCCATGGTATGAGTTCCCAAATGGAAGTTCTAAATTACAGTGTTTAATACCACCTATTTAACTTAATTTAATAACATAGAGTAACCGCAAAAGCTTCTTAAAATGTTTTTACTGTTGTAAATTAGTTAATTAAAAACTCTATTATCGGAAGTAGGTTGTGAACTTTTACTTCTGTGTGTTTCAGAATATTTAAAGCAAATAATTACAAAAAAAGAAAACCCCGACCAGTTGAACCCTTCACATGCCATCAGCGCAACTCTTGCTGTGTCTGAACAACTGACTCGTCTCACCCAAGGTAGGGTTTAAGTTAATAAAATTTATGAGATAAGTATTTAAAAGCATTCATAATTCAGAAATTACTGATTTTCTGAGTCAGTATGCCCACACAGCTCAAAAATAACATTTGAGATAGTTAAGCTTAGCTAATGTCTTATTTTGATGTACCTAATATACCTAATCAAACGTAATAACCTAATATAAATAGGCCTATAATTTACATTTTCACATTAGTGTAGCTAGCAGGAATAATTTATTTTGATATCTAAAAAAGGCAGCTTCTTTATTAGTATTTTGTTTTAAAATAATCAAAATTACAAGTTTATCAGAATATTGGTTGACTGGGCTTGGATTAGGCCTAAATAATACCTATTCCTTATTTTTGTCGACTCAGTAGGCCTACTGTGAATAAAAAATATCACAGAAATAAAACCAAATGCCAATTCTACATCTACTAATAATATTATTAATAGGGCCTATACAAAATAAAATTTCAGGAATACATCTACTGGAAAAGGAGCTACATGTTCAGGTTTTAGAGAATCATGAGCACCTCGTTTCGCAAGCCACGTGGGTTGACCGTCTGGAGAACATTTTAGCCAACATGCAGAACAACGTCCAGGCAAGTACAGTAGAATTGGGGTAAGGGAGTATGTCATAACTGAATAAGTTATAGATGTGAGAGAAGGTTAAAACTGTAAATAATTATTTTACTGTAAAGCGCTATTTAACACAAAGTTTTTATGTCATCAAAAAATAAGTAATGTTAGTAAAGTTTGTCAAAAATGTTGAAAAAAAGCTCCTGCGAAGAAAAACACAAATTAGAACTGTTATATATGCTACGCTTAAAAGTTAATTATGATATATAATGTTGTCATGTTGCCACCCTGCAAGGTGACTCAGGGTGGGAAGTTCTTCTTGGAGATACTCTCTCTTAAGATGGCTTTTTCGAAATAAAGATGTGTTTCCTCCACTTGGGTTTTTATTTAATAAAAAGCCCATATAAAACAAGAACACATACAATAATAAAAACAGTTCTCTTGTATAGTTCAAAGACTTGCCTTTGGATCGCTGGGGGCTCCGCCCCCAGGCCCCCCTTGGGTGGAGTGCCTTATTAAATTACTTACTACATGCTTGGAAAACAATCTAAAAAAAGTTTATAGCTTGTTTCTAAACATTTCAGATTAGCATACCACCAAAGTACAGTAAGCCACTTTTGGCCTGATTAAGAACAACATGGGGGGGGGGGGGGTAATTAGATATTTAGGGGGGCTGAAAGGCCAACACCGTGAAGCGTAAAAATTGTTTAGTCCGTAGCACACCTAAAATATGTCTGAAAAATAATTTATGACTGTGAAAGTTCTTTCAAATCTTTGCTAACTCTAACCGTCTTTTAGCTATAGCCGATTAGATAAAAATTTTCCAAAAAAATAGTATGTTTGAAAGTAATTTTTTGGGGGTTAAAATTTTAAAATGTAGCTTTTGACATTTTTCTGGGTTGTTTGGGACTAAGACGGGGACTGTCAAGTCTCTAGCTTGTTTTTTAAAGGTTCTGATCCCTATTCCAAAGTCAGAAACGTTCAATGTTATTTCACATAAGAATAACGTAAGGAGGGGAGGGTGAATGTTAAATCAGGGAGGGGGGTTAGTATTGAAATATGTCACTTTTGGTAATTTTCTAAGTTGTATGGGACCCAAGACCTCCAGCTAAATTCGAAGTGGGTAAACGTCATTTAGACTGATGCACGAGTGGGGGCCATAATACATGAGGGGGGAATCAATTTGGAAGGGGGAGGGAGAAATTTAATATGATACTTTTATATTTATCGCTTGGTGTAAGCTCTTACATTTTGAACTGTGTATAGTTTCAATACCTTGCGCCCATTGAATACGTAAAGAATCTGTTATAACCTCGTAAAAGTCGTGACAACCATGTTGGATTTTTGGGCGGTTAAAACTTGAAAATGGGACTTTTGAAAATTGTATTGCTAATTTAAGGTGACGTTGTAGGCCTACTCTATTGTAAAGTTTTAATTCTCTAGCACGTTTCTAAACGGTTTAGAGCCGCATACCTAAGTCGACCTTTTTCAAGGCTATTCCCCATAAGAATAACATGGGAGGGAGAAATTTGACATTTCTGGGAGGGGGGTTATTATTGTAAAATGTCTCTTTTTAAAAAGGGCATAAGTCCTATAATCATACCAAATGTCAGATATCTAGCTAAACTTGAAGTGGGTAAACGTGATTTAGACCGATGCACATGTGTTGGCTATAGGATAGATATAAGGGGGGGGGGAATCGATTTCGGAGTGGGGTAATTTTTATATGGTCCTTTTTTATGTTCATACCTTTGTGTTTGCCCTAATACAGTAAACTTTGTATAGTTTGAATACCTTTGCGCCCATAGAATAGGTTAAAAATCTGTTATAACCTCGTTAAAGTGGTAAAATATTTAAAATGTTGACATTAAATTTAAACTTTAGGGGCTAAGGAGTAAAGTTACGAAAAAACATGTAAAGAGTAAATTTTAAAGTAAACTAAGGAGAATAAAAAGCAGGAAAAAATAGCTAACACCATTAAAAATTTGATATAAATTTACAAATTTTTGAAAGTAGGGCGTATTTTAGGGGTGAAGGGGTTTGATTTCCGGAAAACACTGAAGAGGGTTTTGTAGAAAACTTAATTCCTGACCGTGAAAATTCTTTCAAATCTTTTCTAGCTCTTACCATTTTTGAGTTAGAGCCGTTTGAAAAAAACATGTTTTTTCGTTTTCAGATGTCCGCCATTTTGGATTTTTGGGGGGGTTAAAATTTGAAGATGGGATTTTGGAAATTGTACCGTTAATTTAAGATCACATACTACAATGCTGCAGAATTTCAAGCCTGTAAGACATTTCTAAATTGTTCCGATAAGCATACCTAGGTCTTTAACTTTCAATGTTATTTCCTGTAAGAATAACTTTGGGGGGGAAATTCTAAAATAAGGGGCGTTAAAATTTGAAAATGTGACTTTTTAGAATTTTCTCGAGGGTTTGGGACCAAGACCGACAATCAAATTTCAGATCTCTAGCTAATCAAGAAGTGGGTAAACATTTGTTTCCCCAGTGAGTGAGTTACACAAGCGGCTGTATAGATTTAGATATGGACACTAACAAAACCGATCCAAAAATAAAATATTGAGAAGGATAGATGGACCAATATTCGAAGACGAGGTTTGGAGAATATTGAGAAGTAGAGAACTTAGAAACCTGTAACTACTGTATACATAATATAACGGAACATGATCAGGTATTGTGGCGATGATAAGAAGTAGGTGGCTTGGTTATTTGAGAAGAAGAGGGACTGACTATAACGAAGGTGCCCATTAGGAAGACCAAGTTTAAGATGGAGCGACCAAGTGGCTGGAGATGTAAGAAGAATTCAGAGAGAAGTAGACATGGTGGAGGACAGAGGAATCTGGAGGCAACTTGTTGGCGAGGCCAAAAATCAACTTGTGGCCACAGTAGTTAGGTAGAAACAACATAAACTAAGTAACTACTACTAACTAAGTAAACTAAGTAAGTAGTAGGAGTAAGTAAAAAAAAAAAAAAAACACGGCCTATGTTCAATAGTTCTTTTTAATCCCATTGTTGAAACAAATACTTTATATTTACAGAGACTGCTTTTATCAGTGGAGCGATTACGGAGTAAAGTTGTGGAGCCTTTTAACAAACTGGAAACACAGACGGTAATGCTGGCAAGACTGCATGCTACTTCGGACCTGCTGCGACGGACGGCCAGAATACATCAGTTGACCAAGCGGCTATCAAACTCCGACGTTGTGCGTGCAGCGGCCATCATCAATGAGCTTGGTGAGAATCAGTTTATATTTAACACATTTAAAGCCAAGTATCTTCAAGCTAACTCTCTTAAAATTTGAAATTTGTACTATTTTCTATCTTTTTGTTGTTACAAGAGTACATGATTGTTTTTTGTTTGCAGTTTATAAAATTATTTTTTTTTTATCAAGCAAGAACTGCTATACAATATTTTGTTAACACACTATTGATAGAGGTGATCAAGTCTGAAATTCTTGCTCAAGATTTTGCAAAAGCTTTTGAATCTTATGAATGTATCATAATGGCATGTAATAAGTTAAGTTGATACGTCTTAATTATTCTTTTCAAATGCATTTTAATGTTATGATGATATAGAGTTATAGTTTGTTTTAACACGTTGAGTATCAAGTGGGTCCAATCGGGCCGGCTTAGGTAGGTAGTGTAGTGGAACAACATGCCGACCCAGGGTTGTGCAGTGTTTCACCAAATCGCCAATAGAGGTCGGTGTTGGACCACTAGTGGCAATCTGACAAACTAAATCGACAAAGTATATCCTATACCTCATAGATGGCGTAACAAGACTTCTGCATGTAGTTGTAAACTTGTCCTAAAACGCCGTTCATGTTACTGTTATACATTTGATGAAAAATATCACTTGAAATGGACTGCAAACATATTAATTATATTTTTAACTTGTCAAAGCAACATTTGTATTTTGTTATTTTATCTAAAAAATCACTGTCATAGTATTTTTACACATCAACTCCAAACTAATCAGTCAAATGATACTTGTTAATTTTTGTTGCTACTGAAAAATAGTAATATAAATACAAAAACTTGTAAAAATGAAAAGGTAATACATGTTTTACACCTGTTAAACACAGGAACGACAAATAGCAGGAAATTACACTACTGCCAATAAAAAGGAGAAATAACCCTCAAAAACCGAAAAATTACCTGAGGACCGATCGAGTAGGCACACTTTTTTCTAGCAATTTTTTGCTGAAAATGTTCAGTGACTACCCGAGTGGTCCAATTTTTTCCCACATTTACCAATACTGTACCATTCTTTTGCGATTGTTGGGACATAAAATTATTGCCTCCCAACACACTCTGTTAGTTTTAAAACCCTGAATTTCGCAAACGTTTTCTGCAATCATGATTATATCAAGAATAAAAGCTCGGCTTGGTCAATTTTCTGACCAATCTATAACCATCTCTCAAGCTATAAATTATTTTCTATGTATTGTAAAGGATCCTTTTATTCTATATAAGAGTATATGTCAAGACAATGGACTGTTAAGGACTTCTGTTGAATATTATTTATTTATAAAATTGGCGTGCCAACGTATTTGCATGAAATATTTTCTGGCTGAATAAAGTTCTTATTCTTATTCTTATACCTAGCCGCTTTATGTTAAATACAAACAGTTAGACTACCCAAATATTTTAATCAAGACTACTTGAGATGTTTGTATATCTACTATATCGTTTGTTTTTTGTTTTTGGCTTTTCGGTATCTAAAGTTTGTTAGCTTTATTGTTGGTTGTGTTGTGTTATAGAGGAGCTGTGCAGGGATGTGGACATGACTGGACTGGACATGGTACAAGAAGACCTTCGGTTGATGAGGACAGAGACGCAGAGGGTAGAGAGAGAGGCAGAACACTTGCTGTCCTCGGGACTTGCAGCTCTGAGTCAGTCCGATGTAGGTAGCCTACTTTGTAATGGCATCCACTTTTAAATACTAAAGTAGACATTCCATATACAGAGTGAATCAGACCACCCGTGCACATACTTTAACGGGATATACAGCGGCTTGTGTAACTCACTAACTCACTCACTGATCAGGTATACAAATATTTACCTACTTATAGAATAGCTAGGGATCTGAAATCTTTTGTGGAGGTCCCAAACAACCCAGAAAATTCCAAAAAGTTACATTTTCAAATTACAAACCCCCATAACATTCCCTTAAATCCACCTTTTTGAGAAAAACACGGGTTTTTTTAATGATAGCTCAAAAACTGTAAGAGCTAGCAAAAATTTAAAAGAATTTTCATAGTCAGGAATTAAATTTTCTACAAGACACTTTGCGTTTTTCGAAAATCACACTCCTTCACCTTAAAAAAAAACACCCTCTACTTCTAAAAATTTTAAAATGTCATGGATTTTCAACGAGTTCTTGATTTTTAGCGAATTTCCTATATAGGGAATAAGCTATTACCGTAGGTCTCATGGTAAGACCTGGATCCAGGACCGATCTCCTTTTTCTATTTGAGGTACCCAGAGGTCAAAAACACCATCCGTTCAAATTCATATTTATATATATATATTTGTGTCCGTTAGCACGATAACTCGAGCAAATATGATCCGATTTTGATTAAATTTGGTATGAACGTGTAAACCTACATTTATTCGAACGAGTTTGAGAACCAGCATGATCGGACAATGGGAATGGGGGTTTATGGGGGGTTTTATGGGGTAAAAATTGGTTTTTCCCATTTTGGATCCTAAAAGCAATAAATTTTGCAATTTCTTTCTAAACCATTTTGTAGAGCTTAAAAAAATAAATAATTTGGTATATTAAAGCGCTGTTTTATGCCTAACGGTCACAGAGAAACTTTAAAAAACGTGTAATTTAAAGTTCCTATGTTATTCTTATGGAGAAAATGAAAACAGTTGTAGTTTACTTGTTTTTTTTTTTTTTTTTTTTTTTTTTTGTATCTACGCCAGTGGCATTTTTCTAATGAAGTCAAACACTTTTAAGGGAAAGCGGTCCAAACCCATTAAAGTTTAGTGGATGTGCCGGGGATTGAACCCGTCCCTCCCGCACCGAAGTCCGAGACGCTAACCACTAGGCTAGCAACACAACCAAATAATGTTGTTTATAGATATATGGCGATAAAATTTAGTAAATTTATTTATTTCATCCTATACTATTGACGTATGGTCAAAAACACTTTCTACCTTCCCCATAGCAGCAAACCTAAGCACTCGTTAAATCTAATGTTATTGAAATTGGGAATAAATATGTCTTATTTATGGAAATATTTTTGTAAAAATGTAACCAGACAAGTTCAAATTTGATTAGTCTGCAGGTTTGCTGCGGCGGGGGTATTTTTGTTACTAAGCTATGTGAAAAATCACCTTAAGTCCTTAGGAAATAGAAACAACAAATGAAAAGACATATAAGTCACGTAACAGTATTGTAGGTAAACCATGTGTTTTAATGAATTTCCCATAACGGGAATAAGCTACAGTAGAACCCCTCATATCCGACCATAACAGGACTAAGCGATGGTCGGGACGGCCAAAAGGTCGGATATCGGGAGGAGCATATCTTGCGGTCTCGGTGATACCGGTAATCATCTTCCGCGATCGTGGCAACACCTGTGATCACAACAACACTGGTAGTTGTCTCTTGCGTTTGCTGCATCACCCGTGAAGATATCTTGAGTTTACCACAGCTACATCCGTAATCGTCTCCCACGAATACGACAACACTCTTGAGGATGTCTTGTGGTCACGGCATCATCAGTAGGCCTAATTGTCTTCCGTTTTTGTGGCAACACATGTGAGGATATCTTGTGGCCATGGCAACATCGGTAATCGTCTACCGCGACCGCGGCAAAATCCGTGAGCATATCTTGCTGTTTCAGCGACAGTTGTGGTCTACTGCTGTGATTAAGTCGTGGTCGTCTGGTTGTGGCAACACCCGTGATCGGCCACACTAGGTTGGATATCCCGAGGAGTCGGTTATGTCGAGGTCGGATATGAGGGGTTCTACTGTTTTTTCTCCTGATCTTTGTAGATAGATATTTTAAAATTTCTTTTATGTCATATTTATTTGTTATTTTAGATCTCAACAGCTTTCCAAGTTTTCCAGAGCCTAGGTATTCAAGAACGAGAAGTAAACTTGCTTTTGGAAAATATTTTGTCCAAAATCAAAAATACATCTGAAAAAGCTCTTGATATTCAGAGTTTGAACCAAAATTACAACCAAGAGAGAAATGCCAAATCCAAAGGTATGTATTTTAGTAAGTAAGGTTCACTTTTTTATTTGTCATAACTTGGCTTTCCTTTTTATGCAGACCTAATTATTGTTCAAAAGTATTCAAATATATTTATTTAGGATGTTACAAGCATGGCCTTGCCAAGTTTACAAAACTTGTCGGCGAGGACCAATAGATTCAAAAAAATGACAAACAAAGTTTACAGATTTTTCTCTTTTACTTTTGTTTTGTTTTCTGAGTACAAAGAATTAATTATGAAAAACTAGTTCTAAGGCGGTTCGTGGCAGGCACTTATTAATAACAAGAGTGTTTTGGCAGCTAAACTTAATTCTAAAAGCATTAAAAAGAAGTGTACGAATAAACAATAAATAAAAGGAAGGAGTGAAAGCTCATATAACCAACGGCATTCACCTAGATTGCAATATTTTGTTGTCTTTGGATTTGTGAGTTTGTCGTGTGGTGGTGGCAGTGGAGCGAGTGAGTGTCGAGAGAAAAAAAGAGTTGCTTGACAAGCTTGAGTCTTGTTTGTTCGTTTGTTGGTTGAACATAACCTTACACTAAAAATGCACATTTTGTTCATAAGCAGAAAAAATACAAATTTTATTAGATTAAAGCTTTTTTTTCCCTATTCTACCCTGAAAATGTATTTTTGTGTTGTTAGCAATGCAGATTTTTGTTTTATACATTATTAACTGGACTATTGAACTACTCATTGTAATATTTCCTGCATTTCCAAAGATTAGACAAAGAAAAAAATAAATTCAAATTCTGTGTTTTAATTGACTAGGGGTGTGTGAATATTCGATAGTTTGAATAGTTGAACGAATACTTGGTTTATTTGCCCATACAAATAACATTGTGTTCACCAATGACACTGGTAAGTAGGATAGGTGCTAGGTGGAAGACCAGTGTTGCGCCCACGTTCACTCATCCCGTTATTACAGAATAAGCGTACTACTAGTTAATTCTCTGTTTCAACCAGTCAAGATTCTTCCTTTTAAGTTTTAATTGTAAATTTTTGTGTTTTTCTATCAGTTTGGATTCCTCCCCATTCAGGTAAGCCTGCTATTCTCAGAAAATCCTAGAAACCTAGGTAGATCCTTTGCAACATAGCTAAAAATGAAATGATAGAAATGTTTTACAGTTAATCTTCTTACTTTTTTCCAACATGTTTGCAGCCACTCCTGGTCGGGCCAGTGGAGGAACTTATCCGGGTAACATCACAAATTTCCGGAACGCCCTGTGGACTGGGTGGGAACAAGTCCTTACCTCCACAATATTCACTTATTGTTGTCAAGTGAGTAAATACTGTCGTTCCTATTAAATGTACCAATTTATGTCAGAAAAACATTGAGAGGTTTGGTTCTCTTTTTTTTAGCATGCATTTTGGCGTCGTCCAGTAATCCAGTTAATATAACCCTGTATATATATATATGTACAGGGTTAGTAAAAAGTCTGGAGACCCCCTGTTAATTTTTTAACGGCCCATACTAGAACAACTAAACTCGGCACAGCTTTATGGCATCTTATGAAGTACTTTTTGGGCATAACCACCACTTGGTGTACATCCCCAAAATGGGGGATTTTGGGGGAAACTCAAACATTTCAAATGGTAAGACCCATCGAGTGACCCCTCATTTTGAAGGTCCTGGTAAAAGAAAACCAACAACAAAAACTAGAGGTTGTTCTGGATCTCAATCCAGTAAAAAATAGCAACCAATTGAAATTCTCAGAAGTTATATTTAACTTACAGCTTTCCACTTCTGGAGACCCCCTGTAAATTTTGTAACGGCTCACACTAGGAAAACTAATCTCTACACATCTTTATGGCATGTTATGAAGTACTTTTTGAGCCTAATTTCTACTTGGTTCCCAAACACAAAATGGGAAATTTTTGAGGAAACTCAATTTTTTTAAATGTTAATAATTAAGTGACCTCTAGTTTGCATTGTTAGTTTTCTTTTATTACGACCTTCAAAATGAGGGGTCACTCGATGGGGTTATAACACATGATCATCAGTGTTATAAATATATTTATATATAGGCTACAGACTGTCCCAAAAGTCCCGGACCGGTTTAATATCTTCTAAACGACAAAAGATAAATCAATAAGATTTGGTACATCAACATCACACCTAAAAATCTACTTTTTTAAGGAAATATCAATTTTCTGTCATATCATGGGGACGTCCCGCAAGGGGTCAGAAGGAAATCTTAAATAGAAGCATAAGTTGACATGTACATCAAATTAAAGGTCTTTACTAGCAGAATATAATGCCACAAATTTAAACTCATTCGCTGATATAAGCTATTTTGTGTGTTGCGGCCCCCTTAACTTCACCCCCTCCCCACCATGTTATTAACCACCTAGGAATGCAACAACATCGATTTTCTTCATCTACTAGGTACCCATTGCAAGTTTTAAAAGTCAAATTTTGTTACACTTTTATGCATGCTCAAACCCCCTCAGCGCCTGGACTATAATGAATCATTCCCGTCTATACAGACACATTTGTTTATTAGATTGCCCTGGTACAGAAAGTGCTAAGAAGCTCACAAGGAATAAATGGATTTACATCAGGGTTGGAGAAGGGCAGTGACATCGCTGCGTTGTTCTGGAGTCAGATTAATGAGACGTTAACAAAACTACTCTCTGAAGCTGCTCAAAGTAGGTGACTGGGCTTTATTTTATTTTTGGTTTACGTTTCCACACTATCTTAATTTTTGGAATTTTCTATTAGGGAACGGTCCAGATCCTGGCCTTGCCACTTTATAACTAATAGTTTAGTTGATATAAGTAGGCTATATAAGTTCATATTGAGATTTCTAATAGTATATTTCATCACTCCTAAAGTGACTCTTTTTGACCCCGAGGTCGGAAAATGAGTGAGGGTTAAAAAGTCACATTTTACCCGTGTGGTGAACTATATTTTTCGTCATATTGCATCGTTAATTAACAAACTAAGCTAGGAAAGGAAATATTTGTTTATGAAAAGATAACCTCTCAAAACAACTTTTAGCTTGTTTTCAATTCTGCTAATGCAAATAAGCAGCTGTCAGCTTAAGTGATTCAATAATTTAGTTTATTACGATTGTGTTACAGTACATTATACCATTGATATGTCGAGCGATTGTCGATCGACAACAATAGGCTAACTCCTAACCTAATAAAAAAATTGATAAATAATTTTGACAGATACGATTGCCATAATTGATATTTTCAACTGTTTACAACAGCTGATTTTTACTCCCTAGGGACTAAAAATGATTTTTAGTCCCTAGAAAAATAAAATGCTACTTTAGACCAGCAACGTATACATTAAAGACGGCTGTTTTTGCTACAGTAGGACAAAAAATAATTTTAACACTAAGTATGTTTGTCTGTCAGGCAGATATACTAAAAACATGAAAATGCAGCACACTTAACTAAGGAAGGTTTAAGTTTGGATTAATGATATATTGTTATGCCAGCTGTGCCTCCTGAAGACCAACTCATAAACATCCCTTTGTTGAAAATTCTGTCGGTGACATTAAAATCTTATAATTTTTGTTAAGTTTTAAACTGTTTTTTGTTTCTCTTGGTAGGATGAACCTTATTTATTTCGGGTAATCATAAGCATATATTGGCTGTCCAGACAATAATCTCTAAAACCACTTTACCATGTTATACCACTTAACGGCGTTAAAACTAAAAGTACAACATAATTATAAATACAAGATAATGAAATTTATATTGATTTGTTTGTTCCCTTTGTAAATGGAATCTTGGTGTTTTCAGACTCATCTTTCATCAAGCAAGCTCTAGAAGGCGAGTACCCAAAACTGTTAAGACTCCTTTTAGATCTCCACAAAAAACTTCAGGCTGACCCCACCACCTCTGGGATCTACCCAAACCCGTGAGTGCCTCTTAACTAGCCTATATAATAAAATGTATGTTTACTAAACAAATTTAGCAATTTTTCTCTTCCTCTTCCATTTCCTTACTTCCTACTTGCATTAATTTTTTAAATGTTTTATTTTGTATCTTCAATGCAAGGTTATCTGATTAAAAGATAGGGCATTTGCCAGGAATTATTAAGGAAATTTATAGGAAAGCAGGCTTACCTTTAAATAAGTCCATAGAGTTACATCTGGAGAAATGGCCATAGCAGTTGCAATTTGAATCTATTACACCTTGTCAGGGATGCAAACAAACTACAAATTGTTTTACTATTGCATAAAATATGTTCACTCATAGAATGACAGGAGAGTCTTATCTTTCGAGATCCATAGCTCGACTGCTAGACTCCGTCCACGGAATGTTTAGCCAAGTGTATAGTAACGGAGCAACGTTGTGTTGATTGCAGGGGAGACTGCGGCCACCAGTTTGAGACGGCTTATCTGTCGAGATCCATAGCTCGCCTGCTAGACTCCGTCCACGGGATGTTTAGCTCGGAAGTTCCTCCCACCACAGAGCAAGTGGACAACCTCATACGGACCATCACCAAGTCAGTACTGTTTACACTTGGACTTATTGTGCCTTTCAATTGACCCTCACTCAGTCAATACAATAGACCCCTTAACTGACTACATCTCAAACCCTGCTCAGATCACCGGCTCTGTCTGGGTAAAATAAAAATAGATGTCAGTTTATTGGTCCAGAATGTAAAAACTGGTTAGTTTGATGACTAGTTTAAGTACTCTAGAGATTTATTTTCCCAACCTTATTGCAATAATAACATACAGGGTGGCCGAAAAGTCCCTTTACTAAAGATAAATTTAATTGGTGTTCTAGGGTTGAAGCGGTGGTGGGGGAAGAGAGAATGAGACCTCATTCTCTTCCCCCACTGTTTCCTTAATATTAAAAAAAAATTACTCACTTACGAATATTTGCTGATCATTCGTGTTTATAACAACAGTGTACTACGTATTGCGATATTGTGTAAAGGGACTTTTTGGCCACCCTGTAGAATGGTGTCCATGTGGATCTAGTTTTGCAATGAGCACATGGGGGAAAATAAAAAGCCGTTATCAATCACTGCCTGTTTGGGGTAAATTTTAGATCATGATTGTTCATAATTTGTAATGATTTGTTTGTAAATTAATTTTGAAAGTATAATTAATCAATGTAGTTAAGATTCAATATTTATTTCGGTACGTGTTTTTTCTAACAAAGTATTCCAATTTTCAAGAGTAAAATTACCTGTGGTATATAAAAGACAAATCATATTTCTAAAGTAGAATTCATGAAAGGTAATTTACTTACACGTATGTAAGTATAGAAGCACTTTGTAAAATTTCATTGGTACTTGAGTACCTACATGAATTTTTAAAGAAATCTTTGTTGCAAAATTATGCCTAACCATTGATATATTCAGCAGAGTTTTCATTCAGTTAACATGAAAAATGCATTTTTTAGTGATGGGCGGATCCAAGAAAATGTCGGTACCGAATCCAGATCCGGATCTTGAAAAATTCGGATCCGGATCTTCGGATCTTCGGATCCGGATCCAGATACACACTGTCATAAGGGCGGGTAAAAAAAAACGTAATTAACAGAATGCCAATTTAAATCATACTTTTATTATTTTTTATCACGAAGCATCGGGTGAGATTAAAATACTAACGGGATATTTTTGAGACAAAATTATAGGCCGTTAGCTTATCATCCAGGTACAAAACTAAAAACTAGAGGTGTGAAGATATCCGAAAAATCGGATCGGATTCAGTTTGGAAAGATACATGCCATTGCCATATATGTTATTTATTTGTATCAAGAGACAAACACTGAAACATGGCCTTGCCATATAAGTTATTTGCACCAAGAGACAAACACTAAGACATGACCTTGCCATATAAGTTATTTGCATCAAAAGACAAACACTGAGTCATAACCTTGTCATATAAGTTATTTGCATCACCAGACAAATACTGAGTCATGGCCTTGCCATATACCGGTATGTTATTTGCATCAAAAGACAAACACTGAGTCATGGCCTTGCCATATACCGGTAAGTTATTTGCATCAAAAGACAAACACTGAGTCATGGCCTTGCCATATAAGTTATTTGCATCAAAATACAAACACTGAGACATGGCCTTGCCATATAAGTTATTTGCATCAAGAGACAAACGCTGAAACATGGCCTTGCCATATAAGTTATTTGCATCAAGAGGCAAACACTGAGACATGGCCTTGCCATACAAGTTATTTGCATCTAGATACAAACATCGAGACATGGCCTTGCCATATAAGTTGTTTGTATCAAGAGACAAACACTCGGGGAAAAACGGTCTTGTACATGGATACAGACAGCTTTGTGTTTAGTAAACAAATCGGGGTTGTACAGTGATACAGATAGCTTTGTGTTGGTAAAAAAATCGGGGTTGTACAGTGATACAGCAGCTTTGTGTTAGGAAAAAATCGGGGTTGTACAGTGATACAGACTGCTTTGTGTTAGTAAAAAAATCGGTGTTGTACAGTGATACAGACAGCTTTGTGTTTAGTAAACAAATCGGGGTTGTACAGTGATACAGACAGCTTTGTGCTAGTAAAGACATTCAGGGTTGTAGAGTGATACAGACAGCTTTGTGTTAGTAAAAATATCGGTGTTGTACAGTGATACAGACAGCTTTGTGCTAGTAAAAACATTCAGGGTTGTAGAGTGATACAGACAGCTTTGTGTTAGTAAAAATATCGGTGTTGTACAGTGATACAGACTGCTTTGTGTTTAGTAAACCAATCGGGGTTGTACAGTGATACAGACAGCTTTTTGTGTTAGTAAAAAATCGGTGTTGTACAGTGATACAGACAGCTTTGTGTTAGTAAAAAAATCGGTGTTGTACAGTGATACAGACAGCTTTGTGTTTAGTAAACAAATCGGGGTTGTACAGTGATACAGACAGCTTTCTGCTAGTAAAAACATTCGGGGTTGTACAGTGATACAGACAGCTTTTTGGTAGTAAAAAAATCGGTGTTGTACAGTGATACAGACAGCTTTGGGTTTAGTAAACAAATCGGGGTTGTACAGTGATACAGACAGCTTTTTGGTAGTAAAAAAATCGGTGTTGTACAGTGATACAGACAGCTTTGGGTTTAGTAAACAAATCGGGGTTGTACAGTGATACAGACAGCTTTGTGTTAGGAAAAAATCGGGGAAAAATTGAAAAAAATCGGATCCATCAAAACCGGATCCAGCCCAAGATCCAGAATTTTTTGGATCCGATCCGGTGCCGGTTCTAGCTCGGATCCGGCGGATCCGGTAGTCCGATATCCGGATCCGACCATCACTAGCATTTTTTGACTACAGCACCTATTTAGAATTTTTTTTTCTTAAATCTTTTTCTTGTTTAATAATTATGCGACAATATACAATTAACGTTTTATTAGAAACCATTATTAATCATAGCATAATGACTTAGTCAATCTTTTAGAGAATAGTCAACTTTTGTAGTATATTTTTATCAAATTTGGTAAATTTATTTATTTTATACCAAGCTGTTAAAATTTTAGTACCTACACACAATTTAACACACACATTATAACATTTTCTGTAGCAGCAAACCCTAGTACCTACTCAATAAACCTAATTGTGTTTAAATGGGGAATAAATCTAATATCTAAAATGTAATATGTGTAAGGGAATACTTGAGTAAATATGGAAATCCAATCAGGCAAAGGAAATTCTCTAAGTCAGCAGTTTTGCAGTGGAGGAGGTATTTATAGGTTCTTACAAAAAAAGTTTAAAAATATATTTGAAGCTACCTTTAAAAACATTTATAAGTATCCAAAAAATATGTTTTGCCATTAAGTGTGAATGTTCCTCTGTTTTGCTATAGTGAGTTGAGTGTTTCCTTGGTAGAGGATGCTTTGAGCCTGACAGTAGCACGTAACATAGGCAAGGCTATGCAGCTGTTCCACGTCAAGGCTGAGCAGATGCTCTCAGTGGGAGGAGAAGCTACTCAAGTCATCGGTGAGAGTTAGAAACCATCAATAATTTACTTATTCTGTTAGTGCATTGATTAAATATGTTCTGATTAGCTAAGACAATTTTAGAATTGGTTTCAGTCGGGTAACCGGCATTATTGAATTGATCGATTACCTAGTATTATTGAAATTATATAGTATGCATTATTTCTCCAGAGCCGCCGACGACAGGACAGCTGTTGAATGTCAGTGTTGCCAACATCGTGTTTTACTTGATGACTCAGGTAAAGCGAGTGGTGACCAACATGGCCTCCAGTCTGCCTTCTGCATCAGTCAACGAGCTGAACAAGTCCCTGACCAACGCGAATAGTCTGACACGCCAGATATTGGCACCCCTGGTGTCGTCTGTTGATGACTCTGTGGAGGCAATAATACTGACAATGCATCAGGAGGACTTTAACAGGTGGGCATGGTTGTCGGACTCAAGCCCGCACCACTTCTGTGTTGTTTATAGGTTAAACTGTTGCGTTTATTCACTATTGCGGCTATCGAAGGTTTTTGAGATCTTTGTGCAAGCAAGCAAGTATACAAGCATATATACAAGCAAACATTGCTCATATTAGAGTATAGGATGGCATAGGATAATGAAAGTTACTTTAATCTTGTTTTAAATTCTGAATTTGTTTAATTTTTAACATCTAACATAGACATAGACCAAAGATTATTAAGCAGTTTTTTAGCTCCTTAAATAGTTCAACTTAAATGTTCAACACCTTAAATAGTTTTATTCAAGCAATGTGTAATCTTAGTTATAAATTATAACAAGGGTCAAACCATTATTGCAGTCCCAAACTCAAGAGGTAATTTTTACCGTCGTTTCTTATTTGGACTAAACAGAATTTGTTTGCAGAGAAGAAAACAGCCAAGGACCTTCGCCGTACATGCGAGAGTTGCAAACATTCATCCAAAGAGTTGTATCTGTCTACTTGGTGCCTTACCAACACCATCAGGTTGTTGGAGAATGGTAAGAAAAAACTTATCACACAATGTTACTTGATTCCCCACTGTATATTTGCTGCCAATTCAAATGTTGTTGGCAGTGCAGAAAAGCAGCAACTTTTAAGGCAATTTATATTAAAAATTGTTATGTTTAATGATACTGTTTGTGTGAGTAAAATGTTTGAAAATTTCCATTATTGTGGAGTTTTATTTACATTTAAGTACTTGTCTGTAATGCTATCACTTATTTAGTCTTTCTATGCGTATTCTAGGTTTATGTTGGGAAGCCAACCAGAAAGTAAAATTGAATTTTATTTTGTCGTGTTTTTACTAATTAATCCAATTATTAATAATAATTCAACTTTGTGTGTTCTTTCATTCGGTGCTTTTTGTAAGGGAGTGGTCCAAATCCTGGTCTTGTTACTTTTTACTTTTTGAGCTATTGATGAAAGAATTCAACTTGACACCAAATGAAAATGGTCTGGTTAAAAGGTGTCCGGATAAGAGGGAGTCTACGGTACTCGAATGAAGAAGTGGGATTAACAGCTGAAGATACAGAACAAGTTCTCGGACTGCACTGGAACTTACATTTATATGACAGAAAATGTAGCTGATGAAGCTACACGGGAATCATCAACTCCATTAACACGTTCAGTGCGGCAGGCATTCCAACAGGCGCTCGCCAATGGCGGCAAGGCCCGGGCGAAGCCCTGGCGCGGTACCGTAACAGTGAACGCAATTGGCATTCAAATATTTCAATCTGACGAATAACAAAAGAGCAGTGGCGATTGTACTACGTTAGCCCGAGATTGGAAGTAGTTCTCTAAAAACACCCAAAGGTAGCAGCACTGCCTGGATCAGTAGTCAGTGGCTTTGTAATATGGCTTGAAGAGAGAAAATCTCCGAAACAGGGACAAAAGCATTGTCAGACGGGATTTTACAGGAAATTTTAGTACCAACCTACACCAAAATAAAGCTCACATTCTAACCTACAGGCTAGCAACGATTTTAACGTTCCCCGGCAATGGCTGAGCTCATACTGAACTAATGTAGTGGGGGTTGCGCAACTACATCAATTTTTGTAGGCCGCTCGTGGCACGACTCAGCACTGAACGTGTTAATGAACAATTGCCGTTCGCTTCAAGGTCCAGCTTTCTTTCTTGAAAATGAAAAATAGATGACTAAGTTAGAGTAGCAGATGTTCGAACAGCCCCGGAGTCTGGAGGAGACCTGTAACCAAACTGGTGAAGCTGATGTTTAGTCACATGGTTTATTTTGACTAATACTTGCTATTAAAGATTAATAATTAAAAATGTCATAAGATTAAATAAAATAGAAGTTTTGTTTACGTTCATCTAAGAGTTATTTTATTACATATCTAAGAAATTTAACTATTAATTTTGAACAAATCCCATTACAATTATAAATATATCAATTCCACAGTCCAAGTGTTTAATCGTTTTTTACTTTTGATCTCACAGTATGCAGGAATCAGCCTCCAAGTGTTTAGAGTTGTTTCTGCGACACGTGAGTCTAGTGAGGCCCATCAGCACTTCAGGGCGTCTGCGACTTGTGAATGATATGAAACAGGTATGATGCATACAAAATTATTTAACATTTTAGGAAACAAATTTGTTAAAGAGTTTATGTGTTTAAAACATTCAGTAGATGATATGGTAAATTATCACTGTGTCTGTACCGTAGTGTCCCTTACATTCATTGTTACTTGCCATGTTTTAGATAGAGGTGGCGCTTGCTCCACTGTGTCCCCAACTGGTGTCACTGGGTCGAGTGTATCGTCTGCTGCGTCAGTTCCGCTCCCTTGTCGAGGTCTCTGTGCCAGAGCAAGTTGCTGAGTGCCCACTCCTGGGGGAACTGGTGCCACACAGTTTAGCTCTAATGAGTCTCTTCAGCTTTGCCCCACCTGAACTTCCCTCGCCACACCAGGTAAAATAGTTACAGGTGTAACTAGTGAACAGTGACAAAAATGTTGATACACTCGGCAAGCTTCATGTACGAATTTTATCGAGTTAAAAAAAGACACTATAAACTTGAATTTCACATTATATTAGGGATGGACACGATTGAATTTTTAGTTCGGGATGGTATTTTTTCCTGTACATAAAAAGGGTTTGTGGCACTGATCTATAAAAACAAACAAAAAATGGGTAAAAATTTACAGGTATAAAAAAACTTGTAACTCGCGATCATGGCGTGATGGTCGAAATGACTTGGCGGTACGACGTGATCGTCGAAATGACTCGCGGTCATTGTGTCATTGTCACTATGACTCAAGGTCACGACTTGATCATCGAAATGACTTCGCCTCCTGCGTTCGCGGAAGAATTTCAAAAATCTCTCGCGGTAGCGGCGTAATCGTCACTTGCGAAGCGGCAAAATTGCCGACAATCAGAAAAATTCCTGTCCCAAAAAATTTCCAAATCAAATGTAATCCTGTCCAAAAAAATATTTTTTTCTTGACAATTTCTCGATAACGAAAGAAAACACCATAACGATCGCTAACCAATGCAGTAGAGTTAATCCTCATTTGGCTACCATAAATCTTCTTTTTTGGAAGTTTAGGTAAAGATTCTTGGTTGCTGTCACTAGAATTGTAAATTTTAGTTAGTGAGCACAGGGATACATTATCATCACCATCCTGTTGTTAAATTTCGGAATCTTAAACATTGGAATCGCATGGCATCGCCCGGATCACTGACCCGAAAGTACCACGCTAAAGTTAATTTGTTTTGCTATGCGCGACCGGTAGATCAATTGTGACTTCGTCGGTTGTTTTTGTTAAGTTACTATCTGAATGTGTACAAACAGATTTTCCGTATTACGTTTTGATATTGATTATTTTATTTTAAATAAGACTAGTACAAAATGATGTTTTTCTTGATTTTTGGCAATTTTTGCATCCAATGTGCAACCGGAAGATTGCAACATTCAATACTATTATTTAACACGTTCGCTGCGGCATGTCAAATAGCGGTTGTATCCCCAGTGCGGCGCAGCCCTCAGCGTCAAACAAACCCGATTGCCGCGTGTGATTGGCTTTCCAATTTTGGTCTAACGAATAGCAAATAACGTGCGGGGATGTCCTGCTTTACAACGAGAGTCGACGTAGTTCGCAAAACACCCACAGATATCAGCACTGCTTGGAACGTAGCCGGTCCCGTTGGAATTGTATTGCCAAATGGAGGGAAAAGACGGGACAAAAAGTAGATTTTTGAGATTGCCAGACGGGGATTTTAGGGAGAAATTTACTACCAACCTACACCACAACAAAATGCAAGTCAAATACTACACGCTAACCTGGTATAGGTCCGCTTTCGGCCGACGCTAGAGCAAAAACGAAGATATACAAAAGGCATTGCCGAGCGTTCCCGATGGGGTACGGATGCACCGTACGGGGGCCAAGCGCCGTACTCGATCAGGAACGGCCGCACTCTAAATAAATATCAATTTCTTAGTGTCTTGTGGATGACATGTTCAACTATTACATATTAAAAATAAAAAATTTAAAAATTGTAAAAAATTCTGATTGATTTTTATTTTTGTTCATTTTGAAGAGCACATGCGCAATCGGAAGATAACAACCAATTTCCAAGGTATTACATCTCGAAAAAAAATTTGTGATTTTTGTTGACCCACCCTAATGTACAGTCTAAAAAGATTTGTTTAATTTTGGTATACATTTTGTCATGTATTGGTGGCAGAGTGCTAACTGGTCCGTGGCGAGACTCTCCAAGTGGCTAGACTCGCACAGCAGTGAGAAGGAGAGGCTGGAACTTATCAACGGAGCATTGCAGAAATACCAACAGACTGTTCGCAACCAAAACAAAGAAACATTCCACCCAGTATACCCCATCATGATGCAAATGTTGGAAAGGGGATTCCTCCACATCTCTCAGAACACTTCCTGAATGTGTTTTATTAAATTATTATTGTTAAATAAAGTATTATTGCCAGTTAAATGGTTGTTTTTATTACACTGTTCTGAGGAAAATATAATGATTTATTTCAACAAACTGCAAAAATGTGTTAGGATATTTGAAACGTAACATCAAAGGTGTTTCGCTAACTAGACAAGGGAAAACCCTTGTTTATCATAAGCCTTAAATATGGAGGAATATTCATGACTTAAGTGGTTTTTTTTTATATTCTATGACCAATTTATTGAAACAAAGGTCATAAAATTTGATTGATAAAACCTAAGCATTATTAATGATTTGGGTATAATCTTAAAAACTATTGATTTCAGTTTGATCATAATCAGTGCCGTAATCAGTTGTCTTTTCTAACATCAAACCAGCCAATAAAGTGGCGGCCCCTTTGTTCATAGACAATCCACATATATAATACGTGAGGACGATTTCTATGAAACACTACTCCTCCGTTAATAATAGACGAAGTATTTTTTGTATAGACACCCCCTTTCACCAATTCCTGTAATAAAGGTCCTCGGGCTTTGCCCTACAAGCCATCAAAATCCCAATGTATTTCTTATGAAGAACTTAAATGATTTGTATTTATTACAGCTGTTCAAAGTACACACATAATACACACAAGAGCGTTCGTTTTCAGTTTTGATAACTGGAGTGGAGTGATTGATTACATTATCTTGGAGTCGACTCTTTTAAGTCATCGGGAATTATGACTGTTATTCCTTTTGAAATAACGTTGTTTTTGTGCGCATAGCTTCTAGCTTCTTAGTTCGCATGTACTGAACACCACAACAAGAGTCCTTGCCGTGTATTGGCATCATTTGTGAACAGAATGGCGCCACTTGCAGCTCTGTAGCTGACGTGTACATTTTGCTGGGTGCCTAGAACCCTTTTTAAATTAATGAATCTCCCACTGCATGTGAGATAAGGTCAGTGATACTTCTGTTGACTGCAAGAAACTTGTCAGCTGCAGACATTCATCACCAGATGACTAAAGTTTATGTGATGAGAGAGGGTAAAGTGCGGAAATTGGTTGGGGACTTTAATAATGGCTGTGAAAATGTCCATTTCAAAAGGAATCTCTCTTTTGGTACCCAGCCTTCTCACAGAAGACCACAAAGGTAAAAGATTTTCATGGCCATTTTTACACTCCCTAACCCATTTCAGCACTTACCATCTTTCACTCCATTAGGGCCATAATCTTCAGTCATCTGGGGGTGAATTTCGGCATCGGATATGTTTCTTTTGGTCAAATAATGTATCACTGACCTTATCTCATATGCGGCAGGAGATACAATATTTTGTAATGTAAACACACAACAAAGTGTAAACCTACATGTTAGCTACAGAGCTGCAAATGGCACCATTCTGTTCACCAATGATTCCAGTAAGCGACAAGTCGTCTGGTTGCGGTGTACGCACGACTTAAGAAGATACATTGCGAAACTTAAAAAACAACTCTCGTTGAACAAGGATTTCTGCATTCATTCAAAATAAATGTTACTTACATATTACCAAAATATATTCCATAATTTAAATAATTCCATTGTCCATTAATGTTACAAAACATTATTGGATACCGAAATTTGAGTAGGTCAATTAAAAGAGCTCAAAAAATAGTCTCACTATGAGTAGCACCAATAGCACTTTTCCTTGCAAAACTCATTAAAAACTTGCATTATTGAAGAAACAACACACATTAATTCTAGCTTGTATGTAAAACAATAAGATTTAATGGATATACAGGATAAGATATACACTAGTAAAGAATTGTATAAATATTATTCACATGTATACATATGCACAAGTAAAATATTGTATGAATGCAAAATTATCAGCATTTGTCAACTGGTCCTCGTTTATGTGCCAAGTACAAGAATCCTATTGATGAAAGAGCACTGACTAGAAAGATGACGTCGAACCATCGGTGGTAAAAGTTGAACTGTAAATCCCCTAAAACCTGGGTGATGATTATCCTGTACTCGGGAGGCATGTTCATCCGCATCAACAGAACGGATGACACAAAATGCATCCCCTGAAACAGGTTAAATTATGAAAAATTCTGCCTCAGTTTCATATCACACTGCTGCAGCACATTTTACAATAAACTATAAAATACAAGTAAAACCAAACAAAATGTTTCAGGCAAAAAATTGAGTTAAAACAAATGTATTTATTATTAATATATTATTAATTAATTTGTTATTAACACAACCTGATCATCTTAAAAGAAAATTAGCAAGGCTGGTTGAATGGCTTTGCAATAACTTACACAATTTGTTACTAGTATAAATTTAATTTCAATAAAACTCACCATGATTTGTGCAAGGATCAATACAATGATGTTTGAGGACTTGCTGCTAGAAATTGCGTAGAAAAACTGAAACAAAAAATATTATTACAAATTTTCTATCAGGCTTTGATTATATGCATAGTTTTAAATTAATGTGTTTATTTATGTTACATAAACACATGTTACATTTATGTTGTTGTTGTGATTGTTTCATACTAGTGCACCTGTTGCTCGAATTCCAGCAATTGCAAAGTAGGCGTTATTTCAAAACGAACAACAGTCATAATTTCCTATGACTTAAAAAGAGTCAACTCAAAGATAATGTAATCAATCACTTCACTCCAGTTCAGAAAACGAACTCACTCTGAAAACTTATCTGAAAGCTCTTGTGTGTAACTTATCATGTGTTTACTATGAACAGCTGTAATTTATACAAATTATTCGTCTGTTAAGGTAAACAAAACCTTTTCTTCATAAGAAATACATTGGGATTTTGAAGGCCTGTGGGGTAAAGCCCAAGGACATTTCTTACAGGAATTGGTGAAAGGGGGACCTCTACACAAAAAATGATACTGTAATAATGTACTTTGTAATTAATAAATAATTTTGACACATAGTTTGTAAAACTCCGTCCATGATTAACGAAGGAGTAGTGTTTCATAGAAATCGCCTTCACATATCATATATAAGGATGTTTTATGTATGAATGTTTTTTTTTTACCGTCTAAGTAAATTGTTGAGTAGTATTTAGTGTATTTTATTATAAACATTTATATAATTGACGAGACACCAGTTACTGCTATAAGCGCTTAATGTAAAGTTATTTGTGTCAATAAATTGATTTGATTTTGATTTGTTTAGTCGAGGAGTAATTTGATACAAAAGCCTACATCTAAGGTCATCTTAGCTATTTTCTTATTTTAAAAAAAACATCATTTGGCCATCTTCCGACCATCTTTTAATTTGTTTGATGATAACTAATTTCTGTGTCCAATAATGAATTGAGGAGAGTTTTCTTTGCTGAAACCTGTTCAAGATGGTCAAACCTTACCAAACACAAATAATCACATTATACTTCCTGCAAGCCACCTAGGGACAGCCAAAACTGAATAGGACACACATATTCTACTTAAGTATATCAACTGAGTTACAGCTGCCCATCAGCACAAGTTCTGGCACAATCTAACACAAAAATGTAAATATATGTTGGAAAATCATAATAAGCTTTTACACGAGAAAACATTACCTTTGCTAAGGTTAGAAGAAGACCTCGTATAGAAGTGACCACAATACATCCGACGAGGAAAAAGGATATGTGTTGAGACCAGAAGCCGACGTCGATGTTGATGCCTATCCAGTGAACAGCTATCTCCATTCCTCGAGTAACTGGATCCTTCTTGCCAACACGATCAAACACGATGTTGATGGTGGACTGTTAACAAGAATAAAAATCTACATGATGATGATTGACGGTCGACAACAATCAAACCGTAATCACTGCTACAACTTCTACGCAGCAGGTTTAAAACATTTCCATACTTAGTTGTTAAGTGCTGAACATGCATGCCCTAGCTCAACTCTGCAACAAATAAATTAACAATAGACCTACAGTAACAACACAATTTGGACTATCATGGTGTGACACTGGCTAGTGCTAAAAATTTAGTTTATGTTAGTTTAGTTTGTTACGAGAGCTCGCCCCGTGGTCAAAAACTTGACCAAAATTATGTGCAAACTTGTCTATTTTCGCCCCACGCTGTCCCATAAGGTTCATGTTAATTTTTTAAAACTTTGAATTCACTTTTTGTGCTTTTTTGAGCCTATTTTAATTTATAGGCACATTCTACACATTCTTCTGCACCTCTACAGGAAAATGTCTTTCATTTGGTACCAACAGCGTGTAATTTGGTCCAGTAGTATGGTCAGGCTAGCTGTCATAAGTTTAGCAAAAGTTTTTTAGTATATAAGATAAAAAGGATGAAATTTGGCACATAATATAGCAATAGTATAATAAATATTGATTTTGACTTAGTTTCATGATTTTATAATCACTGAAAAACAATGTGCCTACTCTTTCCTTAACGTGATTCACTTTAGTAGGCCCTGATACATATCAGGGAAAGAGGCCCACTTTTTGTGAAGGAGATGTTCAAACCAAGGCCCCACTAGAAAAACAGGCCATGCTGCAGGATCCATGACATTTAGGTAAATAATCCGGCTGTTTGTAAGATTTTAATGGTAAAGAGATTAGTACAACTATCCACCACTGTGACGTGGTGTTGGGCTGCCAACGCTGCAGCATGGCCTGTTTTTCTAGTGGGGCCTTGTTTAAACTCAGGTCATGTGAACTTGCAACTTACAATAAGAATCTTCCACATGCAGTAAAGTGAGAAGAAGTAGCCGAGACAGTTGAAGTACTTCCCTCGCCAGGTTTTTGCCCAGTCCAGTCGTTCTCTCATGTTCTGCATGTCGTGCACTTCAAGAAACAGTTGTCGGCTCAACTCTTCTAACGCCAACACTTCCTGCTTTAGCTGCCACACGTCTGAGTAGTGTTAAGTCTATGTTAAATCCAAATTGAGATGGTGTGTTGGCTACAACTATGTTTTTGTCAGTTGCAAATTTAACCCTTCCTGGATGGCCTATTCGATATGTATACAGACAGCAAAATTAATAAAGAATGAAAAAAAAACAAAAAAAATATTTTTTTTACATCTATAATTTATGGAATGTTTTAAATTGTTGACCATGCAGCTCTTTTGTTTAAAATATATTTATTTTTTATTTATTTATTCTTCTAGAAAAACATTCCTAAGATATCGGTTAAAGATATAATTGAATAAAAGACTGTTTTTACAAAGGTTAATGTTGTTATATATAATCACTAATAACAATAGATGTTGTAATAATCGGCGGATATCCACCCACTGTCCACGGAGCCTAAATAGATAGGCAGATGCACAAAATGATAGCAGATATATCCGCCTATAGTCTGGGAAGGGTTAAATGTCATAATATAATTTAACAAAGTTAAAATAAAAAGTTCTAATAAAATTAAAGAGTTAAAATTGAAAAATTCAAGTGCCTGTAAGTATATAGCTGAAATCAGGGTGATTCTTTCCCATTCATACACAAACTATAATGCATTTCCCTACCATTAAAGTAACTAACACTGACTAGTACCAGTCTTTATTTAGTAGAGGGAGAAATCTACTCCATAGATAACCTTTATAAAGGATACTCTCCGTCGTAGCTGAGCCCGCGACTGTCTTCAGCATGCCCCAGAACCCGTGGGAAGGCTTGGTCTGTCCCGTGTCGGAAACTCCCCGCTTGGCGAGGGCGATGCGCTTTCTCTTCACCAGGATCATGTCCATTGTCTGCAGCAAGCGCTTTTCTGTTGATTGGATATCAGCTGGAGACACAGGCCTGTAACAGCCCAAGTTATCATTTATATGAAAGACAAAAGTGATTGTTTAAGTAAATTTGAGACAAGGAAGAATGTGAACTCTTACCCAGTTGGCACTTGGCCTCATCAACACAGGCTCTCCAGTAATTTTGGGTTGTGGAATCTTCTTCATCAACTGATTTTAAGATAACTTCAATAAAATAAAACAACATATTTGTACACTACTGCTTATCTTTTAGTATTATATAAAATTTGCACCTAGGTGGCGTCCCCATATCTCAATTGATAATTAATTAACGTGTCTAATAAAATGTTAAGTGAACAATATGACATTTACCCATAAATAAGATAACAATTAACATTTGTAGCGATCAAAAATCCGACGAGGAGTGTATTTTAGTTTTTTTTAAGTTTTATTTACGTTTGTTACATTTTCCTACGTTTTGGGGAACGCGAGCTGGTCTAGTGGTCAGAGCGCGGGACTCCGGTTCCTGGGGTCCCGGGTTCAAACCCCGCCAAATCACCAATGGATTTTAATCTAAGTGGTAATTCCGTAACCCCTCGGTCTTGCCTGATGTATAAAAAATATGTGGAAAACAATTCCGGACTCGTGCCAAGCGTCCTAGGAAAAAAAATCCCAACGTTTGGGGGAAACCGCGCCTGCGTTGACAACGGCATCGAAGGAGCAGGACAAGAGGGGTTCAACGTCATCGTAGAGGGGAGGACGCTAGTTAGCTACCCCGCTGCTAGGGGCGGTGGCGAAGATTACAATGTGAGAAATCTACTAGCAGTATCTGATGTCGATGCAAAAACTTGAGGGATTACCTCATGAAGTAAGCCATCGAGGAGTAGGGATAGTTGACAGCACCGAAGCCTGAGAGGAGGGCCATCACGGTCACTCCAATAACTCCAATCCTGCTTATACCTTGTTCAATAGACAAAATCCCGTGCTTTGGACTCAGAATTGGGAATGGGTCACCTAGTTTCCAGAATATGTAGATGTATACACACCATATCAGAATGGTCAAGGGTCGAATAAGTTTTTGTCTAACTGTAACAAATAAACATTGGTTAAAATGTGTCAAGTATTGTAAACAGAGCACCAATAACAGAACACTACACACAATGAAATGGCAAATGATTGCCAAAATGAGTAGTTTTACGAAATAGATGCAAAAGTATCTTCGATAACATTATAACAACTTTAATTAAGCAAGGCTTCATCAAAACATTTGAATTAGACTCTTTTTTATCCTGAGAGTAAAAACATTGTTGCAATGGATAAGATTAAAATTATTGATATACAGGGTGTTTAAGTCCCGCACGGGTTTAATATTTTCTAAACGACAACAGATACATCAATAAGATTTGGTACATCAACACCACACCTAAAAATCTACTTTTTTAAGGAACTATCAATTTTCTGTCATATCATAGGGAGTCAGAAGGAAATCTTAAATAGGAGCATAGGTCAATATGCACATCAGTTTCAAGGGCTTAGCTAGCAGAGTTCAATGCTGGAAACCGCGCCTCAAAAGGATCATCCGTTACAAAATGGCGGCCGTTCAAAGATTTCTTGAATCTGCCATTTTGAATCTTTGAACGACTGCCATTTTCCACTCAGGCGTTCTTTTGAACTTGAATTTACGGCATTGTAATCTACTAGTGAAGACCTTTAATTTGATGTGCATATCGACCTATGCTTACGTTAACCATTTTCTTCTGATTCCTAGGTCTGTGCCCCTGAGGAGTAAGCATATAATAGCAATGCAAATTAAATGAATCTTTGAACAACTGTCATTCTTGGCTCGGTTGTCCGTTTGAGTTCAAATTTGCGGCATTATATTCTGCTAGTAAAGACCTTTAATTTGATGTACATGTCAACTTATGCTTCTACTGTATTTAAGATTTCCTTCTGACTCCTTGACTCCTCTTGACTCTAGGGACGTCCCTATGATATGACAGAAAATTGATAATTCCTTAAAAAAGTAAATTTTTAGGTGTGGTGTTGATGTACCAAATCTTATTGATGTATCTGTCGTCGTTTAGAAAATATTAAACCCGTGCGGGACTTTATATACACCCTGTATACTGAGTTGTGGTATGAATACAGTATATTATGGTATGAATACTAAAAGTCAATAGCGTTTTGATATTTTGAAACTGGACCCAGCTGTCCCTGATCATTTGGCTTTCAGTAAAAGAACCTGACTGATGAAACAGCTGATCTTAGTCAGTAACAACCACGAATACTGTACCAGAAAAGACCCGGTATGGATCATAAGGCTAGATGACATTTCTCCAAATTTAAGTACCACTAAATGCAAATTTTAAGTGTCACTATATACAAATTCAATAAAATACAGGAGATAGTAAAATAAATCTTACCAAATGAAACATTGCTCATGATGAAATAGCCAATGTAGAATGGTAGAATCACTATTACCATGAAGAGAATCAGGTATAAAGCTAAATTCCAATGGAAATACCTGGAACTAAACAAAGAGATTTGTATAATTTCTTTTTGTACAGCAAACCAACTAAATCATGTTAAAAACAATCCAAATCAACAAATATGGATAGTAAAATAAGCGTGTGTACTAGGTTTGGTGGTGAAAATTATAGAGTGATGTGTATTTCTACAAACAAATTCTACCAATTCCATTCATTCATTGTTCTACTTCAGAAGCTAATCTTACAAAGTGTAATCTATGTCATGTTTTTATTTCATTGAATTAAAATCAAGCATAGTTCAGGCTAAGAATGAAGAATAGGCTTAAATGAAAAATAGCGATGCTAAGTTAGGTAAGTGGTGATCGATTTCGATTGGACACTCCAATCAATCATCAGACCCAATAGGCGAATGACAAGAATCTTGAATGGCATCCCTACTTATATCCTATTGGTAACCGGAAGCACCATTCAATAAATTTTTTATTTTTAGTTTAATCCATCAGCTGATTAGCTGTCAGCTGATGTTTCAAATTTAAAGTGAGGGGATGGAATCGCTTCCCCTAAAAAGGCCTAAGCTTTTTGAACGTGTGCCCTGGGTAAAATTAAAAGCAGACTATGGTGGGGTATTTTTATCCCTAAAAAAACAGCCAGAGTACAGCCATTTAATAAGATTCATGTAATTTTTCCAACTAGAGGACACAGTTTTTTACCCTGTGACCATGTTATAATGAGAGTAATTTATTGCCAAGATAGAGTGTACTCTCCTGACCAAAACAAAATTGTAATGAATTTAACCCTATTGTTTCAAATTAACCCTTAATTGTTAAGGTTGGTTGATGGTTTATTGGTCTGTTGAATAGCCCTAAAATTTAGGATTGGTAAATAATGTTGGTTTCTGTTTATTGGTTGGCATTTCATTTCATTTCAAACAATCTTTATTCTTTTAGTACATATTTATAGTTCATTGAACAGTGTCGAAAAGTGATTCTTTATTATAACTTAAAACTATTTCTAACTTATTTCTACCATTTTTACCATAAAAAGAAGGCTATTTATACTATTACAATAGAATTTCTCAACAAAACAAACAACAATCATAAATAAAATAAGAAAGCAGTAACTTAAAATATTCGAAACATCCAAAAGCCCATTGCACCTGGCATGCAATAATTTCGCCGTGGTCGCAGGTGACGACAACAAGTCTAGGTGTTCGCAGGGACATTCAAGATTTTGCTTCAATCAGGGGAAGTGGTGCTAGTGTCTTGGCGCTCGCGGGAATGTTCAGAATTTTGCCACAATTGCGAGATAGAAGTAAATGCTGGCCCATTGATTATACATCGTGAAGATGTATAATCAATGGCCAGACTTATCACGTGGCCATGGCCTAGGAGGAGGGAACGGGGGACACTGCGTTTTGTAATTTTTTTTTCTTTTTGCACGATCACGGGTGACGATAACGATGTCCTCATGATAGCGGAAGATGTTTACAATTTTGCTGTGATGGCAGGCAAATCTCATGTTCCCCACACCCCCTTACTGGATCCGCCACTGGTATGTGGCTCGTTCATTCATTGTAGTGTCTAAAGTTTTTCAAGCCGTACAAAAGGAGATACCAGTAAATAATCCTCCCAACTGAAAAGGTCTATGATTGAAAGGTTCTTAGGCAAAACTAGATGATGTAGCTAAAGTAAAACCTTATGTGCCAGAATAATTCAGACTATTATATATAAAACAACAATTTGAGGTGGCCTTTTAAATGTAGAACCGATCCAAGAAGATCACTGGAAAGGATAACAAAAGCAAGATGATAACAAATTTTGACATTGTAATTTTTAAATTCAATAACGTTATCTTTTGACACAATAGTCTATAGGTACACATTTTGTAAAAAAAAAACAAATTTAGTATTATACAAAATGTTTTTCTGTAATGTTTTGCAAAGAGATTAAAAATAAAAAGATTCCAGCAATCTTTTGCCTTTCATGGTAAAACTATTGAAAATAAATTTTAAAAACTTACGATGCAGTATGAATTTTTTGTGTATTTCATTAAATTTAGAAATGTCTCACATAATCACTGGGCTAAGTATTTTTCCCGTTAACATTAGCACAGTTAAGAAGTGGTCGGACATCAAACCAAAGATGAGGGGTTTGAGTTTTTCCCCCATCAAAACCAACTTGTGTTGTCAAATTTTCTCTGTCTGGGTTTGTTGTTTGTCTAACATCAACATAACTGTGGGGTTCCTGGTTTTCTGTCCCTTGGAAATCTGTAGCTTGTGACAGCGCCATTGAATGACCCATGTTGGTGTCAGAGTATGCAGTGGGTACCTCAGGGTAACTTGTATCAGTAAACTTGACTTGTGCTGCCCTTGCTGCTGGTGCATCAACGTTGGGATAACCGTGGCCAGGGGAGGCAACTGGATTTTCCCGTTGTCCAGATCCACTATGTAATTTCCCCTGAATGAGCTGCAACTTTTCTTTTAAACCTCCAATCAGATCATGAAGTTGTTTTGGATTAGAAAAATTGTCCTCGTTATTTTCTAGTTGATTATCCATTGTCACTGTTTGCAAATCAAGTAAATATTCTGCGAATGTTGTATCAAACTTTCAATTGAAGATAAAACTCTAAGATGGCAATAAAAACTTAAATTGTAAACTCTTTCATGATAGTTTTGGATCTTGTGGAATATATACTTGGAATTTATAGCTTGATTGTTATTTCGTGTATTCTTGTATATTGTTTATTATCTTAATGAACTAATACCATGGTAACAACATACAACCTTGCATTTGTACTTTTTTATCAAATGAAGTAGGCTAAGAGTTGTTCACAGAAAATGATCATTACTTTAAATCTTTATAGCTTGTATAAGTTAATATTACTTAATTTTTAAAACTTAAATCTTTATTAAAAAAAAAACAAGTTTATTCTTACATGTATATTATTTTTTTAACAAATAAAACCCGAATACCAACTATAAAATGGAAGTAAATTTATTGTCCTACATGAATGAATATATAGTTATAATGGCAAATATAAATAAATAAATATTTTATAGTGTTTTATATATAGTGCTGCTGCGCTTTTACATGTGACAATCAAATCGTCGAAATGTTTCAAAAACAGGCTAAATGTAATGTCCCAAACCTCAAATTTAGCAAGTCTATAAGCACAAGAAACAGTTTCAAACCAAATATGTACAAATTTACAACTAATAAATATGATTCAAAGTGATAAAGTCACACTCGCGATATTTATTGTTGGCAATGAATCACAGCCAATAAAGTTCACAAATACGGCTAAACATTATGTCTCAAGTTTCTAAAAGTAATGTCACATTTCAGTCAAGGCACAATAAATAATATCCAAACCAAACATTTAGAAATTTACAACTTATAATCACGATGCAGACTGATAAACTAAAATCACACCAAAACTCGACTTGTTGGTCATCAGAGAATGAGGTTAGTTAGTCCTACTCCTACATACAGTCTATTAGTAGGCCTACTTTTTAATTAAGAAAATTTTTTACCTTGAATCTAGGTAGCCAACAATTTCAAATATTATGAGCTCAAATAAAGTGCATGACAATGATAAGGTTACTGAAAAGATGAGTTGTACAAGGCGGTGATGAACTTCATAGTCTCTGAACAACTTTTGGACAAAGAACACCCATCCTCCAACGAAGAAGAAAATCTGAAAATATACAAGAGAGCATCAGTCTCTAAAGCTACACAGAGAAATATGACATGCTTATATACTACTGAAAATATTTAAGCGAAATAAACAGAAAAATATTAGTTCTAGGAAGTAAGAACAATGTGGGATTGAATCCCTTCGGTTAGGAAGAATATCCTATTCTGTGTGCCCACAATAGCTATCAGCGAATTTCCTATACTGGAAATAAGCTGTTATCGTAGGTCTCATAGTAGGACCTGGACCCATGGCGAATTTACTTTTTTGTTTTGATGTCCCCAGAGGCCAAAAACACCACCCGTTCATATTCATATACTGTATGATGATTATGAATAATACACATCATCATGATAGGTCTCATAGTAGGACCTGGATCCATGGCGAATTTACTTTTTTGTTTTGATGTCCCCAGAGGCCAAAAACACCACCAGTACATATTCATATACTGTATATATGTGTCCTTTTGCAGGATAACTCAAGCAAAAATAATCTGATTTTGATCAAATTTGGTACAAACCTGTAAACCTACATTTATTCGAACAAGTTTACGAAACAGCACAATCAGACCATGGCAATGGAGGTCTGGGGTTTTTTATTGAAAACATTTGTTTGTCCATCTAAAAATATCAAATGTTGTAATTTCTTTCTAAACTATTTTTTCTCAATATGAGCGAAGATTATATTCTTGACAAGGATCCGAAGAAGGTAACATAGTGATCAAAATTATCGCTATCCACCTTAATAGGAGATATTATAGGAATCACTAGACGAAATTAAGGTAATTTAACCTCTTATATTTAAGTGATTCAAAACTCAGCCTAAACAAAAATGAAAACTCATTTATTTTTAGATTTTTTTAAGCAAACAATAAGTCTCAGTGAGATTACCTACTAACAACAGGTCGTCAGTCTAAAACCAATAAACTATTGAATTACGTACAATCAGACACCAGGGACATGGATTAAAATGAGTGAAAACTACAATCTATAAGGCCACTTTTACCATGTGGCCATTCCATGTTCACCATGCCCTACACCCATTGTATAACTTAGATCTTTTGGGAGACAGTTATGAAGGTTGCACCAACTGTCAATACAATTAATTAATTTCTGTAAACTTTTTCTAGATTAGTTATATTACTCTACAGATTTAGTTTTATTTTTGGTAAGGTTAAATTATGTGGAGTTGAAACTTAAAAAGTGTAAGACAAAAATTTTTAAAGCTAAAAAAAATTATAGCAGGTTTTTTAAAGTTTACCTATCTCTATTAACAAACTACGCAGCTTTTGATTTTAAAATTGTTACCGTACCTTGTTTATTATTACCATAAACTAGAGTAAGCCAAACTGAATTTAAGCTAACCTAACCAATACGCCGCAGTACAGTGTGTAAAGAGTCTCCTTAAAAACATCTAATCTAATCTATACATAATTCAGTTTTAAAAATCTTTGTACAACTAAATCTAGTCTAATCTATATATAATTCAGTTTTAAAAATCCTTGTACAACTAAATCTAGAGTTCTACTGGACAGATTTTATTAGTTAGTGGGTCGTTGGAAAGCTTACCCTAATTCGTGTAGATTTGCAAATAATTATGAAAGTTTGTTTTTGTTATGATTTATGGTGACAAATATATAATTCAGTTTTAAAAATCTTTGTACAACTAAATCTAAAGACTACTGGACCGATTTTATTAGTTAATGGGTCTTTGGAAAGCTTAATTTGTGTAGATTTGCAAATAATTATAAAAATTTGTTTTTGTTTTGATTTAAGGTGACAAATAAAAAAAACATGTTTTCCATAAGAAATACATAGAAAACTGTGTTTTCACCCTTTATATTTGATATAATTATAACTGATTAAAACTATCAATATCTCAAGTGAAAACCATCAAAGTATTTTAAGACCAAGACATATAAAATAACTTAAATAAAATTTGAGGTTACGTATCATTGATTGCAGATAAGTACTAAAACGATTTTAATTATTGTTGATTCGTGATTCAGCAATGTGCTTTAGGTAGGATTGTTAAGATCGGAATCTTAATAATCAATAGCTCAAATGAAAGCTGGAATTTCACTAAAGTTTTTTAGACCAAAACATAATAGGGTAATGTAATTAGAACTGCTGGAATAGCCTACATCTTTAATTGAAGTAAAAAAACAAAAAAATCTATTTTATATTTTTTTGTTGAGTACCTAATACATTAGATAAATTAATAATGATGCTTGATGACCGGCGTGTAAGAAGCCGGCGAGTTGGCGAGTGAGCTTGTATTTGTTCACACGGAGCTTGTCCACTTGCCAACTCGCCGACTTGTAGAAAGATGCCGGCGAGTCGGCGAGTGCGCTTGTAGTCGTTCACACGATGCTTTTTCCACTCGCTCAGTAGCTGGCTTGAACTAAATCCTCCGACATCTTCGAATAACATGCGCACAAGCACAAGCAACTGTGTTCACACTGGGCTACTTTACACGCCTATCGCACAAAAGCTGGCGAGTTGGCGTGTAAAGTAGCGGCACCGTCAACTTTTTCCAGAGATTTTTTACAAGCAGCTTTTGAGCGAGTACGTCATTCACACTGAGCTATTTTACTAGCTGCGTGTAAAACATCCGGCTTGTAGCTTGTAAACTCGCCCCGTGTGAATGGGGCTTTAGGCTGACATATTCCTTAGACACAGCTGTTAGTCAATAGTCCATACAGCCAATGGTAACTAAGGGACCTACAGTTTATAGTGGAATCCGAAACCACATTTCGGCCTTGTAATTAACAAATTTGTCTAATTAGTATCAGGATAGTACTGCAAATGGTCATGGTACTCACTAGTGTGGACGTTAATCCACAACAGGGAGTATCACATCCACAATGCATACCTATAAATATCCACAATTTGTGACCTCTGTATTACAGGACGGCGCCACCATCCCAGTCTGTTAGTTTTAACTGTTCCCATGTTAGGCTTAGCCTAAATGAATAGTTTTCCTCAGTGCACAATAACTTAATGCAAGGCCATAATTAGGCTGTACTACACTGTTCAAAAATAGCCATTTCTATAAAATATTGTAGGTTGTTCAATAGAAATGTTGCAACTAGGCTATGGTCTCCATACATAAAATACATTCGTGCTGTCTGCTCTAATAACTTAGTAGCCTAGGCTTAACTTAAGCCTCTGTTAATTTGAAAATATGTAATAAATCTTACTATTACTATAACCAAAGTTAATTTACCTGAGAGATAACAATAATAAGAGTATCTTCTAAAAATCCCATTGATAGATATAAATTTACGTGAATTATTTTTTACCAAACCGGGTGCACTTTGAGGTTATGTTTCACTATTATATTGAAAAATCAAATTGCAATTGATTTGTAACACTTAAGTCTAGTATTCATCAAAATATTTTATTGAATGAGGAAGTAAATTCACACCATTGGATAGATTAAATTGTAATATATCATTTTAAGCTAAAAAGAAATATGTTTGTAAACAACCAGATTTTCAGACTGTTGTTTATTTTGTTTTACTTTTGTTGTCGACTGTCGTTCGTCATTCGTCGTTGTTTTGAATTGCGTGTACGTGTACTTTATGTAAAGTGGCTGGTGGGTTGGTTTTTGTTCATAGTGCTTTTTCAAGACAGGAGTTTTAAAATCTATAATATAAACTATAAGTCATATCATAGCTATATTAAAAACATACAACGGATACCATGCACTACTGTAGACTAAACTAATTTTGTGTATTAATAAAAAATAGCCACAGCAGCTCCATAGAGGGGAGGGATGTATACTTCTGAGTCCAATAGTCAATGATTATATGTATTGTGCAAACTTCACTATTTTCACCCCACGTTGTAAATAAAACATGTGATTGGAATTTCTTCCATATGTTTTGATTTCCTGATTAAATTTTGTTGTTATTTCGTTACCAACATGGCAGGCCATGTTTGATTGTTGTTGTTGTGTTTGGTCCATGTGTTATTTTTTGTGCGTATTTTTTAGCCTATTTTAGTTTATAAAGGGATTCTGCACATCTACAGGAAAATATCTTTCATTTGGTAAACCGTGTGTAATTTGTTCCAGTAGTATGGTCAGGCTAACGTAACGGAGGCTCGCGGCTATTATAGCTGACATAAGTTTTGCAAAAGTTTTTTCGCAAAAGATAGATGGAGTAGGAACTAAAATCAACAAATTTAATTTATTGTAAACTGGTTGTTTATTAACCTAATAATAACTGTCGTAAACACACATAATATTTGAAAGGTAATAAGGTTGACCCTTTTTTCATTTTGCTTTGGAAATAAGTTTTGGACCTGTTAAGATGCACAATTCACGTATGTTTTATTTATTTATTTATTTTATTTTATTTATTTTTCCAATGGCTGACGCCAATACATATGATAATTCAGATTATGATACAATTTAAAAGAAATAACAAGGTGCAAAATGTGAAACAATTCAGATCAGTAACAAGCTACGAGATAACTAATAATTGAACAATAAATACAAATGCAACAATAAATAGCAACAATAATTACAAGTTGACAAACAGGAAGAAGTTCACAAAAACGATCTCTAATTCAAGAAAATTATTAGGTAATGAATTTGGGTGCAAAAACAGAAAAAAATAAAAAATATGGGGGCGTTTACATTAGTAATTTATTTTTGCTTTTATCTTATCATCATGTGTGGCAGTTAAGAGATTACAATAGTTTAATGTGTGTAGTTTAATCTATTTTTATAATTTGAAGAGTATTAGTTACTTTTTGCTTGTTGTGTATTGAGTTCAACAAGTTAAAACATCATCCGAGATGGTATAGTTTTGTACGTTTAGGGTGGTTGTACCCCAGTGTACCATTCCTCACCCCTTCTTTGTGGGAAGTAAATAATATTAATTCCTGGAACAGTTTTTAATTGTAATCTTCTTTAGTACAACAAAAAGTTAATTCAACATGTTTGAAACAGGCACCAGTTACATTACAGGTAAGCACACAATCATGTAATCTATATAATATATTTTCATACTCTACAAATCCATGGTGGAAGGAATACTAATCTTTCTTAAAGAGGATAACAACAATGAACTGTATTCATTGATAACTACCACAACAAAACAGATGTTTTGTTTTTTAGGGGATTGGTTTATGGATTAAGTGTCGTTTAATGAATTTGTCATGTGACAAAAATTATCCACTTAAAAAGTATGTCGGAAATATCATTTTGAATTTTAGAGTTAAAATGTTGTTTCTTTTACCAGTAATTTTTTGATACATGTATTGCAATCTAGTTATATTAGCAATTATTTTTACAATGATTGAATACAGCCCAACAACCCACACATTGAAGATTAATTGCCAACTATTTCAGCTTTCAGGAATGGCCCGTTCTTTAACAATAAAATGCCACATTATGGGGACATGCCTACATGTACTGAGCTAAACTCACATCAACTGTTTTTTACTTCAAACACTCCAACTGAAATGGATTTTTATACCATGCCCTTGAAAACACCATATTATTATGAAGAAAGCTGTGTAAAACAAAAGGAATGCTATGGTAAAATATATTGTAGGGAAAATGTAGAAATTTTCTTATCTTTATTTGGTTTTATTTTGAGTTATCTAAAATTTACTGTTATTTTGCCAGCTAAAAAACTAAAAATAAAAAAAATTACATACACTAGTAGTATATATAAAGGAAGATTAAACATTAATAAACTTAATACCATAGATAAAACATACTCCCTTAGTAGATTTCTCATCCTAATGGAACAGCTGAAGACAATTTTATTGTTAGTTCTGTACGGTTTATGTTAGAGGTCGTGTTTTGTTTACAATTTGTTTCCCGTTAATACAGTCATTTAAAACCTCGTTTAACCAAATAATATGATCTAATCATAAACAATAAATTGTCCCCTAGTTATTTAACCAAACAGTAAAGCACAAATCAAGAAATTAACCCTAAAATAATAGAAACTAAATTTCGTCTAGTGTCGCGCCCAGTGTGGCGTACATGAACTAGACATAAAAAACGAGCTTCAAAATTTACAATGGGATGAGAAGTCTACTTGTGTTGGTTAGTCTATGTTAATACCTAAGTAAAAATTATTTAATATTTACTAACTATATAGTTTCGGCTCTACATGACTTTGAAAATGGCCTGAGAGCCGAACCTATAGTCAGTAATTATCTTAATAAACAATTTTTACTTAGGTACTACGTTTATTAATGTTTAATCTTCCTTTATAAATAGTAGCCCTATTATTCTGTTTTTCATATATATATATATATGAAATATGTATATATTACAGTTTCATGTAAGGAGTTTAAATTTATATCAAATGCAGGTTTAATGTTATTGTATAAGAGTTGTGTTCTAAAACTAACAATAGACCAACAATATTACTGTTTAGTTTTCCATAAGAAAATTGCCATCCCATTCACTGACAATACTCCATATTACATCCCAATAATATAATACATCCTATACTCAATATTTAGTCAATGATATAATCTATCTGGCTATGATATATTGTTTATGTTCTATTGTAAAATAATGAGCCAAATCAGGCACAAGCTTATTGTAATGCAGAGGTTTTCCTCCAGGCAATATCACAACTATGAAAAACAGTCTATTCAAACATGAAAATTTAACTATCCACAAACCTTTTGAACGTAAATGTCATCATAATTTAACTGCAGTGCAAAGAAGTTCAAAGAAAGGTAATTATGTAAAACTTAACTAAGAACTTTAATTTTCATTAAAAAATTGAAGATTTATGACCAATCTTATGGTTTTATTAATCTACAGTGCATATGATTCATTCATAATGAACTATTAGGTACGTTATACAAACACTGATTCACTAACAATCACGATTACTAGAAAAATACCGGTATGGATCATAAACATCAACAAATGACGTTTTTGGCCCGAAAATAAACATTATTTAACATTGGTTAAATGGAACTGCTAAAACATATGTTCAATGCTATTAGTATAGGATTCGGGCCAACAACGTCATTTTCAATAACATATTGAAGGAATGGATCAACTCTACATCAAACTAATTAACTACTTACTATCTAGTAACTGTGTATGAGGAACAGAACGGTGACTAACCATAAGCCGCACATCTATCAATCGCATACTTTTGAATGAAATGTTTTGCTGTGAAACTTCCCCAAAAATATTAGTTTATCGAATAAGCCAAGGCCACACTAAAAGAACAAAACATGCTTGATTAAGCCATAGACAAAAAAACCCACTCCTACGAACGGGCAGGAACATCAATTAGAGGACTGTATTTAATTACATTTACAACATTGAAGATACACCAGCTGTTCAATTTGTTTTTTATTTAGTTTGTTTGTTTGCTTTTCCTTGAGTTAACCTTTTGATTTTAGGTACTAAGTTGCATCAAGAGTAGAGTATTTTTCCTTGTGACTTGGACATTGATCAAATTGATTTACATAAAGAATAAGTGTAAAGAATATCAACCAGCAGTGTGCATTGGACTAGGCAGGGAAGAATCGCTAAATGCTCTCCGCGTTCTCTCCTCGTGGTGAGGCACGGGCAGAACAACAAAGCTATAAGTTTTTATTCTGTCCCACATCTTAATGCAAATATACAACAGATTTGCAATAAATTCACAACTAGTAAGATTGTGGTTTAGGCACGTTTATAATCCATGGTGAATGTAAATCTGTTTTTTCAGTGGATGTAGAAACCCTCATTATTCTCTTAACTTGCCCCATTGCGAAGCAAGGAGAGGACAATTAGTCAATCCTAAATACAATAGTTATGTAGGAAATCTAAAAAAATAAAAATATTTACCATTTATACATTATAACTCGAACCCAAACCAAAACCTTTAATCTTCGGGTGTATATTCATCATGTTACAACAGGACCAGACTGCAGATCTATTGGTGTAGTCAGTGACACCAACAAAAGTAATTTAGAAAAATCAGGAGGAAGATTTAACAGCCGTCTTAACTTAAATAATAGTATAGGAAATTTAAAGGCAAAACCATCTTCCATCCACGATAAAGCTGAATCTGCACAAGACGCATTCTTATTTGCTGAAAATTCTGGAAAAGGTAAAGTTTATTAAAGTCATTAGTTAGTATAAAAATATATATTATTGTAGACCCGAACACACTGAACTAGGAAAGCGGGAGCGACTTGGATTTAGTTATAGGAAGTTCTCGTGCAGGACTGTACAACAATGGTGGGATATGAGAGAGCAAACACCAACACGAATCGTTCGGGCATTCTATTCGGGCGGGATCGCGTCTTCTTCATCAGATGACATGGCGAGCGACAAACGATGAGAAGATAAGCACAACTGAGTAACTGACCACAACACTGTCGCCTAACCAACTCAGTTCGGGCGTTTTATCTATGGTTCGGTTTAGCCGTGAAACATCCCGCGCTGTCTGCGCGCTACCTATACAATCCCGCGCCGAACAGTTCACGCGACTAAATTTCTAGGAACTAAAAAATTCGCGTCGCACCCAACTTCCCGCGTTCGGTGTGCAGAGCTGCACAGGCCTTATTGGGAATCATTAAATTTCCCATATAGGGTATATATTTAGTGAATTTCCGATGTTTGTTTAGATGTCTCCAGAGGTAAAAAAAGTTCAAACCCATATTATATCCGTTCAAAATCACATTTAATGTAAAAAAAAACACAATTATTTAACGTTCGTTTATTGAATTTGGTCTTTAATTGCTTATAAACATGTATTTATAAAAAAAATTGCGCTGAAACATTTTTCATATAAATAATATGTTTGGCATCAAAATATGAGATGTATTTGTCAATATTTTCTTTATTTTTAGGCTTTTTATTAAGCCATTTGATTTGTTATGAAAAGAGAACATTAAACAATACACCAGAGTGTGCGTATCCAGCAGTAATGCTATTATCCATATTGGTGTACTGTATTGGTATACTCTAGTACCATAAATCTAAAAATAATTAGGCAGTCGATGGTAGCAATTAATTGGTTTATTATTAAATTCCAGATCAAGAGAGGGATAACAGGGGTCTTAAAGGGATAACATCTACCAGTAAACCTAAGAACAATTTTATTGGCCCAAGAACAAACTCTAGCAGAGTAGGTAAATATAATTGGTCGATTTGTTAATTGGTTTGGTTTAAGCAAATAAATATGATAAGAAATATGATTAAAAAGTTATAGTTACTTGAATAGTTATTTTTATAATATGTAATAATGATTTCAAATAAAATATGCATGTATTAAAACGTAATTAAACAAGTAAACTGCTATACTACTGAGATACAATTGTCAGAAAACTTTTTTTACCAAAAAGGTCTAATTTAACATCATTGTGGATGTAGCCTCCGGATTGTCAAATAATATTAAAAAGGTTTAAATACCTGCTATTAAGCAATCCATTTAATTGCAGTTGCAACTAGTTTCGACTCCTATGTGGAGTCATCATCAGGCGGTACAAGGACTTCTTCTTTCTTCATATGAAGAGCGTCATATTTAACAAGTAAAAATAAATAAACATTTACACACGACACAAAACACGTTACGGACACGAAACATTTACTGATCAGTTACGACAACAGACGACGCTAACCCGACGGAGTTTAAGTCCAGACTGCATAAACTCCGTCGGGTTAGCGTCGTCTGTTGTCGTAACTGATCAGTAAATGTTTCGTGTCCGTAACGTGTTTTGTGTCGTGTGTAAATGTTTATTTATTTTTACTTGTTAAATATGACGCTCTTCATATGAAGAAAGAAGAAGTCCTTGTACCGCCTGATGATGACTCCACATAGGAGTCGAAACTAGTTGCAACTGCAATTAAATGGATTGCTTAATAGCAAGTATTTAAACCTTTTTAATTTAACATCAGTAATCATTGTCAGATTTTTTTCTTAACTAGCCATTCATTCTAGTCGCCCCCGCCAATAAAATTACGCCATCGATATTCTTGTGGCCCATGCCTTCCGATATAGATTTTGTATTAGACAAGCTGCTATAACCGTGCTTTGCAACGTGAAGAAAATGTACCATAGACTTCTATAAGTGTTACTGATTGTTTGTATGTTCAAAAGCTCAGCAACTCTATGACTTAATTTGAAAAGATGAGATAAGAATTGAAAACAGTGATTTAAAAGTTTAAACCTTTCTAAACCCTACACGTTTAATGTCCATAGACCCAAAAGAATATAACAACTTACCTTCGTGTAGCAATAACATAAATGACTATTGAACTAATTTTAGAACTCTCTTTTACCGTGTTTAGTGTATATTTACGAACATGTATAAAAAAGGAGTTACAAATAAAAGCCACTTAAAGTGTTATTTATCAATATTTCAAATAATATAATTTATTGTAAATTATTAATGTGGTTTTTTATATTTTTCCGTTTTTATGTATTTTGGTTATTGTTTACGTACCACACGTCACATATAACGTTCTAAAAACGCTTTAAACGTATTTTTTAAATGTATTTGAAACTATTATAAAAATAGGAGTTTACTATGTTTGATAAAATTGTTTACAAACAAGTTTAAACTCTGAACAGGATGTAACGGGAAATTCATACTATTGTATAAAATACTTCCGGGCGGAGAATCAGTATACTCTTTGCTTTTCAAATTCAAATTCAATGCCATTAGAGAAACTCCATGCTGAAAATGCATACACGTGTCGTCCAGCTGTTCCATTTGTTTTTATTTCTCCAATTTCTCAATGTTGTCTGCTTAAATTTTTAGGTTATAAAGTTAACCTATTCCAATCCAAGCAACGTCAAATTGCATTGCGAAAGGTTTTGTTACTGACTTTTGGAATTCGCTGATGTAAAGTAATCTGATCTGTTGACAGTCAGCTAATTCTATCAGTGTTTCAAATCAATTCACGTCCTTTCTGAAAGAATAAGGTAAGTATTTGCAGCACCACCTCTAGTCCATAGTGTGAAGTCCATATGGCAATTTGATATAAGGTATAAATATCGTGATTTTAATCAGTTCTGTTGATCTGATAACTTAAATTAACATTAATTCAATCATGATTAAATGCTTTCATTAGGTCTAAGTTTTAATAATTATAGGCTAACCAAATCCGATCAATTCTTCAGCTGAAGTTGTAGAAGTCTCCATGCTATAAAATATATATTTAGTTGCCTAAATATTTTGGTACAATTCAGTTTGGAATAAATGTTAACGTCATGAATTGGAATCAACTCAAACCAGCCTTACATTATTTTCTTCTGTTGTCATTTATATTTTTTCAACAGGTAGGCTAGTTAATAATCTCCAACTAAGTATTACAGCTAAAAAATATAAAATTAGCTTTTGTTTAGTGCCTTATTCAATCTAATTAATTTTAGTGATGACTTAACATAATATTTTAGCCAAGAGAGGCTTGTGTTAACTCTCACATAGGTACACTTCCATATCTGTTGGCACAAACAACGAGTAATCTCATATTAAAATTGTGTTTACCCTGTAAATATAGGTATAAATAAACATCTAGTCTACAATGGTCCTTTTTGAGCAAGGGCCGTTTTTGCGCATAGCTCCATAGTTGCAACGAAGCTACTCACTGCTTACTGGCATCATTTGTGAACAGAATGTCACCATTTTCAGGCTCTGTAGCTGACATTAAGCTTTGTTGTGTGTTAAACAAAATTTAAAATTATTGATTCTTCCGCCGCATGCAAGATAAGGTCAATGATACGTTTTTGACAATAAGAAACACATCTGATGCCAACGTACATCACCAGATGACTGAAGGTTAACTTATGGCCCTAGGTCTAACTCCCTTAGGTTAGGCCTACCCCATTTCTGCTCTTTACCCTCTATCAGTCCATTAGGACCAGTCGTCCCGTGGTGAATGTATGAAGCCCTTGTTTTGTGCCGTAAAAAAATTTCACTAATCTCATCTCACATGTGGCGGGAGATTCAATAATTTGAATCAGCTAGAGTGCTGAAAATGGTACGGTAGCCTACCGTTCTGTTTGCAAAAGATGCCATTAAATAGCGAGGAGTCTCCTGGCGGCGTACAAGCCAAATAAGAAGTTATACGCAGAAACGCCTCTTACTTAAAAAACTACCCTCGTATCAAATTAGGTCAGGATTAAATCAGCCCAATTTGACTTAGGCCTATAGAAGCCAGATTGTGGGCGGTTTTGCTTATTAAAAATAACTTAGTTGTTATACACAAGTATTGGTATGAACCTATTTTCATACACTAATTTATTGGTTATCCTCAGTTTATATAATATGGGCTAACTTTGATGTCAAAATCTACCGGAATGTGTTTTCCATATTAATAACATTTTTTATGATTTCACTGTTATTAAATAGATTTTATTATATTGCAAATTATACCACACATCTTGTGTAATGTATTGCAAACTGTCATTGGGGGGTTTTGACACTTAATATTGGCATTTAGGCATAAACAACTTTAGTAATAGTAACTGGTACTGATCTCCCCAATTTATTTACCTAATTTGCAATACCAACACTTATCAACTGAATAAATACTCTCTAGCTCCATTGTCATTTAATTTTGGTTTCAGATAAAGATGAATACGTCAATGACCGCAAAAGAAATTAGAAATGGCTATATCAACTTCTTCAAGGATAAGAAAGACCATATTTACTGGCATTCATCGTCTGTAATACCTTTGGATGACCCAACAATTCTCTTTACTAACGCTGGCATGAATCAGGTAAAATAGCAAATTATTTGAGCAATGAAGATGTGGATTATGTTCAATTGTTTTTTCCATGCTGCCTGTTAAAACGCGATACTGATTCTTCTAAAAGGGGTATACTTTTTAAATAATCTCAAGAAAACATAGTACAAAAAGAACTTCAATTTTAATCAGACATAACTATTCAAGACCAACTCTAACAATCAAATCAAAAGGAAAACACTAACTGCAAAATGTAAACAAATAAAACATCTGATGAATTAAATTAATACATAAATAATCATCTAGAGACAGTCAATGTAAACAAATAAAACATCTGATGAATTAAATTAATACATAAATAATCATCTAGAGACAGTCATTTTCAACATACTCCCACCTTTTGAGTCTTAAGTTTCCATTGTTTAAAGACTCAAAACACATATTATTGTAATAAAAGTTCAGTCTTTTTGGTAACTTAATTTGCTTTCCTCGTTTTCTAAATTTAACTTTATTTACAACTTTTCCATTTGAACTTTCTTTATCTTGCACTTCTTCTACTTCTTTTTCGTTTGAACTTTCTGAGTTCAAAATTGCTACACTTGATGATATAGACTTTTTAAATTCATATCCAAAAGCGTCTTCATCACATATCTTATTAATTTCAGATTCCATCCTGACAGTTACAGGATCCTCTATATTAGGAATGTCTACACTACACTTGTCAGAAATAGGTGTTAACAAAGATGTTATAGTCATTACACTTGATCTACATGTCACTCCTTTTACTTTTACTTTCCCCATTAACACCCAACCAAGTAAGGTTTCCATTGCAACTAAATCATTTGTCAAAACATGACGTTTCCCTGTAAACAACTTTCCACCAATATCAGATCCAATCAAAACTTCAATTGGCCCTTCTACAGTGTCAGAAACATTGATACCAAAAGACTGCAGTTCATTAATCCAAGGACCCGCTTTGATTGTTGAAACATCATTACATATCACATCTTGATCCAAAACTTCAAAGTTGCAATAGTAATTGTTACCCAAATCACTTAACCTTACTTTATGTCGATTGTGTTTTACAGCATTTGTTACTGATCCACCAAACAATGCATGATTAAGGGTTTCCTTTCCAAATGATACATACCCCATTTCTTCTGCAGTTTTCTTCAAAATGTAGGACCTTTGAGAACCAGAGTCAAAAATGACACGTGCTGCTCGTTCTTTATTACCTCCTCTAATATTCACACGTGCAGTTTGTAAAAATACTTCAGTGTATGCATTATTAGCTAAATTACTTTCACAAGGTACTAAAGTGTTATCATTAACATTATTTACATCAGATTTATCTTGAGACTTGTTACACATTACTGTTGCATGTCGGCCATTGCAAAGAGAGCAGTTTAATCGAACATGACACTTCTTACTGATATGGCCATACTTTGTGCAACGATAACAACATCTCTTACTTGACAATAGGTTTACCTTTTCTAAATGTGTCAGATTACTATGGCTCTTACAGTTTTCCGTCAAATGTTTTGCACCACAAAAAACACATTTCATAGGGGTTTTATTGACCTTTTGGTTGACAAGACCGGTTGTAGTGGGAATTGATTCTGTTTTGTTACTTAAGAATGGTTTGGATGACTTACCCAATTGTCTCTTCGAGTCCCCAAAACCTGAGGTAGCAAGTGAAATTCTTTCCTCATTTGTTACTTCAATTCGCAGAAACTTCAAAAGCGCATCGAGTCTATTCTTCAAATCAGCTTCTGGATCAAAGTCGGAATGACGTTGCCACGCCCTTAAAAGATCCTCTGGCAAACACGACTCAACTAATGGGTAAAGAATAGCCGCACATTTATCAGTAGTTACTCCTAATGTGTCAAGAGCTCTGATTTGACATTCTAATTTGTCAAATAAAGTCGAAATCGCTACCTTTTGGCTCAAGTTATTGAGTAGCAGCTTTAAAAGTTCTCTAACATAGACTTCTATCAAAAGATCATCCCTACCAAAACGACTTTTTAAACTCTGAATAGCATCTCTATAATTCTCTGATGTAGCAGGATAGCTATCTACAATTTGTCTCGCTTTAGAATTTGGAACAGTGGCCTGAACTAAATAGTGGAACTTATCAACATCATCAATAGAGGGATCTTCATCTATCCTCTTAAAAATTCCCCAAAAAGGAAGCCATTCTTTAAGATTCCCACTAAATTGTACTAGTTCAATCTTGGGAAGTCTAAGCTTAGTCTTTAAATTTGAACTTCCACTCTTAGCTGAATTACTACTGACAAAATCATAATCTCTAGACTCACTCAACTTACTTTGCACCAAAACATTTACTTGATTGTAGGTTTCCAAATAACTATACGCTTTAGACACTTCTTCTTCAAGAATTGCTTCACTTTCCTCAAATTGAAATAAATGGTCAGATATCTTTGTGTCTAAATTCTTTAACTCTTCATAAATGATACTTACAGTTTGAAACCTACCTTTCAATTCATCTAAGTGAACCGTTTCCTGTGTGAGTTCATCCTTTAAATGGTTCACTAGTCTTGAAAAGTTTGCCCTAACAACAGTTCTATGTTTCTTGTTCTTATTAAATTCCCTAACATCAGTTTCACTCATCATCTTACTGTCCTGTCACGGTCGCCAAATGTTAAAACGCGATACTGATTCTTCTAAAAGGGGTATACTTTTAAATAATCTCAAGAAAACATAGTACAAAAAGAACTTCAATTTTAATCAGACATAACTATTCAAGACCAACTCTAACAATCAAATCAAAAGGAAAACACTAACTGCAAAATGTAAACAAATAAAACATCTGATGAATTAAATTAATACATAAATAATCATCTAGAGACAGTCATTTTCAACACTGCCTTTTAACTTCATGAAACCCCTTACTTTTCTGTATCCTTTGCAGTACAAACCAATCTTTCTGGGTACTGTGGATCCATCGACTGACATGGCCAAGTTGGTTCGAGCCGTCAACACTCAGAAGTGTATCCGAGCTGGAGGAAAACACAATGACCTGGATGATGTGGGCAAGGATGTTTATCATCACACGTTTTTTGAGATGATGGGCAACTGGTCTTTTGGAGACTACTTCAAGGTAAATAAGCTTTACTATACTATTGGTCACGAGAGTCTGCAGTTGGCGGAGCAAGACTGGACTAGCGCGACGTTGCAACATTGCCCGTTTACTAATTTTGATCAATAATTAAAAACATACTAAACAGTATTTTCAAATCAGCTGGAATTATTAGATTTGACAACAACGTGTGACGTGTGGTCCTCCTTGGCTCCTTCAAAGTCACATGGTAAATAAGCTCCCCCCTCAACTGCAGACTCTCGTGGACCGTACTGTAAGCCCAAGCATTTCTCTAGTACCATACACCAACTTTCCAGAACAACTGTCAACTTTTGTCATTAAACTAAATTACTTAATTTGAACGTATGACCCATGGATGAAACATACTCCCTTGGTAGATTTGTCATCCTTATGGATCAGCTGAAGACAATTTTATTGTTAGTTCCGTCCGTCCAATTTGTAACTTTTTATATCAGTTATTTAACTTAAAGCCTCGTTTTACCAAACAAAACAACCTGGTCACAAACAATAACTCGCCCCCTAGTTATATAATCAAACAGTAAAGCACAAATCATTATATTAACTCAATATATAATTGATTATAATTAACTCAATGTATAATTGATTATAATTAACTCAATATAAGGATCAACATTTTGTCAACACTAGCGCCCAGTGTCACCAACATGAACTAGACAAAAAAACCAGCTTCAAATTTTACAATGGGATGAGAATTATGCTTTTGTTGGTTAGTCCATCTATGGTATTACTAAGACTGTCCTTAAAAATACAATAATTTTGTTTTGTTTTTCCTATTAAACTTATAAGAAAAATTATACACCAATATATATTTCACTTTTTTAGTTTAAACTAAAAGTTAAACTAAATTTAAAAGGTTTAAAAAAGTGTAAACGTTTCTATTTTGCAGAAAGAAATTTGTGCTTGGGCTTGGGAGCTGCTGACAGAGGTTTTTAAACTGCCAGGTGATCGTCTCTATGTAACTTACTTTGGTGGAAGCAAAGCTGCGGGCCTCGAGCCTGATGATGAATGCAAGCAAATCTGGCTTAATTTGGGGTAAGTCATGTTAAACATTTGCTCGGTGGCAATGGGTGTGGCTCAAGATAATATATAACACATTTTATTATAGGCCTACCCTAAAATCAAAAATTTAATTGTTTTCCAATTAATTGAGAGAGGATGCTGTATTTGAATTTTACTATATTAATATACTTCTTGATATTGGACATGATTTTAATAAACTGAGCAAATCAAGGTGTGTGCATCTAACGTGCAGAATCTATAGATTCCGTATTGAACCTTTTAACCCTCCAGTACTATCGTTACCAATAATTAAGATGGGGATTTACATGGTGTGTTTTACAAATATGAATAAAGAATGAGTGTAGAATGGAGTAAGAATGTATCCAGTGCTCTGGTCCCATAATGGATGTTACCTCAGGGATAAGCAATTTCTGTAAATTATTTTGGGGTACTGGAGTCTGCTAAATTTATTCAATCAACTTAGGAGCTTGTGTTATGTGTTATCAGAGCATTAAAAAACATGTTTGTAATACTACAGTAGTACGGTATATTGGTTTTATAGTTAATTAATTGTAGTTTTCTAACTGTTTTGTGACCTGACATTAGTCTCCATGTGCAAAAAACGGTATAAAACTGATAAGGGTATAGAAAGGTCAAGTGGTTCAATTAAGTAATTAAAAAACATCCTATTTGATGAATCAATATTGTTTCCCAGTATTCCCCCAAGCCACGTGATTCCTGGGAGCATGAAGGACAACTTCTGGGAGATGGGCGAGACAGGTCCCTGTGGCCCGTGCTCTGAGCTCCACTATGACAGGATTGGAGGCAGAGATGTTCCAGAACTTGTCAACCAAGATGACCCGGATGTTCTGGAGATCTGGAACCTCGTGTTCATTCAGTTCAATAGGTATGATTGGTTAAAATTATGATGTATAATGAAGTAAATTCCTTTAAGCAATTTAACTCCCAACATGTGTAAAATAGAAAAGAGTAGGTTATTTAACCGTTGGTAGTATAAAACGTCCATTACCTGAATGTGTAATTTTTTTCTTCTTTCAAGGAATTTATACATAGGGAAGTAATTTACGTTTATAGACCTACTAGTGGCCGTGCTTTGCTATGGAAACTTTCAAATTGGTTGAAATTTTTAATAAATTAGTGTTTAAGTGCCAACAACCTTCAGTCTACAACTCAACTACGACATGTTTTGCTCCAAACGATGTCATATTAAAGCAGCTATTATAGTGTCTCACCCGGTCCATAAAGTGTGTATGTTCAGGGTGTTTGCCCATGACCAGACTGCATAAAAGTTCAGGTAGTTGCTGCAAAGGTAGTAGCGGCACTTAACACGTTCGCTACCACAATTATATGGAATTTACGTTCGCATAGACCAGCGACGCAATTGTGCGTCGACTAGTTTCTCACAATAGACCACCGACGCATATTTGCGTCAGCTGGTCACATTGAAATAGACTGACGACGCACAGTTGCGTCGGTGTTCAATGTTAATAATCAGCGTATTTCTTAGCAACGGTCTTTTTGAAAGCCCTGATTTTATCGTATCGGTCTAGAGGGATATCTGCCGCAAATGTGCGTCGCTTGGTCTGTGGATATGACGATTGGTTACGTCACACAACAGTTGGCAACATTGTTGTTTACATTGTGTATTCCGCGACATCACAGAACAGGTGTAAACGTTATATCTTTGCAGTTTTGGCTAGTGTTTAGTGGAGTTTCTTTATTTGTTTGTGTAAAAGCTTGAAACAACCAAATTTACAACGACGCTTACGTGCGTCGCCTGGTCTATTGAAACGAAAATGTAATCTTTTTAACTGGATTTCATTAAATAGACTAACCGACGCATATATGCGGCGTTTTAAAATTTGCTCAAAACGATAAATAATTACAATATTTATTGCTTACTAATTCACTTAAGGTTAATATGAAGTCAATTAGTCCATTTAAACGATATTTCTCTTTTGGTCTGTCGGTAATGTTATTCCTATATCACTTGGTCTGTAAGCAACGTCATGATCATTCCTTTTGGTCTGTAGGAGTGACCCGACCGACGCAAATGTGCGTCGCTCGAACGTGTTAAACACCATTGCAGCACCTGCCCTGTGTTTCTTCTTTCCATTTTAAGGTCTCGCAGTACATACATTTGAACGTAATGGTACCTATCGCCACCAAGCGATTTCCTTCATAGTCTATTTTCGTATTATATGTCATTACTGATTGATTTTTCACCATCTATTGAATCTTTGGCGAATGTCTTTCAGGATGAGTTTGGTCATACTTTTTGCTTGCGTTCTTCACCTGCTCTTAGCGAATTTCCCTATAGGGAAGTAGCTGTTACCGTAGGTCTCATGGTAAGACCTGGGCCCGGGACCGATTTACTTTTCCATTTTGATGTCCACAGAGGCCAAAAACACTATTCGTTCAAATTTTATGTAGATGGATTAATGTATCTGCAATACTAAACTGCTTTCAGAGTAAACTAATGATTTCCCCTGAACAAAGCTTGGTCCCCAGATACTAAGGTTAATATGGGAAACCCCAGAGCCACTGGGGTGGAGCCCTTTTAACGGATCTGCACTAAACTTCACACAAACCATCCTTGAATAATGCTTAATAATGCCTGAAAGTTTCATTACAATCTGTCAAGCGGTTTCGGAGTCCTTAACATTAATATATATATACTAGCTGACCCGGCGAACTTCGTATCGCCTAAGTTATAGGTTTCCCCTAAGACAGACCGATGGAAAGAAAGTACCGTTACGTTTAATTTTCAAGATGATCTCGTTCGCATCGCTCAATCACGTCCTGGTTGAAGTTCGTTCGCTACGCTCACTCACCTTTGGGTTGGAGCTCGTTCGCTACGCTCACTCACCTTCAGGCTGGAGCTCGTTCGCTGCGCTCACTTGCCTTCAGGTAAGCTCGTTCGCTGCGCTCACTTGCCTTCAGGTAAGCTCGTTCGCATCGCTCAATCACGTCCTGGTTGAAGTTCGTTCGCTGCGCTCACTCACCTTTGGGTTGGAGCTCGTTCGCTACGCTCACTCACCTTTAGGTTGGAGCTCGTTCGCTGCGCTCACTTGCCTTCAGGTTAGCTTAATGCTATTGAACATCATAGAACAGAACCAACTTGTTTAATTGAAACAGCTGTTAAGATTCATTAATTCCATTTCTCATAAGGTTAACATGGGAAACTCCAGAGCCACTGGGGCGGAGCCCTTTTAAGAATTTCCAACGGGAAATAGTTTACGTCCGATTCGCGTACCGACAGAATTTGCACACCAAATTTCATAACGATCGGTGAAGTCGTTCCAGAGGAGTTTGCAGACAAACGCTGTGACACGAGAATTTTATATATTAGATATATATATACAAACTTCCTCTTTTATAAATAAAGATTTCAGCTGTTTCAATGTAACAATTAGAGTGCTTTAAAAGTATCTCAGTACAAGGCATTGAGCAAATACACAATTTTGCTATTTTAGGGATTGTTTTGTTGTTTGGGTTTTTTATTTTTGTATAGCCTTCAACAATAAAATTCAAGCTATAAAATCAAGTCTAAGTCATCCTTAACAAATGCCTATACCAAGTTGTTTTTCTAAGCATATAACAAAAATTTAGTATTTGTTTTCAATTAAATCTGATCCACTTTTTAACTCTCTGAGCTTTCCTTGGTCCTAGATAAGATAATCATTGGCTCTATACTGTACCATACTTAAACAATGAGATACTAGCAACAATAACTTTGCAACAATCTTATTTCAAAACCGAGTAAAATCTTGAGTTTTTAAACAAAATATTTCTTAAGCCAACATCTGAAATTTGTAATAATATTTAGAAAGGTAGCACTTGAACGTCATTGCGGCACTGATATGCGATCACAGCTGGTTTTTATTCATATATTTTTGCCAAATTTTCAGAGAGAATGATGGGAGTTTGCGTCTTCTACCAAAGAAGCACATTGATTGTGGATTGGGATTGGAAAGACTGGTCTCTGTAATACAGGACAAAAGATCCAACTATGACACGGATATATTTGTACCCATCTTTGATGCTATCCAAAAGGTAAATTGGATTGAAAACTGTTGACAAAGTACTAACTTGGCTGAGAGAAAACCCCTGATTCCAAGCCTTAACATAATTAATAATTAGGCTGATTTTGGGCTTTAGGGTGCATCAATTCTTGAATTATTGTACTTTTTCTGTGAATTAAATTGAAAGATTACTGGTAAATCATGTAACCTCAATACATACATGTTTTAACATCAATCCACTAATATTATTTGTTGTTATTGTTGTACTTCATGCTGCTTGGTAAAGTTTAGTAGGTACTTACTATATTCCATTCACAAAATTTAGGCTATTTGAGGGGAAGTTTCCTCACCACTTTTTTGCTCATTAATATGTAGCAGCGACGTTTTGGCAAACCTCAGCTGTTGAGCTATTATTTTAATGGTGGGATGATTGAGTGGAGAGGATGGATTTCATCATTTCATCCGATAAAACCGGCTAAACTTTTTGAATGGAGTTTAATACAGATATAATTATGTGGAGTTTTAAAAGGTACCTTTTATTTTTGTGCCAACTTCCAGTTGTTCAGGCTGTTGTTTGTTGGGGCAAGAGTCCGATCCCGATGTCTTCAAACAAATTTGACAGATGTGATGTTTTATTTTTTAATAAACTGATTTATGTGACAGGCTACACAAGCTCGTCCGTACACTGGCAAGGTGGGAGCAGAAGATAAAGACGGTGTAGACATGGCGTACAGAGTATTAGCCGATCATGCCAGGACATTGACCATTGCACTAGCCGATGGCGGACGGCCTGACGCCACTGGCCGAGGGTAATGTTTATTTTTTACTTTAAAACAATAATGAAGTATCTTTTAATTTCTAAAACTTAACAATCTACAAAAAACTCTTCAAACAATCCTTCTAACAATAATATGGTTCTTAGCTAATTTCTTTATAATCTGAGACATACAACTCTCATTGTCATTTTTTTTCAATAATTTAGGCTAAAAAGACATTCAGGTTAAATGATTGTTAAAGGTATGTACTGAGACGCATTTTGAGAAGAGCTGTTCGCTACGGCACTGAGAAGTTGAATGCTAAGCCAGGAATGTTTGCTTCACTGGTACACACCGTGGTGGATATACTCGGGGACACATTTCCTGAGGTAACACTGACTTAATTTCTAGTAACTTTATTTTATATTTTACAAAAGTACGGTAAACCATAATTTCAATATCTACTCATTTTAAATAATTTTGTAACGTGTTGAAATTTATTTCAGATCCAAAAAGATCCACAGACTATAGTTGACATCATTAACGAGGAGGAAGAACAGTTTTTGAAAACTCTGAATCGAGGGAGAAATCTTCTCTACAACACTATTAGTAAACTGACAGGCACGAAAGTGATACCTGGTGAGTTAAACCTACGTTTGGGGATCTATCGGTCCATAGGAAAGTCTGGACGTAAAGGTCTAGCGTAAGAGACACAACTAGTTGACCTGTTTACTTTTTCTGCTTGTTATATATAACAGTAAACCCTCATTGAAATAATAGGGGATCCATATAATTTCTAGAGTATCTCAGTAACCCTAGAAATGACAAAATGCTAGATAAATGTTAACAGAAGAAAAATGAGCTTGTGTTCAATGCAAAACAAAACAACAAACTAAACTTCATTTACATTTTAACCTATTCAACATATGACTATAAATTTAAATACTAAGACAAAATAGTCCTTTAGAAATAAACAAAATCCAGTCCTTCAGCAAAGGTTAATTTAAATAGATATTGAGGTTTTTAACACATTGCCCGCTTAAGACGTCCTCAACCCTATTAAGAAATAGCGGAGGACGTCCTAAGACGTCCTTGTGTAAGGTTAAGCAAATGGTGTTACAGTTGTCCCCGTTTTCAAACTAGGGAATTGAAACTCTGTCAGCCCTTGGGGGACATACTGTAGTATTACGTCATTACCGCAGCTTGCAGATCTGCCGCTCCAGTTGGTGGCGCTCGCGGCTGAATTTTTGAATGAATTGGCGGAACAAAAGCAGCCAGTATGAGTCTAGTGTTTGACGGAGAACGTTACTACTTGCTGGTCTGTAAATACAATAGAAATCTGTTTTTGCCGCCACTCCTTAGTTCGGGCGCGCTCCGATTTTTTGTGGATTTTTAAGTTCGCGCTTGCCTTTATGTTAGTTTGCGCTTGTGTTTAGTCGTGTTTGGACTTTTTTATGTATTACGTTCCAAGCAGTGCTGCTATCTGTGGGTGTTTAGCGAACTACGTCGACTCTCGTTGTAAAGCAGGACATCCCCGCACGTTCTTTGCTATTTGTCAGACCGAAATTGGAAAGCCAATCACACGCGGCAATCGGGTTTGTTCGACGCTGAGAGCTGCGCCCATGGCTGCGCCGCGCTGGGGATTCGCCCGCCCTTTGACGTGCCGCAGCGAATGTGTTAAAACCAATAACCAGTTAGGCATAAGACAAAACACTCTAATTGCCTATTCATTTCAGGTGATGTCGCATGGAGACTATATGACACATATGGGTTTCCTGTCGATCTTACCCAACTGATGGCAGAAGAAAGAGGAATGGCCATTGATATGCATGGGTATGAAGAAGCCAAGAAAAAAGCCCAGGTATGCTAGTGTTTTTTTATAACAAAATTTGTTTTTAATTTTGTTTATTATTACACAGTTTTTATGTGGTTGTATATGCAATTGTAAAAATAATTTGATCAGCTAGGCTTTTTATGTCCCACCATCACATCCTAGGACGCTAGGTCCTAGCCAGTACTGTTTTACACATTACTTCAGGCTAGTCCTAGAGGGTCGTGGCATTAACATATACATAAAATCCATTGGTGAATAAGCATTTTTATTTTAACCAGGGCCCTCGGGCTCCGAAGTCCCGAGCTGTACCACTAGACCAGCTTGCTCCCCAACTAGGATTAACTAGGTTAGGTGATATAACAATGATAATAATTTGTTTTCAGATTTTAAGTCAAGGCAAGTCTGCTGGTGCTGAAGACACTTTGAGTTTGGATGTTCACTCAATCACTGAACTGCAGAACAAGAAAATCCCTCCGACAGATGATTCCTTCAAGTACAAGTACAAGGCTTCCAGTAACGACAAGAACGCAGATTATGGTAAATAGTTGCATTTACTATATTTGTTTTTTTAAGTAAATGAGATAATTGTTTGGTTGAACTATGTACAGTAGCCTCTCTTAGTTACATAACAAACAACAAAATAAATTATAAATACTGTACCCCTGCAGCAAACCTGCAGACTAAGCGAATTTCCATTTGCCTGATTTGATTTTCAATGAAATCTATTTAAATAACATTAGGTATAATAATTGCCTAGGTTTGCTGCTACAGGGAGGGTAATAAAGTGTGTTTTTTAGTATAACATTAATAGCTTAGTATAAAAGAAATAGATTCTCCAAGTTTGATAAAACTATATACATAAACAAGCAAACTACAACAGTTTACTTATTCTCATTAAGAACAACATGGGAATTTTAAATTTACAATTTTTTGCATTTTATCCACAACGAATATCCATTCAAAAACATTTTAATGTACTAAATTATTTGTTTTTTAAGCTCTATAGAATTGTCTAAAGAGAAATTGAAATTTTTTTTTTAAGTTGAAAAATGAGAAAAACCTATTTTCACCCTATAAAACCCCGTTCCCATGGTCCGATCATGCTGGTTCACAAACTTGTTAGAATAAACGTAGGTTTACACACGTTTGTACCAAATTTAATCAAAATCAGATGAAATTTTATTTTAGCTTGAGTTATCGTGCTAACGGACACACCCACACATATTATATATATACTAGCTGTACCCCGGGGCTTTGCCCCGTTTAACTTCTTAATTTTCAAGATGAGCTTGTGCGCATGGCTCAATCACGTCCTGGTTGAAGTTCGGTCGCTACGCTCACTCACCTTTAGGTTGGAGCTCGTTCGCTGCGGTCACTTGCCTTCAGGTTAGCTCGTTCGCTACGCTAACTCGCCTCCGGGTTGAAGTTCGTTCGCTACGCTCACTCACCTTTTGGTTGCAAATTAGCTGTTGTCATAAATAAAAAAAAAATAATAGTGCTGCACCCTGTTGGTAATCCTTGTAAATTTAATGCTATTGAACATCATAGAACAGAACCAACTTGTTTAATTGAAACAGCTGTTAAGATTCATTAATTCCTTTTAAATATGACAAATCATAAGGTTAACATGGGAAACTCCAGAGCCACTGGGGCGGAGCCCGAATGCCTGATCAGAATAAAAACTACTTAGTTTTCTTATTTAATGCCCAAAGAATCGGTGTACCGAATTTCAGCCTCCTAGGTAATTGGAAGTGGGAGAATTAGTGATGAGTGAGTGAGTGTGTCAGTGAGTCAGTGAGGGCTTTGCCTTTTATAAGTATAGATAGACTAGCTGTACCCGCGGGCTTCGCCCCGTTTAACTTCATAAGTATTCGCATGGCTCATTCACGTCCTGGTTGAAGTTCGTTCGCTACGCTCACTCACCTTTAGGTTGGAGCTCGTTCGCTGCGCTCACTTGCATTCCGGTTAGCTCGTTCGCTACGCTAACTCGCCTCCTGGTTGAAGTTCGTTCGCTACGCTCACTCACCTTTTGGTTGGAAATTAGCTGTTGTCATATATTTAAAAAAAAATTAATAGTGCTGCACCCTGTTGGTAATCCTTTTAACTTTTATGCTATTGAACATCATAGAACAGAACCAACTTGTTTAATTGAAACAGCTGTTAACATTCATTAATTCCTTTTAAATATGAAAAATCATAAGATTAACATGGGGAACTACAGAGCCACTGGGGCGGAGCCCGAAAGGGTTTTTGAGATAAGAATATGCTTTAATGTTAATCGGGAATGTGAGCTATTATCATGCAAAATTTCAGCCCAATCCGTCCAGTAGTTTATGCGTGATTGAGCAACACACACACAAACACACACACAAACATACACACAAACATACACACAAACTCACAAACTTTCAGATTTATAATATTAGTAAGATAAGATAAGATATGTATATCGGGCGTACAAAAAGTCTGGACATCTTTTTAACTAAATGTGTTAGTAAATTCAAACTTTGCACAACTACATATATGTATAAAAACTACTTTTTGAAAGCATTTCCATTTTTTACCTCCAAGGGTACATCCCATACGGGGAGGCCCATGAGGAGTACCTAAGTACAAAATCTCTAATGTAAGCATAGTTTGATATGCACATCATTTTTAAGGGCCGGTTAAGTGGAGTTCAATGCCGAAAACTGTCTCAAAAGGTTTACCCGCTGCAAAATGGCGGCCATTTAAGGTTTATATTGAGATATTGGAGTTCAAACAAGTAAGGAAGCCCCATTATACATTTTATTAATGAACACAGAGCAATGAAACTATAGGATTACAACCTCACTGTGTTACTGACATTTTAACTGGATTTTTGCGCTTTGGTGGGACGTCCTGTGGAGGAAGTCTTAAAAAAAACTTGAATGTAAGCATAGAATGTACCTGATTTTGAAGGTCTTTCATAGAGGAACACACTGCCTCGAACCGGACTGAAAAAGGGCCATTTGTTTGGAAATTATAGCCTCTCAAAGTTTATTAGCTTTATGTTGCAGGACTAGAGGCAAAATTTAATTCAAAAGTTAATGGCCACACTTTTTCAATGGGTGGACCTTTTGAGACGCAGTTTTCGGCATTGAGCTCCACTTAACCAGCCCTTTAAAATGATGTGCATATCAACCTATGCTTACTTTAAAGATTTTGTACTTACTACTCATGGGCCATCCCCCCGTTGAGGTAAATAAAGGGTAATGCTTGCAAAAAGTAGTTTTTATACATTTATTTATGTAGGTGTGCAAAGTTTTAATTTTGTAACCAATTTGGTTAAAAAGATATTAAGAAGTGTCCAGACTTTTTGAACACCCGGTATATATATATATATATATATATATATATATATATATATATGAATTTGAATGGATGGTATTTATGGCCTCTGGGGACATTAAAACGAAAAAGTAAATTGGTCCCGGGTCCAGGTCTTACCATGAGACCTACGGTAATAGCTTATTCCCTATGGGAAATTCGCTAAAATATATTTTATGCAGATCAGAAATACAGCTTTGCTTTCTTTTTCTAACATAGTTTCTAGATACATGTCTAAGAACTTCCCATACACTACTTCTTGTAGCCTAACCCTCCATAACAAGTCCTATAACCTCATACAACACAGTTCTACAAATTTGTGGAAAAGAATTGTTTAACAGCTCTGAAATTGTGAAAAAACTATTTTTACAAACTTTTCACCAAATTCAAGAAACAGTTCATTAGCTCCTCTGAACAAAGTTGGTCTTCCGCTGCTCTTTTTGTCATTGTTATTCGTGTTTGTCCATTACTAAACAAACCACTCCTTCACCTGTTACATTTGGTCCTTCCACCACACAGCAAAATATCCTTTATCCTTTTACTGTAAAAAATAAAACATTTGCTTAAACATTTGGTGACATTTTCTATTGTGGAACACATTTTGAGACGCTGAAATAGATGTAAATAAGCTACGGCTCAACCTTCACTTTATAACAGCTGGGATGCTCCCTGATTTGCCAAAACATGGCCTTGCTATCCCCAATACTTTTCCCGCACAGTTCCAGCCTACCGTAACCAACCAGGTGTTGATTTATTTCAGTGTTTGAAGGCTGCACTGCCAAAGTGATTGCACTGAGGCACAACAAACAGTTTGTGCAGACTGTCACAAATGAGGAATGCGGTGTTTTGCTGGACAAAACTAACTTTTACGCAGAACAAGGAGGTCAGATATTTGATGAAGGTTACATGGTCAAGGATAAAGATCAGGTAATTGTTTGATTTGTGATTTATGTTAATTGTTGATTTTTTAAACTGTTATGTTTCTATAACGTAAAAAAACACTTTTTCAAGAATGAAATTCAGAAGTGCTATTTTTATTTTGGATACCAAATGTACGAACTTCTAATTGATCTCAGATTAATGAATTATGCATTTAATATGGGGTTGATTATTCAGTAAATTTTAAATTATTGTGATTGGATCTAAAGAAAACTCTCTCTTCCTTAGTTGAAAATGCAGTCAGTGGCATTGACATATTCTAATGTGTTGTGTAACTTATATAAATAGTGAAAAGTTTTGTGCGTCTTGTGCCAGTTTGTACTCTTTCCCATTCAGGTAAGCCTGCTAACCTCACCAAAATCCTAAAACCCTGGCCCTTGTGCTCTATATTACATCCTTAAGTTTAAACTTATCTATCATTGATTAAAATTATTGGATAAAATGTTTTAGTTGGAGCTAAGGTTAAATATTTTTTTTCCTTCTTGGTGTCGACACCAGTGGCATTATTACAGTAGAGACAAAGTACAGTATACTCAAATAACACTTTAAGGGTAAGCAGTCCAAACCCTTTAAAGTTTTGTGGATGTGTCGGGAAGTTAACCTGTCCCTCCCACACCCAAGTCCAAGACGCTAACCACTTGGCTAGCAACACGCTTTTAAGTGGTTAATCAAAATCCTTCATATGAGAGACACTCACATGTTGACTTGGTCATAATCAAAACATTGATTGTGATTCTTTCTGGTGTTGAAGAGTTTTGAAAATAAATTAAATCTTAGATTGATTTATAATAATAAGTAAATACGGTAGAACTCCAATTATCCGAATCAAATGGGACTGTACAGCATACGGGTAGTCTAAAATTTGGGTAATTGTATTTCTACCAAAATTTGGGTATTTTTCAGAAAGTAGGCTGAGTCATGTCAAGGTTATATTATTGCTTTTGCAGAACGAGTCTGCGTAGATTATGCGATAGAAAAAATCACATTTTTATTGCGATTGTAGAGGATTATGATTAACTATGAACTAGGACAATGATCATATTTAAACAAGCATGGAAGATATGTAAAAAAAATATATAGAAACTCTTCTTTTTCATTTATTTATTTTCATAGAACTTACACAAAAACAAACAACAATAACAAAGAATTTAACAGGTGGCAACTGTAAATTAAAAGCAAAAGCAGCACCGTCCGGCTTGGCGGGTGACGTCATACGCGCGACTGAGGCAACCTCTTTTTTCAGTAGCCTTGGGACAAGACTAGATTCAATGCTTTTTGGCAACAGCTTACAAAAATACGACACAAAAGGTTTAATCCATTTCCACTTGTTTCAATGTGATTGTTTTCATCACAGGCGGTAGAGTTTACTGTTAAGAACGTCCAAGTGAAGGGAGGCTACGTGCTACACACTGGCAGTCTGGAAGGCACTCTGCGTGTTGGCGACACTGTCTCTCTACACGTAGACACTGCACGGCGACGGTTGGTGATGAACAACCACTCTGGCACTCACATCCTCAACCACATTCTGCGCAGCGTACTGGGCCCTGAGAGTGACCAGAAGGGCTCGCTTGTGGCTCCTGATAGACTCAGATTTGACTTCACAAACAAGGTGAAATAATTATGATTGTCTCAGGCTAGTATTTAAAAAAAATACATTACCTGCCACCGATTCAACTATTTTACTATTATTAACTAGCCGCTATACCGGTGCCTTGCAACGGGGTCAAGATGCAGAAGAGACAGTTTTGGTCCCTTGAAAATAATGGCAAGCAGCTTGAGAACGCTAAAGAGAACAATTATTATGTTCCCTAGATCTGCTGTATGTAGATAGACGTTTATAAACTTACTATTTTATTAATTTACTGGCTACATAAACATAACTGTAAAAAATCCATCCATTCCATGTATCACAGCTTTTTGTTTCTGCTTGGTACAAATTATCTGTTGTCATCAATTTACAATTAATAGAGCTTTACACAGTTGTACACCTATTAACTTTTTAACTAGGTGAAACCAGTCGAAATCGATAGTTACTTTCAAGGCTTACGCTAATTCATATAACTGCGATAAATAGGGTGAAATCATCAAATATTTAACATTTACCAATTCCGTTTCTTTAGACACCTTTTACCGAGTTTCTATGCCCAGCCGTTCTCTCAAATTATTAGAGACAAAGAAAAACAGTTTCAAATTAATATATAGATGCTATTGAACATCACAGAATCAAATTGTTTAGTTGAAACTTGAAACAGCTGTTAAGATTCTTTCATAAGGTTTAAAATGGGGAACCTCGAGAGCTACTGGGGCGGAGCGGAGCCGTTTGGACGGATCACAAAATTGATGGTGTATAAACGTATTTCATGAAATTCTACTTGTATGTACAAGTTTCGTGACCATTGGTCCAGCGGTGTCTGAGATTATCACTGCCAAATATAGAAACATACAAACAATTAACAAACCAACATCCTCTTATATATATATATATATATATATATAGATAATTAATTTATTGTAATGACAATTTTTACACTATGAAGAAAGTAATGGCAAGACATTTTGATGACAGCCAGTGTTGTATCATTTCTTGACCATGTGTTTTGTTGAACTCAAAAACCAGGTTACAGGGTTTTTTTGTGGAAACTCGCTCAGCATGAACTTTTGCAAGCTATAGGCAACTTATTATTATTATAGCGAGGTGTTATTTAATAATAACATTTTAAAAGTATCAGTTGTACTTTAGAGTTGAGTAATTCAGTAGTCGGGTAAGCGACCAGTAAAGGTTAATTTTCAATCGGAATACCAAGTCATCTCTGTAGTCGTGAAGAGTCAACCTAATTAAGATACTGATAGTAGGGTAGCGGTGTTGCCGGCAGATGACGAGTCATGACTAATTAGCCGGTTACACAACGTGTCTATTATGAGTGTTATAATTTGGCCGAATCTTCAAAACCACAGGGAAGAAGAGGATCTTTTTAAGCAACGTAGTTTTAGTTTGAAACCGCCGCTTAACTGAAAAACAGGATCACTTGACGACAGTGCAATAATTATTTCTAGCCATTTTTATAAATATGATCGGCTTAAAATGTCTTCAATTTTGCTTATTTGCTTAAAGTTCTACTTTGCACATAATTTTTTTTTCTATCTTTAAATGCAAATGTTTTACTGTAGTAAAACACGTTTCTTAAATGTTTTTCACTTCCCAGGGTGCGATGACTGAGGACCAGTTGAAACGCACAGAGTTGGACATGCAACAGTTTATAGCCAAGAATGACCCGATTTTTGCTCAACACACAAGTTTGGCGGATGCTCGGAAGATTGTGGGTTTGCGGGCAATGTTTGACGAGACCTACCCGGACCCTGTACGAGTGGTCAGTGTTGGGGTGCCTGTAGAGGAGTTAGTCAAAGACCCGACATCACCCAAATCACTACAAACCTCCGTCGAGTTTTGTGGAGGAACGTAAGTCAACTATGTGGTTGGAGTTAAATTTATCTCTTATTAAAATGTGTCGTGTATATGACAAATAAGCTCAATTTACCGCTTTCAAGTAAAATTTTGAGGATCGGTGAATAGCAAGACAACTAGATCGCCGAACATAAAATCATGTCTGGAGCCGGCTTAAATCTAAGCTTCAGATTGTATAATTTCAATTTGTTCTAGTTATTTACACATACTGTATATGTGTACACTTTTAAAAGTGTTAAAGAAGTAATAAAAAAGTTTTAACACTTGGAAGTTTAAGATTGTTCACAGTCGACTCCTTCAGTATAAGTCTGTTGTTAACTACTTTTTCACACATGGTATTTTAAATATTCACTTTAGTGTCAACTTCTGTTTGTCTAGGCTTCTCTTACTTTAAATAAGGATGAGATCGTAAGTTATTCGATTGAGATGGAGTCTACTGTTTACACAAACGAGCTTCGTCATGACATTTCTTATTATTAGTTTTAAAACGAGTCACTTCAACAAGCTAAAACTAATCGAGAACGTATATTAATTTTTTCAGTCACCTTCACCGTTCAGGACACATAGGAGACTTTGTGGTAGCAAGTGAGGAGGCTATAGCTAAAGGCATCAGGAGAATAGTCGCTCTCACTGGACCAGAGGCTACTAAGGTGAGTGATTACAAGTTTGCTGCAGATTTGTTGATAAAAACACCTGTTATATATTATTATATCTGTTGGTCTGGGCTCATTAATTAATTTTATTTATATTTTAAATGTATTACAGCTGATGTAATGTTTACAATTCTAAGATTGAGGAATGAATAAAAACAAGATTTTATTTTAGTTTCATACAATTATTTAATTCAATAAGTACGTAACAACACCCTGTAATGTATTAATTTAAATATAAAATGAATTGTATATTTCTAATTCAGATTCAGATGGTTACAGGTATTAAATTTGCTAGCTCGATCCATGTACCGTTAGATATTGTAGGATGTGACGTCATATGGCCTGATCGAATAAACTAACCCCATTGGTTGTTCCATCACACCACCTTCCGTTCCCACTGCTACCACAATCACCCGACACTCTCTGTACCTCCAGTCATCGGCCTACCTCACAGGCTCCCGCACACCAATGCGGTTTTTCTTAAATGCAAATGTGTTAATTATTTCAGGACCTAATCCTTCGTTCCCATCCAGGTTCGGATGCGACACACCCCAATACAAGTTTACTTATCTTTTATTTCCATAGAACTTAGGTGTATTCAGTATTGGGGGACTGAGCCATGGCTCGGTATAGTTTATTTCAATTGTAAAAGCAATATAAAAGAAATTTACGTTTTACAACTAATTTTGGCTTTATTCCAGTGGAATTTCAATTTATTATAAATACAGATGTCAAAATTATGTAAAATATAAAAATGAGTGTATAAAAATTGTAAAATCTTACCTTAAATAAGAGTGAACATTGAGTTAATGCCAGTGCACTCAAACGACACCAACACGAAACACTGACTTGTTATTTTGTTCAACTAACATAGTTACTTGGAACATAAGGCCAATGTAAAATTTTTAAATTTTCAAACCAGTTGTGTAGCAAAATACAAATTTTCCTCCTGAGGTAGTAGCTGTCACTAGTCACGTTTTTAGGGCTATTAGTCCCTAATTACAAAATTTAGTCAAAATCCTTCCGCTGGATTTCGAGATATGTATTACAGACTGACATAGCTCGTATAAGAATAAAGGATATTCATTTAAGATGGGGACGCCACTATGTGTGTATTTTAAACCAAATATGAGTGAAGGATGAGTGTAGAATGGAGTGTGATGCCTTTTGTAACTTTGTTATTGACTAAGATCAGCTATTTCATTAGTCAGGACCACGAATACTAGAAAAATACTGGTAGGTATGGATCATAGATCATAAACATAAACAAATTATGTTTTTGGCCCCAAAGTATTCAAAACCCCTATACTAATATTAACATATGGTTTTGTTTACTTTTGGGACAAAAACGGTAATTTGTTTATTTTTATGATCCATACCGGGTCTTATCTAGTATGGAATAACAACACACACTCTAACCTCTGAGTTTGTGTCTTTCAGGCTCTCAACAGAACGAAGGTTTTGGAGAAGCGAGTGAATGAGCTGGAAGCCAGCTTGAAGAGTTCCAACCTCTCACACAAGGACGTGGTGAAGAAAATAACTGAACTGACTAATGATATTTCCCACACCACCATATCTGCCTACAAAAAGGTACTATTCCATCTAGATATATATAATCATTGATTTCTCAGTGTGAATTTGAATACACACCTCATACCTTGTTATTTTGGGTGGTTAGCAAAGGAAGGGTTACATACTCATTGAATGGATTTGATTTGATATAAAACTTGTATGAACATAATCTAGGCCTACAAGAATAGACCTGAATATAACGATTGTGATTTTGGCATATAACTTTTGCTTTTGTTAACCAGAGTGTAAATGTGCAACTTCACTTGTCTTTGTGTCAAATGCCTTAAAGAATGCGTTTTCAATTTGACCATTTTTAACAAATATTTACTTGAAAATGGTCTGTTATTACAACCATAGATAAAACATACTCCCTTAGTAGATTTCTCATCCTTATGGAACAGCTGAAGACAATTTTATTGTTAGTTCATGTACGGTTTAGAGGTCGTTTTTTGTTTACAATTTGTTTTCCGTTATTACAGTCATTTAAAACCTCGTTTAACCAAAAAATACGATCTAATCATAAACAATAACTTGTCCCCTAGTTATATAGCCAAACAGTAAAGCAAAAATCAAGAAATTAACCCTAAAATAATGGAAACAAAGTTTCATCGACACTAGCGCCTTTGTGTCACGTACATGAACTAGACACGAAAAACGTGCTTCAAAATTTACAATGGGATGAGAAGTCTACTGGTGTTGGTTAGTCTATGTTACAACTTTGAATCTGCTGTAGTCTATAAGCCTCTTGGCAATAATAACATGGAAGACATAAAAAAATACAGTTGATCGTTTAAAAAATTTAATCGAAAACTGCCAGAACAATATCTATTATTTTTGTGGTTTTTAAGTTTACTATTCACCGTTTTTCTGTGACAGGATGAGATGCGAAACCACTTAAAAGTGATCAAGAAGAGTTTGGACGACAAAGAGCGTGAGGAGAAACAGGCGCAGGCTAACAATGTTATCAAGGAGGCAGTGGCTCTGGCCAATGAGAACCCCAACACCCCTCTGTTGGTAGCTGAGCTGTGTGCATCATCAAACACAAAGGTATGCTTCAGTAATCTTTGAGCCAATGTTATTTAGACTGAGCATACGCCTAAGTATACATTTAACTGTGTTTAACCTGTTTGATCAAAGCAACTAGAAATTCACAATCTGCTTAGTTCTGCAAGGATATTTTATTATTGTATGTACAGATACCAGGGATCTGCAGGCCACACTGTTTTACTTTGGGTTGGATCAAAAACTTTGGCCCTCGGGCTAAAACCAGGTTGGGCCAAAATCACATTGTTTGGAAAGTATTGATTTTTAATATTAATTGTAATACTACAATCAGTTTATGCATGATCTCCCCCCATGTATTGCGGTATAATCGTGAACAAACCAAGGAAAACTTAATTGTATTGCACCTGCTCAGAGCACACAAGATACCTCCGAGGTTGTATACAGTAATCTCCTCTCTAATAATTATTAGCTTTGTTTAGTTTTATTTGAGGCTACAGTTATAAAATTACCTATATACTTGGCATACTAATCGTTAACACCTCTCAATAACACAAACAGCGTCACTGCTAGTGCTGTGTATTGTGTACCGTTACAGTAGAGACTTCTAAATAGCTACAGTAGACTCCCTCTTATCTGGACACCTTTTAACCGGACATCGGTTTAACCGGACTACACTCGGCGGAAATGACATCTCTTTGACCAGACAATTTTTATCAGCACATCGGTTTAACCAGACTAGATCAGCAGGAAGTGGGCAGTACTAAAAACGACTGTTCTCGTGGGAATGTTTTGAGACCAGTGATTACGTGTGTAAATACAATGCTCTCCTAAATTTAAGTCAAATACAGTACAGTATGCATTTAAACGGTACATTTTAACAAGTTTTTTGGGATGTCGGTTTAACCGGAAAACTGTTATCCGAAGTGGTCTTGGTCCCGAGGAGTCCGGATAAGAGGGAGTCTACTACAGTTAACTACAGTTTAACTACAGTTAAAGGTTAAAGCCTGTAATGACCCAGAGAGAAATTTATCAACTCAACTGTAATCAAGCTTGCTTCATCGATTATTTTTTTGTTTATATTTTGTCCAGTGACAAAATGAAATATTGTGCAGGCCCTGGACTCAGCCTTGAAGAACGTTCGAGGTCAATCACCCGAGACTGCTGCAATGTTCTTCTCCGTTGACACTGACACTAACAAGATATTTTGCCTGTGCTCAGTGCCTAAGGTATGTTGAAATGGTATTAAGTAAGTTGAGCAGGAAAACAATCAGTGTTCACTGAATTCTTGAAGTTAAAATCTAGGGATGTGTCGATTCTCGATACCACCAATACTTGGACGTTGGTTTCAGTATTGAGAATCGACTGTAAAAAGTCGATTCCGATACAGATACCTGTCACGCACGATTAGGTAAATACCCGGAAAATTTACAGCTATTGATGGGAAAGTGCAAGGCGACGACAACGTTTCTGTGACTACGGGAGACAATGACATCTACACGGCCGTGGGAAATGTTCATGGTTTCAATGATAAGGGGCAGACACCTTCCTCAGGAGGAGCTCATAGATAGGATGCTGCAGTTCATCAAGCAACTCAGGTTTTACAGGCTCTGACGCACCAAGTGGGGAGTATAAAAAGCCCATCTGCAGTTGACGTGCATCAAGACAAGGTCCGCCCCGACAGAATCCATCAATTATTGATCTCAGACAAAAACGATGATGTTTCCGTGACCACGTGAGACGACGATAACGTCTACACAGCTGCGGGAAATGTTCATGATTTTGCGGGGATCGTGGAAGACGTCGATCACGTCTATTCGCTAAAGACAATGATGAAGGACATAAAGACAGGGGTTGGTGTGGTGTAGTGCAATCCATTCAGAAAATTTGGTAAAACAATTTAAAATGGTATCGGTATTGAGAATTGATAAATTTTGGTATCGAAACATCATTATTAATAGCAAAATATAATATAAAATAATTGGTAATTTTATTATTATGGTGTCTTAGTCATTTTGTAATTTGTTAAAGTCATAAATGTCTTGGTTTTTCAGAACGCAATCAACAAAGGGCTAAAAGCTAATGAGTGGGTGAACGCAGTAAGTTCTCTGATGCAAGGCAAAGGTGGAGGTAAAGCTGAAAACGCACAAGCTTCTGGTTCTAACATAGCAGCAAAGGATAGCATTATCTCCACAGCTCGGGCTTTTGCTGAAGGGAAGTTGGGAATCGCGAGCACTGCACAAGTGAATGGAGGCATCTCCAAAGATATTGAAAAGGAAACATTGTACTGCCCGGCCGGCAGCATGGCAAGAGTCAGGTGTTCAATTGTAGCATCTTTTGCCAAGAAAAACCTAAAAACCACCAACGACAGCCAGACTATTTTTAAAGATAACCATATCGAACTGACAGAGCCCAATGCAATCTCGCTCTACCTCGCCAGCTCTGATTTGAAAGGGAAGACTTTAGTCGAGGAAGCGCAGATCCTACAGTGGATGAGCTACTGTGACCAGCACATCTGTCCTGCAGTCGGCTCCTGGGTACATCTTGTCTTGGGTACTTCTACGCCTCAAATACCTCTGGCAAGGGCAAAAGAAGATGTGGTCAAGGCTCTGAAATACCTAGACACTGTCCTGCTCGCAAAAACATACCTGGTGGGTGAAAGAATCACTCTGGCAGACCTCGTTGTCTTCACTGGAGTGTTACCAGCTTACATTCACGTTCTAGATGCCGACACGAGGAAAGCGTTTGTCAACACTAACAGGTGGTTCAACACTATCCTGAATCAAGAACCAGTCAAGAAAGTGGTTGGAAGTGTTGAACTGTGTGCAGCACCGGTTCAGAGCAAGAAAGGTGGGGCGAAAAAAGAGAAGAGCAAGTAAGAATCAAGTATTAGTGGAGAGAGATTATAAGATAAAACTGATGGTATTGGTCGGGGTCGATTAACATTGTCGGTTCAAGGTGTCTTTAATTAAAAAATTTATTTATATTTTGATTTGTATGTCTATTGAAAAATCAATTTTAATAACATTTATTCATAGCTTTATTTAAATTGATATTTTTAGCTTATTTAATTCGCTTTTTTAAAATAGTTATGTCTCAGTTCCGGTTTTTTTTTACTTTAGGAAATTAGTTATGATTTACAATTATTGTAAAAAAATTAAGGAATATTATAAGTAAGTGCCATTATACAATAATTATCAATTTTTTTATACCATAATGGAAAGTTACATGTTGCAGATATGATGCAGTTGATAAGTCTTGGTAATTTTTGAGAAGGTTGTTTATCTGATTGTTATAAAATAGAAAGTTTTGCACAGACTAGTTGCTTTTTTGTAGCCTTATACCTTTGATTGCATTAATTGTAAACAATCATTAATGCCACACAATTTTCAAAAAAATCTATCTGTCTTTAACCCTTTCAGTGCTAGGGCCAATAATTCATATTTCGTAAGGCTTTTTTGTTTGCCTTTCAATTCCATTACCTGTTGTTGAATTTTAACTGTAATGTTGTCACTATTTTATTAATTAGGCTAATTTTGAATATCAAGACAATAAGAAAATATATAACAAAGATTAATCCCGGTATTTGTGGTAAACATTAAATACAACTTAGTTTTTGTTGTAATTTTCCTGGTTTTCCTATACATTTTTATGTTCTGATAGCATTGTTTGAAACCAGAAACTCATAAGATCAAAAGACATATAGTTTACAATGTAATATTGAACTTAACTTTGATTTAGTTGGACGAGGTTATTGTAATATACATTTTTGTATAGTGGTTGTTGTCAGCTTAAATACCGGGTTTTGACTCCTCAGTCTTCAAGCACAGATAGCCGAGAAGCACACATACGTAAATTATACATATAATGTATGTTCAACTTAGATCTACAATACGTATATCAGAGAGATAGGTTACATAAAATGTACGTATAATATACGCTCAAATGTCCCACTTGTTGACGTACAATATACGTCGATTTAAGGTCTACATGGACATAAAATATCCGTAGATTATATGTATAAATATAAATATAATGTATGTTCAATGTAGATCTACAATACGTATATCAGAGAGATAGGTTACGTAAAATGTACGTATAATATACGCTCAAATGTCCCACTTTGATTTGAGGTCTACATGGACATAAAATATCCGTAGATTATATGTATAAATATAATGTATGTTCAACGTAGATCTACAATACGTATATCAGAGAGATAGGTTACGTAAAATGTACGTATAATATACGCTCAAATGTCCCACTTCGATTTGAGGTCTACATGGACATAAAATATCCATAGATTATATGTATAAATATAATGTATGTTCAACGTAGATCTACAATACGTATATCAGAGAAATATGTTACGTAAAATGTACGTATAATATACTCTCAAATGTCCCACTTGTTGACGTACAATATACGTCGATTTGAGGTCTACATGGACATAAAATATCCATAGATTATATGTATAAATATAATGTATGTTCAACGTAGATCTACAATACGTATATCAGAGAAATATGTTACGTAAAATGTACGTATAATATACTCTCAAATGTCCCACTTGTTGACGTGCAATATACGTTGATTTAAGGTCTACATGGACATAAAATATCCGTAGATTATATGTATAAATATAATGTATGTTCAACGTAGATCTACAATACGTATATCAGAGAGATAGGTTTTGTTAAAATAACCTTCCTCTCTATATCCCTTAGAGATTTTTTAAAACAACGATATATCGTTTCATAGCACTGAAAGGGTTAAAAAAATAATGTATGTATATAAATTGAGATGTCTTAAGTTTCTACAATAGTGCGATAGTGTGACTATTTCTACAGAGGCTTAAAAGGACCACGTTTTCATCTTGTCTGTTCACGCTTTTTTGTGGAGCTTAGGAAAAGCTAATAGATATTGAACTAACCTAAGTAATAACCAGTCAGTTTCTTTTGAAGACATAAACTGGTTTTGTTTTGTAATAGGCAATTCATAAACCAAAAAAGAATTCAAAGATTTATTTTATTCAAACTGTATCCATATTCTCAAAAATTACACACTAACTAATGTCACCACTCATCCTACACCTGAACTACTGCTAACGGATTTCTTTTTCAAACTATCATCATAAATTGATCTTAATATTTTTAAGAGTGCTAAAACGTTAGTTCCCATCTTAGCTGATAGGCTGAGAATGGTTTCATCTTGCAGTTTTTCTTTCAGCGCAACAAGATTTTCCTGTAAAAAGAATGATAATTAATTGTTAAACTTAGTTAAAATTGTTAATAGTTCTTGATGATATTTAGTCCATCTTAAATCCTTGATCAATATTTTTTACCTTACAAAACAGTGTGTTCAAATAATCAACCAAAAGGTGAGTGAGCGTAGCGAACGAACTTCAACCTGGAGGCGAGTTAGCGTAGCGAACGAGCTAACCTGAAGGCAAGTGAGCGCGGCGAACGAGCTCCAACCTAAAGGTGAGTGAGCGTAGCGAACAAACTTCAACCAGGACGTGATTGTGCCATGCGAACGAGATAATCTTGAAAATTAAGAAGTTAAACGGGGCAAAGCCCGCGGGTTACAGCTAGTAACTTATAATTAAAGACTACTACAGGTGTTAGAGACTGGTTGCCAATTGATGATAAGATAAGTACATATACCTTTTAAATGGTTATCAAAAAAGTTTATAAATCTACAAAATCAACTACAAAAGCCAGTAATTAGGCTAAATTAGCAGATCTTGGTCAGAAATCGAGTTAATACATCATTAATTCTATATTAATATATAGATTTTACACTCACCATTGTGACTTAACATGGTATGTGGACTTAGTAAATCAATCTAAATTACTAACCTCAGCTCCAGGGACATCTATTTTGTTAGCTACTAAAAGCTGAGGACGGGTAGCCAACTCCTGACTGAAGTAAGAGAGCTCTTGTCGCAGCACCGCTACGTCCTCCCATGGCTCTGCGCCAGACACATCCACTAGGAGTATCAGTGCGGTGCAGCGCTCCACGTGGCGCAAGAACGATATGCCCAGTCCACGGTTACGATGCGAACCTTCTATCAGACCAGGCAGATCAGCCACTGTAACCAGAAAACGTCATGCAGCTTTAGATCAGTTGGGTCGTCACGGAACAACATTATAATAAATAATCTGAATGGCTTATGGTGGTTTGGTCCCGTTAAAAGAACAGACCAAAGAGAGCCTCGAGTTTGATAGAGGAATTGGTGGAATGAAAGAGTTGGAAGACCAAGAAAGTAATGAAAATACATCATAAACATTAAACAAGGATCTAATAGTGGGAAAAATTGCATTATGGAAGAGCGTTATTAGAGAGAGAAGTACAATATAGAGAAGGCTTTCTAGTACAACTGGAGCTGCTGAATAAATGTGATGGATGACCTACCATTGTGACTTAGCTTGTAAATGTTGTGCATGCCATTTAATTCTGAGAAAATGAAAATATATACAGTGCAGTACTGCATGTTCATTTTAAAATAGTGCCAGGAGTCTAGGACTACGTGGGTTAACTGTTTCTATCTAATTTAATACCCAAGTTACTTTTTAAAATTGGCTTCCCCATCACGAAATACACTTATATACAACAAAGCCAGCTCCACCTTTTATATGAGGATGAATATTTTATATTACACTTTTTACTAACTGAGTATCAACATTTAATTACCTGCTATTTGCTCGTAGTCACTGTACTGGACCATTCCGAGATGAGGTTTTAGAGTGGTAAATGGGTAAGGAGCAATCTTAGGACGAGCTCTTGAGATGGCTTGCAATAATGTGCTCTTGCCCGCATTTGGCATGCCCAGCTGAAATAGTTCACTATTTTGTTCAAACAAATTAATTACAGTTTTGTTTTAATGCGTAAGGTACTTGATTAGTCTCAGGCTCAGTTGTATTGTTTTGTAACTGTAGTAATATTTAATTTTTAACTAAAGAATAATGGTAAAAACTAGTTTCACTCTTTTAATTGTTCAATAGAAAGTGAAAGACCATTTGGATGAAATATCAGTGTTATATTTTGTGACCAATAATGGTGTACTACAGTAGCTCTGTTACTCCACAGATAAAATATGCGTATGAGACAACCGTGCGCTTTTAGCTCTAGTATGGTGGGGTGGAAAAGTAGTAGTAGTGATCTAGAAAGAGCCCGAACGGCAATGGCCATATAGCACATTGTACAGCAGTTGTAGCACACAGGGTCTTCATACTGCATGAGCGCTGTAGTACGTGGTGGCGAGGGGGTAAAGGAGAGTGGAAGGGGACGACAAATAGTTTTTGCCACTAAGTGTACACCAGCGACTGGTGATAGACACCACTTAAGTGTACCATCGAATGTATCCTCTGTATCTTACTTCTCTGTGTCGGGAGCGTTTCATAATGTCAAAATTTCACAAAGTCCAATGTTAAAATGTCAAATAAACAGAGCGTTTCATAAGGTCCAAATTTCATAAGGTCAAAAACTATAACATTTAAATAATCATCGTTTCACAATGTCTAAATTTCACAAAGTCCAATGTTAAAATATCAAATAAACAGAGCGTTTCACAAGGTCCAAAACTGTAACATTCAAATAATCACTGTTTCACAATGTCCAAATTTCACAAAGTCCAACGTTAAAATATCAAATAAACAGAGCTTTTCACAAGGTCCAAATTTCACAAGGTCCAACGGTACAGTCTGGGCCAGAAGTCTCTACAGTGGTTGCCACGGTCAGATAGCAGGCACCGTCCGCCGGTGCTCAACTACTGATTATACGTGCATTTTAATGATTGAATTCGGACTATGAGAATGGTGGTTTATGAAGGGTTGCATGGGGTAAAAATTGGGTTTTCCCATTTTTGAGCCTGAAAAATCTAAGAATTTTGCAATTTCTTTCCAAACCATTTTGCAGAGCTAAAAAAAAAAAAATAGTATATTGAAGCGTTGTTATGCGCCAAATAGTTACAGAGAAAATTACGAATAATTGTAAATTTAAAATTACCATGTTATTCTTATGGAGAACTAGCTGTAACCCGCGGGCTTTGCCCCGTTCGCATGGCTCAATCACGTCCTGGTTGAAGTTTGTTCGCTACGCTCACTCACCTTTAGGTTGGAGCTCGTTCGCTACGCTCACTCACCTTTCGGTTGGAGCTCGTTCGCTACGCTCACTCACCTTTAGGTTGGAGCTCGTTCGCTGCGCTCACTTGCCTTCAGGTTAGCTCGTTCGCTACGCTAACTCGCCTCCAGGTTGAAGTTCGTTCGCTACGCTCACTCACCTTTTGGTTGCAAATTAGCTGTTGTCATAAATGTAAAAGAAATAATAGTGCTGCACCCTGTTGGTAATCCTTGTAACTTTAATGCTATTGAACATCATAGAACAGAACCAACTTGTTAAGACAATAATAGGTTTTTTACATACCTCAGTCAAATAGTCCAAAAATGGTATTGCTCAACAGCTTACATGTTTCGTTGCGAAGACAACATTATCAAAGCATTGCACGTCGTCACGTGACGTGACCTCCAGTCTGCTACCAGCCCCGCGCCGCGCCGGACCAAATCAGTATTATGATAGCGCTATCTAAATGTCAATTGTGTATTCGTACCGTATCAATGTCTTCTGTGTTCGTGTTCGTGTTTTAAATGTGTTTTTGACGAGTTGCAAGCTTTGATAATGTTGTCTTCGCAACGAAACATGTAAGCTGTTGAGCAATACCATTTTTGGACTATTTGACTGAGGTATGTAAAAAACCTATTATTGTCTTAACAATATAGTCCAGGGGCCGAAAACATGAGTTCCAACTTGTTTAATTGAAACAGCTGTTAAGATTCAATAATTCCATTTCTCATAAGGTTAACATGGGAAACTCCAGAGCCACTGGGGCGGAGCCCGAAAGGATTTTTGAAATAAGAATATGCCTATATGTTAATCGGGAATGTGAGCTATCATCATGCCAAATTTCAGCCCAATCCGACCAGTATTTTTCGAGTTTACTTTTCCCATACACACATACAGCAACCACCTCTTTTTTATAATAGTATAGATAGATAGATAGATAAAAAAAAACTGTTGTGGTTTGCTTGCTTATGAATATACTTTGATGAAATTTGGAAATGCTTTTATTTTATACTAAACTATTACCATAAAAAAAATAATCCTCCCTGTTGCAGCAAAACTAAGTAGGCCTACGGTTCTTGTTGTTAAGCTAATGCTATTTAAATAGGGAATAAATGTGATCATTTTAAGGAGATATTCTAGTGTAAATCAAATAAGGGAAATGAAAATTCGATTAGTCTGCAGGTTTGCTGTGGAGGGGGTAAATACCACTACTTTACAACGTATCTACGGACCCACGATGATGTTTTGTGACGCGCGGCAACTAACACTAGATCGTGTAGTGCCTACACACCGAACCACGGCAACCTCTGCAGCGACTTCTGGCCGAGACTGTACCGTTGGACCTTGTGAAATTTGGACCTTGTGAAACGCTCTGTTTATTTGATATTGTAACATTGGACTTTATGAAATTTGGACATTGTGAAACGGTGATTATTTGAATGTCACAGTTTTGGACCTTATGCAATTTGGACCTTGTGAAATGCTCTGTTCATTTGATATTTTAACGTTGGACTTTGTGAAATTTAGACCTTGTGAAACGCTCTGTTTATTAATATTTTAACCATTGGACGTTGTGAAACGCTCTGTTTATTAATATTTTAACCATTGGACTTTGTGAAATTTGGACCTTATGAACCTCACCCTCTGTGTCTACTCTTAATTTTCTCAGGTGAACTAGCTGGGCTCTATCTTTTTCCAAAAAAATTTTTACCAGCCACTTTGCTTTCCTTTTAAATTTAATTTGTTAAAGTTATTCTTTAATAGTCAAATTTTACAAAGTCATAGTCAACTAACACAATTCTAAAGTTTGGGCACTTTTCCCATTCGTTATAAATACCCAATCAATATTTACATAGTACCCACCAGTCCAAAGTGTGCCATACTTCTCAGCTCCACAATATATGAGAGTGATTCTCCGTTGGCGCCGTACTGCGCAATGTTTGGTACCTGGAGAGTGTCTGAGCAGAAGAACGCATTGCCTCGTCCCCCAGCCCCTCCTCTGGCCGCAATAAACATCGCCCCCTCCTTGTCTAAATCCCCCACCACTCGCAGGTTTTTGTCTTTGATGATTGTGCCAATGGGGACCTAAATACATACATTTGCATTTAGTGTAAAGGAGGTATTACAAAAGCTAGACAGTTACAAATCAACTTTACAGGTCATGATTTTTTAACTGAAAATAGAGTGATAGATCAAATTTTGTTTATATTTGGTTTGCAAAACAACCATATTATAAGAGGCGAGCTACTTAACAGTGTCTTGTATGGAGAATATTTTACACAGCCTTGTTTCTTTAGATCCCTTTAGGTGGTTTCGGTGGAATTGACTAATCTTGGATATTTTTCATGCCTATTTGTTAAACCTGCACTTTGTTAAGGGATTAAACTGCACAGGGCCGCGTTAAGGGTCAGTGGAGCCCTGGGCAAACCTAAAAGCAGTGCCCCCATTTATTCCGAGTGTGGGCAGGCGGTGGTTGAGGGGCACCCGGTGGGCGCCCCCAAACCTTCGGCGCCCCTGGGCATATGCCCAGTCTGCCCGTTTATAAAAGTGGGCCTGACGATGAACCTACATAAAACTGTTGATAGGCACTGAAGATGGATAAAATATCCACTTTAAACTAGTAGTCATTAGAACCTCTCTGTATTATCCTTAAACCCAAGGATTGTGTGATTTTACAAGGATTGTGTTCCAGATTAATAATGCTTCAAAAATAAATATTACTTACAAACTATATTAGTTGGGATATTTTTTATATACTGAATACACAACTTTCCCTAAAGATAACGTTCTAATTATATAGATAGATTTAATGCAGGGAAACCACAAACCTATTGGTCCCTCCAACAACTCTTCAATACCGCTTATATAACATTGTTTGATAATTGTTAGTTTATGTTGAATTTATGTGAAATCTAGCAATTATTTTTTTGAAATTTTTGCAAACACATGTTTATAAATCTTTTTTTTAAAATCTAGTTAAAATAATTGTACGAACCTCAATAATGGTGTGGTTGGCATTTTTCCCGTGGCAGTCTTTGTTGTGGCCATCTTCACCCGAGGAACCACTCAGTATTGGTCTAACATGGTTTAAACTAGCAACGTTGTGAGTTGCCTGTAAAGAAAATGTTTTAAAATGAAACCTATGAGATTTGTGAGAGTTGTCACTTAAACAAATGTAAAAATGAAGAAATTTAATAGTATATTTCGTACCTAGGGCCAAAAATGAGCTTTTGCTGGCTTGAGATAGTTTTTAAGCTCAAGACGAAGTCGAGAACTTAAAACGATCGAGAGCGTTTTAAGTTCAACCCTAAAACGTACAGGGTTGGCGCATAAGTATAAAATGCTTATTAAAGTTCTCGTGCTCTGCGTTTTCAATTGGGGAGAACACGGTTTGAGAACATTTGGTTCTTTAAAATTTATGGTATGCTATAATATAACACATCTAACATAGCCATAATGATTAACCACTGAACCTTAACAATAGAAAAGGACTTTGTTTGTTACACCTGCGCAGACGACGAACCTCCATAAAAGTGTTGATAGGCACTGTAGATAGATATATCCACTTTAAACTAGTAATGAGTTCCAGACAACCACATAATGTCTGATAGAACCTCTCTGTACTGTTATTGTTGCACTGCTTTTGCCGTTTATGTCTTCAAAGATACAATGTAGAAAACACACACATATTTGGGTCAGGTGAGTTTGTATTTTGAAGAAAAAAAGTCCAAAACCCATGTAATCTAGTATAGCAACTAGAGTAATAAACTGCAACAAAATGTCAAGATACTACTCACCATGAAAACTACATGACCCCCGTTGCCTCCGTCTCCCCCATCAGGTCCTGCCTTCTCATTGGCCCAGAGCTGGAGGAAGGAGATACACCCATCTCCCCCCTTGCCCCCAACCACCCGCACCGCCTTCATGTCATCAAAGCTCTGAACCTGTAACAAACTGCAGGGTGACTAAAATGTTTAAGGAAAATACCCCCGTCACAGCAAATCTGCAGACTAAGTGAATTTCCACTTGCCTGATTTGATTTTCAATTAAATCTATGTCAATAACATTAGGTTTAACAATTACCTAGGTTTGCTGCTATAGGGAGTGTAATAAAGTGTGATTTTTTAGTAAAACATAAATAGATAAAAAAAAATAGATTTGTCAAGTTTGATCAGAATATATCCATCCATAAACAAGCAAGCTACAAAAGTTTACTTAATTTCAATAAGAATAACATGGGAATTTTAAATTTAATTTTTTAAAGATTTCTTTGTAATCAATAACTAGGCAAAAACACCTAGATATACTAAATTATTTGTTTTTTAAGCTCCTCAAAATGGTCTAGAGAGAAATTTTATGTTTTGAGGGTCAAAACGAGAAAAACTTTTTCCACCCCATAAAACCCGCGAACCCGTAAGAATAAACGTAGGTTTACACATTTGTACCTAGTGTGAAAAAATTAAAATTTCAACTAATGTTAACAAAACTGTCTGAATAGCTATTTATTTACTAATATAATACTTAAGCAGAACGAGTTAGAAATAGAAGATCTGCATATTGTTTCTAACATTTTAAATTACAACTTTGCTAATATGGTTGAAAATCATGTTTTACCAAAGTTAAATCAATTCCAATCCAGTTTTGTAAATAGCAAGTAAAAACTGTCAAACCATTTATGAACCGGCTCTAACATCAATAATTATGACTCATTAAAACCCAAAAGGTCATCAGGTCATGATGAAATTTCTTTCAAAATCATAAAAGAATCTAAATCTGTTTGATTAAAACTTCTTTTAGATGTAATTAATACTTCATTAATAACAGGTTTTTGTCCTGCTGAACTAAAAATTTCAAAAATAATTCTAGTAGGCTATACAAAAAAGGGGACAAAAAGATCCCCTTAACTATAGATCTTTGGATTGCTCTAGCAGGATAAAGTCGAATACTAACCAGCCGTCTCCATCCATGTTAAAGGGCATCCGTCTCGTAGGAGAGCCGGCGATGAACTGACTTCTGCTCTGGTGTGGGGCTTGTATTTATACGCGGCCGTTAGCGCATGCACAGAAGGCCTGAAATGGTCCGTTGGGATTCGGATTTTGAGGAGAAAGGTTCGGACTATCTTTTAACATGGTGATTTGGTTTTCTGGATAAATTTGAGGTTAGGGTTGTGTTTTCGGGGCAAATACCGATTGAACAGGCTAGAACAAGTTGAATTAGGTAACGTGAGATGACAAAGGGCGACGCAAGGAAAGGGGAAGGTTGGAATAGGGTTTGGAAGGTGACGTAGGGAAGCGGAAGGTGACGCAAGGTAAGGGGAAGGTCGGGGAAGGCTGTAGAGGGCGACGTAGGATAGCGGAAGGCGACGTAAGGTAAGGGGAAGGTCGAGGAAGTCTCTAGAGGACGGCGTAGGATTGCGGAAAGCGACGTAAGGTAAGGGGAAGGTCAGGTAAGGGTCTGGAAGGCGATGTAGGGTGGCGGAAGGTGACGCAAGGTAAGAGCACTCTCCACCAACATATACGAACTGTGTAGAATTTATTAAAAAGGTTGGTGGATGAAAAGGAGACGTACAAAATAAAGGGCTTGGGCTGGAATATAAAATTAATACAAAATTGAATTCATTGGTATTGTAAATGTTATTTTGTACTTATAGAAGTTTATAGAAAACCACAACTTCAAAATTTATAATTCTTAAGTAGGTTAGACAAGTTAATAGAAATGGTATCTATCTGCTTTAAAGGATGTAAGAGATTTTGCTATTACAAGTGGCTTCAATTTTAATGCCTTGAACTGTACTTCTTAAATTCAACAATTTGAAAACTTTCTAAAGTGCCATAGTGTTTATTACTTGGTGGATTTTCCCACAAGAGTCACAGCAAATACTTCAACTGCTATGGATAATATTATGACAAATATAGACAAATCACTTTCACATGTAACTGGTATTGTAACAGCCCTTTCAGACCTTGATGGTCAGATCTTTGAGTTAACTATTCCCGGAGATGAGGTTTTTGTAAAAGCAACAATTTGTAATGGAGTCAAGTTTTTATTTTTTTAATCAAGAGAGGAGATGTATTTGGTACTTTACCTTAGTAGCTTCATTTGTTTTTTGAGGCCTATATCACCTTGCTCCCCATTACATGAACAAATTTAAAATTTGTATCTAGGAATCACATTTCATTTTTACTTTCTCCCCCAATACATAGTACAGGATATGGAGAAAGTATTGTTTTCGTCAAAAACTTTGAGTTAAGAGTTTTGGGTGGATATTCGTTTTAGGTCCCCCTAAATCTAAAAAAGTGGTTTTTGAAGTGATTTTTGTGTATGATGTGTGGACTGGGTTGCTGAGTGCTTATAGTGATCACCTAACAATCAAAAGGTTGCTGGATCGATCCTGAGAAATGTCAGTAGCTTTTTATGGTTCGAAAATGGACCCAGCAGTTCCTGAACATTCGGCTTTAAATAAATTATCCTGGTTGATACAGATGATCTTAAACAAAGCTTCACTGATATTCTCACTCCATTCTATACTCATCCTTCCCTGAAATTTGGGTTAAAATACGCACCTAGGTGGCATCCCCACCTCAATTGATAATTGCTAGTTGATGTGTACAGAGCTACAAACTACACCTGGGGTCCAATTTGGATGAAATTTGGTATGTGGGTATCTCCAGGCCTTTTTGTTCATTTATTACAAATTTTAATTTTTCCATAAAGTAGGAATTTTTCCTAACGAAAAAATTAATTTTTTTCAACAGCGCAGACAATTTTGTACGTTATAGTCCTTTTAACTATAAACAAAACCATACAAACCCCATTGCTGTAAAAATTATGGTTCAAAATTAATGTTAACTCATCTGAATTTCTCATAAAAACCCATAAAATAACAATAAAAACATGTTTTTAAAATCATAATTTCGTTTAAGGTTTATTATTTTAAGGTTCATATGATTTTAAACAGAATGGTACAATCCCCAATGCTGTCAATAACCAACTTTTGGGATTTTACCCATAAAATATTATACTGTAGGCTACTTTCTCCCACTGCTTGCCCATGATAAGGGTTGTTTGCAAGCTAAACTGTTTATTTTACACAAATTTGTTTTTTTTATATTTTTTATGTAAGGGTTATAAAATACTAGGGGGCATTTACCCCTTCATTCTAAAAAATGGGATGCTGCATAGCAGTCCTTAACTTCCTAAAATGAGCAAGTTGATTCTTGATAAATTTTAACCTTAAGATTGCTACACCCACACTTAAGACTTTGCTACTTTTAAGGAATATAAATAATATTAGCCAATTATAATACAAATGGTTAATTTTATTTACAAGATACAAATCATAAAAATCTATAGCTGATTTTAAGTTAGCCAAAATACAAATGAGCAAAATGTTTTTAACATTGTTTGACACAATAACAAATTTTTAACTGTGGAACAAAAGTCGAGTGTGGAACAATGAGAAACTATGATAAAATGTTTGACATAAACTTACCACATGACTTTTGGATTTAGGTTTCCTACTTCTAAGAGGAACTGGGCTTGCTTTGTTGGAACAGAGTCGAGTTAATTGAATGCCCACTTTTGAAAATCGCTGCAGCATTTTTTCAGTCCAACTATATCACTGAAAATAAAAAACCGTATGTCATGGCCGAATCTAAGTAATGTTTACTTTTAACACTTTGGAAATTACTTTGGCTATTATTTTTTCATGGAAAAATATTACTCGTTTCCTATAAAGTGGTGCATTGTAGGATTTATAAGTAATGCGATAACAATAACAAATCAACTCTCTATCTGTAGGCTCGTACGTCGTTAGATGTTCTACTTTGACAATTATATCACCAGCAAGAAGCCAAAGTGTCTGATAGAATTCATTTTCAAATACATCCTTGATCTGTAAGGGTACAGACAATCCTAAATCAAATGCATACTCTTTAGGAAACAGAACTGTGGGGTGGTGTGTGAACTTGTTTGAAGAGGTCTCAACATGGCCATCCCAGAGTGACCGCCAATCTTTGATTTTGAACAGGACTTGAGCAACATCATCAATATGTAAAATATGGCATTTAACTCCGTTTGATAGGGTTAGTGATACAGTTATATTTTCAACGTGTTTGTCGAGAGTCAAAAGGCACTGTGAAAGACCACTAATCTCATCCCCAGACAAATGGCACTCTACTTCAAACAACTGAAACAAATCAACTAGACACTGGTGAATTAATTCAGAAAGGTTGTGTCCAAACATTAAAACTTGGCATCGGACTGGTGGTTCAGCGAATTCCTTTAAAGAAGCTGATTTATTTACCATTAAGCATTTCACAACCACACATTCTTTTCCAGAGGTTTTTAAGTTTGCCATATTAAAAATATTCACCAGGGTTGACTTAATATCTGGGCTGTCATTGAATTGGTTTTTATTATCGAAAACCATGGAAGATACATATCGGACAATTGGTTTGTGTTCAGCAAAATTTGAGCCTGAGGAAGTAATTTGTTCAAGGAGTTTCTGATATATGTAATTCACAGCTGAATGGAGATTTTCCCAAGGATTGGACAGCGATTTCTCTAGAGCACCTATTATTGCATCAAAAGTATCTCCTTCTGCTCTTTTCCAAGTTTCAGGATCCTCTTGAAGGATTCGAGGTGGCTGGTGCTTTCTAAACGAATAAACAATTGCATTCTCACAATGAAAACTTTTCTCACAACTCCTGTACCCTACGTTGACATAGTTTGAAAATGATTTGACATCAAATGGTTCAACGGAATAAAGAATAAGATCCGATTGGGCAGCCATTTCAGTGATTTTCCACGAGTCATTCCAATTCCGATGTTTTTTGTCTGCTTCAGTTCCTCCCTGGCCATCACACAGTGCTACAATAATGGAACCATCTTCGTTTAAGGCATCACAGGCACTTGAAAAAAAGTCTTTTAAAAGTTTACGGTTTAAATGTATTTTCATTTTCCCGCCAACATGTGGAAAATTGAATATTATTTTGTCATATTTCTGTTTGCTTACAGCGCAATGGCTTTTAAGGTTTGTTGCGTCCACATTATAATGTATTGTAACACCTGAAACAATTGAGTAATAATAGTAAAGAGGGAATAAAAATACCATAATGGACCAGGGAATTAAGGTTGGCAAATGGCTTAATTTCAGACGGTTTGGGAAATATAATTAAAGGTTACTGGTACAAAATGCAGTAGCGTCTTGGCAACATTCTGTGTCATTCAACCCTCCAAGCGGCGGAAAATAGGCCTAACCGAATCAATCGGTTATTGATGCTGAACAGACTACTGTAATTTGGTTATTTTATCCTGATTTGGTTAAATTAGTCTTACTGAGCGATTCGGTGATTTAGTTATTTAATTGACTTAGTTTGTCACATCATCAGGTAACTAAAATTTATTCTGCGATTCGTTCGACTAACAATCACCGATTGACACTAAATGACTAAGTGCTACAGTAGACTCCCTCTTACCCGGACACCTTTAACCGGACATCGGTTTACCGATTTAGACCAGTGATCACGTGTCTAAATACAATGCTCTCCTAAATTTATGTTGAATATCACAGTAAACAATCTGTTTTAACAAGTTTTTGGGGACGTTGGTTTAACTGGAAAACCCGTTATCCAGACTGGCCTCGGTCCCGAGGAGTCCGGATAAGAGGGGGTCTACTGTATTCAGTTTCCCATAAGATAAAAATTAGTTCCAGTTTGGGACAGTGAATAATGACTAAAATTGATTCGGCGGTTCCTTCGACTAAAAATAACCGATTGACGCAAAAAATAACTGATTGATTATTGCTCATGGAAACCATTCGGTTAAAATCCCATCACTAAGCTTAGCTATGATTGAAAACAATCAGCTGTTAGCTTACTTCACCCACGCTACTCGGCAATAGTTCATTCCACTTCCACTTGTAAATGACATCCGTCCTACCTTGTTAATTGTGCCTAATGTTGTATATGTTTAAGTTAAACGTGATGTCTTGAGAAATATTCATCAGCGGTGGAAAATGATGGTATATATTTGGATTCAGGAGGTAAAAAACTATAGTTAGACATCAAAATTAAAAACTCGTTTCGAGGCACCTAACTTATACTATAGGCCTAAATAACTTAATTAGGCTACCTAGGCCTACTAAATAATTACCTGCATACCTTTTGACAGTATAAATTGTATATTGCATTCCTTAAAACATGTGAAGTTTCCAGTTGGATTTTCTAGACATGTAGCTATTATGTTAAGACTGTCAAAATCTTCTCCAAGGATATTTTCGTTGAAAATAATAAAATCTTTACAAAATGAAAAGTTACCTTCACCCAACAACAACACTTGGTTACCTTTTGACAACTGGTATGCTGGTAACATCCTACATAAATAAATGGTTTTCCCTCTTTACATTTAATGTTTACAATGGCATTTCACGTAAATCTTATAATAATAAATTCAAAGAAAATGTAATATGGTCCTAAAGATTATTAAACTTATAGGTTAAGTTTGGTTTGGTTTAGGTTAGGAGTAGGGTAAGAGGTTACTTCTTTTTATTTTCTAAGCAGCTCCTTGGTGGCACTGGTGGGGTCTGACTTAAGGGAGGTACGATTGAGGCATTAGTTCAAAATTCCTCCGTGAACAGCAGTGTAGTAGAGAGCACTTTGGCAATGAAGGTTTAATAATCGCAAAAATAGTTCTGTTCATAAAATAAAATTATAAATGCCTCAAATTCAATTTTATTATTTTTTAATTATAAAATTAAACTATCATAACCTAACCGAACTAACCAAACTTTTGATAATGAAATAATATAACAAAAGTTTAGTAATAGAAAAAATAATTCTGTTTATTAAATAAAACTAGAAATTGCTCAATTAAAATTTTATAATGACTTAATAATAAAATTAAACTGTCATAACCGAACCAAACCAACCAAACTTGCTGATAATGAAAAAATCTTGGACAAAAAGTTAATGCTACCAGCGGGATTCGAACTCGGGACCTTCAACATATCTAACCGGCATGCTAACCACTAGCCCACCGAGGCCGATGGCCAGAGATCTTATTGTTACGGTAATGGCGTTCCCTCAGCTAATAAGAAGCCCACAGCTGTCATCGTAGCCTCTTCTATACCTCCCCTGAGTAAATACCACACTGGTGCCAGCCGCTCGTGCTTTGGGCAGGCTGTAGCAATGTGCCATGCAAATGCCGAATCCATATAATCAATACGTCAATACGAAATCAATTGTGATGTGGAAAGCGAAAAGTGACCTCTTGTCGGTGATGCAAAATTTTCAGTACAGCCGATATAAGATATAAGAAAATATCGGATTCGGGTTTTCATCGGTTGATATACCTCATTTAACATAGAACAGGACAGTATCAAATAAAATATCGAATTGAAAATGTAAAAACTCGAAATAAATCATTATTGTTAGTTTCTGCACGGTCTGAGAAAAGATACCTCTTGTCGCTCAATGTTATTTTGCCATAACGACAAGAGGTCCCATTTCTAAAATGATACTTTTACTACACGTTTTGATTAAACAATTATTTAAATGAAAACTACCGTGAGTTAAGACACAAATTTGTATTGTTTCTAAAGAGGACATTATATTTATTCATTTCCACATCACAATTTGTCATTTGATCTCCCCCACCGGTGACATGTCATAGTGCATAATTTCACATTGCCTAATTCAACATTTTCTCACAGTGCTTGAAAGCGAAAACGTGTTATAGATAGTGCATAACCTCATAGTGAAACTGTACAGTGCCTAATGGTCAAAATTTCTATAGTGCATTACAGTAGGCTACGGAAAGGGGAGTGTTCCGTTTAGTGGAACAGCCATGTGACAGCTAGCTGACTACAGCCGAAAGCAAGAACACCAACTAACAACTAAATACCCCCGCCGCAGCAAACCTGCAGACTAAGCGAATTTCCATTTGCCTGAATGTATTTAAACTAAAATGTCTCCTTAAAAATATCACATTATTTCCCTATTTAAATAACATTACTTTATTTAACGAGTACTTAGGTTTGCTGCAACAGGGAGGGTAAAAAGGTGTTTTTTTTTAAATGTTAATAGTTGAATGCATTTTCCAAATTTGATCAAAATATGATCATAAACAAGCAAACTACAACAGTTTACTTATTCTCCATAAGAATAACATGGGAACTTTAAATTTACAGTTTTTTGGAATTTTCTCCGTAACCATTAGGCACATAACAACGCTTCAGTATACTAAATTATTTGTTTTTTAAGGTCTACAAAATGGTTTGGAAAGAAAATGCTAAATTTTAAGTTTTTAGGGTCAAAAATAGGAAAAACCAATTTTTGCCCCATAAACCCCTGTTCCCATAGTCCGATCATGCTGGTTCGCAAACTCGTTCGAATAAACATAGGTTTACACGTTTGTACCAAATTTCATCAAAATCGGATGATTTTTGCTCGAGTTATAGCGCTAACGGACACATAAATAAATATATATATTTTATATATACAGTATGAATTTGAACGGATGGTGTTTTTGGTCTCTAGGGACCTCAAAACGAAAAAGTAAATCGGTCCTGGGTCCAGGTCTTACCATGAGTACTACGGTAATAACTTATTCCCTATATGGGAAATTCGCTAAAATGAAAGAAATATTTTATCTTAACCTATAAACAGAAGTAACCAAGAATGATACCTGCACAATATTTTACAATCTTCAGGGTTCAAAATATGGAAACTGCTTTTTATGCTGTAAGTGTATTCTTATTTGGCAATCAGTATAGCTTTACTAAATTACGAAATGCCGAAACTGTTAGATATTTAGATAAACACTGGGAATCAGCTAAAATGTTTATATTAAATGAATATAACAAACAGATATCAGTACCAGTGGTAAATTTATTATTGACTGGTAATCCAACTTCAGGACTCATTGATCTACTTATTTGAGCAAAATCCAAAGCATGGGCCAAAAAAAGAGGATAACGTTAATATCATAGATGATTTGACAGATGAACTGTGAACGTGTTTTCGGTGGGGGGTTCGGAATCTAAATCGATGCCCAAAATAGTTCAGTCTGCGCAGGTTCTTAAATTTCCAGGGGTCGGTTGAGATTTGTTTTTACCTAAACACGGTCGCAAGAGTTTTGTTTGCAGGAGAAAGCTCAGAACTCTGTCCAGACTCGAAACACCAAGGTTTATTCTGTAAGGCTCATCATCACCAACTCCTACCTTATGACGATTTAAAACTGAGGGACAGCGTCGAGGGATTGTACCCCGATCGCTAACGGCGAATAACGGCAAATAAAGTCGATCAAGCGACCCGGGGTGTCAGGGGAGCGACCCTGGTTCCCAAACGACTAAAGTCGATCAAGTGGCCCGGGCTGTCAGGGGAGCGACCCTGGTTCCCAAACAACTAAAGTCGATCAAGTGGCCCGGGCTGTCAGGGGAGCGACCCTGGTTCCCAAACAACTAAAGTCGATCAAGTGGCCCGGGCTGTCAGGGGAGCGACCCTGGTTCCCAAACAACTAAAGTCGATCAAGTGGCCCGGGCTGTCAGGGGAGCGACCCTGGTTCCCAAACGATGAAAGTCGATCAAGTGACTCTGGGTGTCAGAGTAGCGACTCTGGTGCCCAAAACGATTTAAAACAGTGAGCTAGCGTCGAGGGATTGTGCCTCGATCGCTAACGGGGAATAGGGTCGGTCAAGTGACCCGGGGCGTCAGGGTAGCAAAATGATTAGAACTATATTCAAGGCGTCATGGCATCAAAGGTATCTTTTATACAACTGGATGCTAGGCCAACACTCATATCTCAAGATTTTTAGACTGACATTTCATAATTTGAGTGACCAACCCTTTGAAGATCAATGAAGTTTTGTTTCATTGATTGTTACATATGACTGGTCAGCACTCTGGAGATGTATGAAACTGGCATTTCATTACTCAGCATCATGTCATTAGCACATAGCAATTCTGATCACTCATATGCTCAATGGAAATATTATTACATGACCTAAATAATAATTTGGTTTTATGAGCTACCTATGGTTGTTCATGTTCACTAGTTTAGAGTTTTTCTAAGCATGTAAGTAGATTCACTAATTAGCTATTTTTCAAAATAATTACTTGGTAAAACAGGAAGAAGGGGAATTTAACTAATCAAGTTCGGCTACAAAAGAATGACACAGCTTACTTCAAGTAAACTTTAATAATGTACAAATTTTCAAAAATAAAACATTAACATCTTTCTAAATGTTTAATTAACCTTTAAACATAAATTACCGTAAGTTAAATTTGATCTCTTAAAAAATTGGCACAAAAGTAACTACTACCACTACTAGTATTACTACAAAAGTACAAAACCTGATTTATCCAGGAAAATTGGCATACCTTAATTTAGCAGGTAATTAACTTGATAGAATGAACAAAGATGTTTTGTGTTATTATTGCCATGCCAATTAGGTACTTGAAAATCGTGTATTACAACAGTTGGTGGTCTCTAGTGGCTCAATTGTACAGATCATACAATCATTCCATGCTTTAAGAGTTTTGTCATAAATCTATATAAAAGAAGATGTTGCTACAGTAGTCTCGATTATTCAACCCAAAAAAGCCGCAGCAAGGCTGGCTAAGTGAAAGTTTTTGATAACACGGCAAATAGTGAAACCATCATAATCATGTTACGATCATAAAATTAATGAACTTTCTTTGTTGTTAAGCTAATTTTGAGAATACATGTTTTTATTTCATTTTAAAACTATGAGCTTTTTCCATTTAGAATCCATAACCACAGATAGCTATAAAACAAATATCTTCCACTCAGCCACAGGTGTTGTTTCACACCATAACCATGACACCGTTTAGCCTACTATATAGAATGGACCAATACATTTATACAGTTTCTTTGCCAGAAACAATTTTGGTGTGGTCCCAAAATAGAGTTGAATATACTGTAATAAACTCGAAAGAGATATCTCATTTTTTGTTTTTTATGTTGAATGCGAAGCAACACTACAGCTACTAGTTGAGTATGAATACGAACCAATTTTGAACAAAGTGATTCTAAAGAAATTTAATTTCCCCAAGAAAAATGAGGATGAATGGAAAAATATGAAAAGGGATAAAGTGTTGTCAAGCTGTAACCACCTGTAAGGCTGTAATGGCCTTGTAACCGTGAGCCATTGTCACCTCTCTTAAGCTCATCTTAATTATCACAGAGAGGTTTGATTGTATGATCTGAAGTTTATTTTTTACTTTGGCAGTTAACACAATTTTTACAATGAGGATTGTAAACAAATCAATAGAGTAGTATCCAAACAATTATAAATAAATTAAAATTAACACAACTTGTCATGTATTTTACAATATCACAGTACCAGTACAAAAAGGCACACATATTTTACAATCATTAAATTTAAGGGTGGCATAAAATTACACATTACAAGTAAATTAAATTCCACCTCAAACCTGACTTAACACTTAAAAAAAAAAATATATATATATATATGTACATATAATATATATATATATATATACGTAAAATATATCTAATCATTAGTTAAGTTCATCTTTGGCTTAAATTTCAAACATTGTTCGTGGTTTCAAAGGTGAGTGAGTATTACAATAAGACAACATAAGCATTGTTTACAAAGTTTGTATGTATATTAATGTTATGAATCTAACTGTGTTAAAAACTTCCATCCTGTATGGAATGTTGATAATAAGAGGCTTGATTGTATTGAGCTTTTTTTTGTTAGTGACACAAGGAACGTTTTGAAGTAAGAACTAGCAATGTAGCATAATTTTGTACAGTTACAATTGTTTGTTAATTTAATCATTACACAAGTCTTTGTAACAATTGCTCGTTTGGTTGTCAGTATTGTATGTTCTTTTCCAACCATCTGATAAAACCTCTCTAACTAAATGTAAGACTTCACATAACTTCACAAAACAAAACAAACAAAATCAGTGTATACAGTTTGAAAAACATTGTGCTTAAACTATTTCCTAAGGCGTATTTACGTTAATTCGAGTTAATGGAATGTGATAGGGAGTGAGTTACTATTCCAGTATCGAATGACAGATCGAATTCTAGCAGCGTTTACATTGTAGTTGCTACTGGAATAATAATAGCACTCACGAGTGATGTAGTTGTAAGGGGAAAGTTAAGAACAATATTCATAATCAGCAATCACATTGAACTTATATGATCGCTGTGTAAATGTTTATGTTTAGTATGTATAATGAGTGAACTTATTCAAGAACTATGTAGGAATGTATAATATGTTTGTATAAGTAGTATGAGTGAAATTATTCAAGAAGGTGTTTTGGTGGTCTGTAGAAATAAAAAATATGAAATTTAACATATATCATCAATAAACTTAGCCATCACTCACTGAAGAGTAAACACAAGAGCTATAAACAAACAAAAATATACCTTTTTCACCACAGCTACGTTTTCACGAACCGGGCTTCACATAGATTTTGTGTGCAAGCCATTTCCCGACATGTTGAAAAGTAAATCGAACGACAAAATGTCATTCGTGCTCGCATTCCAATACTAGCATGTGAGTAGATTTGTGGTTGACACTTATTCGAGGAGGATTGCGAGCTATACTCGTATGCGAGGTCGAATTAATGTAAACACGCCTTTACTTTGGTTTCAGCTTTCAACCAGTAAATATTTTAAAACACTTAAGTGTGTTAACATGAAATAATTCATTCTTATAAAACACTGAGTTAAGTTAAAGATTACATATTATACTACTAACTAGAAGGTTAGGTTTCATTCACCAATATTAGTAATGTGCTAAGTTATAAATACAAAACAATTAGGTTTTATCTGTATAATATAAATGTATTACATGAGGATATTCCAAGGGATATATGTCAGTTTGCTAACTTGATAAAATGCGAAAAAAGAAAAAAACAGTTTCCTTTTCCATTTAGTCCTGCTAAAGTTTTACACAAGGAAATAATATCAGTGTTAAAAATCTTTGGGCCTTTTAATATACATCTGAAAGCCCCTGGATTTTTTAGGTAAGCCTATTCTGTTTCAATAAAATCTTCTAAAAAACACAATAATTGACTTGACTTAAATTTAAAAAATTAAGATTTTTCTACTAAAAAAGCCCTAGACCTATTATCTGATGATTCTACGTTATTTTCTTTATACAATTATTTTAACCGACTAGATGTTTAAATCCCTAAATGTGTTATTAAAAAACTATAAAATTAAAGTTCTTTTGAACGAATATCACCATAATATACAAGTAGGCTTAATGCATCAATCATTCAAGCATGGTTAGTACGATGAACAATCACATAAGTTAGTGAATGTTGTGTACAACTTTTAAAAGGTATCTAAAAGTAAATGTAATGAGAAATTACTCTGGTCAGATAAAAAAAAGATTATAACAAAGTATGAGCAGCCAAAAAATTATTTCCTTCACTCCAATACATTTTATCTTGACTGTATTATTTTTTTTAATGCACTGGTAACAATACTGCCAACACTGCAAAGTCTAAGCTGTCAATTCTCTTTTTGAAATATGCAAGGTAACTATGTATTTGTTATTTATTATTGGACCATGATTACCATCATACACAACAAGGCCAACATCATACTCATGGAAGAATTTTTATTGGCAATGTTGGCAGACATCCAAATCCAAATATCATCCTGCAGAGTCTCCAGTGACTTCCAAAATTCGTAGTTGCAGTCATTCTCCATAGTTTCAGAGTCAATCAAGATGGGCTTTGGGTTGATTTTGAGGAATCCTCCTTTGGATATGGTGGGCCAATTGTTTCCTGGGGTTCTAGAAGGATCAACAGTAGCATGACAATTAGTAATAAACCCAGTGATTAAATGTTTTGCATCAATAGCAATTATATGCTTGTCTTTCTCTAAGACAAATTTCTCTTATCCTAACTCTTATAAAAACAATGTTTGCTTGTATGCTTGCTTACACAAAGATCTCAAAAATGGCTTCAACAGTTTTCTTCAAGAGTTGTAAATAATTTATTTCTGGTTTAAAAACATGTTTCATGCAGTTAAAACTGGCAACAAAAATCTAATTACGTAAAAGATTAAATTTAAAGTCAATTTTTTTACAGTTAGCTCTATGGATTACTACTTTGGCAACGAAAATCGTTAACATCAACAAAATAATAGTAAACAAAAGTGATAAATATAACAGCTCATTATAAACAAACCTTAACCCAAAAAGAGGTTTTTAATTTATGACTGGAGGACAGTGAGATGCTATACTTACAATTGGAGTTGGCGCGTAATAGCAAACTGGCGCAACACTCGGTCCTCCTGGTTCTCTATATATAAAGCTAACAAGGATCGCAAACTTTTGAGAAAACCATAAGCCGCACACCTATCAACTGCATACTTGAATGAAAGGTCTTGATGTGAAACTTCTCCGAAAAATCAGTTTATCGATAAACCCGGTCCTTAGACATCAATTAACCCTCCCAGTGTTACTTGACGAAAATTCGACAAGCAGCACACTTTGTGTAGTGTTACTTGTCGATTTTTCGACACGCAGACATCGTTTACGGCGAAGGCTCTATGACTGACTGAATCGGATTGAACTGGATCGAGTTAGGTATCGTTCTTTCCATAATATTCTAAGCTTTCTCCAGAGGTCTGTCTCTAAGCGCTATTCATTTTAGTTCCGAAAATATTGTAGCAGACAGCTGACGTGCGTGTATTTGTAAACAGCTAGGTTCCCCCGGACCGATGACTGATGTGTTTTATTACGTTTATCATTGTTTTAGTGTTAAAAATCAAAAGTAGTGATATACGTGGTGCATTATAAGAAGATTTAAGTGGTTTTGAAGTGCTGGTTGATGATCCTGAAGAAGTAGGTAGTGATATTGATGTAAATTATCAGCCAGATTCCTAGCTATGGTTAGGCTATGCATTCTTAGCTAAACGCTATGTAGTGAAATCAGTTTTTTGCCCATAACTTATTTATTTGCAAATATACTTCCTTATATTATTATATATTTGTAATCCTCATAAAATTTAGAACAAAGTGGCTATTTTCAAATATTTATAGGCCTATAATTTATACAATTTCATTGAGCGCGAACTTATTTTTTTTTTGAAAATTTTCGAAATTATATTTTTTTTACCTAAACATTTTTTTTTTTTGAAAAAATGTTCCTTATGTTTTATATATAATATTGAAGCCCATGATTTTCCAAACAAAATGGTATATAGAACATTAGAATTAACATTGTTTTAAGCTTCTCAGATCCGTTTTAATAAAACCTTGCAAATGCGCCAAAAATAGGTGGACATTAAGGCCTAAACTATGGACACTTGGAGGGTTAAAGGGCTGTATTTAATCACATTCAAAATATTGAAGATACATCAGCTGTTAGATTAGTTTCATTTCCAGGAAATTTCTTATCAAGACCTTTTATTCAAGTATGGGATTGATAGGTGTGTTAATTATGATTTTCTCAAAAGTTTGAGTTCCTTGTTAGCTTTATATAAACAAGTATTGACTTGTCTTGTCTTCAATAATATTACATAACAAAAAATGTATGTAACAACATGAAACAATGCTATAAACACTACTTAGTATTACAATATTTTGGTAAATTAAATGTTTTCAAGGCCATTCAACAATGCTAACTAGCAATAAAATGTTCTGATGCATTAATTGTTTTCAGTGAAATCCAACTGAGATCAAACACAAACATTTGTAATGGCTACATGTCACTATTTTCACCATAAAAGCCACTTTACATGATCATGTACTCACCTAGTTTTTACAAAGTTGGTCCACCAACCCACCATCATGTCTCTGACTATAAGGCTGTCTCGCAATGACGAGCAATTGCCAAGATCTTGTGGTTCTACGGAGTCATAGAACAGATACCTAGAGGGAATACAGCTACGTAATCACAAGAACAGTTCAAACAAGTGTTGGCACTAAAATCCCAGTAACCGTTAATCTCGCAACAATCACTAGAAACCCTTAGACCCATCTGCATCACAGTGTAATTGTTTTATAATATTAAACCGCAGATGTAAGCTCATAAATAAAGGTTGTTTCAGGAGAAGAATTTATTTTAAAGTTCTGTTCTAACATTAAATCAAGCTTCCACACAAAGAAATGCTTCTAAAGAAAGTTAAGTTACCCATAGCTGATTGTTATTATGATTTAAAAAGCATTCAATTATTCACCTGAGGTCAAATCCGTGATTGACGCCAGTTGTATGAAACTTAGAGGTGTATGGAGGATTAGGAGTCCAAGGCCCGTGAAAATCAAACACAAAACCGTAACTTGAGTTGGCCAACTTGCGAGCCACCTGAAACAATGTCTATACTGGTTATTGGTTATAAAATCATAATGGAGTCGTCTCATATGATACCTAAAAGTATCGGTCCACTCATGTGAATCTTCTAAGCTCATACACACTTGCACAGCCTTGTTAGTTAAGTTAAATGCAAGTAATAAAATTTTATATAGCCTACACAGCATTGTATGATTTCTGTACATTGGTATCTCTGGAATCTATATTATTAAAAGAAATTGTTGGATTTTTGTTTCCAGAAAATCGACCCCTAAATATTTTTTTTATAGGCATATTAGGTAGTAAAGGTACTATGAATTAATTTAAAGGTCTTATCCTCTAGATTTGCCTTTTGCGGGTTTTTGTATGATATCCCGTAAAAACCCTTTGTCATATAGGCTTTTAAAATTTCAGAGTTTGTGCTGAATTATGTTGTCAATCATCTGAACTTTTTCAAGTTTACATTTGTTTACATCAAAACAGATGACCATGATACAATTTTGTACACATCCATACAAAAATAGGGTTATCGTTAGTGAATTCAAGTAAAATATTGTAATATTGTAATGTATTTGTTTAAAATGTAAAGAAGAAAATTACTTATGTTAGACTTTGTGTTTTTGTTTTCATAGTATGTTTCATTTTCATTAGGTAATTGTAATTTTTCTAAGATGCCTCGAAGAGATCGCACACTTTATGAAAATAATAGGGCACACAATGCAAATTCTATTCTATTCTAAATAATAGGGATGTAATGAGAAATAATCGTTTTCCCCCTTATTTACTGCCCTTAGCCATGGACAATTCAGTAAATCCTCTTTTTAAACTTGGTCTGTGAATGAAGCATGTAGTTTTTGTGATACTTTATATTTTAGACACGTTCACTTTTTTATGCATAATTTCATATTGTATTGAAAAAACTAATTTACTAAGTTATGTTCAGGGTTTGCTTGAAAAAATTACAAGTCAGTGATAAGTTAATGATTATCACATAAAAAATATATAATCTTAAACCAAAGTTAGGGCAATTGAAAATTGTTAATTATTTAAAATATATCTCAGATTTTTAAGTCACAACGTGACGCTGGAGGCTAGAAAAGATTGATTTGATTTTCATTTTTTCTACAACCTAGACAATAAACAAACATATTAATTTGTTATTTCTTTAAAAAGTACATTAGTGTCAAAACTCCAAACTTAAAAAAATAGATAAAAAATAAATTATAGTATTCCTTATTCAGAACTAATTGAAATTTTGTCTTAACATTAAAAGTTTCCCGAATCCAATGAATTGTTACATTGTTGCTGCCAACCTCCTTGGTGGCAGCCCTTAACAGATCATATACAAAATGTCTATAGACAAAAGACGTTGAATGTAACTTCACAAAATATATTTTATACATAAAAATGCAAAATTTTTAATAGGTTAGTTATATTAAAATCCTATTGATGTCCTATTGATTAGTTATTTTAAAACACTCAATATTGTTTTCACCGCGGGAACTTTTTATTCAACCAAACTGTGGATAAAATAAAATAATAATAAAGGTGGCTCATGCAATTCTTATGAAAATCATATTGAACTTGTTCTAGCGTTTGAGAGTGAAACAGTTAAAATTTGATTGACTATTCTTTCTTAAAATAAAGGTTGTGAACCCTGATTGGGAACCTCTGATAGGTCTCCTACCTGGAGGGCCGGGTAGGTTATCATATGGTCACCCAGTATCCTCACAATGCCCCACACCTTGCTGTCTGAGCTAAAGTATTGTCTTCTGATACTGGTCTCCACTGCAGCTATTCTTCTTCTACTAAGCAACGAGGCAACTCTGGGCGGAATGAAGGCATCGAGATTTGAGTCCACATTCTTCCAACAAGACTCCTCAGCTGTATACACAGTTTTTCATAAGTTTGTGTAAAGTTTTAAAATTTATTTTATCCCTTCAACATCTGTTATATGGTATGGCTTGGTGGAGGAGACTCGCCTACAATAAACAATGGACGGCTCAAGTAGAAGTTGGTGGGATGTGTAAATTCTTTGTGTCACCTCAAATCACATATTTTGCTACTTGTTTGGTTGTTTTCCACCGAAAACAAGTTTTAAAATGATTTGGATTACTATGTTCATGAGATGAGATAAAAATATAATTAGGGATAGTTAAATGGATGAACAATCCACAAATGTTAACTGGACAAGCACAAGATTGTTACACTTTTTAATGAAGTAATCCATGATTCTATACAACTAAGTCAAAAGATACACTACATCCCCTGTCCATCATAACCCCGTCACAGTCAATCACCCAGTGCAAAACACAGTGGAACAGTGTGAAACATGTACTCCGCCGCTCGTATCGCTGCCGTCGGGCAACCGCGAATGTGACCGGGAAGTGATAAAACCCCTAATGTAAATATGTATAGTGTAATATAAGGAATTTAGTGTAAGAAGAATGAAGAACTCCATGAAGATGCCGCACAGAGTGGCGAAATGCGCATAGAGTAACAACAAGTTCAACTACAAGACCTTCTGGCAAAATAGGTAAATTAAACTTGACAATTGCTTTATTTTGAGCGACAGGTACACTAGTTATATAGAATAGCTGATCAAAATTCACTCTATCGAGTAACATTAAAACTTCAAAGGGAGAACAAGTACTGACCAAACTTGACAATCCCTTCGTCAGCAGTGAACCCAAGCATTAAAGGTAGGTTTCTACTGGCAGCCCTGTCAAGCAAGTTGCTCAATGTGTCAGTGAAAAACGGCACCTCTGTGACATCTGTGTCCAACACTGGCAGGAATGGCATGGTCTGACCGGTTGCCTCAAACTGAAACAAACAGTTGCATTCAAAATACTCTATAAACAGTCAGACGGTTGAAAGGCGTATTATAAATAATTATAATCTTACTAATATTATAAATGTGAAAGTTTGTGTGTTTGTTTGTTTGTTTGAAGTTCAATCACGCATAAACCACTGGATGGATTGGGCTGAAATTTGGAATGATGATAGCTCACATTTCCGATTAACATATAGGCATATTCTTATCTCAAAAATCCTTTCGGGCTCCGCCCCAGTGGCTCTGTAGTTGCCCATGTTAACCTTATGAGTATTCATATTTAAAGGGAATAAAGAATTTATTCAGCTGTTTCAACTAAAAAAGTTGGTTCTATGATATACAAAAGCATTAAAAAGTTATAAGATTTACCAACAGGGTGCAGAACTATAATTTTATTTTGCATTTATGTAAACAGCTTATTTGAACTAAGCAGCAACAAAGAACTGTGATACGCAATGAGAACTGTCAAAGTAGGATTGTTTACACTTATGTTTATGTTTTTAATATCATGCATAATTTGTGATTTTTTGTGAAATCATAAAAATTTATTTTTCTTTATTGTTTAGGTGAAGTGGTAGAACATTATGGCTATGGTAGATGTGTAATACCATTAGCAATTTTAAAGAATTAAGAATCAATTTAAGTCAATTTTAAGAAGCAAATTTTATCAATATTTGCCCTCCCCATTGCAAACGCAAAGCTTGAGTATAACTGCAATAAGCATTTTAAACTTATATGCTAACCCCGTACGAAGGACGGGTACTCTGCTAGTATGATATAAACAAAAATTATAAATCATCAATACTCACATGGATGTCCAACGGAACAGACTGACTGGCCACAATATAGGACATGTTGGTTGCCCTGAGACAGTCTAAGATCTGAGCGTCGTCTGCAGAACTGTCACAGCCAACAGCTATAGCCAGAGACTTAGCCCTGGACCTTCCCTCGGACACTGAGTAACGGCCCCAGCCTGCTAGAGCTGAGCCACTGTGAGCTACGACAGAGCGGAACAGACCTACACAGAAATAGCAGACAGTCACAGAGTAAAAATGTCAAGATTCTTTTAATTTTTGGCAAAAAAGCTTGGTTCATTACGAAACTACATTACATATTTAAAAAGGGTTGGATGAGTTTAGAAAAAAATCAAAACGATAAACGTTAGCAGAGTCTCAAATTTATGACACTGCATGTCATGTTGTTGCAGCAACTATTAAGGTTCAAGTAGTGGTTGCATTTTTTTACTTTTTCATAATTTAATAAAAAAAGATGATATTTTAACATTTTCTAGACATTATTAAACAACGAAACCGGTAAAACAATGCAAAAGAGCAAAATTAGTTTTATCAATGAGTTTGAACCTTGCATTTGTTCAATCATTTAATAAGGTAGTTGTGACATATCTGTAAATTATGTTACTGGATGTACTCAATACTGTTTTGTATACATTATAAGATAACTGTCTGTAAATTAAGGTCCATAAAGAGCATATCCCACGAATGAGTAAGCTAATATAAATGTACTACTGACACTATCTACTTTACTTCCCTCACTACCATTCTAGCCAGTCTCCACCTCTGTTCGATTTTGCACCTGTACGACGTCCAATGTCTAAGGAGCATAGTTGGGAAATTTAGTAAAAAATTCTAACTAGTTAGAAGTTATTAGTTAGTCCCGCAAAAAGTAACATAGAATTTAATAGTTAGTTAGTTAAAAAAGTAACTGATAGAAGTTATTAGTTAGCTTAAAACTAACTGATAGAAAATAAAGTTAGTTTTAGAGAAGTTTTCTGTTGTTGGACAGTTTTTTTACAGAAATTTTGGTACAAATGTGTAAACCTACGTTTATTCGAACAAGTTCGCGTACTAGGAAGTTTGGAGAAAACTGTTAACATTCGCAAAACAAGGCTAGCGGATGGCATCCAACAGTTTTGGATGAAACAAAGGCTAAAGTAAAGGAAATTGCTGGAGGATCGACAAGTAATTGCTTGTTGGTTGTTTCCAAGACCACCATAATAGACAGTGGCAGGCCCTGGTGTCCTTAAAAGCTCCTAACTAGTAACTGCAAGAACAATTTCTTTAACTTTTGTGATGGTCTCGTGAAATCGTATGTCATTTTGCTAGCTTCTAATACCGCTTCAAACTACACGTGGCAGGATTCACGTTGCGTAGAGTCCACTTGAAACCCGTCGGACCATTCTGCGGGATGGACACTATGGAGTTTGGTTTTATAATTTGAGTTGTCCAACTCCTGCTATTAATTTTGACTAAGTTATTATAAATTTTTTTGTCTATTCACATCATGTAGAAATATAACTTACCTAAACATCGGTACATACAATGTCACTTATCGATGTCAAATAAATTGTAATATTCATTTTATGGAACAAATTCTGGGGTGTCGTATGGTGATTAGTGTTTGTATTTACTTTTCCATTACAAATGAATATCATTGTAATCAATGTTAATAAATTAAATGTACTCAAAGTCAAACCCATTACAAACTTACTAGCCGACCGATTATTTTTAAAGTTGAAATTAAAGTACTTGTGACCAAAGGAATACAAAATGTCTATAAGAAATAGAGGTGAGCTAGGGTAGTAGTAGGGGATGTAAAGAACAAGGCGATAGTGTAAAATTTAAACTAGGTTACTCCATTGTCACATGAGCTTGTTGGAGATCTTAATTGACGGACAACCCTCACAACTTCCATATAAAATACAAACGAATAGACTTTGACGTGCGAATAGTCACTTTGTATAAAATACCGGTTAGTATGGCTGTCAATCAGCACTGTTTAGAAATACTGATTGCGACAGTAACCACACATCAGCCTACCATGGGACGAAGGGGAGAGGTAGAGGTACATCGCCATCACAGCCCCAGCTCCTTGCCCCATCAGAGTCACTTGGCTTGGGTCTCCTCCAAAGTTATAAATCTCATCTTGCACCCAGCGCAGGGCGAGCTGAATGTCGTACAAACCCATGTTGCCTGGGGCATCTCTTGAACCCAACGTCAGGAAACCTAGAAAAGCACTATTTGGATTTTTTCTACAAAACCCAGTTAGGAATCTCTTTTTGAGCTTCAGTTCATAATGGTCGGATTATTGTTAGAAGGTAGTATTCTAATCATGATATTAAACCATGATCTTAATATATAATACTTCAAGTGTATTTATTTACAAACGGCGATTCACCAATACAAACAAATTACAAAATTTGAAGGCAATAGAAAACAATATCCAATCATCAGTTTAAATATAGAAATCTGTGTAAATTGATTTTACAAAGGTTTGCATTAAAATTTATTTAACTCGGGTACTTAAAAAGAACAATATCTACAACAAATAATAACACACTTACTCTCTAAACAATGTAACAATTTGATAATTTCATAATCTCACTTTAATTTCAGTAACATACAAAAAAAGGAATGGTCATCATTTCAATCTATAGCAAACAATAGTTTTTATAACTGATGTTTTTTAATCATAGTCCCAATTTATGCAAATAATTACAATGTTGCTACAATAGTTTTTAAAAACAGCTTTCTCTACATTATCACAAAGAATCAAATTTAATCAACACAACAAACATAGGTTCAAACATATTTACTTATGTTCGCCTAATGCTTAATGGGGCATTGCCAACATCTTTAATTTCAACAACAATACCTAAAATCAATTCCCAATACATTAAATTAAAATAAAATAACCATGTTTGAAATGGATTAATTTTAAATCATGGAGGAGAAATATGAATGAACGAACTACATTTTTGAAATATTTAGAGCTAAGAAATACAGTTTCCCACCAATACAAAAATGCTGAATATCTTGATTTAAAAGAAAATTAATTGTCAACCCAGTTTATTATGTTCAATGACTCACCATTTGCACCTAACCTGTAGTTGAAAGTGACCAAAACGATGCCTTTAGGGACAAGAAAATCTGGTCCGTAGCGCTTAGATGAACTAGAGCCTCGCGTAAAGACGCTGTCATGAATAAATGCAATCACTGGAAATCCTGCCGAAGAATCAACTGCTTTCTGTTTAGAAAAAGAGGTCAAATTTTGCAACAAAACGTAGTATGAAATAAACAATGGGAGATCACTAGCATATAAAAAATAATTTTAACAATGGATTTAACCCAATTTTACTCATTAGGCTATTAATCAATTTGGATGGGATGGGAATTATTGGTTGAAGCTATGTAGGCTAAATAATAACATCTCAAATTATAGAATTTAAACAGTGATTAATCTTCATGATGAACTGGCAATACTGGTTAGATTATTTCAAAATAAATACTTATCCAATATTTTTGTAATTTTTACTTCATAAGATTAATGATTATGAACATGTGATTATGGGTAAAATAATATCAAGGGGTAATTTGAAAATTACCCTTGTTACCAAGGGTGACTTGTTATTGAGGGTCTTGTTATCGAGGTTCTACTGTAGCTAGGAATTTAGAATAGCACTTGGAGTTAATTCAAAAAGCCCAGGAGGAAGGAGCTCTGGTAAAAACAAAATATGCCTAAGTATCACGTTTCTACAAAGTTGTATTCAACTGCATGCATGTATCAATCTCGTATCACGACATATTTTATAAAGACTAACTCGGCTATCAAACCTATGCTTAACTAATAATAAAATAGGTAAAAATAGATACCGGTAAATTTTGTAGAAATGTTTCTGGATATAAAGGGGTGCCATGGAACCCCTACCCCCTGTGGATACGTCTATGCCTCAAACACTTACAATGGTTTTCATTACATTTTCCGTGTTTTCAAAAATATCAAATCAATAATCTTTATTCAAGCTGTACATACATACATGAAAGAGTCACAGAAACAACGTTTTAAAATTTTGAACGTTTTAAAATTTTGAACGTTTTGAGACATTTGAAATCTGTTTGAGGCAACCTTCTTAGATATGAGGGGCTACAATAATGGTGGTTAATTTTGAAAATGTCACCCTTAGGGGGTAGCACAAAATTTTCAAATGACAATTAGAGTCGAGTTTGGTATCATTTTACAGGCTTTGACGAAACAAAACAATTGACATAAAGAAAACCAAATCGGACAACTAATAACAAAATGACGCTCTAACACGTTTAAAATCTAAATAAACATAAGGGTGAGTGACTGAAAAGTATCTTGCACTCCCTAACTTTTTAACTATTTGAGATATTTGAAATCGGTTTATGGCGATTTTTTTTAGGTATGAGGGGCTACAATAATGATGGTTAATTTTGAAAATGTTGCCCTTTAGGATAGGGGGGGGGGTCGAGTTTGGTATCATTTATAATTTTACAGGCCTTGACAAAACTAAACAATTAATATAATGAAAATAGAAATCACACCACTAATAACCAATGGTTGGTACAACTTACTTTAAATAGCCAGTGTCTTAATAATTTTTAGCTGCCATTTTGTTAATAGTGGTCCGATTTTGATTTTCCTTATATCAGTTATTTAGTTTTGTCAAGACCTGAAAACATTCACTGGCACTTGTCCCACTACAACACTAAGACTACACTAACACCTTTCTAACAGTAAAAGTATCCTGCACCATAGGAAACACATTTTTATCTCTTTTTCCTCTTCTCGTTTCTTTTCTTCCTTACAGAAAATATACTAACATTAATATATGTATTCTCTAAGGAGAACAAGTGCCTGTGTTATGAACGGGGGTGGTAAAATTCACCACACAAGGTCAAATTAAGTTATTTTTTACTACTATTAATTTGAACATATTATCAATGTATTATATATCAAATTGTTAAGAAAAAATAGAGGATAAATAAAATTGAAACCAATTTTTTTTTATATTTTAAATTTAAGGAAGGTTACAATTAGTCATAAAAAGAGAAATTACTCACACTAGGCATGAACACATTGATATACAAGCAGTCTTCACTGAAGTCTGTCCCATTCTGAGGACATGCTGGTCCGTCAGTCTTGGCTGATCTGGGCGTCGTCCAGCCAGACGGAGGCACAGCTTGCTGCATCAAACATACAGTGAAACCTTAATATCAAATCTCATCAGTAAAAATTAGCTTCATCAAATATTTTGGTATTTTGAAATTCAAATTATACAGATTTAAATCCTTAGTATTTAAATTCCTTTTGAAGTTGTTAATAAACAATAGTAAAATACAATTTATATTCTAATCTATAGTTAATAATAAATTTATAATATATCTATTATCTCTAATTCTGTAAGCTAAAAATTTTACAATGCAATTGTGAGCGAAAGGGAGGCTGTAGAAAGCAGGGAGAGGTCTCATTTTAAAGGTCTGGCCATTACATTTATGGAGGAAATTGTCTTTTAAACTCATCGGAAATTATGATGACTTTTATTTGTTTTCAAATAAGTACTTTACTTCTTTGCAATTGCTCGATTTCGAGCAACGTGTTTACTAGTCAGTATTATTTCAGACCAAATGGGTTTGATTCAATCGACTAATGGTTGAATGAATATAATGAACACCATATTACCGCAACGATATGTGGTGCTGCCATCGGTGTTCGTGGTGAAGTGGATAAAGTACTCGGCTGATGCCTACGAGGTAACCAGATCGAATCCCACTGGGGACACTAACTTTTTGTCAAAGATCTTGCTTAGAATGCGATTACTTCTTAACTGTACACCTTTTGTTAGAGTTTGAGGCAGGCATTTATAATTTAAAAAAACGTAGGTAACAATAACAAAGGTTTCCTGCAGTACTGTACCCAAAATTTAAGCACTCAATTCAAGAGCATCACATCATAAAACTTTTGCCTAACTATGCTCTTTGGCCCACAAAACACTGGACTAATGACGGGCATTTGCCCAAAAGATTTGGAATCTGTGTGCTAGTACTTACACCAACAAGTTTGAGCTAAAATATCGTTGATCTTACCTGAAAGCGGGCTGGAATGTGGCCGTATGGTATCCCTAGAAAGGCGTCATAAGAGGCTCCAGTTACTGGGTGAGGATTGTACTTTTGTCCAACAATCGGCCCCTTGCTTGTTGTTACAGTGACTTCTGCTCTAAATCCAAAATAAATTTTTAAATATTAAATAATTGATTTATCAAATCTTATTAAAGTAGAACCTTGATAGTTAAATACTTTGTGGACTAAGGATGTGTCGAATTATCCAAATGTCAAACTATAATGAGTAGGCCTAGCCTATGTTGGACATTAAACACGAGGAGTATTTAAAGCACAAGATATAGCAAATAAATTTAATGGATAGGCCTGGTATAAAAACTTAACAAAAATAAAAAAACTTATCAACTAGCCTACATATTTCACACAACCACATTTAGATAAAATGTGTAAACAAATTATTTGTTTTCTTGTAAGTTTATTTTGAAATTTCTAATTTGCATAATCCGAAAACTTGCAAACCTATTGCTCCTACGCCTAAATGCATTGTTAGGAAAAGATTATTTTTATATTATTATATTTAAATTTATCACTGAAACAGAAAATATACATATATGTGTACTTATATCACAGAAAACATTACTATAACAACCCAGAATGCCAACCGCGTGGTAAAAAGCATTAAGTGTTTTGAGAGAGCTTTGCCTGTCAATCGTAGGCAGCGCCACCAGCGTTGCCATGCACTCAGCATAGCAACGCTGGTGGCGCTGCCTACGATTGACAAGCAAAGCTCTCTCAAAACACTTAATGCTTTTTACCATGCGGTTGGCATTCTGGGTTAAGTAGTATGTTTTCTGTGCTTATATTCACAAATAAATAATGTTCTGTGGCAAAATATATGGTACCACTACAAAGGGCCGCCACTGGTGAATAAAATACAGCGCTCTGCGGCGTTTTTAAGCAGTGTTGGGGAAGCTACTTTTAAAATGTAGCTAGCTACAACTACTGCTACATTTCCAAAAAAGTAGCTTAGCTACAGCTACAGCTACAGTTCCACAAAAGTAGCTAGCTACAACTACAGCTACATTGAAATGTAGCTACAGCTACAATTTTAGCTACTTTTCCAAAGACGTTACTTTTTATTCCACGCACATTAGGTAAATGTAAAATTAATTGCAACTACATTTTTACTGAACAGACATTAAAAAAATGTCAGTAGGTATTGTATCTAACATTAATTGAAAAAAAAATATTCCTAGATTGTATTTAATTTTTTGGCATTATAAACCTAACATTACAACAACAGAACCAAATAGTTCGGTGTCCCATCATATTTAGTACTTATTTTTAAATATTGCATTATTTTTAAGCATCTTAAATGTAAATTTCATTAAGTTCAAAGGACATACAACCAAACTATATTTTAAAAGCTCATTTTATTTCTTTAATATAGATTCATTCATAGATGTCTTATATCAACAATTAAGACCAACCAAACTGTAAAACGATTATTTAAAAATACTTTTTTGTGTTACAGAGCCTAGCCTACTGAAATTGGAGTTTATTGCCTTTCTTTTAATGTTAAAAACGACATTGCTATAAACTTTTAAGTGATAAGTTACTTGTACTATGAATAACACTTTTCAATGTCAAGAAATCGTCCTTTATTGTCATTATGCATAGGGCAAATTGTGCTTCAACCTAGTTGGTACAGAAAACAGTATCCAGTAACTTATCCTGAAATCGGCTTTTAATTTAAACATGTTGAAACTTGTAAAGTAAAAATAACATGTAGGCCTACTTGGCTATGTAACAAGTTGGCTATAGTAGGCTTGTTCTTGCAAGGACTAAACAGATATATTCCTAATAATTGAACTTGGGACTTGGTATTCGTCTTAAACCATAGCATAGCCTAGGAATTAATAGTCCTATACAAGAGCTGTTACCAGGAGCAAATTATGCTATTTTTTTCAATGTAAGTTTCATGTTATATGGAGATTTTTTCGTTACAATTATCATTTAGTCTATACATATCTTAAATCACATCAGGTAATTTCCTCTTTGTTAATTTAGTAAACCTTTGAAAAATCTTCGTAATCTAACCAAGGAAGGGCTTGTGACGATGAACCACAATCAACAGCTGAAGCAAAGGTTGATAGACCAGATTTCTCATTATTTTAAGGTTTAGTGTTGGGTTCCATTAAAATCCAAGTTGAAGCACTATCGGTATAATAAACAAACTAAATTGATTACTAATTTCCCTGTCAATCACTTGCAAGCATTCAATAGCTTCTCTTGTCACCGGTAACGTTTAAACGTCGTCTGCGCTGCATCTAGCGATTTTATTTTATCTGACAGTAATCAATAATCATAGAGTAGTAAATTAAGGAAATGAGAGCCAAAAATGTGGATAACACTCATTTAATGGCCTCCATGTCCACACAACGTTGTAATAGGGAATGAAACGGCTGCAACCAGCTGTATGAAGCCAAGAAAGTAAGGCCTAATTTTTTTAAAAATCTCAGTTTGAAAGAGGTCGTTTCACGTAAGGTTGAGGTTATGATAAAAATCACTATCTCAAACAATGATAATGTAGCGAGAAAAGTAGCTAAAATTCCGCTACAACTACTTTAAAAATGTAGCTAGCTACAGCTAAAGCTACAAAATCTTAAAAGTAGCGTAGCTACAGCTAACGCTACAAAAAAAGTAGCGCGCTACTGTAGCGTCGCTACTTGTAGCGCGCTACTTCCCAACACTGTTTTTAAGTTAGTTTAGGTTATCATAAATATGTGTTTTAGGACTTTCCTAGTTTTGTTATGAATTTAAATGAGTCATACTTTCGCCCGCCAAATCCTCTCCAAGTAGGCCCTAGTCTAAAATCAGGTTGTTGACCGAAGCGCCCGCATCACCTGTCACCGCTTGTATCCTGGGTCTGTGCCCGGAGTGATTTATAGGTTAGTTTTGTCTCCATAATGAGTGACTTTTTTTAAAACAAAACGAGGAAAGTCCTACAAACATAAGTATTTAACTTATGATAACCCAACCTACATAACCGTCACAGCGGGCTGTCCCATAAGGGTGGCCCCCGTTTCAAATCAACCCTTGCCGACATCACTGCCTTCTGGGAGGCAGAACTGAAAGGCCGCTAGGCCTAATCGTAATCTTGTCAAATTTGGACAGTACCTAAGTCAATTGAAGTAGGCTATGTTCTTTCCAATTATGTAGTTAGGCTAATTTTGGTAACTTATCCGGTACAAAAAATCCCTCTAAAATAAGTGGCCTCTGGATACTTACCAAAGTACCGTTTTAGTTTAACCGTGGGTGTGCAAGAATTGATAGGTAACTTAGTAAGTTAGGCCTAGACCTTATCCTAGTACCATCAAAGGATGCCTTTACTTAATCACTACGGTACCATTTTTGGCAAACAAGAGGATAAGTTACCTAACTTATAGTAAGAGATATTGGCAAATATTTGATATATATATACAACGCGTTATCCTGTAATTTTTTGATGTCTACTTACAGTTTTTTTCACGCTGAATCCAAAAATGCAATCAGTTTTTGTCGGAGTGATTCCTAAGTGGCCGTAAAACGAAGGTTAAAATTACGAATACTAAGGTTCATTGAGCAGTATTGGTAATATGGCGTGGTCTGGACGGGTTCGTATGTGGACTGAGGACTGTGTGAGGAAAGCAAACAGCTGTTTATACTTACTCAACTTAATGCGGAATGAAATCAAATCGTTTTGAAACCAAATAATCAGTTCTTATTTAGGCATGTAAGGAAGGAAGGTCGGGTTTTAGGTGGATTCGTGACTGTATTAAGTGAGGTTGCATTAGGTAAGTTAAAGGTTACTTTATAATGACCCGACTATGTAATTAATTTATGCTACTTCCAGACTGTTTTTGCACAATTGAAATAGTGGGTGAAATATAATGAAATAACACTATCAAAAATGTTTACGCATAAAACTGATTGCATTTTTGGATTCAGCGTGAAAAATGCTGTAGGCCTAAGTAGACATCTAAAATCTACATGGTATCGCGTTGTAGACATATAAAATAATTACCAAAACACAGCAATGGTAATATAGGCTTACCTATTTGATAGGAGACCTTTGGCTGTGTCCTCGATAAACTTTACAGTGAAATGAAATGGAGATGGCACGACAGGATGCACCACAGAGAGAGGGTGTAGAACTGCGATGGGATTATGAAGTGATCCGGGATGTTGTGAGAAATGAAAAATATAAAATCCTATTGCCATGCATGGCAGGATCACAAATCCAAATAATTTTACTTTGGTAATTGTGTGTGTACAAATCCACCAATCATGAAAGGCAGAGAAATAAGAACAGATGCGTTGTTTGAAATTCCTATTAACTTCAGTGGTGCTTGTAGACCTCTGTCCGATTGATTCCTCATTTTGCATACCTAAATCACTTCTTCTGACTGAGTCAGAGTTGTTCATTATTGGTGTAGTTGCATCTCTATTTGGATTTAAATCATCACTAACAATTTCATCTTCACGGGTCATCTTTTTATTTTTTATTTTTATTTTAATATAGGCTACTTGACCTTTCTTTTACTTTTTTCCCATCCCTAAATCAAATAAATAAAGCTTCTTAAGCCTATAAGCTTAACATAACCTAGCCTACTTTGTCAGGACTGATAATTTAAGTTGTATGCCTAGTTCAATTTGTCCTTTTAGGACAAGGTTTTACAGCTAAAACGCATTTTATTATTCATACACTTAATAAATTATAGAGAAATTTACATAATTAAGTTACTAGTTAATTAACAAATTCACAAAAGTTAGTTCAGCAAAGAAATGTAAACATCGTTAAACATAACATCATAACCACCACCAAAGTGATAATGATGGGAACGCGCCAAGGCGCCACCACGTCAACCCGCCACCAAGTCAACCCGCCATCAAAAAGAAGAAGAAGTTTGAGGTGGCAGGTTGACGTGGTGGCTCGTTGTCGGGGTGGCACGTTGACTCTAGGGTGCACGACAACCCGCCACCTCGGAAAAATGTGTGGTGGCGGGTTGTCGTGGTGGCACGTTGTCCTGGGGCCCATTTCATAATAAACTACAAGTTACAAGTTACAGCTTGTAACTTGTAATTTCCATAAGATTTGCATTGGGCGATCAGCTGATTTACTAATAATATTAGTTTGTAGTTTATTATGAAATGGGCCCCTGGTGGTGCTTAGACATGTTCATACACGTCAACCAGCCACCTCTTTAGTGTGGTGGCGGGTTGACGTGGTGGCTGGTTGACGTCTACGTGCGAGGTGGCGGATTGACAACACCGAACATTAAGCATACACGACAACCCGCCACCTCATAAAATAGTGATGGCGGGTTGACGTGGTGGCACGTTGTCGCTTACATGCGAGGTGGCGGGTTGACGAGAGTTAACATGTGGCGTACACGACAACCCACCATCTTTGTTGGCAAAAGCCGCTGTTGTCTGTGTATTATAAAATGCATCACTTTTTGCAGTTTACGTGGACTTGTGTTATCTAGTTTACTGTTAAGTTAACTAGACATTAGTTATTGTGAATTTATTGTGGTGAAAATAATAATACATTCAACCAAAAACATAAAACAAAATATATATCGTTGATACAGACTACAACAGACTAAAATGTACTTTGTGTGGACTAGCACGCACCACTGAGCTAAATTATAGCTCAGTGGCACGCACCTGTTTTTCTATTTAGAAGAATTTGAGAACGGACACAGAACTAGACTCGACCCAACCGGTAACGTACTTTGACCTCTTGAGTCAAGGGTATTGCCCAGGGAAGTTTATACCAGACAGATATATTCCAAAAATATTATTAGGAGATATCTTAAACCAAGATTTCTATTGAATTTATCATGCTCTGCTTGAAATTCCATTTCATGCTTCAGGAAATACCGTACCGTTACTTTGGTATTATTCGGAGGCATTATTTTATTTCGGAGGTATTATTTTCTAGAGGGATTTTTTTTACCTAAGACAAAAAAAACACATAATTAGAAAGAACATACTTTAATTAACTTACTGTCCAAATATGATTGCAATTGCAATTAGCGGTTTTTGAGTTCTGCCTCCCAGAAGGCAAGATTGAGTTGAATGCGTCACCGCCCCTAGCATCCACACGAACTCCGCCGAGTAGATACTGAGTAAATACTGCGCGCTGTAGCGGTTATGTTAGGTTGGGTTTCCTCGTTTCATTATGAATCTAACAATACAACATGAGTGACGATACCTGAGATACAGGCGGTGACAGGTGATGGTGATGCGCGCGCTCCGGCCATTGGTCAACGACCTGACCTTGGCCTACTTGGAGGGGATTTGTCGATGGTATGACTCATCTGGTATCATTCCATCCATAACGAAGCTAAGAAAGTTCTACAAACATATTTATGATAACCCAACCTAACATAACCGCCGCAGCACGCTGTATAAGGGTGGCCTCCGGATAATATCAAAGTAGCATTAATACCATACTTTTACTCTTGGCACAATGGGTTCGGGGCATTCCACTAATGTACTGTTGAAAATTGTATGAAATAATTGATTCATATTTAAAAGTATCTTTTACTAACTAAACTAAATCTGTGTACAACTTGTAAACAAATCAAATATAAACAATAACAATAATCACATAATAATGACATCGATCTATCCACCTATCATCTACTAAATCTATCTATACTATTATAAAGAAGAGGTGGTGTTTGTGTGTTTGTATGAGATAAACTATAAGCTACTGAACCGATTGGACTCAAATTGGACAAAAATCAAGCTACCGCTCCGAGGATTAGAACTACCCCCTACCATCGATATTGAACTAGTATCTGCTCCACGGGCTTTCAAAATTCTGAGGTGAGGGATTTTTAACTTATACGCAAGCAGGTTTTTCTGTGACATTTACTCCTCGAAACTACTAAACCGATTGGCATGTTTTTGGTGTAATTTGGAAAGAGCGTAACGTGAAGTTGTGCAGGAAACTTTCTTTTTAGGGAAATAATTAGGGTGAGGCCCTGGGGCCCTTTACGGGTTCATATTTCTCCATAAGATTCATGGGAAACAGACATTGTTATGTAACTCCAGCTGTTGTCAGAAATTAAAAACGAGAAGAAGAACTTATGTTAATTGTAAACATTATGTAATTTACACAACTATGTGGTAGGTTTATTTATGCAATTGATTATTGAAATGAAGAAAAATTCTATAACCATAAGTTATAAAAATTATGTTATTGATATATTTTAATTTAAACAGTAGGGTAATTACAATGTAGGGCATACATTTTTGTAAAAATTTGATTGCTATTTGTTTAAAAATTTAATCTACTTAACAACTGTTTGGATTAGGCAGTATGGACTTTTGGTACATCTTCCCGTTGCGAATCACGGGCACAGCAGCTAGTTCCGTTTATTCACTAATTGTAAATAAATTATAACGTAAAGATATAATTGACAGTTGGTAGGAAGATGATTATACTAAACAGGTCGCCAATTGTTTTCAGATAACGTATTATCTCGTCACATTATGGTATTTGGTAAGTGACTGTTTAGTACAATTTTAAAGAAACGTGTCCAATATCATTCAAAACAGTGATTTGGATTGTTTTGTCTAAAAATCTTTCAAAAAGTATAATCCGACGACTAAATAAAATAAATTAATACAAGAAATAGAATAGTTTTATCAACAGCAGAATATTAGTTTGGTTCTCTTTTGTGATTACTACGTGAAATGAAAACAGTATTTAGGTTGGAAATTAAAGGACAATCGCGATCTCGCAACTACGGGAAAGTGAACTGACCTGAGTGACCCGACACCTCAATAACTGGAATGGTTGATGTAAAAGAAAAATCTAAGAAATTTCAGGTTAAGTCCATTTGTAGAAACGTGCGAGGGGGTTAACGGGACATCCCTGTATTCTGTTCCCTAATATTTCCTTTAAAGTTCCCAGTACTGACTGTTATGGGTTTGTTTATATTAAACAATTGGCCGAATACTTTGCACCAGGTGTCCACGTCTACATTTTACAACATGCATTTCGTTCACCTTTCTCAGTAATAACTTGCGGTTCGTTCCTGATTTTTTAATAATGAGGCATATTATGCTATTGTTCTAAATACATACGAGAGATATTCAAAAAGGCAAAAAGAAAGAAAAAGGTTTTGAGGCAATAACAAGTCTATATTTTAATCAGGAAAGTGTTATCATCATGCCAAATTTCAGCCTAATCCCGATGTGCCCAATGAATTGAGTGATTGATTATTGAGTGATTGAACCCCAAACACACATACATTCATTTGTAATATTAGTAAAGTAGCACTGTACTTCAACGTATTAATCAGGCCGTAACTTGAAATAAACGCTTAGGCCAGTTACATTTTTAACATCCAAATGTAATATTATTTCGCCAAACACCGTTGATCAGTTATTAAATGGAGGCAACTGGTACCAAAAGTCATTATCTTGCAAAAAAAAATTTTTTCAAACAAAAATCAGTTTAACAAAAATAAAGGACTTTGGCTTTGACTTTTTCCAGGTTATAATCCTAAGTCAAATTTGTATCTAATCGTATAATGAAACTGCTTGATGCATAATTAAGGTTCAAATGAATCAGTAATATTATTTTAACCTATGTAGATACGATATCCTGCACATTGTGAAAATTGTTTAGTCGAGGATACATTTACACATAAACATCATCATTATTTAAATATTTAATTGGCCAACACAAATGTTGTGATTATTGTTTTGAAACTGCTACACATCCGATCATCAAGTTTAAGGTGTCGTTGGATAGGTCGTGACATGTAAATTTGCCATAAAACAAAACACATTTGAAATTCCATCAGGGCTCTGCCCCAGTGGCCTTCAGCCAATTGAAAGCGTCAATATACGTGATTCAATTTATTTCATATCACGGACGTTTACTTAATATCAAACATTAGAAATGACAAAATAAATGTAAAAATAAACGGTATCAGCATTCTGAAACATACTTTCTCCCATAAGCTTGTTAACATCCTATATCATGGGAAAGCGGTGATAGTATATAGTTCAAAATCACAAAAGCTGAAATAACTTTTGGACCATAATTGTTACAGCAATGGGGTGTTGTACTATTTTTTTAAAACATCATTTGTTTATGTTTATATTTTGCAACCTACTCCTCTTTATTAATGGATTTCAAAATATGAATTTACTTAAATTAGATAATAAAATTACAATAAAGTTACAATAAAATATATTTAGGTTCTATAGCTATTACAATAATCTCATTGGGCTAAGATAGTGAAATTATATTTTGGTTTAGGTCTTTTTTTGATGGGCTAGGCTAGTTAACAATTTGGAGAGCAAATTATCTTAAATCTAGGGGTTGGTTCGTGCCGGGTATGAAATTCTGATAGGCTGATTAATTTAATTTATACAGTACTAATATAGGCTAAATATGAGATAAGCTAATAATGAGAATAAAAAAATTTAGGCTATAAGTTCTTAATTTGAAAGTCACTTGAATTTAGTCAAAATTCACAATGGTGTGATGGTGGTTGTAAATTGATGATGAGTTTTTGAAGTGTTAATTAAAGTTGATATTACCAATTTGTTGAATAGTGATTATCTTCTTTCTTTATGTCTCTTTATATTCAATATTTATATGTATTCTGAATGTTAATTTTCAATTTTGGATATTTAAATCACTAGAGACTTGGCTCCCACATCCATCTCTCTCTATATCTTCCACCACAAGCACATTTTCTTCCTTTTCTTTTGCTTTCCTTCCAACAATTACTTCACACCTGGACACTGGACAGTACAAAAGAAATA